TGGGTTTTACCCCGGCGGATTTTAAGTCCGCTGCGTCTGCCGATTCCGCCACAGGCCCTTGCATAGGAGCATACCCAAGCACAGCCTTCTCTGCAATTGAGGATCGGACTTTATCATTCATCGTGAGCTGGAACTCGCTCGTCTGTGATCCCGAAACAAATCGAGAGAATCCACGAACCCGATATCGAAGATTTCGTACAAATTCGTTTCTGGATCAGCCCCGCTGCCGGGACACGGTTGCTATGCTGATCTTTACCGCTTCCCACATCCCAGTTTTTATGCAAGACGAGGACAACGCAATGCACCGTGATCCCCAGTCGCAGGCAATCGCCGCATCGAACCAATGGCAGCAAGCCTCTCTCGATACCGGGAATCCCAATCCCCGGATCGATGAGATCTTCGCGATTGATGTCTTTGACATGAAAAAGATGCGACAACGGCTCCCAAAGGGCGTCTACAAGTCCGTCGAGTCAGTCCTGGAGGGGGGGCGAAAGCTCACTCTCTCAGACGCGGAAGTCATCGCGACAGCGATGAAGGACTGGGCGATCGAGCGTGGCGCGACCCACTACACCCATTGGTTCCAGCCCATGACCGGCTTGACCGCTGAGAAACATGACTCGCTGACCAGTCTGGACGGCGAGGGTGGGGTGGTCTACCGACTCTCCGGATCATCACTCATCCAAGGCGAACCAGACGCATCGAGCTTCCCTTCCGGAGGCCTCCGCGCCACCTTCGAAGCTCGCGGCTACACCGCGTGGGATGTCACCTCCCCCGCGTTCATCATCCGAGGATCCAACTACGCGACACTCTGTATCCCTACGGCATTCGTCTCGTGGAACGGTGAGGCGCTGGACAAGAAAACCCCGCTCCTCCGCTCTATCGACGCGATTTCCACCCAAGCACTCCGAGTGCTCAAGATCTTCGGCACCGATGAAGGCGTGACCTCGGTCGGCTCCACCCTCGGCGCTGAGCAGGAGTACTTCCTCGTTGACCGAAACCTCTTCTACGCGCGTCCAGACCTGGTGAGCTGCGATCGGACCCTATTCGGATCGATGCCTCCGAAGCACCAGCAGCTTGACGATCACTACTTCGGATCGATCCCCTCTCGCGTCCTCTCGTTCATGGCAGAAGTCGAACGCGAGCTTGCATGCCTCGGAGTCCCGGTCCAGACACGCCACAACGAGGTCGCTCCGGGACAGTACGAGATCGCGCCGCTCTTCGAGACCACCAACCTCGCGTGTGATCACCAAGCGATGATGATGCAGATCCTCAAGAGCGTCGCCGGACGCTTTGGGTTCGTCGCGATCATGCACGAGAAACCCTTTGCAGGAGTCAATGGGTCTGGCAAGCACAACAACTGGTCGCTCTCAACAGACACAGGAGTGAACCTGCTCGATCCACAAGACGAGGCACACAACAACCTCCAATTCATGACCTATCTCTGTGCGGTCATCCGCGCGGTCCACATGAACGCGGACCTGCTGCGTGCCGCGATCTCCAGCGCGTCGAACGATCACCGTTTAGGCGCCAACGAAGCGCCACCAGCGATCATCTCGATCTTCCTGGGAGATATGCTCGAGGATCTGATCGACCAGATCGCGAAGGGCGCGACGAGCCGAACACTGAAAGGCGGGAGCTTGGATCTCGGAGCTCGCACGCTCCCAGAACTGACGCGTGACTCAGGTGATCGGAACCGGACCTCGCCGTTCGCGTTTATCGGGAACCGGTTCGAGTTCCGTGCGGTTGGTTCGAGCGCCTCAGTCGCTTGGCCCAACACCATCATCAACACGATCGTCGCGGAATCACTCGATTACATCGCGACACAGATCGAGAAATCCGTCAAGAAGAACTCGACACAGACACAAACCGAGACCGCGATCCGCAAAGTCCTTCAGCAAGTCATCAAGGATCACCGCGACATCGTGTTCAACGGCGACAACTACACCGAGGAATGGCAAGACGAAGCCGAGAAGCGTGGGCTCCCAAACCTCAAGACTACTGCGGACACACTCCCTGTCTTCAAGAAGCGTTCCGTCGCGTCGATGTTCAAGAAGTACAAGGTGCTCACGAAGCCCGAGCTTGAGAGCCGTGCGGAGATCTTCGCGGAGCAGTATGTCACACAGATCGGGATCGAGACCCACCAGATGCTCTCGATCGCACGAACACAGATCCTCCCAGCATGTCTGGAGTATCAACGCCGAGTGGCGCTCACGATGACCCAGACAGAAGCGGCAGGTTCAGATTCCGCATTCCTTGGATCAACACTCGATCTCATTACTGAGCGAGTGCATCGTCTGACCCAAGCGATCGAGCAGCTGAAGAATCATGTCGGATTCCGCAATCTGGATCCATTCGACGCGAGTTTCTACATCAGAGATCATGTACTCGATGCAATGCATGAACTCCGGGAAGCTTCAGACGATCTGGAACGAATGGTCGACCATGAGCTTTGGCCACTCCCGGCGTACAGCGAGATGCTAACCATTCGATAAAGAGTCACAATCCAATCCCGATCAGAAACCGGATGTCGTCACTCCGGTTTCTTTTTCATGGTCGGTAGAAAGACCCAAGATTTATGCAATATTCGGCATAAATTGCCTAACTCAACACTGGGATGTGTGATCAGTACAGAGAAACCCACATTTCGTCTGAGTGTTCTTGCCTAGTCGCCGAGCGAGTAGATGTGCAATCAAAGTCTTCGATTCTCTTTCGAGCGGCACCCAAAAGGAGCAAGAACAATGCGGCTGACAATCTCTAAAAAAGTATGGCTTGGCGTAGGAACGATGATGGCGATTACCGCGGTAGTCGTGGTCGCTGTCTACGCGAACATCGTTCAAATGAACGCGGTTCAAACCAGGGTTGTTGAGCAACGAACCCCAGCCGCAATTGGTGGGGTAGAACTCCGAAACGGCATCAATCACTCACTCGCGGCGCTGCGTGGATACATGATTCTTGGAACAGAGAAATGGAAAGATGAACGCAGCAAAGCATGGGAATCGATCGATCAGAATATGGATGTCATGCGAGAGCTTTCCCTCGGATGGGATGACCTTGCACAGCGAACCGCGTTCCAGGACTTTGAGCAGGTCATGGCAGAGTTCCGTGTTGCTCAAGAGCAGGTCGAGCGTGTTGCCAATACACGCGAAGAACAGCCCGCAACTGTGATTCTGATCGAGCAAGCCGCACCACTCGGATCAGCGATGTTTGTATCGATATCGGAGATGATTGATATCGAGAAAACCCTCGAAGCAACCCCAGAACGCAAGGCACTCCTTGCCGTGATGGCCGATAGCCGCGGAAGTCTTGGTGGAGGGCTCGCCGCGATCCGTGGATTCTTGCTTAGCGGAGACCAAGCGTTCGCCGACGAGTTTCTGAAGAAATGGCAGATCAATACCGCTCGATTCGCGACTCTTCAAGATCAGACTGAACTCCTCAACGCTGATCAGCAAGCCGCGTTCGCTCGATACTCGGAAGCACGCGCCCAGTTTGATCCACTTCCCGAGCAAATGATCGGCATCCGCAACTCGGACGAGTGGAATGTTGCCAACACGCTGCTCGCGACCGAGGCGGCGCCGCGTGCTATCAAAGCACACGCAATCCTCGACTCGATCATCGACAGCCAACTGAGCAGCTTGGAGGCCGATGCTTCAGCAATGGTCTCGAAGGGGGCATTTACGATCCAAACAGTATTGGTGCTGGGGATCGCAGGATGTGCACTCGGATGCTTCGTGTCAATCATGCTCGTTAGATTGATCACCAAGCCACTGGGTATGCTGATCTCAAGCTTCGAGAGGATCTCAACTGGGGATCTTACTGTGCGAGTTGACGAGACTCGACGAGATGAGATTGGTCAGCTGGGTCATGGATTCAACATCTTCATTGATTCACTCTCAGACATGGTCGGGGAAATCCGTGGAACATCGCAAGCGGTAGCGTCCGCATCGACTGAGATTGCTGCATCCGCAGAGGAGATGGCAAGCGGCCTCCAATCCCAAGAGCAGCAGACGCAACAGGTCGCTGCAGCAGTCGAAGAACTCTCCCAGTCGGTGAATGAGGTTGCTGCGAAGTCAGCAGACGCAACGGCTGCCTCAGAAGAGAGTCAGCATCATGCCGAGCAAGGCGGACAGATAGTGAGCTCAACGGTCACTGAAATGGAAGGCATCGCACGCGAAGTGCAAGGCAGCGCCCAAACCATCAACACACTCGGTGAGAAGAGCAAAACAATCGGTGAGATCATCTCTGTGATCAATGACATCGCAGACCAAACCAACCTCCTCGCACTCAATGCGGCGATCGAAGCCGCTCGAGCTGGAGAGCACGGGCGTGGATTCGCGGTTGTCGCTGATGAAGTCCGCAAGCTTGCAGAGCGTACCACAATCGCTACTGAAGAAGTCTCACAATCGATCAGAGGTATTCAGACAGAAACCGCTTCCGCTGTGGACCTCATCGAAGCAGGTTCGCAACGTGTCGGTAATGGTGTGAAGCTCGCTACACAAGCAGGGACCGCTCTAGGATCCATCGTGAGTGGGTCAATGAGTGTGCAGTCCATGGTTCAGGACATCGCAGCGGCAGCAAATGAGCAGTCTGCCGCGACTGGTGAGATCGCACGAGCCGTTGAAGGTATCAACTCAGTAACGCGTCAGTCCGCTGAAGGGGCATCCCAGTCGGCATTGGCCGCGAGTGATCTTTCACATCAAGCCGATCAACTCCAAGAGCTCGTCAATCGATTCAAACTCGATTAATCGAGATCACGAGTTCAATTCAACAGTGGCTCCGGAGTAATTTCTCCGGAGCTTTTTTGTGGATTCAATCTTCTGTTAAGCACAGAACTGTGGAATCCCATCAGAGAAATGGGGATACGAAGGAAGCCAAATATCGAAATCTCAATGTTCTGAGTGAGCAATGGGAAAGACATCGGTTGTGAGGCGTCGATCGGATCATGCGTGCCGCGAAGTGATCGTGGCGAAGTCCACATTTGACTCCAACGCAGGATTCCGAGCATGAATGACCAATCCAAACAAGAAAAGCGTGCTCTTGGTCTGACCACCAAGATCATCGGTGCAACCTTTGCGATCATGATTCTGGTGGTTGCTGTGAACTATGTCGTATTCCTGAACGGATATCGAACTGATGCACAAGCCGCGATGATGGATCGAGCTTCAGCCTTTACAGCTGTAGCGGACGAAGCAAAGACGGATGCATCGGAGAAGTTTATCAATGGAGAAGTGAATGTTGACAAGCTTCTCGATGATGCATTCGAGATCATGGACTCTGGAGGACACTATGCGGATACGCGTTACTTCGCCTCCATTCCTGTCGTCGTCGGCTGGAATACCGGATTGAAAGCCGCTGCGAAAGAGGGGATGGATTTCACAGTGGTTTCACTCGAAGCACGGAATCCGGACAATGCCCCGAAGACCGCGTTCCAGAATGAGATGATTCGTGATCTCACTGATCAGTACGATTCGACAGGCGAAACTGTGCTTGGTCGCATCAATGAAGAAACCAATACGATGCACTACATGCGAGCGATCACACTCGACGAGTCATGCATGTCGTGTCATGGAGATCCGGCAAAGTACGACGAGCGTGATGAAGAAGGCAACTTTGACGGAAAGGATGCGCTCGGATTCCGTTATGAGAACTGGCCGGTAGGGTACATGCACGGCGCCTACGAAGTCCAAATGCCTCTGGAAATCGTGGATGCACAGGTCGGTGGGTTCTTCAAAAAAGGCATGCTCTTTACACTCCCGTTCATCGTGATCGGTGGATTTGGACTGGCATTCTTGCTGCGTCAGATGCTCTCGAAGCCGCTCAATGCAACCATCGCGATGGTCAAAGATATCGCGACGGGAGACGGTGACCTGACGAAAAGACTGGATATCAAGCGTCAAGACGAGATCGGAAAGCTCGGCCACTGGTTTGACCTGTTCATGGGCAATCTGCACTCCATCATCTCTCAGCTGAGCAACACATCGCAAGCGGTTGCGTCCGCATCAACTCAGATCGCCGCGTCCGCAGAGGAAATGGCGGTCGGACTTCAGACTCAGGAGCAGCAAACACAGCAGGTCGCCGCGGCGGTTGAGGAGCTCTCCCAGTCAGTAAATGAAGTAGCCGCGAAATCGTCTGACGCCACCTCAGCGTCTGCAGACAGTCAGCACCAAGCGGAAGAAGGCGGTGCAATCGTCAGCTCCACAGTCGAAGAAATGCAAGGCATCGCTCGCGAAGTCCAAGGCAGCGCCGAGACCATCAACACCCTGGGTCAGAAGAGCGAGACGATTGGTGAGATCATCGCGGTCATCAACGACATCGCAGATCAGACCAATCTGCTCGCTCTGAACGCAGCGATCGAGGCAGCTCGAGCAGGAGAGCACGGGCGTGGATTTGCTGTGGTTGCTGATGAGGTCCGTAAGCTCGCAGAGCGGACCACGGAAGCGACAAAGGAAGTCTCCCAGTCCATCCTTGGGATCCAGACTGAAACTTCTTCTGCTGTCCAACTGATCGAAGCGGGATCGCAGCGAGTCGGAAAGGGTGTCGAACTCGCGACACAAGCTGGAACTGCTCTGGAGTCCATCGTTGGAGGCTCAAAGAGCGTACAAGGCATGGTCCAAGACATTGCTGCAGCCGCCAATGAGCAGTCCGCAGCGACGGGCGAGATTGCCAGGGCTGTCGAGGGGATCAACTCCGTCACGCGTCAATCTTCGGAGGGAGCTTCTCAAGCTGCTCAAGCCGCGAGCGATCTGGCGCACCAAGCGGAGCAGCTCCAAGGTCTGGTGGGTCGCTTTATTCTCTAGTCTCAAGCACGAGTGGTGTCGTGTGCGTCATCCGCAGTCGAATCCCAATGTTGGGGATCGGCTGCGGGTGTTTTTTTGAATCCTGTTTGGGGAGGATTTTAGAGCAAATCGACGAAAAAACCTCTCAAATAGAGAGGTTTGAAGCACGGGCGGAAGGATTCGAACCCTCAACCTCCTGATCCGTAGTCAGGTGCTCTATCCAGTTGAGCTACGCCCGCATCAGCTCTTGCTGAGCGGAGAGTAGGGTAAGCACATATTCGGGATTTGGCAAGTTGATTCCCAATTCAGGCTTGATTTCTTTTCTCTCCGAGGGAACAATGTCAGCCCGGCGTGGGGTTCTGCGTCGGATCTTATGAATAGGCACAAGTGCCGAAGGATGAAGACTGTATGGCTCACTCGAACTCCGCAAAGAAGCGTATCCGTCAGAACATGAAGCGTCGTGCTCTCAACCGCTGGCGTCTCCGCACTATGCGTACCGCTATCAAAGATTTCGACGAGAGCATCGCAGGTAACGGCGATGCAACCGCGGCATACCGCAAGGCAGCAGCGATCGTAGATCGGACCGCTCAGAAGGGTGTCATCCATAAAAATCAAGCCGCTCGTCGCAAGAGCCGGATGAATGCTCGACTCAAAGCTCACGCTTCCTGAGCTTCGAGAATTCTCACAGAAACTCCACGAAACCCGACCCTCGCGGTCGGGTTTTTCTATCATGGACTACTGAGGTTCTTCAGTAGAGCCGCTGTGTAGTTGAGGGACAGCTAAAGCAATGTCATCGTCAGAGAAACGAGCATCCAAGATGCTCCCCAACCAAGCCGGGACCAGCAGTGATCGGCCCATCTTGGCGCGGGACAGCTACTTCTCTATATCAATGCGCCCACTCCCGATGTTGCTGTTTCTGCTCCCCATCATTGTGATGTATGAGCTTGGATCGATGGGGGTTTTCGGCCCAGTTGGTAACTCGCTCGAAGCACATCAAATGCTGGTTCGTTTCTTCAATGTGTTTGGTGCTGCCGGACTTCATCTCCCAGCTCTGGCGCTGGTGACCATGTTGCTCATACAACATGTGTTGAGTAAAGATCCGCTTCGATTCTCAGTCGGGGTCTGGCTCAAAATGATCGCTGAATCTGCGTTTCTCACAGGCCCATTGATCGTGATGGTCATGCTGCTCAAGCCGATGGGGGTGGGTGGGGGTGAGATGGTCATCCAAGCCGCACCAGTTGAGGGGTCGCAGGCGAGTATGGTCATGCTCGCATTCGGAGCATCGTTGTACGAAGAGATGCTATTCCGATTAGTATTGATCACGATGATCCATTTCCTGGTCTCCGATGTGCTCGGATTCAGCGAGACCAAAGGATTTATTGCTGGCTTGATCCTCTCCTCATTGGTATTCGCTTGGCATCACGATCAGATTTTTATGCTCGACGGATCGATCAATTTCAAGCTCGCATTCTTCTACTTTCTCGCCGGGATGTACTTCGGATTGCTGTTTCTGATGCGTGGGCTGGGAATCGCGGTGGGTGTGCACCTGTTTTATGACCTCTTGGTGCTGGTCATCATCCCGTCGTTTGAGCAAGGGTCCTGATAATAGATCTGTGATTGATTCAGATGACTGCATTTGACGGCTGAGCAGACTTGACGCACGCGAATCGAGGAATACAGTACCCTCTGTTCCGTGCGGCCCCATCGTCTAGCCAGGTCCAGGACACCAGGTTTTCATCCTGGTAACGCGGGTTCAAATCCCGCTGGGGTCACTTTCAATATTGAACAGCATGCTTCACCCGTCGAGCTCAGCTCCGCGGGTGATTCGCTTTTTAGCGGGGTGTAGGCCGCTTATTGGGACCTATGCGATCAGTATAAACACCTATTTGATCTCCGACTGAATAGCGGTCTCTGACCAGCCGATACCTGACTCAGGAGATCTCGGTATGCCGTGTTACGATCAATCGCATTTTTCGCTTGATGTCACTGACTCTGATGATGTTGAGCTCATTGAACTTTTTCTCGCTGAACTTCCGAATCGTGTGCAATCGCTGAACCAAGCCGCGGATTCGGGTGATTTCGCACACATGAATCGTTTAGCTCATCAGCTCAAGGGCGCAGCTCCTGGATTCGGATTCGACTCCATCGGGAATGCTGCTGCGTTGCTCGAAGAGCGTCTCAAAACAAGTAATCTTGAGATGATCGAGCTTGACCATATCCGTGATGAGTTCGAAACACTCATCGAACAGTTCAAAGTCTATCAGAGATACATCGAACCCTGAGCTACGCACTGTGTTTGTTGTGAGCAACCGAAGCACTCGAACTCGAAACTTTCATGCCTGAAACCCACGAAGCACATCATGACCACTCACCGGTTGTCTTGCTCATAGACGACTCGGAGTTTGTGCATCGTCTCCTCAAGGCGCGACTCAAATCTGAGTCAATCCACATCGTGAGCGAGTTCGATGGGCGCAGTGGGATAAATCGTGCAGTTTCAGATCTCCCCTCACTGATTCTCCTTGACCTCGATATGCCTGGGATGGACGGCTTCGAAACTCTCAGAGAGTTGAAGGAAGATCCGACTACTCGAAATACCCCAGTAATCATCCTGTCTGGACAAGACACAACTCAAGACAAGGTGACGGCCTTTGACCTAGGTGCCGTGGACTTTGTTCCAAAGCCCTTCGAACTGACAGAGCTGAGAGCACGGATTCGTAGCTCACTGCGGATCTCATACCTATTGAGCATGCTGGAGCAGAAAGCACAGATTGACGGGCTCTCTGGACTCTACAACCGTTCATATTTCGACAATCGATGGGAAGAGGAATACGAGCGTTGCATGAGACAAGCGAGCGGTCTGTCGCTCGCGGTGCTCGACATCGATCATTTCAAGTCGATCAACGACACCTTTGGTCATCCAGCGGGTGACGCGGTGATTACAGGGCTCTCCAATATCATTCAGGATCATGTCCGCAAGTGCGACATCGCGTGTCGATATGGTGGGGAAGAGTTCGCGCTCATTCTGCCGGATACGCATCCAAGTCAAGCGAAGTTGCTCTGCGAACGGATCCGGACGGAAATAGAGAACACAGTATGGAATCGGCATCCAGATCGGAAGATCACCATCTCGATCGGGATCGCGGGATGCACCGATGGTCCAACAATTCAGCCGAACAAATGGATCGAGCAAGCGGATGCGAACCTGTATAAGGCCAAGAACTCGGGAAGAAACAAGACGATCTCGAGTATGACCGATGGCTTGGTGAATCCGCTGGATAAAGCCGGTTGAGCATCCGATTGGCTACAATCTTCGGATGAGCCAGTCACGCAATGAACATTCAGACAAACTCGATCAACTAGAAGAAACACTGGGTTTTTTGGAACTCCAGAATGGTCGTTCGCAGGAACAGTTCGACGAGTTGAGCAAAGCGGTGCACGAACTGGGTAAGCGGATGCAACGATTGGAATCCCGTTTGGTTGACCTCAATGATCGACTGGAATCGCAAGATCCAGGCTTAGTACCTCCCCCACACAGCGCTGGACCTGACATTCCTAGAGATCCGCTTTGAGATCTGTGCGTATACTTACGCATGCTGAATCGTAAATCAACTCAAACTTATGCTGCTCGTTCACGCGTGCTCGTTTGCGGGATCTGTGTGTGTTCGATCGTGCTGATGTCGGGATGCCGAGATCTGCAGAAACGCCGTGTCGAAGTGAATCAGACCAGCGGTGCGGACCCTGAACTTCAGGAGCGTTTCGGACTCACGGCTGATGCGCAGGATCCCAGCGAGCGTGACAAAGAACTCGGGTATGGTCGTTGGAGAACGAAGCCTGAGACGGAGGGGACCGCGTCTCCAAACTCCCCGGCAAGGCGTCAGAATATCGGTGGAAATCCGGATTGATGCGTCCAAGCTCCACTTGTGGTACCGTATGTCTTACGGATCGAGATTTGAGACGGAGTTGATATGAGTGAACTCGCGGATCGTTACAATGAGGTCAAGGATCGGATTGCGAAAGCCGCTATCCGTTCGGGAAGGTCGCCTGAGTCGGTCTATCTGATCGCGGTGACCAAGTACGCCGAGCCTGAGGACATCCGGGAACTGATCGAACTGGGACACAGGGACTTCGGTGAGAATCGTGTTCAGCAGCTTGCTCAACGAGCGGGAGTGATTGACGAATGGTTCCAGAGGATCAAGACTCTCCCAAGGACTTCTACGGACGCGAGTCAGGTTGATGTTGATGATCCTGTTCGATGGCACATGATCGGACACCTGCAACGCAACAAAGCGCGCAAGATCGCGGACTGTACTCGTCTGATTCATTCAGTGGACTCGCTCCGTCTAGCAGAGGAACTGCAGACTGTCGCAAACAAGCTTGATCAAGTGCTTGATGTGCTCATCCAGGTCAATGTATCTGGGGAGGACAGCAAGTTTGGGCTCCCGATTGCTGCTCTGGGTGCAATTGCTGAGCAGATTGACACGATGATCAATGTGCGTGTGCGTGGACTGATGACCATGGCGCCGCTTACGGAGAATCCCGAAGACTCCAGGGTTCACTTTGCTCGCTGCAAGGAGATCTTTGATGATCTGGTCAAGATCGGGGTGGGGGAGAAGCACTTCAACCTGCTCTCGATGGGAATGTCCAACGATTTCGAGGTCGCGATCGAAGAGGGCGCGAATCTCGTGCGTGTGGGATCGGCGATCTTCGGGACCCACGATCCCGATCAGGATCTTGAGCATGCAGTCGATGCGGCACACCAATCCTGAGGATTCAGGATCGAGATTTGTTCAACCGATTAAGTGATTACGCGCGGAGTGATTCGCCGACGAGCATTGCAAGAGCACCGTTGGGTTTGCGAATTTGGACCATCTGTGCTTGGAGATGTCGTCCGGGGCACGCGGTTCTTCTGAGCTCTTGGTGTGTGTAGACACGATGGATGGGGATATTAAATCGACGCATCTCGTGAGCGATTAGCTGATTGAGCGTCTCGAGCGCTTTGGGGGTTGGGCGGGATTTTTCGTAGTTCCCAAACATGACGATCCCGATGTTCCCAGGATTATTTTCCTTGACATGCGCGCCTTGGTAGACCAGCGGTCGAGCTTGCCACGCTCTTCCTGCTGGATCGATCGCGTAGTGGTATCCGATGTCCGCCCATTTATTGGAGAGGTGACCACGGCGGATTGCTGAGAGTCGGCGGACCGAATCCGCATAGCGTCCCGATGGGATCGGACTGATCGCGTCGTGGTGGATGGTGATGCGATTGATGTTTCGCATCGGATCCGCGAGTCTGGAGATGGTGCCTGAGGTGGTCCACTTGTTTCGTGGGATCACGAATCGTGGAAGCGTGGCCAGATCGCGTGACGCGGTGGAAGTGCTTGATGGGCCGCCTGCGGTGTAGACCGGAGCGGGGGAGTGAGCGGCGATGATGGGATCTTCAGGGATGGGCTGACCGATCAAATTTCGAGACCGATCGGCACGCTTTGGAGAGCTATTGCAGCCCGTGAGTCCTGAGACGAGTCCGGCGAGCGCAAGAAGTGATCCTGCGCGTGCTCCGAGATGGAGAACCTCCCGTCTGCTGGCCGAAGAAGACTGTGCTGGATTTTCCATGGCATACCTCGATTTTCGGATGATCGATCCTGTCTAGTTCTTCGGTCAGATACACGGATCTGGTACAATGCTAACGATCCAATTCACTTTATGCAAGGCGGGCATGGGTGAGCATCCAGTTCTGGAGGTCCTTCGGGTCCGGGTCGATGTGATTTCTACATTGGGGAGGTGGCATGATGGCCATCAGACGAGCATTATTATGCGGACTGTTGATGCTGTTCTCGAGCATCAGCTTCGGGAAAGCCGATGCGGACATGGGAGCCGAGGAAGCGATGGCGCAGTACCATGCGGCCCAAGCGGCGCATGTATTGGCGCTTGAGCAACTCCGAATCGCTGAAGCTAATCTAGAGCGTGCGACCGCCCAAGCGATCGCTCTTGGTTTGATTGCTGATCCTGATCAGCCTGAGACTCCCCCTGCGGCTCCTCCTCCATCTCAAGATCCGAAGCCGGACCCGAAACCTGAACCCAAACCACAGCCCAAGCCTGAACCGAAACCTGTTCCACCACCTGAAGAGGTGAAGAAAAAGGACGAAGGACCGTCATTCTGGAAAGACTGGAAGCGATCTGTGCGAGTGGGATTCAATACCTCGTCGGGGAATACTGAGAATACAAACCTCAACCTCCAGTTCCACACCAAACGCCGTTCCAAGAAATACCTCACAAAGCTAGATACTGAGTACCGATTCGCGACGCGGAACGGTGTCGATTCTCAGAATCGACTCGATATCGACTTCCGGCATGAGTGGCTCGCTCCAGAAGGGAGCAAGATCGGATGGTGGACCACAGCCAGCGCGGAGTTTGATGAGTTCCAAGACTGGGACTACAGACTCTCAGCACACGGCGGAATCAGCTATCAGTTCATCAAGAATGACAAGACGAACTTCAAAGGCCGAACCGGTTTCGGTGGCTCGCAGACATTCGGTGGAACTCAAGACGACTTCCGACCAGAAGCTCTGGTCACTGGTCTGGATCTGCGGCACCGATTCAATGAGGTCATGAATGTCGAGGCGGGAATGGAGTACTTCGTCGATGTCTCGGAGGTTTCGCGTGATCGTCTCAATAATCATGTCAAGTGGAACATCCTCCTCGATAAAGAGAGCAACATGAACCTCCAGTTCAAGCTCACACATCGTTACGATTCAGAACCCGGCGGGCGGAAAGACAACAATGATGTGTATTTCGATATCACAGTTGGTTGGCAGTTCTAGACTACCATCACAACATATCAGTTGATCTCGCAACAGACCGGAGCACGAGACTATGCAAGACGCGACCGACGCGATCGAACAAGTAAACGAGACTGCACAAGCTGCGGACTCCAACAGTGGAGTCCAAGAAGGATTCGGAGATTTGGTATCCCGGCTCTCTGAGGGTGATGTCAGCAACGACACCTGGGTTCTTGCTTGGGAGACGATCGGTCAGCCTGTGCTGCTCGCGATCTTTCTTATCATCGCTGTGTTCATCGCTGCTGGATGGGCTCGCAAGCTTGTAGGAAAGGCAGTCCGCAAAGCCAATGTTGAGGAAACACTCGCTCGATTCCTCTCCAATATGGCGCGCTATATCGTACTGATAGCCGGCGGCGTTGCGATCCTTGGGACCCTCGGCATCGAGACCGCGAGCTTCGCGGCGGTCCTCGCAGCCGTCGGCTTTGCGATCGGTATGGCGATGTCCGGCATGCTCGGCAACATCGCAGCGGGGATCATGCTGCTGCTCTTCCGTCCGTTCAAGGTGGGTGATGTGGTCGATGCTGGGGGGGTGACGGGCAAGGTCTTTGAGATCGGGTTGTTCACGACGGTCTTTGATACGCCGGACAATCGTCGCATCATCGTCCCGAACAACTCGATCTTCGGCGACAACATCGAGAACGTCTCGTTCCACAGCACTCGTCGCGTCAATGTCGTGGTCGGGACTGACTACGGCGCGGACATTGACAAGGCGCGTGAGGTGCTTCTGGAAGCCGCGAAGAACTCGCCCAATGTCCTCGAGGACCCCGCTCCAGCGGTTGTGCTGACTGGATTGGGTGGTTCGTCCATCGATTGGGACGTCCGCGTGTGGGTGAAAGCCGAGGATTTCTGGGGCGTTCAAGATCGCTTAACTCGCGACGTGAAGTACGCGCTGGACAACGCTGAGATCGGCATCCCGTTCCCGCAGATGGATGTCCATATCGACGGGAAAGTCGCTCAGTCCTGAGCGGTTTCTTTCCGGATCCGATCAAGCCATTTGCACCAGATCGAGAGCACCAGCAGCATATAGAGCCGCTGGGAGTGGTCGCGTCCGCGCCAAGGATTGATCGATTTCTCCCCGGCCGCGTCGTGCTCCTTGAGCATCTGCTCGACGAACTTCATGTTGATTTGGACGCCCGATTCTTCGAGTCCTGGGAATGGGTTCGATGAGCGGAGGTGGTCGAGGAGGAGCTGACGCATGTCGCCGTAGTCGGTGCGGAACCATTCCCCGATCGGGATCGCGAAGCCTTGCTTGGGTCGATCGACGATGTGGTCGGGGAGGTATTTACGGGCGACTTGTTTGAGGAGGCCTTTGCGTTCGCCGTTGGGCATGAGGGTGTTGAGCGGAGTCCGCATCGCGGCTTCGACAAGATCGCGTGCGAGGAACGGGGCGCGGACTTCAAGACCAACCGCCATGGACGCGGTGTCGGTCTTGCGGAGCAGGTCGTCGGGGAGGTAGTGGGTAAAGTCGTATCGGAGTGGGTCGTCGATTCGTACAAAGCGATCGAACCTAGAAGAAAAGTCATTGGTTATGTGTACGAGCTTGTTCAGATCAGGAGTCGGGAAGATCGCGAGAAGTTCGCTATACCCGCCGTAGCGAGCAGCGGTGGCAAGGCGTGCGAGGTAGGTGGTCTTGCTTCCGGGATGCCGTTGATCAAGCAGCGAGGTGGGGATGAACTTGAGCATGTGATGCCAGCGGTTGAGCATCGGCGCGATGGTGTGTCTGCGGTATCCGCCGAAGAGTTCGTCGCCGCCGTCTCCAGAGAGCGCGACCTTGATGTGCTCGCGAGCGGCTTTCGAGACCCAGTAGGTCGGGAGCAGCGAGCTATCACCAAACGGGAGTCCGAGATGCTCGATCAGTTTGATGAGGTCCTGAGCAGGGTTCAGCTCGCAATCGAGTGTCGTGTGATCAGTGCCGATGGTTTCTGCTGTCTCTTGGGCAGCGACAGATTCGTCGTGCCGATCGTCGGGCATGCGGACGGTGAAGGTTTTGATGTCCGGGCGTTCTTGATGAGCGATCGCGGCGATGAGTGCGGAGTCGATCCCGCCTGAGAGGAACACGCCGAGTGGGACATCGGATTCGAGACGGGAACACACTGCTTCTGTTATGTAGGTACTTGCAACATCAGCCTTAGGCCAGAAGCGTTTGGGATGATGTTCTACACGGGCTGGTAAAGTCAATAAGCGGCTAAGTCTTCTTGTATGTGGAGTGGTTGTTGTGCCACCCAGCCTTGGCTGACTCGGCATGGCTAACCATTCGCTTGGCTTTGTATATGCAGCACAATCTTCTGTTGCTGGGTATCTCCAATATCCATTGGTAATGTATTCTGGTAAAGCATCAATCCATACTGGATCGCCAATGTTGTTGGCATGTTTCACAAGCGTGACCAGTCCGGAACATGTGCTGTTGAATGCAATCGTGCGTGGTGTGTTCGCCTGATTCGGATATGCTGAATAGATAGGCTTCTCGCCTACGAAGTCACGGCCATGAACAAGTTGTCCTGTTGATCCGTTCCAAATCATGGCCGCATACATGCCATCAATTTGGTCGTTTATATATAGCTTCCATTCCCGCCACCCATGCACCAGCACCTCCGTATCCGAGTGGTCCGTCTCAAACACATGCCCCGCGGCTTCGAGCTCACTCCGCAACTCCCGATGGTTGTAAATACACCCATTGAACACCACCGCAACCACCGGCTTCTCCGGCTCAACCTCGCTCGCAATAATCGGGGGCTCGCCGGGCTGGTAGGTCAGGTCGGGGCGGAGGTGCTCGCCGTCGTGGACCATGGGTTGGGAGCCGCCCTCGTGGTCGATGATGCTGAGGCGCCGATGGACGAGCGCGACATCGACGATGGTGCCGTCGTCGCGTGTTGCTCGATCGCGGAAGCGTCCCTGGCCGTCGGGGCCTCGGTGTTTGATGGAGTCGTCAAGAATATCGAGCCATGCTTCGGGGATCGCTTCGAGGTGCGGCGGGGGTGTGCCGTCCTTGGGGTCGTGGATCTTGATGACACCCGCGATGCCGCACATTAGAGGGTGACCTCATCGGTCTCATTGGATTCGCTGGCTTGTTGTTTTTGTTGCTCGGCTTCATTGCTCAGATCGCGTCCGATCTGGAAATCGTCGTCGATCATGAAATCCACGGTGTCCTTGAAAGTCCCGGATCGGTATCCCCAGAAAGTGTGGATGATGCGTGTGGTGATGATGGCGCTGACAAACGCGATGACGAACGCCCACGAGTGGGGGATATCAGCAAACTTCTGCAGCGCCCACATCCCGCCGGGACCGATGATGATGAAGATCGGCACCAGCGCCATACGCTCTGCTTGGATGCGTGTCGCGTCATGCACAAACTGTCTGCTCTTTGGGCGTTTCTTTTGTTCTGGGTGATGCCCGTGTGGGTTCCAGTGGTTCGCAATCCAGTGAAGCAAGTAGTAGAGGCTCACATCGATTACGGTGTCAATCAAATATGCCACTGCAGCGATGAGTAGTTTGTGTTCTGTGCCAATCCAGTTGCCAACGAACATGACAGGGATCTTCGCGAGTGCGATTGCGAGGAATCCAGCAGCAAGGATATTGAGATTGATGTTGACGACCCTTTTGCGCTGGTAGAACTTGAACACGCGTTTGGGCATCGCTCATGAACCTCAATGGGTGCGATTGATGACCGCGTCTGCGATCAGTTCCAGCATCGGTCGACCAGGTCCCTCTGGGATCTGATTCAGTCGTGCTTTGGCGCGATCCACATAGGATTGTGCCATCTGCTGTGTTGCGGCAATTGAGCTGGTTTCACTCAGCAACTCAATCAGTTTCGGCAGACCGGATTGATCGCCTTGAGCTGCATTTTGAATCAGTCCGAGTGATTCATTGCGAATCTCGTCGGAGGCGTTTGCGAGGTGGTGGATGATCGGAAAGGTGAGTTTCCCTTTATCCAAGTCGCGTCCAACAGATTTGCCGACCGTTTCGAGAGTTCCCGTGAGATCGAGCACATCATCCTGTATCTGGAAGGCGACGCCGAGATCGCTGCCGAAGCCTTTGAGCGCTTGCGTGATTGGATTTTTTTGCTGATCAAATCCGAGTGTGCACAGCGCGCCGAGTTCGCAGGAGGCGCCGATCAATGCCGCGGTTTTGCGTTCAAGAATCTGGAAGTAGGTTTTCTCATCGAGCTCGAAGTTATTTCGATTGTGGAGTTGGAGCAGTTCGCCGGTACACATGATCGCGGAAGCTTCCCCCACGATGCGGCTTGGGATTGGGGAGTCGAGTGAAGAGCAGAGTTCGTACGCACTCGCGATGAGGTAGTCTCCGAGAATGACGGAAGTCTCGTTCCCCTTCATCGCGTTGATGGTCTTTCCGCGTCTGCGGATTTCCGCTTCGTCGAGCACGTCGTCGTGAACGAGGGTCGCCATGTGGACCATCTCGCAGACGGCGCTGCAAGTGATGTGGGCATCACTGATCATCGAATCGAGTGAGTCGCTCCGCAGCATGGGATCAAGATCTGATCGAGAAGCGGCTCCGCAGAGCAGAACAAGCATCGGACGGAGCATCTTGCCGCGATATCGCTCAACATGCTCGCACATCTGATCGACAGGAGCGAGATCTGAGACGAGTTGAGTTGCGAAGACCTCTTCGACGCGTTCGAATCCAGAAGCGACGGCCTCTTGGAGTCGCTGAAGTTCTTCCGGGATATCAAGCACGCCTTGCATCATTGGATTCTAGTGATACAGCTTTCAGTTTGCTTAGTCGTACGCGACGATGTAGGAGATGAACGCGGGATCTGCGGCTCCTTCAAGGGTTGGTTCGTATTCGCCGTTGCCGTCCCCGTCTTCGTCTTCGCCTTCCCAGTAGACGACAACATTTGCGAATCCTGCCTCAGAAAGCAGCTCGCGAAGCTCGACCATTGTCCAGAGGCGCCAGTTGTAAGTAAACGCGTTCTTGATCTTGGTCTTGTCAGGGAACTTGAAGTGGATATGGCACTTCATGTCGCCGGTGATTGGGTTGTATGACGCTTGTTCCCAAACATAAGTGAATCGCTTCCCAGGACCCTCGTCAATGTCTTTCTCTTCCTTGGTTTCGGTCATCGTTTCCGAACCGCCGTAGTGATCGAGGAAGAACACGCCGTCGTCGCCCAGCGACTCGCGAACGGTTTTGAAATAGTTGCGGAGTTCGTCGCGAGTCTTAAATAGCCAGTATGAGAAGTTCATCGCGAGTACACAGTCGATGCCTGTCGCGTCTGCTGGTTCCAGGACGTTGCGGTTGAGCAGATGAACGCGTGAACGCTGGTCATCAGTGAGTCCCGCGAGGTGGTGCTCAGCGCCCCAATCGAGTGTGGGTTGGTCGATATCGAGACCGATCGCGGTGTTATCGTCTCTGCGCTTGATCCACTCGGTGGAGGTGTTTCCCGTGCCACAGAAATCTTCTCTGAGGGACTTGGCTTTGCGGCCACGGATCTTTTCAAACTCTTCATCAATGAAATCGATCTCTGCTTCGACATTCTGAACAGAGAGTTGGTAGAGCTCGTGCTTGCTGACTGTGGATGCTGACCACGCGCCGGATTGCTCCGCCTTCTTCGCGGCTTTCTGGTCGAGTTTGGCTTTTCGGCCTGATTTTCGCTCTTTGGTTTCCACGCTCATCCGAACCCTCGCTCGTGTAGGTCGTACAACTGCTTTGGTCCGAGAATCGGACCCGTATGGATCGTAGTGATCGATGTGGGGATTGTCTCGCTGAGGGCATGATTCTCCGCGAATCAACAGGCAACTATCCCGATTCATTGGGTCTACACTGCCAGTCCAAACTGTTCAAATGAAGGGAACACTGGAATGCATCTGACCATGGTTGGAACCGGATATGTGGGACTCGTCACAGGCGTCTGCTTTGCCAATACGGGCAATGATGTCACCTGTCTTGATGTGGACCCTGAGAAGATTGAGAAGCTCGAGAAGGACATCTGTCCGATCTACGAGCCCGGCTTGACCGACCTGATGATCAAGAATCGTCAATCTGGCCGTCTGACCTACACGCTGGACAAGAAGGCCGCGTACCAGTCAGCGGACATGATCTTTATCTGTGTCGGAACTCCGTCAGACGATAAGGGGCATACCGATATGTCCTACATCGATGGCGCGGCGGAAGACATCGGTCATGCGATTAAAGAACTGGGGCCGGACCAGAAACCCAAGGTTGTTGTCGTCAAGTCCACTGTCCCAGTAGGCACGACATTCCGTGTTCGTGATCGGATCAAGTCGATCGTTGGAGACATCCCTTTCCATGTCGCGGACAACCCCGAGTTCCTCAAGGAAGGCGACGCGGTCAACGACTTCAACAAGCCCGATCGTGTGGTCGTAGGTGTGGAATCCGACGAGGTCGGCGAGATGTTCCGCGATCTGTACGACCCGTTCGTTCGCAATGGACATCCGATCTTCGTGATGGATGTGCTCAGCGCCGAGATGGTCAAGTACGCGTCCAACAACTTCCTCGCGACCAAGATTTCATTCATCAACGAGATGGCGAACCTCTGCGAGGCGTACGGCGCGAATATAAACCGAGTCCGCGAGGGCATGTGTTCCGACTCGCGTATCGGTCACCAGTTCCTCTACCCAGGGCTCGGCTACGGCGGCTCCTGCTTCCCCAAAGACACGCTCGCGTGCATCATGATGGGTGATCAGTCCGGCGTGACCATGCAGGTCTCCAACGCCGTCCACGGAACCAACGAGCGTCAACGCAATCTTTTCTTCAACAAGATCATCAAACACTTCGGTGGAGAGATGGGCCTCAACGGCAAGAAGATCGCGTTCTGGGGACTCGCATTCAAGCCTCGTACGGATGACATCCGCAAAGCTCCTGCGCTCACCCTTGTCCGTAAAGCACTCGGATACGGCGTGACCTGCACAGGATTTGATCCTGTAGCCGCAGAAAATGTCAGTAAGGAGATGGGTGATACCATCGAGATCCATAATGACATGTACGAGTGTGCACGCGACTGTGATGCTCTGGTGATCTCGACGGATTGGCCTGAGTTCAAGAGTCCGGACTTCGAGCGGCTCGCCGGCGTCATGAAGGGTAAGGTCATCTTTGATGGTCGGAACCTGTACCGCCGTCAGCATCTTGGCGAGATGGGTTTCCATTACTACTCGGTTGGTCGGCTTCCGGTGACTCCGAATTCGTAAATGGAACATACATCTCGAACGAGTAGCGTTTGAAATCAACAATTGAATGAATCTGCACACCATACTTGCTTCGTAGGTGCGATTTGATCTCATTATTGTCGTTTCTATTGATATCGACATCGCAAGACACCATGCCAGATGAGTGCGAGAGAATCTGCGGATCGACAACTGCGTTGTAGGCCTTCAAATTCTGGATCAAAAGAGTATATTGCATTGCAGCGTAGTTGGTTGAGTACGGATTCAATATGCAGTGGATTCCATTTTCACTGCAAGCAAGAACACAATCAATTTCAGGGCATCGTTCGATTCTGGACGGGGTGCAAAAGAATATTCTCAAACTGGCATGTCTCCCCTTGTCATCAGTTTGAGAAAGTATGCCAGTTCGAGTCCCAAACAATGAGCCTATCGCCCTGTCGAGTTGAAATTCAGAGTCTCTGCATCTGAGAGAATCTATCCAAAGAACACCAACTTGGTGATTATCAACTGCAGTGTGTCGTATTTGCTTTGCAGCCTTTCTCGCAGATGAATCAGCTCCAGCACGAAAATTGTGTGATTGAGTGATTGATTCGTTTATTTTTGCGGTTTCGTCTAGAGACTTGCATTCCACTACTAATGCGTCACTGGAAGCAAATGCGTGAAGATCAGCAGTTTTTGTATTGGTCTCAATGATTTTTGTGACTCTATATCCAATGTCCTGCAAGAAATTTTCTGCGACCAATTCACTTTGTGTTCGTGGCATTCCTTAATTATACAAACACCCCAATTGCTTGGGGTGATACAAGGTTAAATTATGGTGGTGTCTTAGCGAACTCGGCGACGGCGGGTCGCGACGAGACCGCCGAGTCCGAGCAGTGCTGCACTGGACGGGGTTGGTGTGATCGTGACATTGTCGATATCAAAGTCGACGAGCAGTGGGGTGGTGAGCCCGTCAGGACGATCCGCGGAGATTTGGAGATTGCCGACATTGGCCATGATCGCATCGAATGCTGCAGGGCTTGGCGCACCCTCAATCGTGACCAATGGGTTGAAGAAGCTGAGTTCGAAGCTCAGAGTGACCCAAGTGTCCGATGCGACTGCGGATGGGAGTTCAACTGCGAATGCCGGGAAGTTAGCCGGTTGAGCGACGCGGAGAGCGATGCCGAGGTCCTGTCCTGCGTTGTGACGGAAATCGAAGCTGACCGTGGTGATACCTGCAGAGAGGTAATCTCCAGCGAATGCGCCACCTGAGGCTCCCTGGTCTGCTTGGCCGCGGATGACGGTGAGACCGAATGGTCCTGCGTTATTCAGATCAAGGTTGGCGCTGACAAAGGAACTGCCGTCCGCGGCACCTGCCGCGTTCCATGTCAATGGAGTGAATGCACCTGAGAGCCAGTTGTTTGCTCCGGCATCGAATGACTCGGTAAATGGCACAACCGAAGCGGACGCGAGAGATGCGGCGCCGGTAAGCGTGATGAGTGTTGCAGTGAGTTTCATGGTTTCTCCTCTGGTCTGGGTCAGAGCACTGCCCAGTATGGGGTGGGGGTGAACAAATAAATCAGTTGGATGAGTACTCGGAAAGGAATCCGGAAACATCCAGGAAGTTGTGTGAACAATCGCCGTTGATATCCGCTGCTGGATCAGCTTGCCCGAAGTCCGCGAGGAAGTCGGAGACATCGAGGAAGTTGCGTGATCCGTCGCCGTTGTAGTCACCGGCGGAGCCAACACGGGCGCGGATCTCAAGCTTTGCCGCGTATCCAAAGATCTGAGCGAGCGGGTTCTCGCGTGCGTACCAGATCGGGTAATCTCCTTCGCCGCCGTCAGGACCACCTGAAGCTGGCGAGAGACTGGTAACCATAAATCGAACCTCTCCCCGATCGAGCATGCGTTCAATTTCGGCGCGGGATGCCGGATCACATGGGACGAACGAGAATGAGAACTCCGTATCCGCAGGGACAAGATCACCTGGATTCACGGCATCGGTTGTCCCGATCGCGAGTGGGACTGCATCAAACTGCTCCTTGATGTTGTTGGAGATGTCTGTTGCGTTCCCAGCTGTATCAAAGATCGCGGCGAATGCATGGCGCAATCCTTGTGCCGGAGCGACATCCGGGACGAGTCCGAAGACCGTATTCTCGAAGTAGGTGCTCTGGTCGTATCCATCGCGATAGCCGGGGAGGAAGAGATTAATAGGACGACCGAGATCTGAGTCTGGGAAGCTCGCGAGCATGCCGTAGGTATCAAAAGGGTCGTAGGTGTCGTCGTATTCAAAACCGTTGTCATTGGACACGGTCATCTTGACGGTGATTTCGAGGATTCGATATTCGGATGCTCCAAGCCCCGGCATGAAATCGGATGAAGTGTCGAATCCAAGCAAGACCTGGGCGTCGTGATCATCAAAGCCTTCGTTGTCAACGGCTCCGAAGGAGGTCATTTCAAATCGAGTTCCTGGAGATCCATTGAATGGATACATCCAGCGATCGAGAGAAGGTTCGTCGTACTGTGCTTCGACAACTTGTGCTTGAGCAGCATTTGAACACCACAAGATTGAAAGGGCAGGGATCAATACGCTCTGTGCTCGAATCATTCGGATCTCCTCGTCTTCAATTGGCGCATCAGTTGCGCGTAAGCTCGTACTTGGGCATGAATTCCTGTAAATCTGGCAATGTGGCTTGCCTGACAGGAGTCGTTTGTCAATGATTGAGAATGAGTCTCAACAAATCAAGGGGCTCAGAATTAAATTGAGACATAGTCTCATTAAGAGTTATCCAAGAGCCGGAGTGCTCCGATAAGGGTCGCAAGGAACTGCATCAATGACCAGCCGTGCAAGTATTCGTCAAGGATTCACACTGATCGAACTGCTCGTCGTGATCGCGATCATCTCACTGTTGATCGGGATCCTGCTCCCGGCTCTTGGCTCAGCGCGTGCGAGTGCTCGTGCCGTGCGTGAGCAAGCGGGGATGTCCCAGTTGCTCACGGCGTACGCGCTCTACGCGGATGATCATCGCGGGAAGTTGATGATCGGATTCCTCTCGGATGCCCATTGGGATCGGATGGTTGAAGAGAACACTGTCCCAAGAGACTTTAGTGGTCGCCCGGTTGGAAAAATTATTGGTCAGCGGTTCCCATTTAGATTTATCTCGTATCTGGACTACCAGTTCGATGGATTCTACATGGACAACAAAGTGACAGAGGCGCTTGCAGATGCTGTCGACGCAAACTCTGCTAATTTGAACGATCCTTCACTCACGTATATCGCGTCGCTTTACCCGTCCTTCGGACTCAACTCCTACTTTGTTGGTGGCGGAGCCAATGGCGACAACTTGCCTTGGTCCGAAGCCGGACGTCGGGTGTTTGGGAAGATGCATGTGGACAAGCTCCATCAGGTGCGTCGTCCGAGTTATCTGATGAGCTTCTCGAGTGCTCGCTCGATCGCGGAGCCCTCGCTGCTTCCTGGATACGGGATGGTCGAGGGATACTTCATTGTCAAGCCTCCGCATCTGTACTCGACCTCCGGTCGTCAGTGGGAGGATGCGTACTCTGAGAATACCGAGCATCCAGAGGCGAACTCCGGAGGCGTCTCGCTGCGTCACAAGGGGAAGGGCATCGCGGGCATGCTCGACGGGCACGCGGAGCAGTGGGACTGGGACGACTACAACGACATGCAGCACTGGTCCAACAACGCGACGAGCCGGGACTGGGAAGTCCAGGCGCGTCTGCCGTGACCGATGAGCGGAGTAGACCTACGCTCCCTGCATGAGCGAACGGATCGACCTAATCAACGAACTCCAGTGGCGCGGACTCCTCAAGGACTGCACCGATATCGACGGCTTGCGCGATCACCTCGCGGACCCCGACAACAATCCTCGCAAGGTCTACTGCGGCTTTGATCCCACCGCGGATTCGCTGACGATCGGGAACCTCGTGCCGATCATGCTCCTGGCGCATGTTAAGCGTGCGGGACACTCACCGATCGTCGTGATGGGTGGGGGAACGGGACTGATTGGCGATCCGTCGGGCAAGTCCGCCGAGCGTCAGCTCAACACGGTCGAGACCATCGCGGGCTACATCGACAAGCAGCGACCGATCTACAGCACCGTCCTCGATCAGATCGAAGGGCCGGACCATCAGATCCTCAACAACCACGATTGGCTCAAGAATATCTCGTACATCGAAGCGCTCCGCGACATCGGGAAGCATTTCAGCGTCAACATGATGATGCAGAAAGAGTCCGTCAAAGAACGGCTCAACAACCGCGAGCAGGGGATCAGCTACACCGAGTTCTCATACATGATCCTGCAGGCGTACGACTTCGCGCATCTGTACGAGGAAATGGGCGTGACGGTGCAGATCGGTGGGAGCGATCAGTACGGGAACATCGTCGCGGGATCAGATCTGATCCGCAGAAGAGCCACGCAAGAGAGTGATGACGCGAGCAAGGTCTTTGGCCTGACCGCTCCCCTCGTCCAGAAAGCCGATGGCGGGAAGTTTGGGAAGACCGAGAAGGGCGCGATCTGGTTGACCGCGGCGCGGACTTCACCGTATGCGTACTACCAGTTCTGGCTTAACGCGTCCGATGAGGATGCGCGTGGTTGGATCAAGGTGTTTACGTTCCTCGATCAAGAATCAGTCGAATCGCTCATCGCTCGTCATGGCGAGAATCCCGGCAAGCGGGAGCTCCAGCGCACGCTCGCTCAGGAAGCGACGCGGATCCTGCATGGTCAAGCCGCGATGGAGAACGCGGAAGCCGCGGGCAAGGCGTTGTTCAGCGGCGATATCGGTTCGCTCGACGAGCAGACGATGGTCGAGGTCTTCGCGAGCGTCCCGACGACAGAGCACAGCAAGTCGGAGCTTGCGGACGGTCTGGACATGGTCGAGATGCTCAAGTCCACGAAACTCGCGTCATCGAACCGCGAGGCGCGGGACTTCCTCAACGAGGGATCCGTCTCGATCAACGGCGAGAAGATCGACGCGGACACCAAAGTCACCGAAGCACACCTGCTGCACGGCTCGTTCATCGCGATCCGTCGCGGCAAGAAAAAATGGCACATGACCAAATGGTCATGAGCCATGTGTGAATGCGTGTTCGTGATTGTTCTTTACGGACAACCCATCCCGAACGCGGCGAGATAGGCGCTGACGTCAAGGAAGTTGAAGCTCCCATCGGCTTCGAAGTCCGCGACGGGATCCATCATGCTGTAGGCCGCGAGGAACGCGGAGACATCGAGGAAGTTCAAATCGCCTTCACCTGTGAGGTCCGCGGGGCATGGGGTCACTCCGAGCGTGCCGTCCGTATTGATGTTGTGGGTCTGGATGTCCGCGACACCGAAATCGCCAATCTGCCAGCCCGCGATCGCGAAGCCGTCGCTGCTGAGCGTTGAGGTGAGTCGGCTGCGTTGTGCGGTGTCCGACGCGATGGAGGTGGACCACAGGTCGGACCCATCAGGACCAACGGCGCTTGCGAGGACCTGGTCTTGTCCGAATCCTCCCGTGTTCTCGATCCACATCGCGACCATGTTGCCATCAAGGACCTGGATGTTTGTCGATCCGGATTCATTCGCATCAACTGCGGAGATCTGCTTCCCGGCATCGGACCATTGGCGCGTGCCTGTCGAATCGATGCGCTGTGCGAAGATGCCCTGGCTCCCCTGGTTGTTGTCCAGTTCGGTCCACGCGACGTAGACCGAGTCGGTCATCCAGTCGTACTTCGCTGTTGGGCTCACACGCTCGCGCGGGTTGATGGACGCGGCGACCCCGTTGTGTGGGTACCGTTCCGAGCCGTCGCTGTTGAGGTGCTGTGCGTAGACGTTGAGGCCGTTGGCGGTGTCGTACCAAGAGAAGATCGAACCGCCCGAGAAATCGGTGTCGAACTCGGGGAAGTTCCCGAACTGGAGCGACCCGCCATCAAACACGGCGACGCGGGATGGCCAAACTTCGTTGCCGTCGCGGTCGATCTTTTGTGCGTAGAGATGTTTCGGACCGAGGAAGTTCGCGAACTGTACCCATGAGACGATGATCGAGTTGTTGTCGGAGCGGTGCATGGACGCGAGGTTGATCGAGTCTCCACCCGCGTCGGAGATGGTGGTCTCCCAGCTCAGGAGTCCTGCGGTGCTGATGCTCGCGAGTTTGGTGTCGCTCTCGTTGATCCATCCGATGACCATGAAGTCGTCGTCTGTGGTCGCGACATCGGGGGACGCGACGAAATCGGTGCCGTTGCCGAACTGGAAGCCGTTGGGTCCCCAAGGGGTTGATCCGTCGGGGGCGATGCGCTGGATCGTGACACGTGTCCCCCCGAACCGGTCATCGCGGAACGCGAGCACGGCGTGGTTTGTAGTGTCGAGCGCCAATCCGTAGTCTTGGGTTGAGGAAAAGTTCCGGTCTGCGACGAGGATGCCGTTGTGTGACCAGACTTCGTTTCCAAAGGAGTCGAGTCGTTGCAGGCGAACATCGTATCCTGAATCACTGGAGAACCAGCTGACGTAGCACCCGCCGTCGAGTGTGGGGACGATCTTGGGTTGTACCTGCTCTCCGCTGCCGTCGGCGACGACCTGGTGCATGGTCGAGTCGTCGGTCCACTGAGCGGACGCGGGCAAGGCCGTGCACATGAGCATTGAGGCGCAGATCAAGAGCTTCGAGCGGGAGGTCGTGGCGGATTTCATGGGAAATTCCTTTGTGTAAATGATTGGGCGCCATCATAACAGAAGTCCGGATATCCACAAAGGAGAACTTGCTGATTCGAACATCGGTCTATGAAAAAATCCGGCTGAGCCGGATTGAGTCGAGTTTGGATTGGATGGTTCGAGACTCAGCGTCTACGACGGCTCATCAGTCCGAGTGTTCCGAGTCCCATCAACGCGGTCGACGGAGCCGGGATGATGGCGAACGCGAGGTCGTTGAAGGTTGGGTCGAATACGGTGAAACCGAATCCGTTGTAGAAGTTGGTCGCATTGACGAGGTCGCCTTGCGAGGAGCCTGACCAGACCCATGCATCAGCACCACCATCAACCAGGATGGCGCCGACAGAGATCCAGTACTGTGTGCCTGCGTCGAGGCTCACAGCGGAGGTCATATCAAGCGTGTATTCGAACTCATCGCCTCCACCAAAGAGGGTGGCGCCGGTAGCGGTGATGCCTAGGCGAGCGTCTCCAGCAGAGACTGTGTCCGAGTAGACGACATTCCCAAGGTCAGGGGCGCCGGACATGTCGCTGGTGTAGATGTTGACGACATAGTCGGACATGTTGGTGAGATCAGCGAACTGGAAGTTCTGCGATCCACCCCACCAGCGGAGTTGATCCGCGGTAGCGCTTGAGCCGAGCGTGAAGTTGTCGGCCATGGTCTGATTGAAGAACTGCCCTTCGATACCATCGGAAAAGAAGCTGGCATTGCCAGGTTGGTCACTGGTCTGGCTGTAGATCTCCGCTTGAGCGAGACCTGTGGTCGCGGCGAGCGCGACGAGCGTAAGAACGCTGTTGATTTTCATTTCATCTCTCCTGTTCTTGTCAAATATGAACATGATAAGTTAACGCACGATTGCTGATCCGGCTGCGAAAAATGAGGATTTTTGGGTTAAATTCGAATGAAACTGGGGCGTATCATCACGCGATGAACTCCCCACTCGATCAAGAACAGAGCACGGCTACCAGCGAGCAGATCCATTCAGAGTTCGCCGAGGCGGCGCGGTTGGCGGCGGAGTTTGCGTCTAGCACTGCCCATGCTACCCAGCTTGCCCAGTTTGCCGAGTTGATTGCCAGCCGAATCAAGACCGGCGGCAAGGTCCTCGCGATCGGCAACGGCGGCTCGTGTGCCGACGCGATCCACTTCTGCGAGGAGCTGACGGGACGCTATCGTGCGGATCGTCCTTCGATCCCAGCGATCGCGTGCGCCGATCCGGGACACATCACCTGCACCGCCAACGACTACGGCTTCGATCAGGTCTTCAGCCGATGGGTGGAGGGGCTTGGTGGGAGCAACGATGTGCTCGTCGCGATGTCCACCTCTGGGAACTCGGCGAACATTGTGAAAGCCGTGGAAGTGGCGAAGGGGCGGGGGCTGAGCGTCATGACGCTGCTCGGGAAGTCAGGCGGAAAGCTCGCGGGGATGGGGGACTGCGAGTTCATCGTTCCGGGCGAGACTGCGGATCGCATACAGGAACTGCACATGCTGATCCTGCACGCACTGGTGGGCGCGATCGAGCGAGCACTGGGATACTGAATCCGAATCAATCTTCCGGATAGATCGGAGCGGCGCAGGTGCCGCCCTTGCGGGCGTAGTAGTCTTGGTGGTATTCCTCGGCTTCGTAGAACTTCGCGCCTTCTGCTCGGCGGAGCTCGGTCGTGATCTTGCGCTTCGACCAGCGTCCTTCATTCTGCTGAGCTTCGAGGAATGCTTTCGCTTGCTCGTGCTGCTCGTCGCTTGTGGTGAAGATCGCGGAGCGGTACTGCGTGCCGACGTCAGGACCTTGGCGGTTGCCTTGGGTTGGGTCGTGGATACGGAAGAACCAAGACAGGAGCTTCTCGTAACTGACCACGGCAGGATCAAAGGTCACCTTGACCGATTCCGCATGTCCCGTCACTCCGGTACACACCTCGCGGTACGACGGCTCGCGCGAGTCGTCGCCGCCTTGGAATCCGGAGACGGCGTCGATGACGCCGATGTGCTTCTCGTAACGATCCTCGATCCCCCAGAAGCATCCGCCGGCGAAGTACGCGACCTCGAGCGTGCTTGGCTTGGCCATCTCAGGAAGCTCGTCGCCGGCTTCAAAGAACTCGAGCGAAGCGGAGTTGACACAGAATCGGAGTCCGGTCGGTTTGGGACCATCAGGGAAGACGTGCCCGAGGTGTCCGCCGCAGCGGGCGCAGAGGATCTCGGTGCGCGACATAAAGTGTGAGTTGTCTTCTTCGGTCGCGACATGCTTTGGATCGACGGGCTGGAAGAAGCTCGGCCAACCTGTTCCAGAGTGGAACTTGGAGTTGCTTCCAAAGAGCGGGAGTTTGCAGAGTCGACAGTGGTAGTTGCCGTCTTTCTTGTTGTCGAGGAGGTTGCCGCAGAAGGGGGGCTCGGTTCCTTCGTTGAGGATGATCTTGCGTTCCTCGTCGGTCAGGTCCTTCGCGAGTTCCTGGATCTTCTCATCGCTCAGCGGCGTGATGTTGTGACCAGATTTGGAGTACAGAGCTTCGGTGGTGTTTGGGGGGGTCATGCGTGGATTCTCGTATGGTCCAGACGCCGAGGCGTGCGAGGTGATTGCGGTATAGGTCGCGAGGGGGAGTGCGGCTCCGAGGACGCCGAGCACGAGGGCGCGGATGATGCGGACTGTGATGGTCACGGGAACCTCCTGGGGGTTGTTCTGTAGAAGATATACGAACAACGCCCCTCGCGTGACGCTTATTCCGGCTCGTTCTCAGTGAGTTTTTTGCGAACGAGCGTGTCAAACAGACCTTCTGGAGCGGATTGTCCCGTCCAGAGCTCGAACTGTGCTTCCGCTTGCTTGACGAACATCTGGACGCCGTCGATCGTGCGGTAGCCTCGTTCCTTCGCGGCTTTGAGCATCGGGGTCTCGATGGGGTTGTAGACGGTGTCGAAGAAGACGGTCTCCGGCGGGAGCGGGGGCATGTCGGGGATGGGGATGGAGAGGCCTTCGGGATCGGGACCGCCGGTCATGCCGACGGGGGTGCAGTTGATGTACATTTGGTACATGGAGTCATTTGCTTCTTGTGATGAGCAGTAGTTGATCGAACCTTCCCAACCAATCCCATGATCATCTGAGAGTGATTTCACAAGTTGTTCTGCCCGATCTTGGTTTCTATTACAAACAGAAACATGAGCACCGTTTGTAAGTGCCACCCATGCAGCCGCTCGAGCAGCGCCACCAGCGCCAAAGATGCAAATACGCTCTGCAGTCAAGTTGGGGATTGACTGCAGCATGAGCGACTCAATAGCACTCGCGTCAGAGTTGATCGTATAGGAGCCATCGTAAATCCAGTCTACATCGCTCAACTCGGTCCACGCTTGTTTGAATGTGTTTGCGGCACCGATACCTGGTATTGATTTCGGGTCGGTGAACTCTATTTCATAGTCTGCTGAGTACCGCGCGAGTCTTTCCTTGTGAGGAATTGTTATGCTTGCACCACAAAATCCGAACCGACCGTCATCGAGCAGTGCGGCCATAGTTGCAACATAGCTAATGTCACTACCCTTCTCGTCGTTTGGATCAGCCGCGATCGGCATCGGCACATACACCCCATCCCACCCGATCGCCTCGAACCCCGCGTTGTGCACCAGTGGAGACATGGAGTGTGTGATCGGCCAACCGATGATGCCGTAGACCTTGGTGCTTGCTTTGATGGAGCGGAAGCGGTAGAGGTTGAGCAGCTCGTCGATCGTCGGCTGTCCCGGCGCGGTGGTCGATTCGCTCCTGAGGGATGCAAAGGTCAGCAGTCCACCAAACTTGGGGGCGAGGATTCGGCTCATCGTCCCGAACTCACCCATCCCCAGCGCAATCGTCGGCTTCTGTCGATCGCGCAGGATCTCGAACAGTTCAAGATTGTCGCGGATGGACCTCGCTCGGTACGCGATCTTGACGACGCTGCACGCTGGTTCGTCGTTCATCGCGATGATCCGGCGCGTTAGGTCGGCGGGGCGTCCAGCGAAATCGTGCGAGGAGAGGATCAGTCGCGTCGTGACCTGGCGCTGTTGCTTGGGATGATCGACGGCGAGGTTGACTTTCTGGCGGATATTCGCAGAGCGTGTGTAGGTCGCGAGCTCGACATCGATGTATGCCGGGGGATGATCGGAGGTCCCGAGGGCTTCGTAGAGAGAGATGCGTTCGTCGTCGTCGCCGTGGTATTCGCCGCCTTCCCAGTGGGGGCGGCAAGTGACGATGCACGGCAGCGGGGATTCCTTGACCAGATCCAGCACGCGGCCCATGCGTTCTCCGAGCGATTCCTCGTCGCGCTGCTCGAAGAGCAGATCGACGCGATACTCGACAATATCCGCGCCCTTTGCTTGCGCAAGGGACGCATCGAGGAGGGCGCTGGGAGCGTCCTCGACCATGATGGGCACACAAACCATTGACATCGAGTCGATGATACGCGGCGGGCTTGCGGATTGCTGAGGTTACGGACAGCCGTTGCTGTAGGACGCGAGGTAGGCGCTGACATCGAGGAAGTTGTACGCATCGTCGTCGTTCTGATCCGCGATCGGATCAGCGGCTGCGTACGCGGCGAGGAAGGCGCTGATGTCGAGGAAGTTGAGCGAGCCGTCCATGTTGAGGTCCGCGGGACATGCGACGACCACCGACGCGATGACTTGATTTCCGACCGTGCTGATCGCGTAGGCCTGTCCGTCTCCGGCATCTCCGAGTGCTTGCGTTGGGAGTGAGTTGATGGTGCCGTTGACGGTTGCGATGGTGAATGAGTCGCCGAGCTGTGGTTGATAGCCATTGATGGGGGTGATCTGGATGTTGCCGATGATTTCGAGATCGCCTGTGTGATTGAGTTGGCTGTTCATCCCATCCGCTTGAGCGTTGATGCGCAGGGTGCCTGTCGGGTGGATGGTGAGCATGCCGGAGGTGTTCATGACGCCGATCCCATCGCGGATCGGGGTGAGGTTGGCGTGGATGTCGATGATCGGGGCGATGACGGTTGGTGGGGGAGTTGGTCCGAGCGCGAGTGGGATCACGCCGCTGATGTCGTCGGCGATTGATGGCAGGACGATGTCGTCTGAACCAGAAGTGATCTTGGATTGCGACTCGACCGTAGCTCCGGAGTTGATAAAGAAATTCGAGCCTTCCAAGATGAAAATATTGCCCGCAGCATTGAAGAGCCCGTTCACCTTAATTTCCGCATCAGAGCTCTCGAACTCTACATCACCTGTGGGTTCCATTTGTGAAGTCTTGAGTGTGGTTGATTCAAACTTCTTGGCGGTATTGAGAGCGGGCATGTTGTCAGAATCCGCTTCAACTTCGGTGTCAGGCCCACGGAAAATGTCTGGGATGTTATCGACGAAGATGATGAAGCCGTTATTGACTTGTTTCCAGGTTCCGGTGACCACTCTGTCGAGATTATCGAGGATTGTGGCGTTGCTGAATGTGATCGAGGCTCCGTCAGCGATCACGGTTCCGTTGTTATTAAACTGGACGTCAATGCTCGATGTCCCGCCGGTTGCTTGGAGAGTTCCTTCGTTGTGGTAGGCTTCGAAGTTTTCGCCTTCTCCATCGGGGATGATCTGGTGTGAGTTGGGGATGATCCACATCCCCTTGTTGCGGATGTTTGAGTTGTTGATCGCGATGATGTTGCTGACTTGTGTGAGTGTGCCGTCGACATCGTTCTCGATCCCTGGCATGAGCTTGCTCGCGGTATCGAGCGTGAGCTCTCCCGAGATGCGCATGTCCCATCGGTTCACGAACGCGACCTGGGTATGGAGTGTCCGTTCCAGACGCATGATGCCCTCGTTGATGATACGGCTGTTCGTCAGTTTGCTGGTGATGCTCGGGACGCGGAATCGTGCGAGACTCTGATTCCCGAAAATGCGGAAATACGCGTCTCCGTCGACGACGAGGTTGGGCTGGGTGCCTACGCCGTTGCCGACATTGACTTCCGCTCGATTGTCGTCGTTGCGGATCAGGACATCTCCGCCGAGTGTGTGGGTGTCTCCTGAGATGCCGCTCATGAGCAGTCTCGGGAATCCGCTGGATGCGGTGTCGGTGAGCATGAGGGTGCCGCCCATCAAGTCGCTGCCGCCTCGCAGGTTGAGGGTGCGGTCTTCGAGCGTGACAAGGCCGCCTTCTGCTGTCGTGAGTTGGACATCCTGCAGCAGCGGGGCTGCTTGATTGGTGTTCGGGAGTTTGAGCTCGCCCAGAACGAGGATTTCTGGGTTGGGATCGGGGAATGCCACTCCGCTGGTGATTCCTGCGTTGAGGTTCATGAGTCCGCCGGATTCGACGCGGAGGTCTTTGGTGAGATTCACGGCGGAATCGACGTTGAAGGTGCCTCCTGATCGGACCTCGGTGTTGATCCAAAGATCGGCGCCAGTGACCACGCTCAGCGTGCCGGATTGGGCGACGAGTTTTCCGCTGCCGAGGACGGTACCTCCCCTGAGTTGCATGACCCCAGCATTCCGAAGCTCTCCATTGATGCTCAAGAATCCTCTGATCCAGAAGCCATCGCCAGTGACTGATGAGGTGCTGATGGTCTCACCCATAGTGATCACGTCGCCTTGGAGGTCGATGCGTCCATCGCCTGTGAAGGAAGTCACTTCGAGTTCTTCGACACTGGTTGTAGAGTTCGCGAGGTCAAAGACAATCCGCCCGCCATTGGACACACTGACTTGGGTGTCCTGGAACACAAACTCGTTGGCAAACTCGAGCTGTTTGGTGTCGACGCTGAGCATGCCGCTCGTGATGTAGACCTTGTCGCTGATGACCGAGTCGAGGGTGCCGGTGTATGCGAGTGTTCCGCCGTCGAAGTACCATGTCGCGTCTGGGTTGTCCAGTGGGGAGCTGAGCGAGGCGTTGTTGAGTGTGAGTGTGCCGGTGATGCTCGCGGAGGCGCCGGTGTCGAGTCGTGCGCCGCCTCCTGTGACGGTTGAGTCTGCGTTGATCGTGAGATTCGACAGTGCTCGGACGATCAGTGTTTCATTGAATGCGGCGGTGCCGTTGATCACATGGCGACCGATGAAAGCGGGTGTGCGTTCAAATACATGATTGCCTGAGTAGGTGATCGTCCCCGCGCCTGAGTCGAGATCGGTGGTGCAGCAGCCGCTGAGTAAGAAGTCGTTGATGAGTGAGTTCGCGTTGACCAGTATTGAAGACGATCGGAGCTCGAGTCCGCTCAGCACGTCCATGCTGATGACATCGATCGGCATGGATTCGGCGAGTACACGCCCCCCTGAGTTGATCGTCACCGAGTCCATCTCAGTGGGGACGCCGTTGGGGTTCCAGTTGTCATCACTAAACCAGAGCAGATCCCCGGCTTCACCGTCCCACGTGAGCGGGGCAACAGCAACCGCTTGGCCCGAGAGTCCGACCAACGAGCAGCACACGATCGAAACCGCATGCACGGATCTTGCATTAGGTTTGCATTTAGCATGCATACCGCAAGTCTAACAAAATCTGCAGATCAAGAAAAGGGCGAACTCAGCAAGTCCCACGCATCGGTCTGAGGGTGATCCGTCCTGAGCACGCGACGGGGAGGTCGCTGTTGGGGTCGGTATCGGGTTCGATAAGTCGGACATCGCCTTTGAGATCGACCGAGCAATCGTCGTTGTGCTTGTGGAGGTTCACAGTGACGCGGATGGTTGATCCGGGACGCACGAATGCGCCGTATTTGAGTGCCTTGGCTTGGGAAAGGATCCAGGGGGATGGCGCAGTATTCTCGGGATCAATCAATGATCGAGCGGCTTGTGTCATTGCTTCGAGCATCATGACGCCAGGAAGGACAGGGAATCCTGGAAAGTGATCCTGCAGGTATTCCTCGGCGTTGCTGACATGCTTAATCGCGACGAGTTGCTGGTCGCTCCGTTCAAGAACTCGATCAATGAGTGTGAAGTGCATCGTTAACGGTAGGCAACTTGATGGGTTATGACATGAATGAAAAAAGAGCCCCGCTTTGCGCGGGGCTCTTTGTACTGTTCGTATCAGTCTCGATTATGGGCAACCTTCGCTGAATGCTGTCAAGAATGCAGAGACATCAAGGAAGTTGTAGTTGCCGTCAGCAACGAAGTCAGCACTGGAATCTTGATTCCCGAACGCGGTCAAGAATGCGGAGACATCGAGGAAGTTCAATGAGCCTTCTCCGGTGAAGTCAGCCGGGCATTCTTCTTCAACTTCGAGAGTCGCGAATGTGACGGTCAAGCTGAAGAGCTGCGTGCCGTTGGTGCTACCACCGTCAACGACGATGTAGTACTGACCTGGGTCAGGCAGTTCGACGCTTGCGAACTCGGAGAGTCCTGCACCTGTGTCGTCCACATCAACAATGATGTTGCTGTTCGCATCACGCACGGAGAACGCAAGGTTTGATACCGCGTTTGCGTTAAAGAATGAGCCGCCGCCACCACCGCCCTGACCGGTGATTTGGTATGTGCCACCTTGGGGTGTGAGCTGCACATTCATCGTTACAGGCTCACCGGTTGGTACTGAGTAGTAATCGAAGTCAGAGTTGTCGTCTGTGGAGCGGAATGTGATGATTTTGAAGTTTCCACCAACAAAGCCACCGCCTCCAAGAGTGAGGTCTTGAAGCGGGCTTGCTTGATTGATGTTGTTGTTATTCTCATCCATGTCGCCGTAGCCACGCTGAGCGCCGCGGATATCGTCGATCTGAGGACCGCTGAATGAGATATCAATGAACGGTTCCATGAGGAATCGGTTGGAGTCGGACTCAACATGTGCCAGACCGATTCCGTGACCGGCTTCGTGTGTAACCACATTGCGGAGACGGATGTAGTTGTTGGAGCTGCTTCCATAGAACGAGCCGTCTCCAGAGTCGATGACCATGTCACCGCCGTTGGGGAAGTAGTTGTATGCGAGGACGCCGCTGTTGCCGTCGATGAAGTTGGCGCCGATGCGGACGTCACCACGGACACCGATGATTCCTGGGTTGCCGCCACTGCTGAGGTTCACACCGTCATCGTTTGGCTCGTAGACATAGGTGAGACCTGAGAGGTCTCCCCAAGCGTCGAGAGCTTGCTGGAAGAGTGGTTCCCAGTTTCCTGCGCCGATACGGCCGTCAAAGAAGCTGTGGAGATTTGATGACCCTTCACCAACGATGTTGGTGCCGTCTGGAATGAACGAGTAACGGAGCGTGGTTGGATCTCCCTGACCGAGTCCGCCGCCGTCTGTTGCTGTTGAAGTCCAGCGGTTACTCAGGATGAAGGAGTTGGGAGAGTTTGCAAACCAGAGGTCGTTGAGGAAGAGTTCAAATGCTTCGGCCACTTTCGGGTCGGTATCTGGGTGCATACAGACATGCGGTGCCATCTCGTCTTCGGTATAGACCAGACGCTCAAACTCTTTCAGAAGTTTGCGTTGAGGTTCGCTCAGTGCCGCGATGTGCTCGTCTGTGAGACGGTATTCAAGTGCATCGGCGGGGATGATCCCGACTCCTGCAAGCTGGCGTGGTTCGCCGTGGGCGTTGGTGCCACATGTTGAGAATGATTCACCGTGCTGACCAGCGGTTGCCAGTCCTGCTGTCATAGTGAGAGCCGCTACCAAGAGCGGGCGGGTGTTGATCGCCATAGCGAAGACTCCTCCTGAGGATTCAGGTTCATTGGCTCGGAAGCCGGGTAGATGTACATTTTCCGCGACATGTGCCCGAATGGGCTGTGCATGCAACCGTACCACAAACACAACGGTCGCACAAGGGAATGTACGCAATTGATCGGGGTCTGTTCCGGATTCCCCTCATCATTTTTGTTCGGCGGGTGTTCAGACCAAATCCCCCATCTTTCCTAGACTTCCACGATGGCTGTGATTGATGATCAGGCAGTTTGTGTCAGAACATGGGATTGGTCAGAGACCTCTCAAACGGCTGTATTGATGACTCGCGATCATGGCATGGTCAGGGTGTTGGCAAAGGGGTCTAAAAGAGAGCGATCAAGCTTTTCAGGCGGCTTGGAGATCTGCACACTTGCGAGCATGAACGCGATTGTCCGTCCAAGTTCTGAACTCGCTTTATTGACCGATTGGGATCTGATGGAACCGATGCTCACGATTCGGAAGAATCTGAGTGCATACAGAGCTGCGGTCATGGCTGTCGATCTCGTTCCTCGAATGGTGCAGGATCATGATCCACACCACGGGATATTCGATGCCTTGCTCACATTATTGCGTATCTCAAACGGACCTGATGGGCACAATCAAGATTCCATTGTGGCAGGATTGGCTTGGTACCAATGGATCGTGCTGGTTGAGATTGGTGCGATGCCGATCTTTGATAGCGATGTGGTCACCGGTGCATTGCTTGAGCCGTCAGAAGTCTATGGATTCTCTCCAGAACTCGGCGGGATTACACAAGACCCGATAACGAGCGAGTATGAACATGTCTCCAAATCAAGCACCACAGTTGATGGGGTTTGGCGAGTGAGATCACAGACTGTCGATTTTTTCCGTTCAGTAGGTCCACATCCTGATATCGACCAGTTCATGCGTGAACCAGTGGATCGGATGCTGCGATCAGCACGATTGCTCTCGGCTTTCATCCAAGAGCGAACAGGTTCTGAGATCCCATCGATGAGGTGGTTGTTGAATAGCTGAGACGCTTGTTGAGGGGGATTACCCATCGATCAGAAGCTGATTCTGATCAAGAAGGGCATAGTTCGGGTCGATATTCACCTCAGTACCCGACGGATCGGGTCCACTCACAAGTAAAGAGATTGATCGAGTATGGATCCCGATCTATTGACCGACATCCTGAACTGTCCGAGCTTGCCTTCGTTGCCGGCTGTTGCTGCACAGGTGCTTGAGTTGACATCAGATCCCGATGTCAAGATGTCGGAACTTGCCGATCAGATCACGATGGATCAGGCATTATCTGCAAAGGTTCTGCGTACCGTTAACTCGAGTTTCTACGGCTTACGCAAGCGCTGCTCATCTATCGAAAAAGCACTCATCATGCTCGGACTCGGACCAGTGAAATCACTGGTGCTGGGGTTCTCGCTGGTTTCAGCCTTTGAAGGTCAAGACGGTGATACTTTTGACTACCAGTCGTATTGGTTGCGTGGTTTGAATACTGCGATAGCCGCGAAACTGATTGCTGATGAGAAAGATTTCGATGAGGAATGCGATGAGGCATTTTTGACTGGATTGCTCCAAGACATCGGAATGATCGCGATGTATCGAGCGATGAAAGCTCGCTACAACACAGTTGTTGAGAGTGTCGGGGGTGACCACTCCAAGCTCACGCGTGCCGAGATATCTGAGTTTGATCTCCAGCATGCCGGAGTCGGTTCAGCGATCGCGAGCAAGTGGAAACTCCCGAATGAAATAGCCGTCCCGATCAACTACCACGAGCGTCCTACGGCGTGTCCGAGCGAGCATTCAAAGGTCGCTCGGTGTGTTGCACTCGGGAATCTGGTCCATGAGGTGTTGATATCTGAGATTCCGACGGACTCGCTCCGATCGCTCTACTCCAGAGCAAAGCAATGGCTCGACTTATCTGAATCACAGATTGATGACATCATTGTGAAAAGCGGGAATGCTTCGAAAGAGATGTCCAAGGTTCTTGAAGTAGAAGTCGGGACTCAAGAGGATCCACAAGAGATACTCGCAAAGGCTGATCGCCAGATCATCAACATGACTCGCGGTCAAGAGATCGAGAGCTATTCTGCGAAAGAGGTTGGGTCACTCGTTGATGGTGAAGAAGCGATCGATCCGATGACTGGCGTGCTGAATAGGGAAGGTTTCAAGCATGCGATCAGACAGGTCTACAGCACTGTCAAGCCAGGTGAGGTAGATATCACAGTCATCCAGTGTTCGCTGGGGGGGATGGACGCGGTACTACAGGCTTGCGATCAACAAACACATGATGACATCATCATCGGCACGGCATCAATGCTGATCAAGTACTTTGAACCCATGGGTGGTGCTGTGTGCCGTCTCGGTCCTACTGACTTCGGGGTTGTGCTGCCAGAGGTTGATCGTGCGAGCGCTTCGAGAACCGCATCATCATTCACTGATCAGTTCACAAGTTCACTGGGTAACTGGATACCGAAGGAAGCCGAGGGAGCAACTTCTGTTCAGGTACACATCGGCCTTGCCACTTTGGATGAAGGAACAGCGATGCTCTTTATCTCGCCTGAAAAACTGGTGCTGGCATCAACCAAAGCTGTCAATGCCGCAAAGACATCCCCGACTTCCGCGATCCGCTCGTTTGTACCAAAGAAAGCCGCGTGATTATTCTGCTCTCTCCGGTATCATCCGTCCGACAGTACAGTCGTCGATTGGGAACCGATCGATCAGATCTTGAATAGCGCCCACATTCACTGCGTTGATCTGCTCTATTTCTTCTTCCAACGACATGTATCTGCCTTGGCTGGTCCACAGTCTTCCCAAGCGTTGCATTCGCCCGCTTGGCTTCTCTCCCGCGAGGGTGACGGAGGTGAGCATCTTGGAACGCAGTTTCGCGAGGTCCTCCTCGTCGATCGAATCTTTGAGTGATCGAATCTCACCAAGCATGACCTCCCAAATCTGATCGAGTGATTCAGGGTCTCCCGAAGCGTAGATGAAGTAATCTCCGGCCCCATCAAGCCCGTCATACGCGGCCATGGCCTCCTCGGCGATCCCCGTCTCAATCAGCGCCCAGTGTAGTCTGGAGTTGTCAGAACCACCAAGGATCTGGGTCATCAACGCGGCGGCATAGCGGTCGGCGCTGTCAATCGCAGGGGCGTCGCTCAGTCCGAGAATGTAGCCGCGATGCACGCGTTCGCTGGACATCGTGAAGGATTCATGACCAGTGTTCGGTCGAGTCGTATCTCTGGATGGGTTGGAAGTGTTCCAGTCTCCACAGAGTTCTCGGATCTGTTCAACAGCTCGATTAAAGTCTACATTTCCTGCGAGCGAGACGACTGTGTTGTCCGCGCTGTAGCGATCCTTGAAGTACTCGAGCATCTGATCACGCTGCATCGCGTCGATCGTCTCTTTAGTCCCCAGCACTCGGTGTCCGAGTGTGTGCTTATTGTAGTGGTTCGCGACACACTGCTCGTAGAGCACCCAGAATGGGTTGTCCGCGTACATCGCGATTTCTTCTTGGATGACATTTTTCTCTGTATCGAAATCTTCTTGACGAATAGCCGGCCGCATCATTTGTGATAGCAGTTTGATCGCATCTGGAGCGCTTTCGGGTATGACATGCGCATAGAAGCAAGTCGACTCACGCGTTGTGTACGCGTTATTCGTCGCTCCGAGATCATCGAACGCTTGGTTCAGTTGGTCTGCACTGATGTCTGTGGTTCCCTTGAACATCATGTGTTCAAGGAAGTGAGAGACTCCCATCAAGGATGGATCTTCATCTCGAGCGCCGGTCTTGACAAAGAATCCAGCGCCGACTGATTGTGCGGCGGGATCCGTTTCGGCGATGATTGTGAGCCCGTTATCGAGTGTTGCGGATTTGAACTGTACTGTCATGTCCGGAGTGTAGGTTCAAACGCCGCATGACTCTCGGTTGAGCAGTTTGTCCATGAGCAGTTTGCACGCCTCGTAAGGATCTTCGGTGCTGCAAACCGCGCTGCTCACCGCAACCCCTGGGAATCCCGTAGCGACAACCTGGTCAATCGTGTCCGTGTTGATTCCTGAGATCGCGAGCATGGGTCGATCCTTGAGGTCCTCGTTTCGCATCACATCGTTGAGTAAACCGACGCCGAGGAGATTCGGTTTCACTTTGGTTGTTGATGGAAAGATCGGACCCAATCCACAGTAATCAGCGCCTTGTACAAACGCTTCGCGGAGTTGCTTGATGGTTGAGCATGACCTGCCAATGTACTTTGATGGTCCCAGCAGGGTCCTCGCTGTATTTATGGGGAAGTCATCCTGACCTAGATGTACGCCGTCGGCATTACATATGAGTGCGATATCGATGCGATCGTTGATGATGACGCTCAATCCGTGGTCATGCGCGAGTGTGGTGAGTTTGGTTGCGTGTTCAAGGAAATCTCTGCCAGACATTGTCTTTTCGCGGATCTGTATACAGCGAGCTCCGGCGCGTGCGATGTCTCGGACGACTTCTCGGATTGACTTGTGGAGGCACAGTTCTTCGCTGATCAAGATACAGAGCGGCCAATCTGGGATGCCTTTGAGCAGCAAGAGAAGCAAATCACGCTCAATGTCGTAGAGTGCATAGCGGATCGTTTCGAAGTCTGCTCCGGAGCAGCCAAGCCCCTTGGCGGCTTCTTCGATTGAACGGAGTGCTTCCTGGGCTCGCTTTGAGGCTGCTGATGCGATGTCGCTCGTGCCTTGTAAGCGTGAGGATTCGGTTGGGGTCTGGATCGAAGTCCCAACATCATGCTCAGTGTCACGAGCGTTGAGGAGCTGGGTCTGATCGAGCTTGAGTGATCCAATCCCCTTACGCAGAAGATGACGCTGGACTTTGATCCGCTCTGACAATGAGCTGTGATTGAGCGAAAATCGTGCAATGTCTTCGAGCACACGCAAACCCTCGCTGGCGCGATTGAGGTTGGCGTCGATGATTCGATGGAGGTCGTTCACGGGTTGATGCCTGGAGCGTTGAGTGAAGAGGTTTGCCTGTGATATTCGTGGACTATATATGGATTCTACGCACGCCTCTTGGATCAAAGGTCAATAATCCGATCCGGCGGCAGTACCTGTAGTGTGCCTATGAAACATCCCAGAGCGACGAATCGACCATACGCATGTCCACCCAAAGCGGAATCATTGAACCCAACGAACGCGTCACCTTTCGGACGGCGTATGAGGATGAGCACCTCCTTGTGGTTGAGAAGCCTTCACGCGTGGTCTCTACTCCAGGAGTGGGTCATGAGCATGACACGCTGCTCAATGGCTTGGTGGCGCGGTACCAGAAGCAACTGATCAACCTGGGAAATGTCCGTGATCACGGCATGCTCCATCGGCTCGACAAAGAAACATCCGGTCTGCTCGTCGTCGCATTAAATCAACATGCATACGACGGCTTGCGTGAGCAGTTTGAGCAGCGCACAGTCAAGAAGTTCTATTGGGCGATCACCCATAAAGCACCCAAAGAGAGTGACGGTGTGATCCGCAAACCGATCTCTGATGTGGTCAAGCGCGCTTCTCGCTACACCTCGACAAGAACGAGCCGGATTGATCGCAATGGGAAGTCCGCCGTAACAGCGTATCGCGTGCTTCAAGAATCCGCACTCGCGGCGTTGATCGAAGCACGCCCAGTCACAGGCCGTCTCCATCAGATCAGAGTGCATCTGGATTCGGTGGGTGCCGCGGTGTTGGGAGACCAGTTGTATGGTCCCAAGATTGTGCGTGAGGCATCGCCGAGATTGGCGCTTCATTCGCATCGATTGAGCTTTGTGCATCCAATCACGGGCGAGACAATTGATACACGAACACCGTTCCCGAGAGACCTGCGGACGACTCTGAAAAAAATGAACCTGTCACGACCCGATACCTCCGACTCCTGATCAATCGATCAGTGCGCCGATCAGATCCCTCGCGACTCGGTCTGCAAAGTGATAGCCGTCATCCGTGAGTAGAATCTGGCCGTTTTTGGATTCAATCCATCCTTGTTTGATACAGTCTTGAATGGATTCATTGAGTTCGGTGGATCGTGAATGCTTCCCCGCGGCGTTGATGAGTTGTTGTTCATCGAGCCCATCGCGGACTCTGATCCCCATCATGATGGTGTCCATCAGCGATCGTTTGGGATCAGGAGTCTCAAGGTCACAGATCGGTGCGAATCCCGCATCGTTGGTGGAGATGTATTCATCGAGCCGAGGGGTGTTTTTCCATCGGTACCCGTCGAGATGCCCCGAGGCGCTTGGACCGATCGCGAGCCAGTTCTCATTGCGCCAGTACGCGATGTTGTGCTTGCATTCACTGCCTGGCTTTGCGTGGTTCGAGACCTCGTATCGTTGCATGCCATGGGCATTGATCGCGTCGAGGGTGGAGTTGTACATATCAACCTCTAGCTCATCGGGAGTGCTTTGGAAGTCTCCACGATTGAGCCGAGCGGTCATCGCGGTGTTGGGTTCATAGGTCAGCGCATACGCGGATAAGTGGTCTATCGGGAGCTCGAACGCTTGTTTGAGATCATCTTCCCATTGAGCGAGCGTTTGATCTGGGATCGCATAGATCAGATCGATAGAGAGCCGATCAAAGCCAGCACGATGGGCTCGTTCAGCGGACTCAAATACGGATCGGGGATCGTGGTGGCGTTCAAGTGTCTTGAGGTGTTTGGTGTTGAAGGACTGGGCGCCCATCGAGATGCGATTGACTGGAGAATCCTTGAGAACGCTGCAGATCTCGTCAGTTAAGGTCTCGGGATTCGTCTCGACGGTCCACTCGTGATCCGGCGCGAGATCGAATGCTGATGAAAGCTCATCCAACACTCGAAGTAACAGATCAGGATTCAGCAGAGTCGGTGTCCCTCCCCCAATAAAGAGCGTGTGCAGCGTCGGACGATGTGTAGCGGACGATTGGGCATGGATTTCTTGGATCAATCGCTCGACAAATGCTTCCTGACGATCTTGTCGATCCACAATGGAGTAGAAATCGCAGTAATGGCACTTATGGAAGCAGAACGGGATATGAAGGTAGAGCGATCGGACTGAAGAGAGGTCATGCTGTTGAGTGTCAGACTCACAAGTGCTTGCCCAGGTTTCAATTGGATCGCGAGAAGTCCCGAGAGATCGTTGTCTGAGGGGTTGAGATGCGATATTGTCCTGCATGCGGTTTCCGTGTAGGATTTGGGCGGATTGTTCAGCGTTTCGCACCAGTTTGTGTGCGGACAATCGTGGGATGGTTTACGAGAAAGGATAGCCACTGTGCAAGCGTTCTTGATTCGAGTCACAGAAGACGGCAAGGCCCAACCGGTGCCACTCACGCATGATCGTACTCTGCTTGGTCGTTTGGACGACTGCCAAGTCCGGATCCGCTCTGGGAAGATCTCCCGTCATCACTGCGAAATACTCAATGATGGTGAGTCTCTAACGCTCAAAGACCTTGGGTCGAGCAACGGCACCTTTCTCAACCAAGAGAAGATCGAAGAGGCGGTTCTGAAGCCCGGTGATTTGATCGCAGTGGGTTCATTGGTATTTTTGGTCCAGTTGAATGGGGATCCTGAAGAGTTCGATCCTGAGTTACTCTACGAGGATGGGTTGCCAGAACGACCTGATGCGAATCCAGAATACGCTGCAGCACATACGCCCAAGCCGGTCCACCAGCACGCGCCGACAGCGACTGGTGATGATTCAAGTATGATGGATTTCAACTTCGAGTTTGATCTTGATGATGATGAAGACGAGCAGCCGCCGCTCTGAGAATCAAAGCTATGAGGATTTCGAAGGCGTGGAATCCGGGTTCTTTGGCTGAGGTACCCTGATGTTGGTCCCGCATTGCTTGCAGCGGACCGTTTTGCCGCGTGCAACCTCAGGGACCGACAAGACCTTGCGACAGGTCAGGTTCGGGCACATCATGCGGATCATTTGCTCAGCCATTGCTTTCCAGCCTCCAGTGATTGATAGAACATCGACACGAAGGTCAAATCCGATCAATCAAAGTCATCGAGTAAACTCGCGTCTCATCCGTCTGTAGGGGTGAATGGGACGCTTAGTCCGTATATCCTTCAACCTAAGCGACGGCAATCCCTTAAATGGAGGTCATCAGATGGGTCAGAATCCAGTACACGCAGCGGCGGTTGTTGGACTCCAGTGGGGGGATGAGGGCAAAGGGAAGCTTGTTGATCTGCTTGCCGGGAAGTACCGAGCCGTGGTCCGATACAACGGCGGCGCTAACGCGGGGCATTCGGTCGTTGTTGGTGGGGAGCGATATTCGCTCCATCTGGTCCCATCGGGAATTCTCTCGCCGAGTTGTGAAGCTGTGATCGGCAACGGCGTGGTTGTTGATCCTTTGCGATTGCTCGAAGAAATCCAAACACTCAAGTCTCGTGGTGTGGATACCAAGCGATTGGTGATCTCGGATCGGGCGCATGTGGTGATGCCGTACCACAAAGCGGAGGACGCAGCACGCGAGGAACTGCTCTCAGCGACTACAGAATCAGGTGCGGACGACTCGACCAAGAAGGTCATCTCCGCAATCGGAACTACGAAGCGTGGGATCGGTCCTGCGTACGCGGACAAGATCAACCGTTCGACTGCGATCCGCATTGGTGATCTGGCTCGTCCAGATGTGCTGCGTACCAAACTCGACATGATCTGTGGCTTAAAGAACGCGATCCTTGGTGCAATTGTGGGAGAGGGGTTTGAGCCGTTCGATGCCGAAGAAATCGCAATACAAATGATCGAATGCGGCAAAGAACTCACGCCGATGATCAAAGACACTGCGTATTTGCTTGATGATCTCCGTAAAGAGGGTCAGCCAATCCTCTTTGAGGGCGCGAATGCGACGATGCTTGATGTGGATCATGGGACATATCCGTTCGTGACCAGCTCGAACTCATCGGCGCTTGGGATTGGTCCTGGGAGTGGTGTGCCGCCGCAATGCATCGATCAGATCATCGGCGTGGTCAAGGCGTACTCCACGCGTGTTGGTGGAGGACCAATGCCGACCGAACTGTTCGATTCGATCGGGGACGGCATCCGCGAACGCGGACGAGAGTTTGGAACGACGACCGGCAGACCACGGCGCGTGGGTTGGCTCGATCTGGTCGCGGTGAAGTACTCCGCGATGGTCTCCGGGGCGACTGAACTGTGCATCACGCTGCTCGATGTCCTCGCGGGTGAACCCGAACTCAAAATCGCGACGGCGTACTCAATCGATGGGAATACAAGCGAGCGTTTTATCCCTGATGGTCATGCACTTGAGCATGCGGAGCCGGTATTGGAATCCATGCCCGGTTTTTCCGAAGATATCACAGCGGCTCGGACTCTCGATGAACTCCCTACCAATGCAAAGGCGTACATCCATCGGATCGAAGAGTTCGTAGGCGTTCCAGTCCGGACAATTTCAGTTGGACCGGATCGCGAACAGACGATCATGTGCGATGCGCCGTCTCACGCGGTGTGCGCAAACTGACAGGAATCATGTTGGTCTCAGAGGGTAGTTGATGACAGAGCAGGTGTCCACACTCGACGCGAGGAGCAGAGAAGCACTCGAACGGATTCAATCTCGATATCCAGAGTCGGATCCACTTGGTTGTTTGCCGGGTGTGGATCCCGCGAAGATCCCAGTCCATGTCGCGATGATCATGGACGGCAATGGACGATGGGCAAAGCAGCGTGGGATGCCTCGCATCATGGGACATCAGCAGGGTGTCAAGACTGTCCGCACAATGCTGCGTGCGTGCGCGGAGATCGGTGTTGAGATCCTGACGCTTTACTCATTCTCGACTGAGAACTGGTCGCGACCACAGGAAGAGATTCAGGGACTCATGGAGATGTGCGTCGCGTACTGCGAGCATGAGCGCGACGCGTTGAAAGAAAACAATGTGCGTGTGCGTGTGCTCGGACGCCGTGAGGGTATGCCCAAGGCGGCGCTCGATGCTCTTGACGCGCTTGTAGACGCGACAAAGAACTGCACTGGGATCACAATGTGTCTCGCAGTGAACTACGGCGGACGCGATGAGATCGTCGATGCCGCTCGATCGCTCGCTACGCTAGCCGCAGATGGGACCCTTGATCCGAAGGCGATCGATGCGACTCTGTTTGCCAATAAACTCACGACTCGGGGACTCCCTGATCCTGATCTGCTGATCCGAACTGGTGGGGACTTTCGCGTGAGCAACTATCTGCTCTGGCAGATCAGCTACGCAGAGATAGCCGTGATCGACGAGCAATGGCCCGATTTCACGCGTGAGCGATTCTTTGAACTGATCAGCGACTTTGCGGGTCGATCCAGAAGATTCGGGAACATTGATTCTCAGTGAGTAAGTGGATTGCTGCTGGTCCGATTCTTATAGAGTTTTGGGCATGATTTGGCTATCCTTGATGCCGTGTTGAAGCATCGTTTGACATTTGGACCGATCCTGATCTTCTTGATCCTGCTCTTCTCCTGGCTCGATGAATGGGTCGATGGCTTGGAAGCTCCTGAATCGTTCCCGAAGGACACGATGCCTCCTGGGATCATTGTCGCGATGGTGTTAATTTTTGTCGGAGTGATGGGCGCTCGCGAGGTCGCTCGGATCCTGCGTGCGAAATCGGTCCAGATCGAGACCTGGTTCGCAGCGTTGGTTTCGGTTGTCGGATTGCTCGTCGTCGGTCTCACGCCATCGGATTCGATCGGATCAACAGGGTTCGCCGTGGGGATCTCCTCAGTCGCGGCTTCCTTTGTGCTTGGTCTGCTCTACGCGATCCGCTCCAAGCAGGTTGACGGTGCCATCTTTGTCGGTGCCGGGGTGCTGCTGATCCATGTGTACATGGGGATGATGCTTGGATTTTTGCTGTTGATCCGTAGGGAGCATTCAGTGTGGATGCTGCTGTGGGTGCTCGCGTGCGTGAAGTCCTGTGACATCGGTGCGTTCTTTACAGGTACGACCATCGGGAAGCACAAGCTCATCGAATGGCTCTCTCCCAAAAAAACTTGGGAAGGGTTAATCGGAGGGTTGATTACATCCGGTGCGATCGGAGCACTGGGATTCTGGGCTCTGGGCGCTGCTGGATACGAGCAGTACAGCCCGTGGTGGGGGGCAGCACTCGGTGTGCTCTTCGGAGCAATTGGTCAAGCGGGGGATCTAACCGCGAGTCTGTTCAAGCGAGACGCCGGGATCAAGGATGCCGGTACGAGCGTTCCGGGATTCGGAGGCATGCTGGATCTGATCGATTCTCCGATCTTGGTCGCTCCATTTGCGTACTGGGCGATCCGGATCGTGATGGATCTCTCTAGCTCAAGCGCGGTCCCGGGTTCTCTGGGTGGCTAAACTATTGGCATGACTACACCAACTGAGGTTCGGGAGGGTTGCATGACAGTGACTTCTAAGTTGCTTGCCGTGTTCCGTGTTGATCAGCAGATCCAAGGTCTACAGACCAGGCTCCGAGGTGCGGAACGCTACCTCGCGGAACAAACCAAACAACTCGCATCGCTTGGTACAGAGAAAGATGCGATTGAGACCCAGCTCCGTCAGCTCAAAGCAAGTGAGTCTAACGCCGAGGGGGAGAGTCAGCGGATCGCTACACATATCGACGAACTCCGCGACAAGATGAACAACGCGACCTCAAACAAGGAATACAAAGCGTTCCTGTCGGAGGTCAACAACCTCAAAGAAATCCGATCCACACACGACGAGCAGGCGATCGAGTTCCTTGAGCAAATCGAAGCGCTCAACATCAAGCTTGAAGAAGCGAACAAGAGTGTTGAAGAGCGCGAGAAGGTTCGAGAGATCGCTGAGCAGCAGCGTCAGGAACGCTCCGACGAGATAGCCGAGAAGCTTGCTGAGTTGACTTCAAAACGCGAACAACTCGTCAATGAGGTTCCGAAGGACGCGATGTCGATTTACGAGGAACTGCTTGAGTCACGAGGTGAGGACGCAATGGCGCCGCTGGAGATCGTGGACAAGAAACGCCACGAGTATGTCTGCGGCTCATCGATGATGACTGTTCCTGTCGAGGTCGCGGCTTCTCTGATCCAGGGTAAGCTCACACTCTCCCCGAACGATGGCTGCATTCTCTACCTCACCCCAGATGCGGAAGAAGAACTCGCCGGGATGTTCAAGAAGTAAGCATTCCTTACTGAATCACAGACTCGTATTTAACAGATCCGAGTTGATCAGCTTAAGACCGAGGTGTTCGCACGCGCGAGGCGTAATCTGTCGACCTCGCTTGGTGCGAGCGAGGAAACCTATTTGCAGCAGATAAGGTTCGACCACATCTTCGAGCGTTCCCGAGTCTTCGTTCATTGTGGCGCTGATCGCTTCAAGACCTACTGGTCCTCCGTCGAAGACGGAATGAATCGTCTTGAGGAAAGCACGATCAAGCTCGTCGAGCCCGAGGTGGTCGATCCCTTCGAGTTCGAGCGCGTCATCAACAATCCCAGGATTGATCTTCCCATCATGGCGGACCATCGCGTAGTCTCGCACTCGGCGCAGCAAGCGGTTCGCGATGCGAGGGGTGCCTCTTGATCGTGACGCGATCGCTCCGAGCGCATCACTGGACGGGGTCTCCATCTGGAGCATCGATGATGATCGCTTGACGATGTGCATCAGATCCCGATCGTCGTAGTACTTGAGGTGGTGCACCAATCCGAATCTCGAACGCAACGGCGATGACAACAATCCAGCACGCGTAGTCGCGCCGAGGAGCGTAAACGGGGCGCACTTGATCTGCACAGTGCGTGCGTTGAGTCCTGTGTCGAGACAGATATCGATCTTGTAATCTTCCATTGCTGGATAGATAAACTCTTCGACCGCGATTGGGAGTCTGTGGATCTCATCGATGAACAGAACATCACCTGGTCCGAGACGAGTGAGTGCGGCGACAAGGTCGGTTCCTCTCGCGAGCGCCGGTCCGGAAGTGACATGCAGATTGGTCCCAAGTTCGTTTGCGATGACATGCGCGAGCGTGGTTTTCCCGAGTCCTGGAGGACCGTGGAGGAGGACATGCTCGAGGTGTTCGCGCGGTTCGTCGTCGCTCTTCGCTTCTTGACGCGCTTGCACGGCTTGAACAGCGATCAGCACACGCTCCACGAGTTCCGCTTGTCCGATGTACTCATTGAGCGACTTGGGACGCAGCGCCCAGTTGGTCTGATCCTCGATCTCGGACATCGGTGAAGACGAAATGAGGCGTTCAGTGCTCATGGCGGAGATTGTATCGGCGTTTGTTCGTGCTTTGGGTGAATCTAGCGGAGATTAGGCGGTTTTGCGCACAAAGAAGGGGATCGATTGCTCGATCCCCTTCGGAAAGACATTTGATGCTTCTGTTAATGGTCGTGTTCCTGGTCATCCTGGTCCAGATCGTCGTGGAAGCAGTTGTGCGCGGATCCGATCGGTTCCAGATTCCGCTCGATTGTTGCTTCGTCTGAGTAGATCAGTCCATCGCGGGGAAGCAGCTCAGGAGCGTTCGCGAGGTTAAATGCGACGATCGCCATATTCGTTGCAGATTGAACGAGGTATTCTTCGATTGCTTCGTCGTAACGATCGTTCTGGGTGTGCCACGAATGGCGGTAGTTTGCTCGACCGGTCTCATCCCAGAAGAATCCAGGGACTCCGGCACGGATGAATGACGCATGGTCAGATCCGCTGTGGGTCACAATCTCGCCTCCGGTTGGACGGACATTGACATTCATGTATCCAGCGAGTTTGTCATTGTCAGGATCATTATCATTCATCGCCGCGTCATAATCAGTCTTCGAGAAGAACACGCCGTTGGTCGGAGAGGATGCGGTCGCAAGATATTCAACCATGTAATCCGCGGCTGGCATTCCGCCTTGATAGTTGGTTCCGCCGTCATCAACAAATGCTGCCGAGATGTTGTTGAGTTCTTCCTCGCTCAGTGAGTTCACATATGACTTTGAGCCGTGGAGTCCTTGCTCTTCACCACCCCAGAGTGCGATGCGGATCGTGCGTTCAGGTCGAACGCCGGATTCCATGATGATGCGAGCTGCTTCGGTGACCACTGCAGATCCAGTCGCATTGTCGACTGCACCCATCGATCCTGGGCCATCCCACGAATCAATGTGCGCGGAGATGATGACGACCTGTTCTGGGTATTTGGTGCCTGGGATATCCGCGATGACATTGTACAGCGGGAATGGACCTGCCGTAATTTTGTGATCGAGATCGAACTCGACTTCGATATCCAGTCCTTCAGCGAGTCGAGCGGTGATGAAGTCGTAATCGCTCTGACGGATGTTGACCTCGGCATCGACTGGGTAATCGCTTGCTTTACGCTCGCGCCAGTTGTTTGCGGATGTTGTCCAGACACGCTCGTCCTTGGAGCTGGACACGAATCCAGCTGGATTCTCAGCAAGCACAGCCGCGAGCGCGTTGATACGCTCGCGTTCGATGCGATCTTCTTCTGACACAACGGAGGAGTCGCTGAGGGTAAACTCGATTGGGTATTCCTTTCCTGAAGAGGAAACGGAAACACCTTGAGCGCTGTTGCCGTCGAATGTCATTGAGATGGTGGAGGTTCCCATCGAGTGGGTCCACTTAAACGAGATGCTGTCGCCGTCGCGTGATGCGTTCTCGATCGGTCCTTCAGCGAACCCTTCGATGCTCATGGATCCAGTGATCGAGTCTCCAGATTCATCGAGTGTGAAGCTCGCAGGGATCTTGGAGCCGTTGTAATCAAAAGAACCTTCCCATGCAGAATCGTCCTCAGCAGCAACCTGGGTATCTACTTTCTGGGTCAACTCGTGAGTGCCTTCACGGATTTCGTGCCGTTCATCGAAGCGATCGCGCATCATAAATCCGGTGGAACGGATGCCTCCTTTGCCCCCATAGTTTGGCTGGATCATGACCCAAGCGTCGCTGTAGCTGCCACGGTTTTCTTCGTACTCGGACATGGTGCTTGGAAGGAATGCGACATGACCGCTGACTGGGCCGTCTGTGCCGGGAGACCATGAGAGTGTCGAGAACTCCATGGATCGCATTTCTTTGCGTTCGCCGTCTTCATCGATTGATGTGGAGAAGATCTTTCCGCTGGATGGTCCGCGATCGAATCGGGTTTCGTGCATGCCGTACTCGTCCATGCGTGCGTTGTCGAGTCCCCAGCCTTGCAGTTGCTCGACAGCCCATCGTTGTGCATTCTGTAGTCGTGTGGATCCGGTGAGTCGTGGCCCGTATTCGAGTGTGTACACACGCAGAATATCCATAACCTGCGAGTTGTACTTCCCTTCTTGGATAATGGCGTTGTTGGATCTTAAGTCACCCATCGGGATGTCAGGGACATCGACTTGCTCTCCGTCAATGATCGCATAGCTTCCGCTTGAGTTGTAGCTGTGAGCGCGGGGTGTCGATTCGCAGCCTGCGAGGGTTAGTGCTAATCCTGCGGCGGCGATTAGGGTGCATGAAGTCGTAAGGTGATTCGGGTTGATGAACATCAACGCTCCTCCGGGGTTCTGGTGTATTTGCGGCTGATCGCGTGAGAATCCAAGCGATTGCTGATGAGACATCATACCAGAAAGAGCGATTGAAGATGCGACCAAGTCTCAATTGAGAACTGGAATCTATGTGCTTATTGGAGAGGCAGTCCCTTGCGTTTCCAGAGCGAGAGCAAGCGATCAAGTGTGATTGGTTCCCAGAGTCGTTTGTTTGAGAGGCGTACACGCATGACCTCGCCTTTCGCGTTGAACTGCGTGGTTGATGGAGGAGAGTCTGGTGAGGACTTGGTTGTGATGTTCAAGAGTCCAGGTGCTTGCGGGGGTTGCTCCGCGATGTCCCATCGGAGTGTCACGGAGTTGGAGATCGGGTTGTATGCGTAGGACGCGAAGTCGCCTTGGATTTGTTTGTGCGCGATGAGTGATCCGATGAGGTACGACTGAACCTGTGTTATGTACCCCTCTTCAGGGATGAAGGGTGAGACGGTGGTGGGTGCCGCGGCGCCATCGACGGCGGTGATAGAGAGCTTGCCGCCAATTCGCGCACCTGTGACTGATGAAACACGCGGCTCGGCAGCTCTTGATCCCTTGGGTTGGTTCTCGTCTTTCAGAGTCATCTTGATGGTCCAGTACTCTTCTTCGCCATCGAGGGACATGTAGAAGATCGCACGCGAGTCGATCCGCATTCCCGAATCAAGAGCCATGGAATCAATCTGGACGAGGTATCCGAGCTTGCGATCGTCGCTGCTCCAGTTCTCGCGAGCTTTGGTTCCCAGTTCTCCTTTGTAACCTGACCAGGATCGGACTCGGCGGTAGCCGTGCTCAGTCGCGTCCATGTCATCTCCGGAAACAGCGGGGGTGTAGAGGCGTTCCCAGCGTTCGCCGTTCTTTCCGGTCAGGACCGCGTCGTAGTCGTCGATCGTGAGTTGGTTGAGCAGCGATTGCATTGCTTGGAATCCCGCGGCTCGTTTGAGGGTTTCGGAGGACATCTCCTGGAGATCCATGCTTGCGATGGTGGTTTCGTACATCACGCGACCGATCTCGAATCGCTCGTCGCTCGCCTCGACGGTGTAGTCGTACACGAGGAATGTGTTGGGTTTGTGTCCGAAAATAGTGATCCCTCGATAGATCGGAGGAGCGGACTGTGTGCGTCCAGGCACGCGGACATAGATGCGATGTCCTGTCCAGATCCCTGCTCGGAGTGCGGGTTGCTCCGAAATCAGTTCAGCGCCGGGGGCTTTGAGGAGTTGATCGCGGATGCTTTGGGCCGCTTCGAGTGAAGTCAGTTCGGCGTTGGTGGTCCGCTGTTCCTTGACGATGATGGTCCCGAGGTCTGCAGGGAGCGCGATACCTGTGCTCGTAGAAGTTCCGATCCGGACAGTCTCCGCTTGGGCTCCTTTGGGGAGATTCAGTGTGAGACCGATGGAGTCAATCGTGATCGGATCGATCTCCATCTCGGTCAGGTCCGCTGATACCGGCTCGTTTGTGGGTGTTTGGGCAATGGTCAGTGTACTAAGCAGGCATACAAAGCTCAGGACTGAGAAGAATCGGAGTTGGTGGTTTGGTTTGAGCATATCGTTTCTCGCGGATTTGGTCGTGGTCGTTGGAGTCTTGTTTCGGCTCAATTGCTCACGAATATTCATACGGAGCATACGGCTCAATGGTTGACCTTGCGAGGAGTGGGGCTATGCTTCTCGTCCCGCTGGGAACTCTCAGGGGGCGGACGGTGCGGTCCTTACGCTTCGATCCGGAACAAATGAAGACCAGAGCGAACCCGATGTGCGCTATTTGCGTCATCGGATCATGAGATCTCAGCCGACTTAGTTGGCTCAAGCCAGACAGAGGTATACGCAGCATGACCGGTGGACGAATCCGAATCAGAATGGAAGCTTACGACCACATCGCCCTGGACGCTTCGGCGCGTGAGATTGTTGATCACGCAAAGCGCACCAATGCAAAGGTGAAGGGGCCAGTGCCCCTGCCAACTCGTATCGAGCGATACACCGTTCTGCGTGGTCCGTTCGTTGACAAGAAGTCGCGTGAGCAGTTCGAGATTCGCACACACAAGCGCATTATCGATATTCATGAACCTAACGCACGCACCGTCGAAGCACTCAACCGCCTCGTCGTTCCAGCAGGTGTGTTCGTGAAGATCAAGGCATAACAACTCCAGGCCCGGCTTTCGGGTCTGTTTTTGTAGGTATATACAGTTTCAATAAGACTTCCTCTGCTCGACGAGCATGAAGCGGTTTCCGCCCGAACGCGGAGATGAAGGACGAAAGAAATGACTCAGCCAAGCAACAGCCCACACCTCCTTGGTCAGAAACTCGGAATGACCCGTGTCTACAACGAAGACGGCGTCTCTCTACCAGTGACCATCATCAAAGTGGACACACACACCATCACTCAGGTCCGCACTCCTGAGGTTGACGGATACAGCGCGATTCAGCTCGCGACTGGTGATATCAAGCCTCGTAACTCGACCATGCCTTTGATCGGGCACGACGCGAAGGCTGGCGTGGCTCCTCGCCGTAAGCACTTCGAGACTCGTCTCCCAGAGGGTGGTGAGTCCGAGTACGAACTCGGTCAGGAAGTGAACCTGTCGGTCTTCGAGGACATCAAGTATGTTGATGTGATCGGTGACGGCAAAGGTAAAGGCTTCGCGGGCGGTATGAAGCGATGGGGCTTCAAGGGTCAGCTCGCTTCCCACGGTGTTGAGCGGAAGCACCGCTCCCCTGGTTCGATTGGTGGTCACGCGAATAACGCTGGTAAAGCCGGTCGTATCAAGAAGGGCAAGAAAATGGCGGGTCGCTACGGCGGCAAGCGGATCACAGTCCGCTCCCTGGATGTGGTCCGCGTTGACAGCGAAAACGGGCTGATTCTGGTGAAGGGGCCAGTCCCTGGCGCCAACAAGGGCTGGGTCGAGATCCGTCCAGCGACAAGATTGTACAAATCCAAAGCAGCAAACGCTTGATTTGGACTTTGAGGGGGTCAATGATCCCTTCCCCGCTCAGGATCGCAGATTCTGAGTATCGTTCGGCAAGTCGTCTCTGAGACGAAACTACCGAGAAAAACAAGTCATTGACCCGGCCGGTTTGGTCGGGATCCAATGCCGAGTCAAACCAGTGGTCCTAGGCATCTCATTCGAGGTGGCGCAAGCAAGACCTAGCACTCTGGTAAGGCATGTGAGCCTGTCGATCGGAATCGGCGGGTTGAACGAAGGCGTACGGCGAGGTAAAGACCAATGGATGTCCCCGTCTACACAATGAGTGGTGAATCCGCAGGCACGATGTCTGTCGATGAGATCGCACTCGGCGAGACAATCAACGCAGACCTGATCAAGCAGGCGTTCGTGATGTATCATGCGAACCAGCGTCAGGGTTCGGCGCGCTCCAAAACGCGCTCGATGGGTTCGTTGACTGGCAAGAAAATGTACAAGCAAAAAGGTACGGGCAACGCTCGCCACGGCGACAAGAAAGCCCCGATCTTCCGTGGTGGTGGACACGCTAAGGCCAAGCGTCGCACGCGTGAAGACTACCACAAGAGCATGCCGATCAAGATGCGTCGCAAAGCAAACCGCAACGCGCTGCTCGCCAAGCTCGTGGACCAGGAAGTCAAGGTTATTGACGGCCTGGCCTTCGACGCTCCAAAGACCAAAGCATTTAAAGATTTCCTCAGCAACATCGGGATCGACAAGTCTGCGCTTCTCGCGTTGTCTCCAGATGCTGAGAAGAGCAAGAACGCTCGCTTGAGCGCTCGCAACATCGACGGCGTTGCGATGTGCAAAGCTGACCAGCTCAATGCATACGAGATGCTCAACAATCGTTACCTCGTGATCGACAAGGCTGATCTCGAAGCTTGGCTCAATGGTCCAAGTTCGCAGACCGGTAAGATCGTCCGGAATGAAGGAGGGCAGGCGTAATGCTCGAGCCACACTACATTCTTCGTAAACCACTCCTGACCGAAAAAAGCACAGAGCGCATGGAAGAAGCCAATGTGTACGCTTTCGAGGTCGATCGTCGTGCGACCAAAGACGAGATCAAGGCTGCTGTCGAGCAGGCTTATGGCGTCAAGGTTGTGAAGATCAATACCCAGGTCCGCAAGGGCGGCTCGCGTCGCTTCCGCTACGGCAAGGTTGCCGAAGCTAGTTGGAAGCGTGCGATGGTCCGGATCGCTGATGGAGACGCCATCGAGCTCTTCTGAGTTTGGTGAGAAAGGAATAGCAAGCTATGGCCATTCGAGTCTATAAACCAACCAGCGCCGGGCGACGCAACGCGTCGGTGAACCTCAATGAGGCAGTCACCAAGAAGACCCCTGAGAAGTCGCTGCTCAAGCCATTGTCCAAGAAGGGTGGTCGCAACCACCAGGGCAAGATCACTGTTCGCGGTCGTGGTGGGGGTGCCAAGCGCATGTACCGCCAGATTGATTTCGCTCGTCGTGATCGTGATGGGATTGTCGGGACTGTGAAGGGGATCGAGTATGATCCGAATCGCAGCTGCCACATCGCGCTCATTGAGTACGCGGACGGCGTTAAGCGTTACATCCTCGCTCCGAACAAGCTTACAGACGGCGATACCGTTGAGAGCTCGTCCACCGAAGCGATCGAGCCGAGCATCGGCGCCTGCATGCAGCTCAAGCACATCCCATCTGGTATGAATGTGCACTGCATCGAGCTCCGACCAGGTGGTGGCGGCAAACTCTGCCGTAGCGCTGGTATGTCTGCTCGCTTGACCAACAAGGAAGAAAAGTACGCGACGATCGTCATGCCTTCGGGTGAGACCCGTCGCGTTCCTATTGAGTGCCGAGCAACAATCGGTGTTGTTGGAAACTCGGATCACCAGAACCGTCGTCTCGGTAAAGCTGGTATCTCTCGTCACCTCGGTCGTCGTCCGAAGACTCGTGGTGTGGCGATGAGTCACCACGCTCACCCACTTGGTGGTGGTGATGGTCGCAGTAAGGGTGGTCGTGCACCTGTGAGCAAGTCAGGTACTTTCTCCAAGGGTGGCGGTACTCGTAATCGGAACAAGCCGTCGCAGGATCTCATCATCCGTCGTCGTAAGAGCAAGCGTTACGGACAGCTCAAGTAAGCATAAAGGGATTAGACGATGTCAAGAAGTCTCAAAAAAGGCCCATATGTCGATGAGAAGCTCTACCGAAAGGTGGAGAAGCTCGAAGCTGCCGGCGAGAAGAAGCCCATCAAGACTTGGGCTCGTGCATGCACGGTGGTTCCGGAGTTCATCGGACACACATTCCAGGTCCACAACGGACGCTCGTTCATCGATGTGTTCGTGACTGAGGACATGGTCGGGCACAAGCTGGGTGAGTTCTCCAACACGCGTACCTTCCGTGGTCACACGAACAAGAAGGAAGGGCTCAAGTCACGCTAAGCGTTGACCAAGGGATAAAGCCATGAAACTTAGATCAGACGAACTCAAGAAACGCGCAGCACAGGTCGGCGTGACCGAAGAGCAGCTTGTTCAAGCAGTCTCCGGTCAATCGCTGAGCGAGAAGGCCGCGGGATCAGCAGTCAAGAACTGGCTCGCAGGTCGTGACCATCCACGCTGCCGTCGTGCAGATATCGAAGCGATGGCAACCGCTGTTGGTTGTCTTCCAAAGGACATCTCAAAGTTCACTTCTCAGGTCCGCAACCATCGCGGGAGCCAGAAGAAGGCAAAGCTTGTTGTGGACATGATCCGTGGCAAGTCGATCGATGAAGCGACCCAGATGCTCCAGTTCTCGACCAAGCGTGCTTCGGTCAACATCGGCAAAGCACTCCTCGCTGCACAAGCGGATGCTGAGCAACTCGGTGCTGACACGGGCGAGCTCTTCGTGAGCGAAGCAACCGTGGATCGTGCAACCCACATCAAGCGGTTCCGTCCAAAAGATCGCGGCCGAGCACACCCAATCCTCAAGCGTACAAGCCACATTACTGTTTCAGTTCAGGAGCGTAGCTAATGGGACAAAAAAGTCATCCATTCGGACTTCGACTCGGTGTTACGGAAGCCCACCGCTCACGCTGGTATGCTCCGAAAGCTCTCTACGGCGAGCTCCTCGTCGAAGACGAGAAGATCCGTCAGTACCTCAACAAGCGTCTGAACCAGACTCCGCCGAGCGCGTCTGTTTCGGACATCCACATCGAGCGTACTCGCGAAGAACTGAAGATCATCGTTCGGACCGCTCGTCCAGGCATCGTGATTGGTCCTAAGGGATCTGAGATTGATCGTATGACCGAAGAGCTCCGTTACATGACTGGTCGTAAGGTTGCGATCTCTGTTGTGGAGATCCGTGAGCCTGACCTTGAAGCGCAGCTTGTCGCAGACGGTGTTGCTGAGCAGCTCAAGAAGCGTATGGGATTCCGCCGCGTCCTCAAGATGCGTGCTGAGAATGTCATGAACGCTGGTGCTCAGGGTGTGAAGATCCAGGTCGCTGGTCGTCTTGGTGGTGCGGAAATGAGCCGTCGTCTTGATGTGCGTCTTGGATCACTTCCGCTGTCGACGCTTCAAGCGAATATCAACTACGGCTTCTCCGAGAGCCACACTACTTACGGTGTTCTGGGCGTCAAAGTCTGGATCTACAAGGGTGTGTACTCGACTCAGGAAGAAGAAAATCAATCTAACGCGGCAGGTGCCCGCGCTCGTGCTCGAGGTCGCCGTTAATCGTCGGCTGCTTCAAGCGGTTTATTGGAAAGTAAAAGGACTCAGATATGCCTCCTTATAAAATACCAAAGCGTGTCAAGCACCGTAAAGAGTTCCGTCGTCGCCGTGATCGTAAAGCGACCAAGGGTAACTATGTTGCTTTCGGCGAGTTCGGTCTTCAGGCGCTCGAGGGCTGCTGGCTCAAGAGCAACTGTATCGAAGCGGGTCGTGTGACATGTCAGCACTTCCTCAAGCGTGAGGGCAAGCTGTTCATCCGTGTGTTCCCGGACAAGCCGATCTCCAAGAAGCCACTCGAAACTCGTATGGGTAAGGGTAAGGCGGATGTGGATTACTGGGCGGCACGCGTTCGTCCCGGCACGATCCTCTACGAACTTGCAGGTGTCAGTGAAGTTCGCGCCAAGGGGGCATTTGCCCGTGTCGCGATGAAGATGCCGATCAAGTGTCGGATGGTCAACCGTCGGATCGAGGCATAAGGGGCTGATGATGACTGGTGCAGAAGTAAAAGCATTGAAAGACGAAGAGATCGTGGTCGAGCTTGGCCGTCTCCGCAGTTCGCTGATGGCGATGCGGAACAAGAGCGTGACCGAGAAGATCGAAGACACCTCGCAGTTTGGCAAAATCCGTAAGGACATCGCCAGGCTCCTGACCGAGCAGACCGCGCGGAACAACAAAGACTCCTGAGGATGACCATGAGCGATACCGAAATCAAAGGTGCAAAGATTGGCGTGGTGGAGACCGACACTCGGGACAAGTCCCGCAAAGTGGTGATCCATTACAAAGCCCCGCACCCAAAGTATGGCAAGTTCGTGAGCAAACGCACTGTGATGCATGTTCATGATGAAAACAATGAGTCGCATACAGGCGACGTGGTCGAGATCGTGCAGTGTCGCCCGGTCTCGAAAACCAAGAGCTGGAAAATCTCGAAAATTATCGAGAAGCGCAGCATGTGATCAGACCCCTCGGCATGAGGTCGAGGTTTAGGAAGAAGGCAGGGCAAAATGCTCCAGCAAGAATCCAGATGTGAAGTCGCGGACAACTCAGGCGCCAAAGTCGCTTATGTTATCCGTGTGTACGGCGGATCCACGCGTCGCGACGGTCAGACCCGTCGTCAAGCGTTCATCGGCGACAAGGTCCTCGTGAGTGTCAAGAAAGCACTCCCAGGGTCAGAGGTGAAGACTGGTGAAAAGTACAAGGCAGTCCTTGTCCGCACCGCGAAGCCAACCCGCCGTAAGGATGGTTCGTATGTGAAGTTCGATTCGACCGCGGTCGTCCTCATCAATGATGACGGCAACCCGAAGGGCACCCGCATCTTCGGCCCGGTCGCTCGTGAACTCCGCGAACGCAACTACATGAAGATTGTGTCCCTCGCACCGGAGGTTGTGTGATGCCAAAGCATATTCGAACAGGCGATCAAGTCATGGTGACTTCCGGCGACCACAAGGGTCAGACCGGAGAGGTCATCAAGATCCTCAACAAGACGGACAAGGTCATCGTCAAAGGTGTCAATGTCAAGACCCGGCATGTGCGTCCGACCCAGATCAACCCAAAGGGTGGAGTGGTCAATAAGGAAATGCCTCTGCACATCTCTAATGTGAGTCCTGTGGTTGATGGCAAACCAACACGCGTGCGTTTCGAGACTCAGAAGGACGGCTCAAAGAATCGCGTAGCGGTCCGTAACGGCAAGTCACTCGGTCAGGTCAGCGGTCCTAACTCGTAATACAGAATCACAGTTCTCTGAAGTGTTCAGAGAACCAAACGGCGGATAAGTCATGGCGAAGAAAGACAAGTTCGATCAAGAAACACTCGACGCAGCAATGCAGGCCAACAAGCCTCGCATGCAGTCGATGTTCATGGACACTGTGCGTCCCAAGATTGCACAGGAGTTCGGGATCAAGAACACAATGGCGATGCCAAAGCTCGAGAAGATCACCCTCAATGTCAATGTGGGTCGTCACCTCGACGGTACCAAGATCCCAAACAATGTTCGCGAATCCGTGCTTCACACACTGACTACCATCACAGGTCAGAAGCCTGTGAAGATCGCGGCGAAGAAGTCGGTGTCGAACTTTAAGGTTCGTGAAGGCTACGAGACCGCATTCAAGGTCACGCTCCGTCGTGATCACATGTGGCACTTCCTCGATCGTCTGATCAATCTCGCGACCCCTCGTATCAAGGACTTCCGTGGTCTGAACGACAAGGCGTTTGACCGTCAAGGGAGCTATTCGATGGGTCTGACCGAGCAGGGCGTGTTCCCTGAGATCAACATGGCCGAGCAAGGGTTCACCCACGGCATGAACATCAACTTCTCATTCAGCAACTCCGATCCAAAGATGAGCCGATTCGTGCTCGCTGAGCTCGGGATGCCTTTCAAGAAGCCCGAAGCGAAGAAGTGAGATTAGGAAGGACTGAGTAATGGCTAGAAAGTGTCAAATCGTTAAGAGCAACAAGACACCGAAGTACAAGACCCGTCATGTTCGTCGTTGCGAACTGACTGGACGAGCACGCGGCGTCTACCGCAAGTTCCGTATCTCACGCATCATGCTCCGCAAGCTTGCTCTGGAAGGCAAGATCCCGGGCATGCGGAAGGCAAGCTGGTAATACAACGCTCCAACACGCCCTCGTGGCGCAGGAATGATCAAAGTGCGGGCTCGCTCAGGCGAGTCAGAACGCAAGAAAAGGTAGAACACGATGACGATCAGTGATCCAGTCGCAGACATGTTGACCCGAATCCGCAACGCGACGCGTAACCGCGCCAAGAGCGTTGTGTGCCTCAACAACAAGGTGTGCCGCGGTGTTGCCGAGGTCCTCAAGACCGAAGGTTACATCAATGGCTACGAAGTCGTTGAAGACAAGAAGCAGGGCACCATCCACATCGACCTGAAGTACGGCCCACGCGGTGAAGTACTCATCCATGAACTCAAGCGGATGAGCAAGCCTGGTTGCCGAGTCTACAAGCCGATGGACAAGATCCCTGCTCCGATGCAAGGTCTCGGAATCTCGATCGTATCGACCAGTCACGGCGTGCTCTCGGATCGGGCATGCCGGAAGGAAGGCGTGGGCGGAGAACTCCTCTGCGTCGTGAGCTAAGCGAACAGGAATGAACAAGTCGGCTGGAATCCCCGGTCAGTAACCACCGGATGACGACGACAGCACGAAAGGAAACGAACAATGTCCCGACTCGGTAAAAAACCAATCCAGGTCCCATCAGGCGTCAAGGTGAACATCGCTGGACGCACGATCTCGGTCGAAGGCCCAAAAGGCTCATTGAGCTTTGAGCATCGTCCAGAGGTCCAGGTTGCTTTCGATGAAGACAGCAAGATGGTCACTGTGAATGTTGACGAGAAGCTGCTCGCTGCAGATCGTGCGAACCGCGCTTACTGGGGCACTACTCGTTCGATCATCGATAACATGATGGTTGGAGTGACCCAAGGGTACGAGAAGAAGCTCCAGATCGTTGGTGTCGGTTGGACCGGTACTGTCAACGGCAACAAGCTTGCTCTTAAAGTCGGGTACGCAAACACCATCGAGATGCCAATCCCTGAGGGTGTGACAGTTGTTGCTGAGAAGCAACTCGTCACAGTCACCGGTGCAGACAAGCAAGCGGTGGGGCACTTTGCTGCTTCCGTGCGTGCAAAGAAGAAGCCTGAGCCTTACAACGGCAAGGGTATCAAGTACCTCGACGAGGTCATCACACGCAAGCAGGGCAAGGCATTCGGTAACTAATCTGAACGGTCGCAAAGATCGCTCCAAGCGATCGTGAGGTTGAAGCAATGAACAAGAATAAAGCTAAACAAGTTCGCCGATTGAAGCGAAAGATCGGAATCCGCAAGCGCGTGGTCGGGACCCCCGAGCGTCCGCGTCTGGCAATCTACCGTTCGCTCAATCACATGTACGCACAGGTCATCGATGACATGGCTGGGAAGACCATTGTCAGCGCCTCCACTCGTGATAAGGGTGTGAAGGTCGACAAGTCAACCGGCAATGCCGATGCTGCGAAAGCGGTGGGTTCCGTCCTCGCTGAGCGTGCAAAAGAAGCAGGCATCGAGGCCGTGGTCTTTGATCGCGGCGGATTCAAGTACCATGGTCGAGTCAAGGCCTTTGCAGATGCTGCTCGCGAGAGTGGCCTGAAGTTCTAATCGAAAGAGACACCACAATGGCAGAAATGCTCGAAGAATCAAAGTCAATCGAATCGCATACCGTCGGGATCTTCCGTACGGCTGCGACCGTCAAGGGTGGTCGTCGCTTTAGCTTCGGCGCCTTGGTCGTCTGCGGTGATCGCAACGGGAAGATTGGTTACGGCTACGCAAAGAGCCCCGAAGTTCCGACAGCGATCGAGAAGGCTGAGAAGCACGCTCGTCTAAACATGATCTCGTTCCCGATGACCGGGTCCACACTCCCACACGAGACCGTAGGTCGTGCGTGTGCGAGCCGAGTGATCTTGGTCCCGGCTTCACCTGGTACAGGTGTGGTTGCAGGCGGAACAGTTCGCGCGGTACTCGAAATGGCGGGTATCACCGACTGTCTCACCAAGTCGACCGGATCGAACTCGAAGATCAACACAGTTCGTGCGATCTTTGATGGTCTGAGCCAACTCCGCACTCGCGAACAGATCGCGGAACTCCGCGGTGTTGAGATCGAAACATCGGATATTGAAGAACGCGTCAAGCGTGGTGCTCGATTCATGCCTGCACAGTCTGAAGGCGAGAAAATGGCTGCACCTGTCAACACCATCGGCCAAGATCGTGGTCGTGGTGGAGGCCGTGGCGGTCGTGGCGGCGGTCGAGGAGGCCGCGGAGGTCGTGATGGCGGCGGACGCGGCGAAGCAGCGGAAGCACCAAAGACTGATGCTCCTGCCACAGACGCACCGGCTGAGTCGAGCTCAGAAAACGCAAGCTAACCAAACGAAAGACAACAGCATGTGCAGGGGCACATGCTCCGGGAGTAACCGGTCATGATGATTCACGAAGTCACCGCGATGGCGGGTAAGTACAAGCAACGCAAGCGTATCGGCCGTGGTGTCGGTTCGGGCAACGGTAAGACCTCTGGCCGTGGTCACAAGGGTGCGGGAGCACGCCGTGGCTATTCCAAGCTGTATCAGTTTGAGGGTGGTCAGATGCCGTTCTTCCGTCGTATGCCGAAGTTCGGATTTACCAATGCAAACTTCAAGATCAAATTCTGGATTGTCAACCTTTCGGCAATCCTCGAGCATGAGGACTTTAAGTCCGGAGGAACAGTCGACCAGAAGTCGCTCATCAAAGCAGGGCTGGTCCGTGACGAATCTCGTGACCTGAAGATCCTCGGCAACCTTCCTGATGGGATGGATTCTTTGAGTGTGAAGCTCGATGTGAACGCCAACCGCGTCACCGCATCGGCTCGCAAACTTATCGAAGATGCGGGAGGCAAGGTCAACGAACTGGGCACACGCCGTGACCGCATCCGTGGTATCGACCGAAACTCGGGCGACAACACTCCGAAGAACCTCACGAAGAAGCTCAAGAAGCAAGAGTGGCACCGCAAGCGCGACGAGGCATTCGCTCGCGGCGAGGTCTTGAAGAAGAAATAAGGCTCATCGATTCGAAGGGCAGAAAACACGCCGGGGTCGATCAACCGCTGAACGATGGGAATATGATCCCCGATCACGGCTGATCGGCCCCGTCTTTGATCCTGAATCGTCGGATGTAAGTGGAAACTGATCTGAGCCAACGGAGTTACTAAAGCATGATCATCCAGACCATCATGAATGTCTTCCGGATCCCGGAACTGCGCAACAAAATCCTCTTCACCATTGGGATGCTCGCAGTCTATCGGATCGGTTTCTGGATCCCAGTTCCAGGTGTTGACCAGGGTGCGTTGACATCATTCTTTGAGCAGCAAGCTGCTTCAGGATCTGCAGCGGGACGACTGTCCCAGTATGTCGCGATCTTCTCTGGTGGTTCGTTCGGTCAGTCGACCATCTTTGGTCTCGGGATTATGCCGTACATCACGGCGGCGATTATCTTCCAGCTCTTCCAAGGCGTATCACCCCAACTCAAGAAGTTGAAAGATGAAGGACCGACAGGGTATGCGAAGATCCAGGAATGGACTCGCTACGCAACAGTGGGGCTCTGTCTCGTCCAAGCGGTCGGCTGGTTGACCTACATCACTCGTTCAGGGCTCGTTTACGAAGCTTGGGCAAACAATCCGCTCTGGTGGGTGATGGGGATCGCGGCACTCACCGCAGGGACCATCTTCCTCATGTGGCTCGGCGAGCAGATTGATCGTTTTGGGATCGGTAACGGCGTATCTCTGATCATCATGGCTGGGATTCTTACTGGGATGCCTGGCGCGGTCATCAGCGTCATCAGTAACTTTGATGCCGCAGATCCGAACAAGATGGGCTGGATGGGTCTGATCCTGTTGCTCTTCGGATTCGTGCTTGTCGTCGCGGGATCTGTGCTGCTCACAGTTGCTCAGCGGCGCATCCCTGTGCAACAAGCGAAGCACACACGAGGCAAGCGGACTTTCGGTGGTCAAAAGAGTTACCTCCCGCTGAAGGTGAATCACGGTGGAGTGATGCCGATCATCTTTGCATCATCTCTGATGATCTTCCCCTCTGTCGTATTCAGTGCTTTGATGGATCAGGCACAGAACGCTGGTGCGACTGGATGGTGGGTCGGTTTGATCAGCTGGCTCAGTCAGAACTTCCAGATGGGCGCATATCCGTATGTGCTCTTGTACATCATCATGGTCTATTTCTTCAGCTATTTCTGGATCACAGTGCAGTTCAATCCTGAAGAGATGTCCAAGCAACTCCGTGACCATGGCTCGTTCATTCCAGGGTTGCGTCCAGGACCTCGTACTGCGGAGTACCTCGAGGCGGTGATGGAACGCATTACCTATGTTGGCGCGGCATTCCTTGCGGTTATCGCAGTGCTCCCGATGGTCGTCAATACAGAACTCAAAGTGGACTTCGTAGTCTCCCAGTTCTTGGGAGGGACGGGTTTGCTGATTGTGGTCTCAGTCGCGTTGGACTTCCTCCAACGCGTCGAGGCGAACCTCCTCATGCGAAACTATGATGGCTTCCTCGGAGACAGCGATCCGGGAGAAGGCCGAAACCATTGAGGATTTCGGCCCTTGTACGGGCTGCAAGATGCGGTTTTTTGATCCGAATAGGGTTAGATCGCTCTAATTACAGGGTCTTGGAATCTCGGAAGATGACACACCGATTTGACAGGCCTAACATCGTGACCCGCGAAATTGCGAGAGCAATGCGCGGATTGAAAGCAGAAACCCACCGGATTTCCGGTATCAGACTTCGCCAATGAGCGGCGAGGGAGGACAAGATGAAAGTATCATCCAGCGTCAAGCGTCGCTCCAAGGACTGCCAGATCGTTCGCCGTAAGGGCAAAGTCTTTGTGATCAACAAGAAGAACCCTCGTTTCAAGCAGCGTCAAGGCTGAGAAGCGGATTCATTGAACCATCGGCTGCGTCACAGATGATCGCAGCGTACTGCCCGACTTGAGTCGGGATGACAGGAGAAGCCCGTGCCCCGTATCGCAGGTGTTGACATTCCGGAACGCAAGAAGATCTTCTACTCCTTGCAGTACATCCACGGCATCGGCAACAAGTTTGCTGGTGACATCCTTGAAGAAGCCGGTATCAACCCGGAAACCAAGGCTTCCGATCTGTCCGAGACCGAAGTCTCGACTCTGAACTCCATCGTCGATGGTGCATACCTCGTCGAAGGCGCGTTGCGTCGTCAGGTTCAGCAAAACATCTCGCGTCTGCGTGAGATCCGCTCGTATCGTGGCGATCGCCACCGCGCGGGTCTCCCAACGCGTGGTCAGCGCACTCGCTGCAATGCTCGTACTCGTAAGGGTAAGAAGCGTACCGTTGCAGGCAAGAAGGGCGTCAAGGGCTAAACAGCTTTGTATTTCATGGGTTGTCACCAAACAGGTGGCAACCCTTTTCAGTATTTGTATATCAGACAACTTAGTTCGCAAGGTTCCAGCCCAATCATGGGATCCAGTCAAGTGGAACCGTCAGGAGCGATTGAAACATGGCAAAGAAGCAGAAGAAGATCCGCAAGGGCGTCACGCGTGGAATCGCGCACATCAAGGCGACCCACAACAACACCCTCATCACCGTCACCGACACCAACGGCGAAGCGCTCGCGTGGGACTCCGCTGGAACCATCGGTTTCAAAGGTGCTCGTAAAGCGACCCCATTCGCGGCAACGCGTGCCGGTGAGCAGGTCGGACAGAAGGTCCGCAAGATGGGTATGAGCGAGATCGAAGTCAAGATTACTGGCGCCGGAGCAGGTCGCGAGAACGCCGTGTCGGGTCTCGCCTCGACTGGTCTTCGTGTGACCGCGATAGAAGACCACACTCCGGTGCCTCACAACGGCTGCCGTCCAAAGAAGAAGCGCCGCGTCTAATCGACCGGCTCAGAACCCCGAGTCTGCTCGGGGTTTGTCACGAATCGTCTTTCGCGGAAAGAAAGAGCGACGCCGACAGCAGCAGGGCGTCAATCTGTGAACCGCGTGAAGAATCAGGACCCTCAAGTCCCTGCTGCGGAGAAAAGAATCATGCGTGTACGCTGGCGCGGGCTCGAACTGCCCTCCCGGGTGACCCCGGACGACAAGTTTAAAGCCGATACCTTCGGTCGCTTTACCATCGAACCATTCGAGCGTGGTATGGGTACAACCATCGGTAACTCACTTCGCCGAATCCTGCTCTCTTCGCTTGAAGGCGCTTCGGTGACCGCTGTCAAGATCAGCGGGGCTGAGCACGAGTTCACATCGATGACGGGCGTCCTTGAAGACACCACCGACATCATCCTCAATATCAAGAACCTGATCGTGAAGCTCGAAGGCGATGAACCTCGCGTCATGAAGCTCGCGGCACAAGGACCTGGTGAAGTGACCGCTGACCTCATCGAAGCGGACACCAATGTCACCATCGTCAACAAAGACCTCGTCATCGCTACGTTGACTGAAGCTGTGCCGTTCGAGATGGAGATCCATGTCGATAAGGGACGCGGCTACATCCCGGTCTCCGAGCAAGACCTGAAGAACGAAGATCAAGAGATCGGTGTCATCCCGGTCGACGCGATCTACTCCCCAGTCCAGCGTGTTCGCTACCAGGTCGAGAACACCCGCGTGGGTCAGAAGACCAACTACGACAAGCTGATCATGGAAATCTGGACAGACGGCACTGTCACTCCAGAAATGGCGCTCGTCGAATCGGGCAAAATCCTCCGCAAGCACCTCAACCCATTCGTACAGTACTTCGAGCTGGGTGAGGAGCGCGTCTCGGAGAACGCAGCGGCTGCAGCTGGCGTGGACGAGGAACTCATCCGCAAGCTCAACATGCCGACCGAGCAGCTCGATCTCTCGGTGCGTGCGAGCAACTGCCTCGAGTCCGCTCGTTTGGACACCGTTGCACAGCTGGTCGTGATGACCGAGCCGGAACTGCTCAAGCTCCGCTCGTTCGGACGCACCTCGCTGCGTGAAGTGAAGCGTAAGCTTCAGGACATTGACCTTGACCTCGGGATGGAACTCCCAGAGGGATACACAATCAATCAGTGAGCGTGAGCTGCTGATCAGGATACACACCCCGCGACGCGGTGAGCGCGTCGCTGAATGAGAAGGAACCGAGTCATGCGTCACCGCAAAGCCGGATTCAAACTGGGCCGCACTACAGCGCATCGCCAAGCGATGCTTCGTAACATGGCGGCAAGTCTCTTTGAGCATGGTCAGATCACCACGACTGTGACCAAGGCCAAGGCGCTGCAGCCGTTCGTTGAGAAGATTGTGACCAAAGCAAAGCGTGGTGATCTCCACGCACGCCGTCAGGTCGTCTCGATGCTTGGTCAAGACCGCCGTGCATTCGCTTGGGCGCATATCCCCAAGGGAGCGACCGACGAGCAGCGTGAGTCGATCGAAGAGCAACGCGAGTTCACCGAGGGATTCTTTGATATCCCAGATTCAGACGAGATCGAGCGCAACCGCTACGGCGAGATCCGCAAGGCACCACGCATCGTGAAGCACATCTTTGACAATGTCGCTCCACGCTTCGAAGATCGTGCTGGTGGATACACCCGTATCGTCAAGCTCGGTGTCAACCGTCTTGGTGACGCGGCTCCGCTCTGCGTGATCCAGTTCGTTGGCAACGAGGAAGGTCCGGAGATCGGTGGTCAGCCAAGCGCTCGCCGTCGCACCGCGGATCGTCGTACCGCGTTTGCAGCAAAGCTCCGCAAGGACACCGCGAAGCCAGAGGCGGCAGTGTCTGAAGCACCTGTCGAGGACGCTCCTGCGGCAGAAGAAGGCGGCTCGGACGACGAGTCCTGATCCGCTTGCTTTGAGCAGCATCGACATATATTGACTATCCTTACACTGTCCGCAAACCGGGCAGTGTTTTTCATTGATGATGACCCGAATCAACGATCAAAGTACCATGCTTGATACCCTCAACGAGATCGAAACTTCCGCTTTATCCGAACTCCAGTCTGTTGCTGACGCGGCAGGTCTTGAATCATGGCGGATTGCGTACATTGGCACCAAAGGGCGCATGCGTAGCGTGATGCCGATGATGAAAGATGTCCCGAAGGAACAGAAGGGGCAGGTTGGCAAGCGTCTAAACGAGGTGAAGACGGCCCTCGAGACCGCGTTTGAGACCAAGCAAGCTTCGCTGGGTGATGGTGGAACGCAGACCGCTTCGGGACCTCAGATCGATCTGACGGAGCCTGGGATCGTGGAGTCATCAACAGTTGGGCGACGGCACATCATCCCGCGTGTTCGCGACGAGCTCGTAGAAATCTTCGCACGCATGGGATTCGATGTCGCACAGGGACCAGAGCTTGAGGATGACGAGCACAACTTTGTGAAGCTCAATATCCCGCCAGCACATCCCGCTCGTGATCCGATCGACAACTTCTATGTGGACAATCCCAACGAGGTCGATACCCCTCGGATGCTGCGAAGCCAGACTTCGACGGTGCAGATCCGGACAATGTCCAAGGTCGTCGCGGATGGGAAGACTCCACCGATCAAGATCGTGTCGCCTGGCCGTGTGTATCGTCCGGACACTGTGGACGCGACGCACTCGTTCATGTTCCACCAGATCGAGGGGCTGTATGTCGACCGTGGCGTGTCCATGGCAGACTTGAAGACGACACTTCTTCAGTTTGCGCATGCGTACTTCGGGGATGATGCGGAGATCCGACTGCGTCCGAGCTTCTTCCCGTTTACTGAACCCAGCGCCGAGTTCGATATGATGATCGCGCTTAAGCCGGGTGAGGATCCCAAGTGGATCGAGCTCGGTGGCTGCGGCATGGTTGATCCGAATGTACTGAAAGCGTGTGGGCTCGATCCCGAAGAATGGACAGGATTCGCATTTGGTTTCGGCATCGAACGCATCGCGATGGGTAAGTACGGCATTCCCGATATCCGTATGCTCTTCGAGAACGATGTCCGCTTCCTGCAACGCGTCTAGCGTCACACAGTACCACATCTCGTGAAAGGGACTCACATGGACGACCAGATCAACGAACTCAACGAACCAGTCGATTCTTATGATGAGGATCTGTTTGCTGGACCAGCTCCCGCTTGGCCCAAATGGATAGGCGGACTCGCGATCGCGTGGGGTGGGATCATGCTCACCTGCACAGGGATCGGGATGGTCATGCTCCCAATGCAGGCAAAGTTCATGGGACCGATGATCGAGGGAGCGCCGATGCCTGACGCGTTCATCGTCAAGCCGATGGACTGGGCAATGATGGGCGTGGGATTGGTATTGACCTTCTTCTTGCTGTTTGGTGGGATCTTCTGTGTCATGAGAAATCCAATCAGCCGAATCCTGATCCTGATCTGGGCGATCCCATCGATCCCCATGTCACTCTACAGCTTCATGGTCCAGATGGACAAGCAAGCTTCGTTGCAGGAGTGGGCGAAGCAGTATCCAGATACCCAATACGCGCAGATGCTGAGTCAATCGGGAGCGATGGGGCAGCAATTGGGTCAGATCATCGGCTTGGTCTTCACCATCCTGTTGGGCGTAGTCGTCCCGGCGTTCTTCATCATCTGGTTCGGATTCATCAAGACTAAACCAGAACAGATGACGGGGTCTGAAGAAGTTATCGCGTAACGCTCAATCCATCAAATCGTCGATGTTCATTTCTACCCCATATCGATCACGATCTGATATGATGCGGCGGAGGTGATCGTATGCAACTGATTCGAGTGTTCATTGGAATATGTCTGCTGGTGATCTCCGGATGCGTCCTGACGGGGCAAGGCTCGCTAGGTGATTCCAATGACGCGTTTGCGACTGAGCACGGGATCTGGATCACAAGGTGGGATTACCAATCCCCCGCAGATGTTCGTCAAGCGATTGCTGACGCCGCATCGATTGGGATCACTGATGTGTATTGGCAAGTCCGCGGACAAGCGGACGCGTACTACCCCTCAACGAAAGAGCCTTGGGGGATCGAGCTACTCAAGTACAATCCGAATCCACCGAGTTTCGATCCATTCGAGATTGCGATTGATGAGTGCAAGTACCACAACCTCCGGATCCATGCTTGGGTCAATGTGATGCCGCTGTGGAGGGGCAAGGAGCCTCCAACAGATCGGACGCATATCTATCACACTAATCCCGAGTGGCGGCTCCGAGACGAGAAGGGCGAAGTTCAGAAGCTTCATGATGGGTACATTGTCGTGAACCCTGTGCTCGATCAGGTTCACGATCACATCGTTGGTGTGATCCGAGACATTGTGAAACGCTACGACATTGATGGGGTGCATCTGGATTATGTCCGTTACCTTGCTGATGAGGTGAAACCAGAACAGTTGATGCCCGGAGATCCAGTGAGCCGAGCGCTGTACACGAAGCAGACTGGGAAGAGTTCTGATCCGCTGAGCATTGATCGGCCCCATTACAAACGATGGATCGCATCAAGAATCTCGACACTCGTCGCACGAATCGAGGACGAATCGATCAACAACAAGCGGGGTGTTCGTCTCAGTGCGGCGGTCTGGCGCCGTCCTGATCTTGCGAGTGGCCGATATCTCCAGGACGCCGCGGATTGGGTAAATCAGGGGTCGATGGACGCGATTATGCCGATGATTTACACGGACAAGAACGAGCAATACCAATCCGACCTCGCAGCTTGGCAAGCGGTGGTCGAGCAGCAGAGGGTGGTGCCTGGGATCGGTGTGTACAAGCACAACCAGCCTTCGCAGACGATCTATCAGACCGCGATCGGAGATCCGAGGCGTTTCGGAGTGTTTGCGTATGCTTCGCTCTTTGAATCACCAAATCCGGATCAGAAGAAGGACGAGGCATCTGTTCAACTCCGCGCCTCGCAGCGCCGTGCGCTCGCTGATCTGATTCAGCGTATCCAATCGCCATGAGTACCCACATCGGGATTGATATCGGGGGCTCGTCAATCAAAGCGGCTTGCCTTGATGACCAACTATTAACAGTTGGGACTGTTTCAAGTGATTGCTATAGACAACCTGATCGAAGTGGTTTGCTCGAAGCGATCCAGCAATGCGTGCGTGAGCTTGGAGTTGCAACTCCAACAAGCATCGGTCTCTGTTTCCCCGGGAAGATGAATCTCCAGCAAACAGCGATAGAGTTATCAGTCAACCTGCCTGCACTCAATGGGTGGGCATTCGATGATTTTATCGAGAGCATCCATTGTCAGAAAGTGCCATATGAAGTGATCTCTGATGCGGATGCGGCGGGTTTAGACTATGCGGTGACTTATCCAATCGAAGGTCGCACCGCGGCGATCTCGATCGGGACCGGTGTCGGACTGAGTGTCTTGGATGGGGCTGAGTTCGTACGGATAGGAAACAAGGGGATTGGTCATTTAGGATTGATGGATGTTGGAAGGCATGCCGACTTAGATCGTATCGATGCGCATGGTGTTAAAAACACGCTTGAATCCTACATCGGCGCACCTGCGTTGAGTGCAATCGACTCCGAGGGCGAGCTTAACCTTGACCAGCTCTCGGTTTATGATCCAGCGATCCGAGCGCTGGTTCACGCACTTCGTGTTGTCCACGCTATCTATCAGCCGGATCGGATTGCGCTGCTTGGTGGTGTTGGGAATGCACTCAAAACGCACCGAGAATTACTCCACAATCTAGTGTGTGATGGACTCACCCAACTCGCGGTTCGTAACTGGGCATTGGAGTTTGGTGAATCTCACTTTCATGCCGCTATGGGAGCGGCGAAGTACGCGGCTCAATCACGCTGAGATTTCCCAAGCATGCAAACAGCGGTAGAAATCAATACGCCAATGGTTAACTTCCAGGTGTGATGGATGTTCGCGTATTGATTCAAGATCGATTCAGGATTCTCGCCGCTGATTTGTATGAGTACAAACGGCTGTGATCCGAGCATCCAGAGGAATCCGAGCAGTAGCGCCATGATCGCACTGATATCTGATCCGCGTTTCGTCAGTGTCGCAGTCAGGAACACACCCACCAAACCGGCATATGCGAATCCCATCACACTCAGTGCGAAGTCGATGAGTGTGTATCCATTCGCGTCCTTCCAGAAGATGCACAAACATGCGAATACGCCGAGGACGACACCTGCTACAAGAACAGACAGCCGCCCGAGTCTGAGATAGTGTCTTTCATCCTTGTTCGGAAAGATCGGTCGGTAGAGATCCGTGATGAACGAAGCACCCATCGCGTTGATGGCGCTGTTCATGCTTGACAGTCCCGCCGCGAATAGCCCCGCCATCATTAAACCTCGCACTCCTTGGGGGATCTCCGTCAAAATGTATTCGAGGAATACTCGGAGACCGCCTGTGCTTTCGTCGCGAGCGAGGGGTTGTCCTGTCAACTCAGGATGCTGGTACGCGATCCAGAGCATAAGTCCAACAACAAGGAACACAAGAACAGTGGGGATCCCAAGCAGGATTCCCATAATGACCGATCGAGCTCCGGCTTTGGAGTCTTTGCATGTGAGCATGCGTTGTGCAAGGTCCTGGTCTGTGCCATAGGACCCAATCCCAAGGAGCGTGTATCCGATTAAGCATGCCGGGATAGCGAATGGACTTGCTAAGTCCATCGACCAATCGAGCACAGTCAGTTTCGAGTTGTTGTGATCTACAGTCGGATTGCGGAGGGTCTCGAAGACTTCTCCCCATGGCGCTTCGATCGATCGAGCGATTAAATAGATCGCAGTGATCGCAGCACCGACAAGAATCACATATTGCAGTACATCTGACCAGATGACTGATGAGATCCCACCCCAGAGTGTGTAGATGACAGCGACCATTGACAAAGTAGCGATGGACAGAATCAGCGGCTGGGGATCCAGTCCCTTGTCTATCCCAAAGATGACCATCGAGAGCGGGATCGCTGCCGCGAAGACCCGTGCGCCCGACGCGAGCACGCGTCCAAACAGAAACGCGAGCGATGCTGCTCGGCGAGCACCAACCCCCATCCGACGCTCGAGATACTCGTAGATCGAGGCGCTCTGAGTTTCGTAAAAGCGTGGGATGAAGAGGAATGCGATCAGAATTGCCGCGATGATCATTCCTAGATTGGTCGCGAGATAGGTGAGGTCTCCGGTGTAAGAGAGTTCAGGTGCTCCGATGAATGTCGCCGCGGAGAGCGATGTGGCGACAATCGAGACCGCGACGGCCCAAGCAGGCATCTTGCGTCCGCCTAGGAAGTAGTCTCTGGTGTCCTTACGCTCACGCCGAGCGAAGTACCATCCAGTTCCGAGGAGTAATAAAAAGTACCCGCCGAGGACTAACCAGTCCGCGGCGGCAAACCCCGAATCCGGCGACGATATGGGCTCCGATACCTGCATGTACTGCAATCGACCCAATGCCCCCGATTGCACCAAAACCGGGGTTGGGTAAGATGCAAGAGGCATCCAAGCAGGCTATACTCGCTCTCGGCAAGAATCGTTGGAGAGGTGGCAGAGCGGTTGAATGCGCTGGATTCGAAATCCAGTATGGCCTCCGGGTCATCGGGGGTTCGAATCCCCCCCTCTCCGTTAAGATCAAAGGTATACGAAACGGTGTCCCCAACATGACGCCGTTTCGCCCGTTTTGGAGCGTGCTAGGCGGTATTGAGTGTCTCTGGGATTTCAAGATTCCCTCGATTTCAACAAAGAACGCCCGAATCCGGGCGAGTGTCTCTAAGGGCGATTTGAGGGATGTCCTCATGAGGGAAGAAACTCAGTCAGCCAGCAGCGTTGGGTAAAGAGCTGAGCCCGAGTTCATCGGTCTGCTTCGCCCAATCGAGTTGCTTTGCGGCAATGAGGAGATCGTCGAGTGTGATCGTGCTCGGGAGTGTTCCGGAGAGCGCATGATGGAGCACTTTGGGGCCGAGGTGAATGAGCGGGAGCAGCTGCATGATCCGAGATCGTGCGATGCCTCTCTCCTTGGCGAATGCTCGGATCTGCATCCCACTCTGGAGCAAGTCATCATGCCAGCGATAGGCAAGACCGATCGCATCAACGATGTGCTGACGGGGTTCAGGGGTGGAAGGGATGATGAGATCATGCCCATCCGGGCTCAGCAGTAATCGGCGACCATCGAGCTTCTTGATCTGGATGCTCAACTTCAGCCTGATTACCTTTCCAGTCTCTTCAGTTTCCGGAGTATACAGACAAGTGGGATATGGCGGCGCATCACCAGCGTGCGTCTTGAACTCATACTTTCTGAGTTGCTCAAGCTCTATCTGACTGAGCGAGACAGCAACCGAATCTGGAGCAAGCATCACCTCATCAATCACGCGACGGATCCACCGATCACGGATGCTAATCGATTGCTGGAGTAGGCCGTCGTGTTTGACAAATGTGAGTACAACGCCTCGAATGAGTTCGTCAAGATGCTCGGCGTTGATGGTCTTAATCTGGCATGACTTGAATCCATGTTTGACCGCCTTCTGGCTGATGTAGTAGTGAACCAGTCTTTTCTGCTTGATGCCGCGATGTTTACTGAGCGGTCGATGTGTCGAGGTGGGGCTCATCGCGAATCCTTCATGGGTGCGGAGCAGCCCCTTGAGCAGGTGCGGGTGCGTCCAGCGGTGCAGCTTGGACTTCTCCTGCCTCTTCATAATGCGCTGCACTTTGTCCCAGGATTTCTGATCAATGATGGGCTGGTGGAGTCCCTCATACACATCAGTTTTGCCGTTGCGGGTGTGCGTGATCTTACCGATGTAGATACGGTTGGAGAGGATCGTGTGGATGTACTTTGCGGTGAGCGGTTTGCCTCCGTGCATCCGACCGCCCTTGCTTGTCCAGTGCTTCGTGGTGTGACCGAGATCATTGAAGTGATTAGCGATCTCAACGAGTGACTGGTGCTCGGTGTATCCAATAAAGATTGCTCGGACAAGCTCGGCTTCCTCAGGAATTGTGTAGATCCCCTTAGGCTCATTCTCTCGCTGCAAACGATAGCCGAGCGGTGGAGTCCCCCCGACCCAGTACCCCTTCTTCTTGGTCGCCGCGATCTTGTCTCGGATGCGCTCGCCCGAAACCTCTCGCTCGAACTGGGCAAAGCTGAGGAGCATGTTCATGGTGAGTCGACCCATGGATGTGCTTGTGTTGAACTGCTGCGTCACAGAAACAAACGACACCTGCTTCTCATCGAAGAGCTCCATCATCTTCGCAAAGTCACTCAGTGATCGACTCAGCCGATCGACCTTGTAGACCACCACGACATTGATTCGTCCCTTGTCGATATCATCAAGCAGCCGCTTCAATCCCGGTCGTTTCATCGTCCCGCCTGAGAATCCACCATCGCTGTAGATGGTCTTCACAGCCTCCCAGCCCTCGTGCTTCTGGCTCTTGATGTAGTCGAGCCCGGCTTCGAGCTGAGCGTCAAGGGAGTTGAATGCGAGATCGAGTCCATCCTCGTTGGACTTGCGGGTGTAGACGGCGCAGCAGATAGTCTTCATTCGTACTCCTTATGTAGGCCGCTTGAGTTTCTTGAGGCCGAAGAAGCGTGGTCCTGACCAGCGTGCACCGGTGATCTCACGAGCGATCTCCGACAAGCTCGCGTACTCGGTGTCTCTGTACCGGAACCGCTTGCCGCCATCGATCACACGCACCTCATGCCGATGCCCGTGCCAAGTGCGCACTAGCGAGGTCCCTTCCGCAAGATGCAGCGGGGCTCGGTTCTTGGTGGTCTTTGATCCATGCAGGGTGGATAAAGGATCAGGCGCATCACGGATCGCGTTCTTGAGCAACCTTCGGGTCTCCGCATCCAGCTTGCCATGTTCCTTGGACTGAAGATGCCAAGCGATCCCGCGCACCAACGCTTGCTTGAGGTGGGGTGGATCCCCCTTGATTCCGATGGCTTTCCACTTCTTCTTGAGCTGGGTATTGGTGAGGTCTTGGAGCGTGTGCAGTGGCATGGTGGTTCCTTTGGCAGTCTGCATTTACCGCGCATGCTGATCTTCCCGCACGGCAGCGAGTGCGGGCTTTGGGGGGGGAGGGTGTTTAGGGACGATCCTTCATCAGTCACATATAGCCATAGACTGTTCGAGATAGCAAGCGCTGTTGGCAGGATAAAGCCAAGAATCTGGAGAATCTGCTAGGGGGCAGCGTGACCTTCCACCGCGCTCTGGCTAACCCAGCCACGGATGGTTGCTCCATCAAGCAAAACTTCAACCTGATAACAGGTCATCATTGTTCCGTTAACGAGTGGTTCAATGTGCTTCTGGACAATGATTGCATGGGTACCGGGAGGAACGGATGCGACCTCACTCCCAACTCCCCAGCTGTCCCAAGTCTTGGATAAACGGATTGTTTTGTCATCGATACCCCAAAGTTCTAGTTCATCACCAGGTTTCCAATCTGAGATGAGTAGGTCACTCTTGAAGTAGATGTCGCTGAAAAACTCCATCTGAAACTTTATGGGATCTTGCTTGGCTGCGTCACTCCATCGTCCGTTAGGTGCAAGCACACCTTTTCCAACTGTTGCTATTCCAGATGAATCATCACCTGGAGCAAAGGCGAGCACATCAACTGCATCAGCTTTCCGAGAGACTCTAATCTCCAACGCAGCTTGTTGGAGAATGTGCTCAATCTCTTCGTGTGTGTGTCCTCGCTCCACACGGATACGCAAACTGAAACGGCGTACATCTGAATAGTGGAATGGTACTGGTTGGCCGATGATGGTGTACTTTGGAGTAGTTGCTATAGCTTGTTTGGATAGCTCAGCTGATGCTGGTTGTTCATCAACGAGTCTGTTGTTCTCGACTGATTTCGATTCAACTGTCTTTTGTTGCGGCTTATGGTCAAATGTGATCGAGTGTTGAGATGGCTTTGCCGTTGACTCGCTCTTCTCACTACAGGAGGCCAAAAGGAGAATGGTGGAAACGGTGATGATAGTGTGTAGTTGAGAATCCATGGGTGTGCCTCAATGCGGAGCCAAAGTTCTGTTGGCTCGGCACACCTCTAGAAAAAGGGCGCCGGACCACAGTCGCTCCAGAGACCCCCGCCAAGGGGCACAAGAATACAACACATGGCCGACGCCCCTTTCGGGGCGCGGCACCTGTGCTGCCATTCCTGTTCAAGAGCCAGTCGGCTCATGTTGGCGGTTTCTCTGGAAGCAGCACGACGCTCGCGCGTCGCTTGGATGTCAGCCCTGTGAGCCGGGCTGGGCTTTCGTTCGTGACTCCTTAGTCAGGTTGGCAGATTCCGGACCCGATGTCCGGTGTGATTCTGCCTTGGTGTATTCAGCCGTCAATCTCCTCCGAAGTCAAGCCTGATCTGGGTTTAGAAGGGCTGTATCTCACCCATATCCGGCGAATCAGGCAGTGGTTTGCCCTGTGGGCCCTCCTCATCGCTGATCAGTTCAATCTGGATCTCCGGCTGGCGATAGTCTGTTGGGGGGAAGCGACGGAATCCCGCATCATCGATCAGCGTGATGCTCATTGTTCCATCGTCACAGGACAACGATTGGGATTTGTTGAATCCCGACCGCAGGTTACCACCCGGTGGATGCCCCTGACGGAAAGTATCAAACCACGCCCAACCGCGCTCGGCACGCAGCCGCATCAGCTTCACAAACGGCTCATGGTCTGGCCAGAGCACAGATGCGCCTTCGAGTAGTTGGGTCCGGTGCTGATCGAGATACGAGTCGCCAGCATTCGGATCACGATTCCAAAGCGCCGCCCATTGGAACCACCTCTCAAACTGATCTGGGTAGAGCTCAACGGCTGGATAGAACCGTTGTGTCCAGAATGAAGAAGTATGGGGTGCAAGCAAGCGATCCATCAATCCATGCGCATCAAGCAGCGGGCCGGTGACGATGATCGAAGCTTCTGTGAACCGATCGATGATCCGGCGTTTGAGAGTCTGTTCAAGCCGTTCGCTCCGCCGACACTGTTCGTCTGTGGGGTGCTGCGGATCAAACCCGGGATCAAACTCGTCCAATATGAACAAGTCCGGTCGCGAACCTTCAAAACTCACTTCGGTCAGTTGGCTCGATGGGCCGATGGTATGGATCTTCGCGACGCCTGGCACCACGATGAGCCTGGGAGGTGAAGCACGCGAGCCGCTGGCACCCGAGGATCGTGCAATGGTGCGCAGATGGGGAAAGTCTCGTTGGAGCATTCGATTCTGGCGCAGCTCGGTGTCGATCCCGCCGAGCAGCTCGCCCGCGGCATTGCGAGAGCTCGATCCGATCACGATGCACCGTGCTCGTTGGTAGGCCAGTGCCCAGATCACGGCTGCAAATGAGATGATTGATGACTTCCCATATCCGTCCGGTGCACTCACCGCGAGCCGTAATGGCGCATCACCACCGATGGTTTGCAGTTCGGTGCAAACCTCATTGTGCATCCGGTTCCATGGGAGTGGGAACCGGTGCCTGAGGTACATCCTTGCGAACGCCTGGATCGAATCGCTACCGACTCGGGCTCTGATTGAACTGAGTTCACCACTGATCTGCACAATCACGAGAACTCCTTTCAAGATGAAGCCTCGTCAATGCGCCCGATCCGACGCATCATGGCCTGAAGCTCGCGAGCCATCGGCGAGTCCTCGCCAAGATCAGTGGCAACCACGCCGATCACCTGCGTCAGCTCGATGAGTGCTCGTGCATCGTGTGGTTCTGAATGGGTGCATCCGAGGAGCCCAACGCTGGTGAGCCGCTGCACAAACCGGTCATACATCTCGACCCCGCTGCGGACCGCATCGATCTTCTCTGCAGCCGATGCGGTCGAATCGCGTGAAAGCTTCGTGAGTCTTGCCATTGCGGCGTCGACCTGAGCCTTGTAGTGCCCCAGGATCTCGGCTTGCAGATCAGTTGATGGGTGTAATGCATTGTCTGCGCGAACTTTCTGCAGATCCCTTCTTATTGTTCGATCACATCTCCCGACCTTGCATGCGATTTCTGAGACGCTTAATCCTTCAAGCATCAAAAGGGCTACGCACTCTTGCCTTTGTGTGGAGGAAAGTGATGGGCCCTTGATGCTGCCATCTTGAAGTTTGCGGATGAGCTCAACCGCCGATCGTTCACGCTGCCGAGCCATCCGATGTCTCCGCAGTGGTGGGGGTGTGCATTGTGGATGGCGACCAACGATCGAGGACATCCTTACTGACGGCGGATTGCCCGGCGGTTGCGATGAATCGCCGCACGATGACATCGCAGTAGTGCGGCTCGATTTCGATCCCGAAACATCGGCGGCCCATCCGCGCCGCCGCAATGAGCGTCGTGCCTGAACCGAGGAATGGGTCGTAGACCAACTCGCCGCGCTGGGAGGAGTTGCGGATCGCACGCTCGGCAAGCGGGAGTGCCTTCTGCGTGGGATGCCGGTAGAGCGTGGTGCGGTCGCGTGGGATCGACCAGAGTGTGGATTCGTTCTTGGGACCGTACCATCGCCGCTTGCCATCGGACTTGCGTCCATATAGGCAGAACTCCGTCTGCTCGTTGAAGTCCCCAAACCCCGGCGAGAACGACTCCTTCGCCCAAGTGATCACATGCCGGGGCTTGAGCTTGAGCCGGGTGAGCATCTCGGCCATGAATCCAAAGTTTGCGAACCCGTTCCAGATGTAGAACCCACCACCGGGAAGCATGTGGTCTTTCACAATCGAGATCCATGACTCGGTGAATGTACGATATTCGTCATCGGACATCTTGTCATTGATGATTGGGCGGGAGTTACTTGAGGATTTACCTGTTGGTCGGTCGGCGGCGTTGTAGGCGACATTGTACGGAGGATCGGTGTGGAGCATATGTGCTCGCTCGGATTCGAAGAGCCGCTCGATGAGTGATTCGTCGGTGCAATCGCCGCACGCGATGCGGTGGTGACCGAGCTGGATGATCTCGCCGGGTTGAGCGATTGGGTTTGAGTCAGCAGTGGACTCGAGTGCTTGTTGATCGAGTTCGGAATGCTCATCTCCAGCGGAGTCGTGAGCTGTGAGGATCTGGTCGATGTCGCTTGAAGAGAATCCAGTCAGATCAATATCGAAGTCAGCGGACTCGGTTAGTTCGCTCAGCAGCGACGCGAGCAGCTCGGAGTCGTTCTCGCCGGAGATATTGTTGAGGGCGAGGTTGAGAGTCTTTTCCTTGCCCAGCGGGAGGTCCACCACACTGACGAGCACTCTCGTCACGCCTTGGGCCATCAGGATACTCAGGCGTTGATGACCAGCAACGAGATTGCCGGTTTGCTTGTTCCAAACCGGTAGCTGCGCCATACCGAATTCTTCTACGCTGGCTCGGAGCTGCCTCCCTGCAGCAGAGTCGGGGTGGAGGGGCTTGCGGGGGTTGTACGGGGCGGGGTTGATCTTCCTGATCGAGACCCATTGTGGTTTGGCGAAATCGACCATCGTCTTCCTTCCGTCGAAAGGGTGGATCAGCCTTAATGGCTGGCGATTGGTCGAGTAAAGTAATGAGCTAAATTTGGCGTTCGGGTCACACGCTGTGAACCGGTCGTTTGACCAATCAAGGTCATTGTGCACCTGAAATTACAAAAGACGATCCCGTCCATTGGACACCGTTTGGACAATAAGTGGTTTGGGTCTAGGATAAGGACAATGGCGGTGCATCCGGCCTGTAATAGCCTCTGGTACCTTCTCGTTGATTTAAGATCTCAAATCCCTTCTTCCTCATCCGCTGGATTCGCTTCGCTACGGTTTGATGATTTGGTCTTTCAGGTAAGTGAAACGCAATATCTTTCCCAGTGAGAGCTTGATCCTTGAGGAGTTGCCAGATTTTGAACTCTTGATCTGATAGTCGATCTAGATGAAGAAATGGTTGCTCAGTGTCTTTTTCGAAGAAGTTTGCTAGCCTGGAGACACGCTCAATCGCGCGTCTGGATTGTGTTGTCAATGTAAATGGGCCAGGGCCTTGGGAGGTATGGAGTTCAATTGCTCCTTTACCCCATTGGACACAACAGAGCTCTATGAGATGTTCGGCTTCATCGAAAGCGGAGAGAGTCTGACCAAGGACAGTCTCGCCAAGTACTATCGCTTCACGCATGACAGTTGATCGGGCTAAGTTGATACTTTGGCAGTATGTGTGGTGAATATTGGTGATTGCTGCGGCTTGCCCCGCAATGTCCGGCAGCGAGTCGAGGAGATCTGTGGATTCAGTAACCCAGTCTGAAATCGCCTTGGCTGGAGTGACGGATGGGCGTTGCATGATGAATGGTATATGTATTTATGGTGACAATACAGTGACGTACATTTGAAATACTCGATGCGACGTAACCAATCGGTTTCGAATGGGATAATCACTCAGAAGCCTGCTCCACTCCTCTTCCGACCCTCTGAGAGAACAACGGGAAGTTGCTACCAATAACAGTGACAGTGGTGTGAAGCATATGGGGGCAGGTTGAAGGGGTGATGATGCTAGGCCATCACATTGCCAACGTGAATGTCATGAATTCGAATCACATAAGCAAAGCCTTGGTATACGAACTATTGCCCGTTAATTGGGCTCCGCCACCACGCTTTGTGGAAGTTGCTGGAGCGCTTGAGGACGGTACGAAGGTCGAGACTTCGATTCTGTACGACTAACTCGTGGATTTTCTACGATTATTACTGTTGCTCGGTCATGGGTGGCTTACTGACGGGGTCGGTGGACACATGACGTGCGCGATCTGCCCGCCGAACTCAACTACCCCGAGCTGACGACTGCAAAGAGAGCGAAGTGCTTTCCACAACATTGCAGACGTGTACTGGTCAAGATCATCTGGGACGTGATCCAACAGTGACCGTGAGCAGACCACGATCAATCGATCCTGTGCACGTGAGAAAGCCACATTGGCTCGGTTAAGATCTAAAAGAAAATCAGCGTTGGTACTGATTGCTGTTGGATCACTAGCAGTAGCAGAGACGATGACAGAGCTACACTCTCCGCCCTGCAGTCTCTCAACGGTATCGATGACTGACACCGCAGAGGAGAAAGGTTCTAGTCGTTGCTGTAGAAGGGTTCGCTGCGCCCGATGCGGTGTGATCACAGCAACAGACGAATCCGGGAGTTCGTTGCCCGCTGCAAGTAGCTGTGCCAAAATCTCCGCTTCAAAGCGATTGCTTCGTCGTGATTCTCGTTCGTCGTGAACGAGCAGATAGACGCCGTGGGGGGCACTCCAGATCTCACTCAGCGGGTCATCCGCCTCATGTATGGGGACTGGCTCTCGAACGGGCCCGTCCAGATCGATTGAATCCAAACGATAAACTCGAGCGATGAGATCCCGTACTGCAGGCGGAAGCCGGTGTGAGTATTCGAGATGAGAATAGGTGACAGCTGTGGCGGGCAATTTAGCTTCGGTCGCAAGGGCTTGTACAGCGTCATAGGCGCTGACATAAGGCTTATAGAGCACAGTGGGTGGGCGATCCTCTTTCTCCCAGTCGTGCGACACAATTGGCGCGAGTTGCCGGTGGTCGCCAGCTAGTAGAAGTGTCGCCGTAGGCTGCGTCACACTAGCCAACGACAGAAACTCAGGGAGCTTCATCATGCTGGCTTCATCGATGAACAGCCCCGATGCAAAGCTATTGCCACTTGGTTGGAACCGAGCGGCATTGATCAGGTTCGCGCTGCCCTTCAGGAGGCCTGTTGTCGTACCAAAGAGAACCAGTGAGCCCGATCTGGTCGCTTGCACCATGGGCGTCGTGGCGAAGTTGTTCCCAACGCCCCAGCTTGCTACACCTGCAGGCAAGGCGTCCTTCGGGTCAATCCTACAAAGTGTGACTTGCGGGCATTGATAGCTGGCGGCTTCGAGCTGCTGCTGGACAATCGGTAGATACTCAGCCGTTTTTTCAAGGAGTGTGTCTACGGACGTATGCGTCGTGCCTCCTACTAGTAGCGTCGACCCACTTTCATGTAGAAGAAGTGCATGCAATGCCAGACAAACGGCAGCAGTGCGGGTCTTACCCGTACCAGGTGGGCCCTGAATGAGCTGCACCCTCGGGTGTAGCGTAGCCTTTGCTGCAGCCAACTGTGACTCGTTCAGGATTGAGACGCCCGCTGGCCCCAGGTTGTCGAGGACCTGATTTGCCAAGGAAACTGTTTCTGGATCACGCTGCGGCAATGCTGGGAGCTGGGGCGCTGTCGGATTGAACCAGCGAAAGACATGGTCACCACTTCGGCTATCTAGCCTCTGGTGAACCCGGTGTTCAACGAATCCAGATGGTGATTCATCGAGGGTTGCATTGGACCAAATCTCGTTGTCGGGGTCTGGATCGACCGTGCTCAGTCTGAATTGGTCGGAGCGCCGAAGAGGAATGACCGCCAGCCTGATTGCTCCAGTGGCCCAGTCAAGTTGGTTGATCACGCAGGATGCGCCATGCTTCTGCAACAGGCCTAGGGACTGGGGCTGGTCGATTGGGTCAGGCCGTGGAGTGAGTCTGGCGAAACCACCTTCCGCGAATCGGGAGTTCTCCGCCAAGACAGCGAGTGTGGTGCCATATGAGGCTACGTCCAACTCGGCGGTGAACTCGTTGTTGCCAGTGGCCTGAATATTCGTGATCGGAAGAGATACGAACGCACTCACTCGAATGTGTGGTGGTGCCAGGTGGGCCGCAGCCCAGTCGCTCGCCTTGACATGCTGGTCAAGCCGCAAGAAATCGACGCATGCATCACCAAGGTCACGAGTACCAAGCCGAAAGTTTCGCAGCTGCGCAATATTGAGTGGAGGTTTGGTGATCTCACGATTATGGAACTGAATGCGTTCGTCAATCCAGCGCAGCGCATGGCATCGGGAACGAAGATACGACCGCAGATAGTTAGGCTGTTGGGCACGGTTATATCGTTCGATGGCGTTTCTGGTGCTTGCGTCTCTGGCTGAGTTGGGGTCAAGTTCGCCCCAGACTGCTCGCCAGTAAGGGGCCGGAAGCTGGTCGAAGAAGCGGCTCCGGACCTCGAAAAGCCGCATCGAACCACTAGAGGTGTCACTAGGATCTGCCCAACGGCCGTCATCAGTAACCCTGAGCGTGGTCTTGAAGTCGAAGATGTCCTGCTCCATGACTTTGTCCAATGCAACAACATCCCGGCCTACGTCACGGGTCCAGTGATATCTCTTGCCAAACCATGTGAGCGCTGTAGCGACTGCTAGGCCACGGCCGGTCCATCCGAGTCCATAGCGCCGAGTGACCTCCTCCTGCAGTGCCGAGAAAATGAGCTGCTCAAGGCTGTCTCGGCAGCCCAGTAACTCACGCAGATGTCCAAGCAATGCAGTATTGGTTCTGGAACAGGCCTCAACCAACCGGCGCATCTCGGTCCGAGACCAGACATAAAAGTGAATCGGCACGGAAGGAGCATCACTGACGGCATCGATAGCATCGATTAGCTCGATCAGAAATGCCTCAAGCCGCTCGCCTTCGATACGCGTGTCGTCGATGTAGTTGCCGGTCCAGGGCGAGTTCTTGAAATTGATTACGGATTGTCCCGAGATATCCGGAAGCTCGTTAATCGCTGGCCCTCCATCAGCAGTCCAGTCCTTGGGCGTTTCAACGACCCGTGGGTACGGTTTCCAGCCGGTAGTTTCCTCGACAAACCCCGTGTGGCAGAGTGAGTCACTCTGCGTAACATGCGCAGACAGGCCGCCAATGCGATCCTCGGCATAGTCGTAATCAACGCTCAGATAGACCCGTACGAGCCGCTGGCCAGACTGCTCATGCTCTGGAAGGCCACTTAAACCGCTGTTGGGAACCTGTTGGACCGGATACTCGTCGGAGTCACCAGGGAGCGTTGAGAGTCGTGCCTTCGCCTTGACGATCATTGAATCAATGCTCTCCCCAAACGCCGGATCAGTCCGTAGCGATGTAGCTGTGTCTCCTTTGGGATCGAGTTCAGCGAGCTCGTCCAAGGACGCGACTCCGACTCGCTTCAAGGCACGGATCGACGCCGGGGGAAGGCCGATAAGCTGGGGGCGACGATGCAAGCCGCTCTCTGGCAAACAGTCGGTGTTGAAGATACAGGTGTCACACTTGGAGTTCAGTTGATACGGGAGATCATCTAGATCAGCCTGAGCGTACTGAGCTAAGGGTCCGTTTGGAGCGAGCAGTGCTTCGAGATCCTCGCCCTCAGTATCGAGAGCGAGTGGGGGCAGATCGCTGATGGACTGAAGCGAGTTGTTGTCTTGGTCGATGCGAGCGACGACAGCTGATACATGCGAGGGCTCAATTGGGGTGCCTGCAATAACGAGGGATTTGCTCTCAATCGATTTGCAAACCAGCGCCTTGTAAAGTGCTACTTGCAGTCGCTGATAAGTCTTGTCACGACGCGACGCTTTGCATTCCACAATGCGCAGTGTTGGGGTATAGTTATCCCAGAGTACCAAGGCGAAATCGATTCGGCCCTCAATTTGAAAGCCACCGACTGATCCCGTTACTTCAACCTCTTGAGCGAATCCAGTTTGGCCCACATTGAGCTCAGAAACTTTCTCGCAGAAAACACTCCAGGGCACGCCATATTCACCATCAGTTGGCTCGGCGAGCTTCTGCAGCCCGTCAGACTCAAGCATCGATGCCCATTGTTCTTCTCGTCGAGCACCTTCTGCTTGAAGCACGGGGTCAAGAGGGTTGAACAAGCGGTTGTAGAACGGAAGGCGCCTCGCTGCATCTCGGCCGTTTAGTTCAAGCCGAAAGCGTCTTGCACAGCTTTGGTGGCGTACGAATTCACCTGCCTGGTTTACACGCAATACTGGCAAGGAAGTCATTGTGCCGCCCCCTCTAATTGAAGTCGATGCATTGCACCCGGACCTCGGCCTGTTCCTGGATGAGCTGGGTGCTCGGCTCGGAGGTCCAGGTATTGCTTTGGCACCGGTCGGGTGCGGGAAGCTCGAGGCGGCTTGGGCCCTCTAGCAATCTCAAGCTTCAGTGGCGATCGCAGTGCCCGCCTAGTTAGTCCTTGGCGAACAGTGCGTCCCAGCACCTCGGCTAAAAGAGGGGGCGTAGCATTTCCGATCTGACGAACTTGATCTCGATAGGAACCCAAGACATGCCACGTCGTCGGGAACGACTGAAGGCGCAATAGTTCCTCACATGCTAGCGGTCGATTACTCCAGTGGAATGGTCCTGTTGCCGGGCCTGGAGATGCTGACAATGTCCACGACGGATGACGTTTGCTGAGCTTTAAAAGAAATGACCAGTACCGTGAGCGATAGCTGAACAAAGGCTCACCACTTCCTTCAGGAGTATGCCAAAGGTAATTCTGCCCTTCTGGAATTGATGGAAGTAGATCAGCCCAGCGACCTGTCAGTGAAGGTTTGTCAATGGCATCAACATCGTGCAGTGCATCCCATGCCGTAATTGGAATGTCCTTGTGAGTAGCCTGTGGCCACTGCGGAGTCGCCCCGTCCCGGAATGCGATAAGGATCGCACGCTTTCGCCGTTGCGGAACCCCATAGTGAGATGCATCAATGACACGAACTGACAAGGAGTAATCGGTGTTACAACGCCTGTTGATTGCGGCAAGTGCCAACTCCAGAGTTTCTGTAGCGTCTGTACGACCTGAAACAAAGCCTGGAACATTTTCAATCAAAACAGCACGTGGAAGACATAGCTCAATGAGATCGATAAACCGATGAATGCAATTAGAACGAGCGTCTTTCAAGCCAGAGCGTGCACGGGCCGACCACTGCGCTGCCTTTGAGAACGGTTGGCATGGTGGACCGCCTGCAAGTAGATCGAGTTCGCCCTTTTTGACGCCAAGTTGGCGGAGCTTGAGAGCACGCACGGCGTCGGAGACATCGAGCTCTTCGGCTAACGGCCACGAAGGCCGGCTTGACACGAGACTTGCACGGGCAGTCGGATCACGCTCGATACACATCACATGCCGAAATCCGGCGCATTCCAGGCCCAAGTCGAGACCGCCAAGGCCAGAAAAAACTGAAAGCACTGTGAGTGGCCGCTTTGCCATGGAGTACTATAGCTGAGTGGCTGAGTTCGAGGTACTTAAGGCGTACACCAGAGCTGACGTGCTTGCCGAACTCGGAGTACCGGATCCTGGTGGGGGTAACTGGTATACCGGGTACGTACAGCATGACAGTGAGTGGTTCTTGTTCCCCACAGTCGGTGACGCTGGCCGAACCGGTCACGATTATCCCAACCGGTGGGTGGGGACACGCTTAGAGTGGTTTGGCAAGTCTAATGCTAAGGTTGATCAACCGGCGATTCGCGCAATGACGTGCGATGGAAGTCGAGTGCATCTGTTTGCGCGCGAAAACTCTCGGAATCCCTTTGCCTACTTTGGTCGAGTTCGTGCCCTAGAGATTTTTGATGAAATCCCCGTACGCATCCACTGGGAGTTGGTGGACGAGGGGGTTGTCGACAATCTTGGTCACCAGGAAGAGAGTCAGTATCCAGAAGGACAGATACGGCAGCGCATTTCTCACCGCTATGAACGCAGTGCGGCGGCTCGACGGAGGTGCCTCGCACACTATGGAACAAAATGCTATGTATGCAGAATGGACTTCCCAAGTTCGTATGGGGGCCTTGGACTCGGCTATATCCACGTTCATCATCTCGATGAAGTTGCTGCGCGGGGAGGAGAGTACCTGGTAGATGCGATCAGAGATCTACGCCCGGTGTGTCCGAACTGCCATGCGATGCTTCATACAACCTCACCGGCGATGGCCATCGAAGTTCTTCGTTCCCGCTTAACGCTGGGCGGCTAGCCCGTAGAACTTTATCATCCGGACCGGTGGTAATAAACAGTAAGTCAAGACACTAATTACACCAAATATCACCATCATCATGCAGTTGTTAGCGTTGACTCTATGGTACAACTTTACATAACAGTTTCTTAGGAGACGGTGGAGGGGTATTCAACTGGTTTGGTTGTCTCTATTTCGATATTTAGCATGAGCTAAATCAACCCAGCTACTTCTATCGCCATCAGACTCTCGGCCAATGCTGTACTTAGCAATTTAACTACTTCGATTATGTGATGGATCATGCTTTTAGCAGAATGAGATGATGGAGGCAACATTCCCTTGGAGTGGGTGTTATGTGATTCGTGTCGTGAGGCTGAGGCACGCGAAGTTGCCGATTCATCAGCTACTGTAACGCGTATGTTTGTCTTGCGCGGGTTAGAAATTTTGGTTGTCTTAAATAGCATTTGTTTGTAGAGTGGACAACATAGTCCGGTAATGGTGTGCTCGATGAGTAGCGGTGCTGGATTTGTCATGATTCCGAGTGATTCATGGGTGCTCGGCCCTCAGATATTGATTCCCCCGAAAGAGTTATACATGATTTGTCATCTGATTCGATTTTTCAGATCCCGTCTCATCTCGCCTGCACACACAATGCTTGCAATGGCATCCATAGCCATTGTGGCTACTCCGGTATTGGCTCAGCCTGACCTCGTGGTCTCCTCGGTAACACCTCCTCCTACGGGTGTTGAAGGCGGTATCGTCGAGGTCAGTTGGACGGTGACGAATGAAGGAGATACCGCCGCGACCGGCAACTGGTCGGACAGCATCTTTTTGTCCGTTGATCAGATTCATAATCCTGAAGATCACTTCATTGGAGCCCAACCTCGGTTACAAGAAATTGGGCCGGGGGAATCTTATGTACAGACGCGATCAGTCGAAATCCCGAGCGGAGTCTTTGGCGATTGGTACTTCATTGTTCAGGTGGATTCTGGGTTTCAGATTGGTGAAGGGGCGAACGAAGACAACAACTTTACCTCTGCAGGAACAGCGACGGCAATTGAAGGCACATTCCCCGACTTGGTGGTGGAGATCTTGGAGGTGCCGGAGTCTGGTCTGAGCGGCCGGGCGTCGTCGGGTCAGCTGCGGTGGCGTGTGACGAATGTGGGCGGGACGACTGCCGTGCCAACCAGCACGTGGTACGACCGTATTTACATCAGCTTCGACGACCAGCCCGGTGACGATATTTTGCTCCAGCGGTACTGGAACGCGCCCGTATCGTCACTGGCTCCAGGCGAGAGCTACGAGCAATCCGCCTCGGCGGGCAACTTCCCATATCCGTACAACATCAATGGTGAAGTACGATGGAGGGTCTTGGCCGACGGGGAAGGTCGGATCAACGAGGGCGACGCTGGCGGCGAGTTGAACAACAACGCGTTTAGTGATGTCCGTACGGTGCAGGGTGGTGATGCGCAGATCGCCGACTTCGTCGCGCCGGACCTGGTGTCGCCGGGCACGCGGACGACACTGACCTGGACGACGACGAACCCCGGTCCGGGTGCGATCAACGATGTGCGGTACTCGATGTGGCTGTCGGTCGACGAGATCGGCGGCAACGGTGAGCCGGGCGAACGCGAGATCTTCAGTAACACTGTCTACACCAACGTGATTCTGGCGGGTGGCTCGGAGAACGACTCTCGTACCTACGACATCCCGTCGGATGTGGTCGACGGCGAGTACTTCTTCGTGCTGGTGGCCGACCCTCAAGACGAGATCGACGAGACCGTCAGCCCCGAGGGTGAGAACAACAACGTCTTTGCGCGTGCGGTGGGTGTCGACTCGAACGTCTTCCCCGACTTGGTGGTGGAGATCTTGGAGGTGCCGGAGTCTGGTCTGAGCGGCCGGGCGTCGTCGGGTCAGCTGCGGTGGCGTGTGACGAATGTGGGCGGGACGACTGCCGTGCCAACCAGCACGTGGTACGACCGTATTTACATCAGCTTCGACGACCAGCCCGGTGACGATATTTTGCTCCAGCGGTACTGGAACGCGCCCGTATCGTCACTGGCTCCAGGCGAGAGCTACGAGCAATCCGCCTCGGCGGGCAACTTCCCATATCCGTACAACATCAATGGTGAAGTACGATGGAGGGTCTTGGCCGACGGGGAAGGTCGGATCAACGAGGGCGACGCTGGCGGCGAGTTGAACAACAACGCGTTTAGTGATGTCCGTACGGTGCAGGGTGGTGATGCGCAGATCGCCGACTTCGTCGCGCCGGACCTGGTGTCGCCGGGCACGCGGACGACACTGACCTGGACGACGACGAACCCCGGTCCGGGTGCGATCAACGATGTGCGGTACTCGATGTGGCTGTCGGTCGACGAGATCGGCGGCAACGGTGAGCCGGGCGAACGCGAGATCTTCAGTAACACTGTCTACACCAACGTGATTCTGGCGGGTGGCTCGGAGAACGACTCTCGTACCTACGACATCCCGTCGGATGTGGTCGACGGCGAGTACTTCTTCGTGCTGGTGGCCGACCCTCAAGACGAGATCGACGAGACCGTCAGCCCCGAGGGTGAGAACAACAACGTCTTTGCGCGTGCGGTGGGTGTCGACTCGAACGTCTTCCCCGACTTGGTGGTGGAGATCTTGGAGGTGCCGGAGTCTGGTCTGAGCGGCCGGGCGTCGTCGGGTCAGCTGCGGTGGCGTGTGACGAATGTGGGCGGGACGACTGCCGTGCCAACCAGCACGTGGTACGACCGTATTTACATCAGCTTCGACGACCAGCCCGGTGACGATATTTTGCTCCAGCGGTACTGGAACGCGCCCGTATCGTCACTGGCTCCAGGCGAGAGCTACGAGCAATCCGCCTCGGCGGGCAACTTCCCATATCCGTACAACATCAATGGTGAAGTACGATGGAGGGTCTTGGCCGACGGGGAAGGTCGGATCAACGAGGGCGACGCTGGCGGCGAGTTGAACAACAACGCGTTTAGTGATGTCCGTACGGTGCAGGGTGGTGATGCGCAGATCGCCGACTTCGTCGCGCCGGACCTGGTGTCGCCGGGCACGCGGACGACACTGACCTGGACGACGACGAACCCCGGTCCGGGTGCGATCAACGATGTGCGGTACTCGATGTGGCTGTCGGTCGACGAGATCGGCGGCAACGGTGAGCCGGGCGAACGCGAGATCTTCAGTAACACTGTCTACACCAACGTGATTCTGGCGGGTGGCTCGGAGAACGACTCTCGTACCTACGACATCCCGTCGGATGTGGTCGACGGCGAGTACTTCTTCGTGCTGGTGGCCGACCCTCAAGACGAGATCGACGAGACCGTCAGCCCCGAGGGTGAGAACAACAACGTCTTTGCGCGTGCGGTGGGTGTCGACTCGAACGTCTTCCCCGACTTGGTGGTGGAGATCTTGGAGGTGCCGGAGTCTGGTCTGAGCGGCCGGGCGTCGTCGGGTCAGCTGCGGTGGCGTGTGACGAATGTGGGCGGGACGACTGCCGTGCCAACCAGCACGTGGTACGACCGTATTTACATCAGCTTCGACGACCAGCCCGGTGACGATATTTTGCTCCAGCGGTACTGGAACGCGCCCGTATCGTCACTGGCTCCAGGCGAGAGCTACGAGCAATCCGCCTCGGCGGGCAACTTCCCATATCCGTACAACATCAATGGTGAAGTACGATGGAGGGTCTTGGCCGACGGGGAAGGTCGGATCAACGAGGGCGACGCTGGCGGCGAGTTGAACAACAACGCGTTTAGTGATGTCCGTACGGTGCAGGGTGGTGATGCGCAGATCGCCGACTTCGTCGCGCCGGACCTGGTGTCGCCGGGCACGCGGACGACACTGACCTGGACGACGACGAACCCCGGTCCGGGTGCGATCAACGATGTGCGGTACTCGATGTGGCTGTCGGTCGACGAGATCGGCGGCAACGGTGAGCCGGGCGAACGCGAGATCTTCAGTAACACTGTCTACACCAACGTGATTCTGGCGGGTGGCTCGGAGAACGACTCTCGTACCTACGACATCCCGTCGGATGTGGTCGACGGCGAGTACTTCTTCGTGCTGGTGGCCGACCCTCAAGACGAGATCGACGAGACCGTCAGCCCCGAGGGTGAGAACAATAATGTGTTTGCTACTCGACCGATTGCACCGGATGTTATTGTGTCAGACATTGTCATACCAACTGGCGTTCATATCGGAGACGAGATTCAGCTTTCATGGACTCTGGAAAACGCCGGGACGAAGGTTGCTGATGGACCATGGACTGATGAGATTATCTTCTCGGTGGATGAAATCGCTGGGAATGATGACGATGTTCTGTTTGACACACTCGATTTCTTGGGATCTTTGACGCCAGGTCAGCAGATTACGAGAGGCATCTCATTTACGGTCCCCGCATCAGCCGCGAAGTCTGGTTTCATGATTCTTCGTACAGATGCAACCAACACAGTCAACGAAAGCCGCGAGGACAACAACACGCGTGCAGAACCGTTCGAGCCAACGGGACCAGATCTTTTCCTAGCTTCGGCGGGTGTGGGTCAGAGTGTTCAATCGCTTCTTGATCCGATCAGTGTTTCGTGGGCAACACAGAATCAAGGAACTGCGGTCGCGCTCGGGCCTTGGGTTGAGCGGGTATACCTGTCATCGGATGCTGTGTTTAGCCCGGGGACCGATCTGCTTTTCGAGTCTTTGGATTCGGCGGATGACATCCAGCAGGGTGGGCAGGTCATGCGAATGCTTGACTTGCTGCCACCTCAGGATGGAAGCCTGATTCCTGGTGACTACTTTGTCTTTATTGATCTTGATAGTGAAGCCGGAGTTATCGAGATCGATGAGGGGAACAATGTTTCCGAACCAGTTGCAATCACCTTGACCGAAGCGATTACACCTGATTTGGTCATGGTCGATGTTTCCGGGCCGACAGAAGTCGCGGCTGGAGGGATCGCGGAGATCACATGGACAGTTGAGAATCAGGGGAATGGGTCAACTGATACTGGTTGGGCGGATTCGATTCGCATATCGCTTGATGCCGCACTTGGTGGAGATATAGAGCTCGCTCGGGTGCAGCGTGGGGCTCCATTGAGTCCTGGAAGTTCCTACACTGAGACCGTTTCAGTGGTAGTGCCCGAGGAGTATGTGGGAAACCGCAGATTTGTAGTTGTCACGGATGCGGATGATGCTCTCAATGAGTTCGCTGGGGAAGCGAATAATGCAATGATCACTTCCGGTGATGTCTTGGTGCGAGAAGTTGACCTCGTCATTGCAGACATCAGTGCGCCATCGGCAGGAATCGCTGGAGAGACGGTCAACATTTCATGGGAATCCGTGAATCAGAGTCCTGCGACTATTGCTGCCAGTTCACACTGGCGTGATCGAGTGTACTTGTCGTCAGACATGATCATTGGTGGGGATGATGTAGAGGTCGGCAGTATTGTCCGAGTAGGTCCTCAAGGTGCAAATGAGTCAGTACTGGTTCAAGCATCAGTAGAACTGCCAGTTGATCTAGCAGGGTCACATTTTGTGGTGATTCGGACGGATGCTGACAACCAGATCGCTGAAGGAAATGCTGGTGAGTTGAATAACTCGTACATCAGTGGGGAACCCATTGAGGTCAACCAGCCAGCATTGCCGGATTTGGTGATATCGAGTATCTCGTCGCCGAGTACAGCGATCTCGGGTGAATCCATTACAATTCATTGGGACGGCCAGAACATTGGAGAGCAGCCCGCCGTCGGTACATGGACCGACCGAGTTTATCTCTCGATTGATCCACAACTCTCTTCTGAAGATGTATTGCTTGGGTCGGATTTCCGTGTTGGCCCAGTCAATGCAAGCGATACATTTGTCGGTGAGTTGGAAGCCACTCTGCCAATGGTTACTGGGCAAAGGTGGATTATTGTGGAGTCAGACCCCGACGATCTGATTGAAGAGGGCGATGGCGAAGAGAATAACTCGCTTGTAGCCACTTCTCCAATCTTAATCGAAGCACCACAGCTACCAGATTTAGTTTCGCAGATAGTAAGCTCACCTACTACTGCCGAATCAGGCGGTAGTGTCATTGTTTCCTGGCAGGTATCTAACACAAGTACCGTTGATGCGACGGGTACATGGTCAAACGCTGTGTACTTGTCAGATGACACGGTGCTGAGTAGTGATGATCAGATTCTCCGCGCGGAAACATTCATCAATGGAACTGTAGCTGGCGACGGTGGGATATCGAGCTTGGAATTCTTGGTTGTCATGCCATCGACACTGCAAGATAAGACAGCTTACTTCATCGCATCAGCGGATATTGGTGATGCGATTGAGGAGTCGGATGATGCCAATAACGCATCTCAAGCGATGGCTATTTCCATATCCGCAGAGCCATCGCCTGATTTGATAGCTCAATCAGTGTCTGCGCCATCGGCAGCAGAGTTCGGTGAGGAGATCGCGGTCACAATATCAGGGCAAAACATTGGCACTGATGGGACGAGTGGTGGGTGGGCAGAGCAGGTATTCCTGTCCACAGACAATGAGTATGACGACAATGACATATTCGTTGGGATTGGATTTCAGGACGCGGCTCTTGCTGAAGGTGACTTGTACGCGATTCAGGATGTCTCAATCACATTGCCGCTTGAAAACTCCTTGTTGCCTGGCACATATTTCTTGATTGTAAAAACGGATGCCTTCGGTCAGGTTCAAGAGTCTGATGAAGAGAACAATATTTTCGTAGGCGGCACGGTTGAGCTCGCCTATCCACCGTTGCCCGACATTGCTGTCTCGTCAGTGATGATCGAGGGTGAGATCCGAATCGGCTCCACTGTTTCAGCAACCGTGAATCTTACGAACACAGGAGATGCAGAAGTACCATCAGGATCGAGAATCCTACTTGCGTTGTCCGAGTCGCAGAGTGCTACTGAAGACAGTGCATTTGCAGCGTTGACTGTCAATGAAACTATCCCGATTGGTGGCTCAGTTGAAGTGGTAGGGAATGTCGTCCTTCCAGATCCAGGATTCACAGATTCATATCTCATTGCATCGGCTGATGCTGATGAGATTGTCGTTGAACTCGATGAGCTCAACAACTCTGGTGCATCATCTTTGTTTTCTTTCCCTCGACCAGATCTTGTTGCTCAGTCAGTATCAGTACCTTCAAGTGCTGTTGCGGGAGATCCAATCAATATCATCTGGGAAGTTCAGAACAACGGGTCTGATGTGACGCGGGGTGCATGGTCAGATCGGATCATGCTGTCGCAAAATCCGGACAGCACTTCGGGTCGAGTGGTATTGTCACGAGTAATTGATTTCAATGTGGCACCTGGCACGCCATATGTTCAATCGGCAATTGTGATGCTTGGTGATGATTTGGAAGGTCAGTTCTATGTGATTGTGGATGCAGATGCAGGCGATACACTGATCGAAGAAGAGCCCGATTCAAGTAATCGTGCGGTTTCTTCTTCACCAATCTCGATTTCTCGACCTGATCGCCCGAACTTGGTGGTTTCATCCGTAACCTCGCCCACATCCGTTGTCAGTGGACAGTCGAGTGATTTGTCTTGGCGTGTTCAGAATATCGGATCGACCTCAACGAATACGATCTGGAATGATCGCGTCTATGCATCGCGTGATGATGTCCTTTCTTCGGATGATTATCTCATCGCCCAACAATCGGCAGTGATGCAGTTGGCTCCTGGGCAAAGCTACACACGCACCCTGAATGCGCCGTTGCCTCTTGCAACTGGGACATACAAGTTGCTGGTGGTAGCTGATGCGACCAGCGCCCAGGCAGAGTCTCATGACGGCGGGGAGAATGACAATCTTGGCGTCTCTGTTTCGGACTTCACGATTGCGGGGTATTCCGCGAGTGCGTCCGCGTCACCAGATAGCGGGCTTGCGGGGACGCCTATTACTGTCTCAGGGGCAGCTACAGTCGACGGCACAGGTGAGCCTGCAGCCGGAGTTCCTGTCAAGGTACGGGGTCGTGTTCGTGGCTTTGAACGCTACTACACCGTGCTCACGCTTGCTGACGGCAGCTATTCGGCGACTCTGAACCCAGGACCTACTGAAGCCGGGCTCTACACCATTGATGCGGGAATGCCAACTGATGAAAGCTTTACAGCTCAAGATAGCCTTGTCCTGGTCGGTCTACAGACCAGCTCGGTTCCCATCAATGTCCGAGTGTTGCCGGGTCATGAGTCAGCAGGGACGTTCACAGTCCGTAACTTGGGCGATCTGCCGTTAAGTGGATTTGAGATCATCAGTGAGGGAGGGAATCCAGCGATTGATGTCCAGGTTGTGTTCGATGGGGGCTCTGTGCTTGCTCCACTTGAGAACCGAACCGTTGAGTATCGCATCAATGCTACTGAGGAAGTAGGGGGTGTAGTGCCGGTAGTCCTGCGCGCAGTAACTGCCGCCGGAGCCCAGGCCACTACAACACTCTCTATCACAGTTGGGCGAGAAAGTGCAGATCTACTTGCGAGCACAATGGACCTTCGAGAGGACATGGTGGCTGGCGAGAATGATTACATCGAACTGGAAATCCAGAACATCGGTGGTGCAGAAAGTGGCCCGCTTGAAGTTGATATTGCTGCGGCTCCGTGGCTGTCGCTCGTATCTCCGGATGTCATGGATTCACTCATGCCAGGTGAAGAGGCTGCCGTGACCTTGCGTCTTTCGCCTGATGAAGATCTCCCGCTGGGAGCGTACGAGGCGAGCCCCGGCATCGTGGTTTCTGATCAGACAGATCCATCTGTGTTCGAAGAGATTGATTTCTCCATCGAGAACACCACAAATCGCCGTGGAGTCTTGGATGTACAGGTCACCAGTGAGTTCTCGTACTTCGGAGAACCGCCAATCTACCCGGAGAACGCTGTTGTAACCGCCCGATCATTTGGTCCACAGGGAAGGTATGCGCGTGGCGGAATCACCGCTTCTGGTGTCGCAGATGCAAATGGTCAGATCAGTTTCGAGGATCTGCCCGAAGGCTGGTACGAGATAGAAGTTCGTGCGCCGGGGCATAATACCTATCGAAATAACCAGTATGTTCGTGGTTCGGACAATACTGGAGTTGAGACTTTTGTGCCAAGGCAGGTGCTGTCGTTTGACTGGTCAGTGATTCCGATTGATTTCGTCGATGAGTATCTTGTTACGATCACAACAGTTTTTGAGACCAATGTCCCCGCACCTGTAGTCACGATTGACACAGACCCTGTTGCTGAAGGTGTCCAGCCCCTCATCGATCTGACAACGGGATTTGACGATCACGGGATCAAGGAGATCGAGGTTGTTGTCGAAAACCACGGTCTCATTACAGCAGAGAACTTTGCACTAAACATTCCAGAGCATTCACGATTCGATGTCATTCCACTCATTGACAGCTTTGGCGATATTCCGGGCCAGAGCAGCTTTACCATCCCCATTTTGATCGTGGATCGATTCCCTGAGTTAAATGGCTCTGTATCACAAGCAAGCGTTGTTGGTTGTGAGCCAGTTCAAATGACCGGGCAATACGAAGTGGTGTGCGGGCAACGCAGGCTGTATCTAACCTACACATACTTCCGACAACCGGATATTGATTGTGGAACAGGCGATGGAGGATACATCGGTGGCGTTCACACAGGTGGTGGCAGCAGTTCAGGTACAGGTGGCACAGGTACAGGTGGCACAGGTACAGGCGGCACAGGTACTGGTGGTGGTTCAGATGGTCCAGGGGGTGTAGTAGATCCTCCGTACACCATTTATATACCAGTGATCTGCGACCCATGTAGATCAGGGTGCCCTAGGGCAATAGCCAATTGGGGAGCAGGGCAGGTGGCTGGTATCTTCAATGATGCTGGCAGTTGTATTTACTCATCATTTGCAGGTACAGGTCTCGCAGTTTACGATTTGATCACGGGCTCTCCGGAAGATTACCCTGGAATTGCCGGTGGATGGTTGGATGGAATTTTTAACGATTGCATTGTAGGTTTATTGGGACGAAACAATCCGTGGGTTAAGGGAGGATTGGCAGTCTTGGGCCTATGCCCAGTATTGAATGAATGCGTTTTGTCATGCACTGATATTCCCGAGTTGCCATGCGGTTTGTTTGATTTCTTGTTTGGATTAGGAGCAGATGGGCTGGTGATTCAGGGCGGTCAAGCCGGCCAAATACTGAATTCTCCAGAGGAGCAATACTTCTATGATCAATTGCAGTTGTTCGCTCAACTGTATTTGCCTTATACATTGGTGTTCCCTGATGGAGAATGGTTCACGAATGATTCTATAAATGATGAAAACGTATCCGTACTAGTGGAAGTGATACTTGATTCCATAAGCGAATTTAGTGACGAAGGTGTTGTGATTAGTCAGGCTGAAATAAGCGTTATTGATTCTTTGGCAGTCGGGGGGTCTGTATCTCAGGACAATGTGAACCGTGCCGTTAGCAGGTGGAACAGGTCAATAAGTTATGCGAGTATGGGAATATCCGAGATCCAAGATGTCCCCGATGGGATGAGCACTGATTTCATGACTCAGTCAGAAGCGATGAATGTGGTGAACACCGCGGTGACTGCAATGGCTACTCTTGCCGATCAAGGATATGAAGACCCGTCACAAGTGTTGCTAGACGCAACTGAACTACTCGCCATATCTTCTGACGATGGACAGGGTGTTTGCGTCCAAGTCACTGTACAACTTGAGCAGCGGATTGCGATTACACGTTCCGCATTTCGTGCATCACTTGGTCTCGATAATCCTGGTGGAGGCGGATCCGTGGAGTCCATCGGTGTGTCGCTTGTGATCAGAGATCAGTTGGGGAACGATGCTACTGATCTTTTCCTCATTGAAGCACCGGAGCTCGAAGGTATAACGGATGTATCTGGTACAGGGTCTCTTCCGGAAGGTGCGAGCGGCCGTGCGAACTGGCGCATCATTCCTTCGGACTTCGCTGCGCCGGAAGAAGATACGCCATACTACATCTCCGGCGAGTTCCAGTACAGCGTTGACGGCAACCTGATCGTGGTGCCGCTTGTTCCCGCAGAGATTACGGTTCAGCCGAATGCAAGCCTTGACTTGAAGTACTTCGTCGAGCGAGATGTTTATGGCGATGATCCGTTCACGCCTGAGATAGAGCCATCTATTCCGTACAATCTTGGGCTGTTGATGACCAATCAAGGCGCTGGAGAAGCACGCGATGTTCGCATCGCTGCGGCGGAACCAAGGATCATCGAGAATGATCGTGGTCTTATCATTGATTTCGATTTGATCGGTACCCAGGTCGGTGAAGAAGAGACCTCGCCGTCACTCAATATTGAGCTTGGGGATCTCGGCCCAGATGACCGCCAGGTCGCACGCTGGTTGTTCACCTCAACGCTACAGGGTGAGTTTGTCGAGTTCGATGCTGAGTTTGTGAGTCTGAATGGGTTTAATACCCCAGAGTTCTCATTGATCGACGGCATCAGCATCTTTGAAATGGACCACCCAGTCCGAGCGGGTGCCTACGCAAACTCGTCGACAGCCGATGACGATGCGTTGTTCGACTTCTTGACGAATCAGATGCCAGATTTGAATGATCTTCCAGATCGACTGCACCAGAGCAATGGTGCGGTTGATGCGGTCGAAGCTATTGACGATGTCGACGCAACGATTCAAGACAGCTTCACAGCAGAAGTTGATGTGACCATGCCTGAAGGATGGGCATACATCCGAGTGAATGATCCGTTCGACGCGAATCTACCACTCCAAAGTATTGAACGGAGCGACGGGAAGGTCATTTTGCCAAGTTTCAATGCATGGCAAACAAATCGCATCCAGCGTCAAGGGCCAAACGCGGGACAACCGGAGCGCTACGTTCACATCTTCGATCGTGGTGGTAGCGGTCGTTACACGCTCAGATTCTGTTCGGATGCAACGCCTCCAGCTGTTCTTGCGTGGGGATCTCAGAACTCGCATGGTTCCTTTGGCGACATCACAATCGGAATCGATTCAAGTGGAACTGTATCGGAGCCTCGATCTTCTGGATTATCGAAGCTTCAGGTGACATTCGACGAGCCAATTGATCCGGCCACATTCCAGCCGATTAACGTGATCGCTCGTGGGCTTGATCCAGATGGAAATGAACTCGATCTAGGTGGGATCGCTGTCGAAACAGAGCTGACACCGAGTGGATTGTCGGGAATGATTCAGTTCATACCAGCTTTACCTGATGAGGCGAAATACTGCATCACACTGAACAATGTACGCGATGAAGCTGGCAATGTCTTGCAGGACAATGCACAGATCATTGTTACTGCACTCCAGGGTGATGCCAACGGTGATTCGCGTGTCAATGGGGCTGACGTGGCATTTGTGCGGGCGATTCGTGCAGATGTGAACGGTGGCCTCATTGATCCAATGAACCCACAGCATGTACGTTCAGACATTACCGGTGATGGCCGAGTGAATGGTGCCGATGTGTCATTTACACGCGCATCGAACGGAAACGATACAAGGGCGATAGCTGATCCATGCTTCCTCCCTGATGGACTTGGTCCGTTCCGGGATGGGTTGGATTCATCCGGGAGCAGTGTAGATTCAGCAAAGATGTCTGGTGCCCATAATGCGGGTCAGCATGACATTGGTCTTGTTGGCGATGATTCAGAGGATTGGGAACCTATTCAGGCAGAGTTTACTGCGGATGGTGTTTCGATTCGACTTGATCCTCTTCGATTTGTTGTCGGAGACTGTGATGAAGGAGTAGATGCGATAGCCCTACTTCTTGATTCAGGAGTAGAAATTAATCAGATCTCTATGCTAGGGTTCAGCGACTGGCTGCTTGTCGAGCTTATAGCTGAGGGCTCAGCAGAGCCGCTCATGAGTATGCTCCGGTCGTCCGGTGTCTATACATCGCCTCTGCTGAGAGATGATGCTGATGAGTTCTTGGTTGCGCAATCGTCCATTCTGATCAAGTTCGAAGACTCGGCACCAGATGATTGGTGTTTAAAGGTATTGGAGACTGAGTTTGGACAAGAAGCGGGCCTGACTGTGGTTAGCGATTCCATTCCAGGGCTACTTCGTGTAGATCTAGACACCCATTCAGGAAGTGCTGTAATTGCTGCTGCCAATCGATTGGCAAAGCGCAAAGACATCCAGTATGCAGAGCCAGATTTTGTCATGTTCGCAAACCGCGTAAGTGGACTCAGTGGTGCATCTGTCGATTCAAAATTGATCACCCCTTTGGATATCGAGCCACATTATTCGGATTCGTCAGAGCGTGTCGCGGGGGTAGTTATGATTGACGATGGTGTGTTGCACTCTATAGCTATGCGACAGGGGGAAACCACCTTTGGAGTGTTCAGTGGATACGGGCAACCAGAAACGCACGCAGATGTTTACGGTCAAGCTGTCTATAAAGGGTTGTGTGCAGAGTGGCAAGGGATTGAAATGGCATCAGCGGCGATTCGAGGGCTGGGTTCACTCAATGAGACTGGGCGGTCCGTATCTACCACACATGCCATGGTTCAATCATTGGCAAGAGCTACCGTGATGCGGCCCAAAGTGGTGACAATCTCAGGTGCATTTGGGTATGAATCAGTTCTGCTCCATGAGATTGAGGCAGAGATGCTCAATGCAGGTATTGTACTGATTCGGTCGTCGTCATCTACTCGAACTGGCAATGTAGATGTGATTGAAGGAGTGCTGCTTGATATCCCGATTTTGAGAACAGGTGAAACAGGTGCGCAGGATACAGCATTTGATGCCGCAGAGCGTGTCGGAGAAATAGCCGCCGCTCTACTATCTGCTGATAAGCTCGGTGGCGTTTCGCTGGTTGAGTTGGCAGGGGTGGTAGCCCGGCAGTTGTCAGAGACAATTTTGGATGATCCAATGTCGGCAGACACAGTGATCATTCTTATTGACAAAACTGCACAGCGCATGGCAGTTGATCTCAATCGAGATGGTCAAGTCACGCAGGAAGACCTCGCAGAGTTTGTGAAGAAATTTGAAATCACCGAACCCTCGATTGATTATGACGGAAGCGGTCAAGTCGATCAGAGAGATATGGTGGAGTATCTCCGTAGATTTGAAGCATACATGGCCAATTGAGAACGGTAAAACTTAGCCCCTAAAGTCCTGAAGTTGTTGGCACGCCCGAGAACCTTGTGGCATTTTCTCCTAGTACGACTGTTCTGGTTATACCTGTGGAGAGGATGATTTGTATGAATGTGTGGGTGTCAAGTATTTCCCTTTTCGCGATCGCTTCGGCTGCGAATGGTGGATATGTAGGAAGCGTTGTCGGCATGCTAGGGGATGAGCGGGTTAGCTCGTTGACCATCAATGCAGGAGAATCATTCTCCGGAGCTGTTGTTCTCGAGGGTGTTGAGACGCGAAGCGATTTTGCTTTGTTCCGGATCGTTTCAAGTACTGCAAATCTTGAGTATTCTGCGGGTTGGTACGAATGGAGTACTCCGTTCACAACTGGTGGCATAGACGATTTCAGCAGCCCTGCCTCGACATCAAACGGTTCTATCGATGAAGATACCTACCTAGATCCATTTGCGCCAGGTGAGATCGATGTTGTCTTTGAGAATTTGACGGATACCTTTGGTAAGTATTTTGGCACAGGCGTGATCCTCAGCTTTACACTGAAAGTGCCAGACGCATTTGCTGAGGGGGCATTCACCCTCGATTTTGTACCTGATACATTCACTGCTGGGGCATCCTTTGTTGATGCAGCGACTGGCCAGGCTCTTACAGTGAATGTAGTGCCGTCTCCGATGACAATAACCTTTGTAGCATTTGGTGGACTACTTTGGTGTTCGCGTAAGCGATAGTTTTGTAGTGTGCGAGCGTTGGGCCAGCAGATTGTACTGCTTACTCAGTTGGTGAGTTCACGCCACAGAGCGAAGTTTCGGCAACATCTTTATCATTGTATAGAGTAACGGAGTATCATCCCCGACATGTTCTCGTTTGATTGAAATCTTCGGTTTGAGTTCTCATCCTTATGTGTTGCGTGTCAGAACAGGACGACGAATCCCAAGCTTGACCTTGCTCGGTGTCATGATGCCAAGAGACGCATGGGCGTAGTGTGCACAAATAATACCGCAGTGACAGATTGAATTGGGGCTAAAATTCTCGAGGATTCGATTTGCTTGGTGTTCAAAAACTCTATCCGCGCCTACGCTCGATGCGGCAGATGGTTTTTGAAGCTTCCGGAGTAATTCGAAAGTTTGGGCTCGTTTCATTGTATCGGTTCGTGTACATTCGTTCAGGCATTCGTGAGCTGATCAAATCAAAGCCAGTATTTTCCGCATACGTGCGGCATTCATTCCCCATCAAAGGCACGGATAGGGTTTTTGAATCCCTAGAGGACGAGGTTTCTGCTAAAATCTAGGCGATTCTAGAGAGGCTGAATGCCATGTGTCTGAACACACTCCGTTTCACAAGAAAAGACCCTGATTCTCTCACAGAATCGGGGTTGTTTTTGTAATGACAAAATTGTGTTCCAACAATTTAGCAACGAGGACTTCACATGGAGACTAAATGTACGAGCGGAGAATACAGTACTCTCTGTCTGGGCTATGTAGTCTGGTTCTGCTGGCCCACTTCCCGCGCTGCCTCATCAGTACTTTGGTTTCTATAAATCAATTCTGAGAGTGATGATCATATAGTAATATCATTTGCAGCCGAATGGTATGGGAGTCATGTTCAGTGAATCGATGACAGATACCATACAGGCAATCTCGCCTACCTGTGACCCAGGCCGCATCACGAAGTTGTTGCGTCGTGTTCAGCACGATGTTGATGGTTCGCATGACCAGCTCTTCGATTGCCTGTACACAGAGCTGCACGCGATGGCGCACGCGCAGAGTGTGCTGAAAGAGTCTGCCAAGATCGACGATTGATGTCGTTGGATGTGAAGAAGATGTGATTTGCTTTGGTGTTCAGAAACTCTATCCAGATCTGAATCGATTACTCAATGAGAATCAGGGTCGGCTAAAAAACAGCTCACATCAACCTTCACGAATTCGTCCGGGAGTCTATGAGTGATGGCGCAGAAATACTAGTTGCAATCATTTGCAACTCATCTTCTTTGAAATGTGAAAGACTCAGGATGCCTGGAAGTAGTTCTGGAGCAATCCGTCGAACCGAGCATTACACTTGATCTCACCTACCGTTGGTAGAGGTCCATCACATATAATCGGTGTGCTCCCGATTTCTTGATGTGGTCGCTCATGGTGATAGTGCTCAAAACATTCGCGGTAAAGCTGAGATTAATCTTACTGATTTTGAGTGCTAAACCGTTCGCGGTATTGGCTAGGTGCAATGTCAAATTCAGAGGAGAACCAGCGGCGTAATGTGCCTTCGTCTCCGCTCCCAACTTTTTTCGCGATTTCACTAACACTCAGATCGGTACTCTCAAGCAAACGCCTAGCCTCATCGAGTCGAAGCGTACGCACGAACTGACCCGGGGTGATCCCGAGATCTTTCTTGAATACTCGCGAAAGATTTCGTGGGCTCATCATGGAGACCTCCGCAAGACGATCAATCGAAAGGTCCTCATTGAGATGAGAGGCAATGAATGTCTGGAGTTCGCACAGGTTGCGTCTCTCACTTAACTGGCCAGCAAGAGGCGTGCTGAACTGTCTCTGGTTTCCTGAGCGTCTTAGGAACAAGACCAAGAACCGAGCTATCGCGATCGATATCTCATGACCCCAGTCTTCCTCGACGATTGACAAAGCTAAGTCAATCCCCGAAGTCACACCCGCTGATGTCCAGACATGATCGTCCTTCACGAACAATGTATCGTTAACGACCTGCACCTTGGGGAATCTCGTACGAAACTCTGCAATCAGATCCCAGTGTGTCGTTGCTCTTTTTCCGTCAAGCAATCCAGCTTCAGCGAGCACAAATGCTCCAGAGCATACTGAGCAAATCCTTGGGATGTATTGGGCATGATGAGCAAGCCATTGTGCAAAGAATGCCTCTGAACTCCCGGGAGCACATGCCGGATCGCCACCACAGACCATGACAGTGTGCGGGAGCCCTTGGGAGGCGGCTTCTGCGACTGTTGCTTGCGTCATCACGCTCATTCCGCTCGCGGTGGTTACGAGCCGATCTGTCGCTCCGATGAGAACGAGTTCATACCCGTCGTTGGGCGTGTAGTCGTTCGTGCGCCGGAGTACATCGACAGGCCCTGCCACATCAAGTGGAGCGGATCCGGGACAGATCAAAATCCAAACTTTGCGCATCAAGCGGTGGGCCAGCAGATTGTGGCGCTTTCCCGGATGGCGTTTTTACGCCACAGAGCGATGTTTCGGCTTTACTCTGATCACCGGATACAGTAATCGTGGATCATCACCGACATGTTGTCGTTTGATCGAGATCTTCGGTTCGAGTTCACCTCCTTCTGTGTAGCGTATTGGCTCAGAACGACGAATCCCAAGCTCGACTTCGCTCGGTGTCATCAAACCAAGTAATGCGTGTGGCCGGTGAAGATTGTGCCAAGCAGCGAAGTGATCTAGACGCTTCTGGATTGCAGTGATATTGGGCGGTACCAGCGACACTCGCCACCATCGTTTCAAGCTCCAGAAGAGCCGCTCGACCTTGGCGTTGAACTGCCACACACGAACAGGTCCGCGGGCGTGGGTGATCCCTCTTCGGATCATGGCAAGGTGAAACGACCGTTGAAACTGAGAGCCGCGATCGGTGATGATGAATCGGGGTACCGAGTGTACTTTGATTGAATCTTCGATGAGTTGGATGAGATCTTGGGTTGTTGGACGCTTCGCAAACGCTCGGATTCCGACAATCTTCCTGCTGCACCCGTCGATGATCGCAGCGACTTCAAGCTTTAGCCAGAGTACACGCAACGAAGTGATATCCATGTGCCATACATAGTGCGGCTTCTGCGGGCGAGCTAGGTGTGTAGGGGAAGTTCTTCGAGTACGCAATGGTGGGGTGTAACTACCGAGTCGCGGTGGTGGCTCTTCCTCAAGGATCCGGCGCACCGAGGCTCGGCTAATCTGGATGCCGGATCGCATGATGTGTCGTGCAATCGTGCGTGTACCAAAGTCTCGCTCGGGGCAGAGTTGCCTCATCTCGTGGACAAGCCAACGCACGCCTCCGTGGAGCTTGTTCCATGGCGGTGAGCCGACAACCGATTCAGATTTATGTTTATCGCGGAGCGACTTCTTCCAGTTTCGAATGGTGTTTGGATGAATCACAAATCGAGAGGCAGTTTCCTTGCAAGACCATCCACGCAATCTCATGAGTTGGAGGATCTCAGCTCGTTCCTGTGGTGCGTAGTGGGGGCGTTGCTTTGCAGGGTTGCGTTGGCGCTGGGAGCGGTATATTGCGAGTTCGCGTTCAAGCAGCACGGCATCAGAATGCGCGTGATCTCGCTGTGCCAGCAAACGGACCATGGGCATGGGATGCTCAAATGCACGGGCTCGGGCAGCGAGATACCCACGCATAAAGAGGATCGAGACAGATTCCACCAGATCCCAGATGGATCGTGCGTCTTTATTCATAGAGATTCTCCCGATGTCCGGGCATGAACAGCCGGACATCGGTAAGATATAGAGAATGAACGGTTTAGGCCCAAATCGAGGCCGATGGCGCGGACAAAACGGACACCCAAAATTGCTCGAAAGACCCACCACAATCTCCTGGCCCACCGCGACGGGGCCTCGGGAGGGGAGACTATTTAAGCAGGAACTCGACCCAGTTTGACATCAAACGCTGATTCAGGGGAATGAGACCACTTCACTCAACAGTGGCACGAGAGACTGTTTGACATATCTGGGATCGCCCCCCGTTGACTTCATAGGTATACGAAACGGTGTCACGGAAGTGATGCCGTTTCGCCCGTTTTAGGGCACGGTACGCGGTATCGAGCGTCTCCGGGATTTCGCTGTTCCAACCAGTTTTTGATTTTCGAGCCCAAACGGCGCAAGTGTCTCTCGTGGCGATTTGGACGGTGTCTTCGCGCCATCACTGATTTCCCTGTTCACTGCCCGTTTACAGGGAGTTTCAGAAAAAACAGGGAGTGCACCAGCAAGTCACCACGAATAAACCCGCGATTGCGTGTTGAAATCAAGGCGAATTGATCGATTTCCCTGTGCATGGAACAGGGAACTTGCAGGGAATCAACGGTGGCCCACCTAGTTGTTTACAACCGGAGTTCCAATGCCTGTTTGGTCCAATCCAGCTGCTTCGATGCTCTGAGCAGATCATCAAGTGTGATGGTGCTGGAGAGTGTCCCGGTCAGCGCAGTTCTCAACACTTGTGGACTCAGCTGGGTCAGCGGGAGCAGCTTGATCATGCGAGTTCTAGCGATGCCGTGCCTTTCTGCATACTCGACGATCTTCAATCCCGATTTGATCATCTCGTCGTGCCACCGGTACGCCAAACCGATCGCATCGACGATGTGCTGTTGCGGTTCTGGTTTCGAAGGGATGATCAGGTCTGTGCCATCAGGGCTCAAGAGCATCCGTCGCCCGTCGAATTTCTTTATCTGGATTTCAAGCGTTAGCGTAGTGCTGTCACCGTGCTCTTCGACCCTTGGCTTATGCAGGCAGGTTGGGTGCGGCAGTTGCTCTGCTGTTGTGGACTTGAAACGGTGTGATTGGAGTATCACCAGTTCTGAGTTTGTCAGCTTTACTTTCACTTCATCAGCCGAGACCGTGACCTCATCGATCACCCTACGGATCCAGCGATCGCGGATCTTAGAAGACTGGTTCAACAAGTCTTCATGCTGCAGATGGCTCAGCACCAAACCTCGGATGAGCTCATCAAGATGCTCGGCGTTGATCGTTTTGATCGGGCAGTTTTTGAATCCGTGCTTGATTGCCTTCTGGCTGATGTAGTATCGCACAAGCCGTTTCTGTTTCGTCTCGCTCTTCTTGGTTAACGGGCGGTGCGTTGATGATGGGCTCATCATGAAGCCATCACTCGTACGAATCTTGCCCTTAAGTAGGTGCGGATGTGTCCAGCGGTGGAGATCCGACTTCTTCTGCTTCTTCATGATCCGTTGAGCATTCTCCCAGCATTCCTGATCGATGATGGGCTCGTGTAAGCCGTCGAACACATCCGTCTTACTGCTACGGGTATGGGTGATCTTGCCAAGATAAAGTTGGTTTGTAACTACGCCGTGGACATATTTTGTGGTGATCCGCTTGCCTCCATGCACTCGGTCGTTCTTGCTAATCCAATGCTTCGTGGTGAAGCCTTGTTCGCTCAGTGTATTGGCAACTGCCAGCGGTGATCGATGCTCGATGTACAACTCGAAGATCTTTCGAACCAGCTCCGCCTCTTCGGGGATGATGTAGATCCCTTTGGTTTCATTCTCCTGTTGCAGCCTGTAGCCTAACGGAGGCGTCCCGCCGACCCAATACCCCTTCTTCTTGGTCGCCGCGATCTTGTCGCGGATACGCTCACCCGAAACCTCTCGCTCAAACTGCGCGAAGCTCAGCAGCATGTTCATCGTCAGCCGACCCATCGAGGTGCTCGTGTTGAACTGCTGGGTCACCGATACAAACGAGACCCGCTTCTCATCAAATACCTCCATCATCTTGGCGAAGTCTCCCAGCGAGCGGCTCAGGCGATCGACCTTGTATACCACCACCACATCAATCCGACCCTTGTCGATGTCATCAAGTAGTTGCTTCAAGCCCGGTCGCTTCATGGTCCCGCCCGAGAATCCCCCGTCGCTGTAGCGAGCCTTCACCGCTTCCCATCCCTCGTGCTTCTGGCTTTTGATGTAATCAAGACCTGCCTCGAGTTGGGCATCGAGCGAGTTGAACGCCAGATCGAGCCCCTCTTCGTTTGATTTGCGTGTGTAGACAGCGCAGCGGATAGTCTTCATCAGTTTCTCCTTAGGCGGGTTGTTTGAGTTTCTTGAGGCCGAAGAAACGCGGACCTGACCAGCGTGCCCCGGTGATCTCACGAGCGATCTCCGACAAGCTGGCATATTCAGCATCGCGGTACTTGAAACGCTTGCCGTCATCGAGCACATGCACCTCATGCTTGCGGCCACGCCACGATCGCACCAGTGTGGTGCCCGCGGGGAGGTTGAGCGGGTCGCGATTCTTTCGGGCGGTGGTCCGCGTCTGTCCCGCACCAGGAAGTGGCGCGTGACGCATCGCTGACTTGAGCAGGCGGCGTGTGTCGGCGTCGAGCCGCCCGTGTGTGGCAGACTGCAGATGCCACGCGATCTCTCGCACCAGTGCTTGTTTGAAGTGGGGTGGATGGCCACGGATACCGAGTTTCAGCCAGTGCTCCTTGAGCATTGAGGTGGTCATATCGCTGAGTGCGTGGAGTGTGCTCAGGAGCTCTGTCTTTAGCTGATCTCGATTCAACTTGGTTGGGCGCATGGGAATGTCTCCGTATGGCAGGGGGTTGTTTTCATAGAGTGCTCTGTGTGTCACATGAAGCCATGGATTCCCGGAGAGTTCAAGTCCAATCGGAGCAGAATCTGTGATCTTTCTGGGGTTCTTGCACAAAGTAGCCGCGTACATCCAGAGACCACGCCACAACTGCCCGGATGTCGGTATCCGGACAGTTGTGGGGGCTTGATGTGCAATCCTGCACACTTAGTTGGCAGGAGTGTTCCGCTTTACCTTCTGTGCGCGTTCGAGCCATTCTTCAGGCGTAAGAAGATACGGAGGACATCCCATAGGCACTGATCCCTCATTGAAGACTTCGTATAGCACATACCGCTCTTCGGGAACTTTACCCAGAAACATCGAGTAATCGCTGCGTCCCTTGGCGACTTCATCATCCGGAGTCGTAAAAAAGAACGAACCACAACGGACTTCGCCCTGCCCGGGCGGATACGGCTTCTGCTGGTACTGGGACATAAAGGCGACTGAACCCATGTTGAGCATCTCGGCTCGAAGCGCATCACGATCCTCTCGCGCAGGATGCAGGGCTTCACACTTCTTCCGAACGAGCTTGCCACCGAGTGACTCAGGTAAGTACTCATCATGCATCGCGATCGCCGGGAGATTGATCACCTCCCAGTCATCACGTTTGAGCAGATGGCCGGTCAGGTCATTCTCGGCAAGCCGCTGCATCACCACAATCACCACGCCGCCATCCTTGTCGTTGAGACGCTGGTAGATGTTGCGGTCATACCAGCGGTTGATATCGTGGAGCTTCTGTGGGTTCTCGGCATCCTGGGTGGAGTGGGGATCATCGATGATGACCATGTTCGCGCCCCGGCCGGTGATCGGGCTCGATGGAGTGAGTGCATAGCGTCCACCGCCCTGCGGCAGCCGGAGCTGGCCGGGCTTTTCGGTCGCACGCATGTGCGGAAACAATCCCATGTACCGCTCGTTGCTCATCAATCGATGCGCGAGCAGGTGCTGGTCTTCGGCCAGTGTTCGATGACCTGCAACGCACAAGATGGAGCTTGTCGGATCCACCCCAAGCACCCACACCGGGAACGCGACTGATGCACAGAACGACTTGAGCGATCGCGGTGGCATGTTGATGATCAGGCGCGTGGTCTCTCGCCGATGACACCTGGCCAGGGCATCACCGAGCACATCGATTGACCAGTTGTGTAAGTATTCGGCCCCGGGGTACACCGATCTGAACGCCAGCTGCATAAACATCCTGGGATCGGTCTGGTACATGTGTTTGATGGCCATCGCTTGCAGGTCAGTCATTGGTTGGATCCTCCTGTGCAGTGTGTTGATCATCATCAGCTTCGCTGAACTCACTGAGCAACTGGATAAACGCCGCACGGTCCGCCGCATCCGGTTCGAATCCACCCACTGTCTTGTGTTCGGTGATGTACGGCATGAGCATCTTGAGTGCTCGTTTATCGCCCTTGACCGCATCATGCACCAATGTCTTGAGGATGAGTTCACGCTTCGAGACACGCATAGTCTGACCACCCTCGGTGATTGTGATCTCTTTGCTCAGCTCGATATCCAGCAGCTTCTCGAACTCTTTGATCTTCTTTGGGCGCCCCTTTGGGTTCCCCGATTGTCCAGCCTTCCAACGGGTGTTCTCCGGCGGTTTCTTGTAGCCAACTCTGTACTCGGTTTGATCAGGCATGACTCGCTTCCTCCTGCTTGCGGGATTCTGCGAGCTCGTCGTAGGATTCGCCGGTGGATGCATGGACCGCTGATTTCCCAGTCCATTGCTGCCACCGCTGGATCGCGACATCCACATACCGCGGAGACAGTTCGATCCCTGCACACACGCGTTTGGCTTTCTCGCATGCGATCAGTGTCGAGCCGCTGCCGAGAAATGGGTCGAGCACGATCTCGCCCCGCTTTGAGCAATCCAGGATCGCGTCCTCGATCATCCGTACAGGTTTAATGGTCGGGTGGAGGCTGAGTGCATCGCTGTCAGGATCACCATCCTCGGGGTTCAAACCCCGGACCGATGGGTACGACCACACATTACTGCGCGTGCGTCCGTGCTCGCCAAGGCCAAAGTGGTTTTGATGCTTGTCCTGGCCGTGCTTAAACACGAACACCAGCTCGTGCTGGCTGCGATAGAACGTGCCCATCCCAGGTCGGTCTTTGACCCAGACGCAGAGATTCTTGAGCTCGGCGTAGTGGCGGTTGCCAGCAGTGAGCATCTCGGTCATATGCCGCCAGTCCATACACAGGTAGTGGATTGAGCCTTGCTCGCTGACCTTGCAGACCTGCTTCATGACTGTGCCGAGGAACTCCGTAAACTCAGTAGCACTCATCTCACCTGATCCCATGGCGAAGTCGCCGTGCTCCTCGGCACACACCTGACCGATCGATTTGGCAGCAAGGTTGTACGGAGGATCCGTAAAGATCATCGAGGCTTGCCGCTGTCCGAGCAACTGGGCATAGGACTTCGAATACGTGGAGTCGCCGCACAGAATACGGTGCTCGCCGAGAGTCCAGAGATCGCCTACACGGGTGATGGGGTCGATGGAATCGGGATCTGGAAGTTCATCTGAACCATCGTCCTCGCCTTCATCAACTTCATTGAGTGCCAGCACACGCTGCTCGATCTCGCCGTAGTCAAAGCCGATGGACTCGATATCAAAGTTGAGATCAAGATCAGATAGCACCTTGAGGTGCTCGCCAAGCAGCTGGTCATCCCACGAGCTGAGCTCGGAGAGTCGGTTGTCGGCAACCATCAATGCACGGACCTGGTCATCGTTTAGGTCAGTCACACGAACCGCGGGCACAGTGTCCATGCCGATGAGCTTGCAGGCCTCGAGCCGGGCGTGCCCGCATACCAATCTCGTCTGCTGATCCACGATCAGCGGCATCCGGAATCCGAAGGCTTTGATGCTCTCGCCGATCTGACGGATCTGTTTCTTGCTGTGAGTTCGAGGGTTCTCCGGGTGGGGCTGGATGTTGAATATGTCGATGCTTTCGATCTGTAGATTTGTATTCATCATTGGCTCCTTGGCCAGTGCAGCATTTGCATGCATACGTGTTTTGGTTACTTGGCATCAACGGGTGTGCAGGATGTGCGCACGGATACCGTGCCCGCTGATTGGGTTGGAAAACAAGCAGTTGTGCGGGTGCCTGTACCCCAAGCAGCTGACTCATGCCAGCGCCCTGCCGATCAACCCATGTTGACCGGCGTGGGGTTGCCGGGACCTCTTCCCGGCGGCGGTGAGCTGACCTTGCAGCCCACCGTGACTTGATGATTCACCCCATCCAGCATTGACAACCTCCATGTGCCGTCATTTCTGGGGGCGCAAACCTCCACTTAATTATATACATGAGGCCCAAATTTCGTTTTCACACTGGTATACAAGCATGAAACGGACATTGAAGAAACGGTCAAGCTCAACGTGGGTATTGAGCAGAACATAATCCCATCAGAATCGCATGCTCAGCTACCCTGTATTAGTGGCTCAGAGTTGGGCTTGATCGGAGCAATCTTCAATGGATGTGCCCATCGCTGAGAGGACGGTCTCGACCAAATCGCGATCATGGACCCTGCACGCGGTGCTCCGGTAGGGCGCGGCCTTGATGGCGTCTGCCCTATCGAGTGATCTGATCCATCGGATCCCTATAAACATCTCAGCCTGGGTCTTGGGGTTATCCCGGTGCTGGATTGGGAGCTGATCGAGGGATTTGCCCTCCGATTCCACGATGAGATCAGTGATTGCAGTGGGGGGTGTGATCACAGTGCCTACCCCGACATATCCGTGCCCCTTGAGATACGCGAGGACAGGCTTACCGATCTGAAGTCGATCCAGCTGCTCGATGCTCTTGCCGCCCGCAGAGATAAAGCCGTACTTCCGGCAATCACCCCAAGAGCGATGGTTGTCTGGGCCGCTGTGCTCGCCGACATTGACAAACGCGAAGCCGGTTTCGGATCGATCGTTTCTGCGGGCAGCCTTGCGTTCGCTGATCTTCTCGCGCTCTTTGACCTGATACTCCTCTGCCGAAGGGATCGGTATGATCTGAGAGACGTTTACGATCAGTTCATCACGGTACTTGTGCAGCGCCAGCTGGACACACCGGACATCGATGCCCTGCTTCCCGAGCCAGATGGCCGATGAGGTCACTTCCGATGAAAAGTCCGCTGAACCCAGGATGATCTTGACCTCGTTGGCAAACTCGTCTTCATCGGGCTGGGGCCAGTTGAGGAAGTCGAGGATCCGTTGCTCGGCTTGAGTGGGATCAAGATTATTCTCGCTGAGGTATCTGGCGTGTGCCCGCACGGCACGATCGAAAGTCATGTTTGAGACCATCGCCGCGTAGCGGATCGCTTGGAGATCCATATGCCCGCCGCTCGCGGTGCGTTCGAGTTCGATGACGACGAGGCATGCGTCTTGATCCAGGCAGAGCAGATCGATCCGCCGGTTACTGTCCTCCCAGTCGTTGAATTCCTCGCTCAGGACCATACAGCCCGGCGCGATGATTTCGATCAAATGCCGAAGCCATTGCTGGAGTTCTCGGCGTTCGCGAACAGCTTCTTGCTCGAATGAGACGGGTGCGATAGATTTGAGTGCGTTGTCGTTGATGCGGTACAGTCCCATGGGTCCTCCTGTGTTGGTCGCGGGAGGTCCGCTGTAGGGTTTGGCGCATGAAAATGGAGGCGCCGAACCACGGTCACTTCAGAGGCCCCGCCAAGGGCGTGCAAGAAAACACATGGCCGACGCCCCCGTTTGGGGGCGCGGCAGATGCTGCTCTTGCACTTCAAGGACCGAAGTCCAGGTTGGCGGTTTCTCTGAAGGCAGCGAAGACGCTCGCGCGTCGTTTGGATGTCAGCCCGATGAGTGGGCCAAGCTCGTGAGTCTTAACTCCTTGGTCTCATGATAGCGAATCGGGCACGATGCCTGATCCGATCATTTCATGCTGTATTCAGCCATGAATGGCAGCGACAGTCAAGTCGATTCTGCCCAGATTCAGCTTAATCGTGGGATCTGAGTGATTCATTGTGCTTAGTGTGTGGGGCAGGTGGTTTTGCATGGGAGAAGACGAGCAGGGTGATGGAGATAATCGAGTTAGACATCTCAGGTTCGGTTGTCATCTACTCCGGTCGCATAGTTGAGAATATAGCCCTGAAATGAGCTCCTCAGGGTATCTGCTGAATATTTGGACCCTGTGAGATTATACCGAACTTTTTGATATCAAACACTTTGCTTTCGAGGGGCAGTAACTGAGTACGAATCCTAAAGCCGACAAGCTACCGTTGGGAACGAGATGTGATTGCCCAGCCGCTTAAGTGCGGGTCTCCGGTTTCTTGTCCCCATCGCGTCGGAGCTCGTAGGCGATGCTCAGGCTGAGCACGGTGCGAATCACGATGACCGCGCCGAGCACACCCATACCTTCAAGAGTGGGTGTGACCACCGTCTTTAGGATGTCCGCAGCGATAAGAAATTCCAGCGAGAGCACTAGCCGTTCAGCAAGGCGGAGGCGTGTCTCAGTCGTCCGTTCTCGGAGGCCGTGGCGTATCGCTGCGACTGCGATGTCTACAACTGCAGCCACAATGGATGCGGTGATCATGATCGCAGCGACCGCTTCGATGAACTGAACAGTGATATTTATGAGTTCTTCGATCATGCGACGTCGCTGCTTTCATATCAATGGTGCTTGTACCAGCCGATCCGCGGGATCTCGTTCCATGAGTTGGTCCGATGACATTTGAAGCAGTCCGACACTTCCGCATGCTCAACACCGGCGACACGCTTAGAGACCATGTTGAAGTGGCCCATATAATGACTCGGCGGTGCACTGTGGCACTGCGCACAGTTCATGGACATTGGCGACGGATGCCGATACTCCGGGATGTCCCAGGTCGATGTGGAGTGGCAGGATGCGCAGCTGGTTCCGAAGAGTGTGCGGTGCGGATCCTCATTGGCGTGACAGGATGCACAGTCAAGAGTAAGTTCGTTTGACGATATCCGCGGGTGAGGTGTCGGTATCGCCCGAGCATGAGCCCGTATTGACTCGATGATGACCAGCGCGTCGTTGCTCGCACTGGATTGTGTAATCACAACAAGTAACTCATGGTCCATGGCCGTCGGGGTCGCTGGTGGCAGCTGGTGTTCAGTGTGACAACCAACGCACGAGCCCACGCTTGCGTGGAATGCTGTCTCTGGTTGAGAAAGAAGCTCTTGGTCATTAGCGTGGCACGCAATGCAGTTCGAAGCTGTGACGCCGATGTGGGGCGTGTGGCACGAAGTGCAGTCGTTACCAAGAAACGCATGTGCCTCGGTGAGCGTGCCGGGGCTGACGAACTCTTGCCACCCGGGAAGCGCGTCCGCCCCTCCTCGATGGACGAACAGCGGAAGGAAAAACGCGAAGCTGAGTCCCCCGAATATGACTACGCCGTAATAGATTTCTAGTCTTTTCATGGGAGCCACCGGATGCCGAAGTACCACGCTGACCACACATGGATGAATAGCAGTGTGTAGAGTACGACGGCGACGAGGATGTGACACACAAGCCATCGCCCGAACACGCTCTTGGCGGTGGTGTGTGTGCGGATCGCGAGCTCGAGATCGGAGATGGATTCGCTGATCTGAATCGCCCTTGACGGGAGCTGTTTCAAAACCTGTTCGTCACGCGCAACGAACAAGGATGCCGCCCGACTGAGCGGCGAACTATTCCGGCGGAGCATCACAGCGGCGTCGGGGTGGGCACCAATCTCTTGAGTTAGGGCACGGTGCGCCGTCAGCAAACGCTCGCGGTCGGCTTTCATCTTCCTGATGTCGGTTGAGAGCTGCCCGAGGAGGTATCGCCCAAGGTATCCGCTCACAGCTACAACGAGCATCATGAGGGTAAGGGCAATACCGAGAGGGCTCTGAAACTTGTGCCCCGTGTGCAGCACACCGAGGATTGGAGCAAGTACGCCAGCGTAAATGTGGACCGTGAGGAGGGTTCGCATCGAGACGTACGGCGTGACTCTCCGTTTGAGCCACGGAATCCGCTTCACGAACAAGTAGAGCAGCGGCACAAGCATGAGCGATGCGGCGGCGATGCCAAACAGGCCGCCGATGAGGCTGCCCGCGAATCGTGGGTCACGGTGCACGAAGAAGCCCAAGGTGAGCACCAGCAAGAGCGTGACAAGCCCCGTAACGATGATCTTCTGTCGCTCATGCATCTCAGGCCTCCACCTCAAGCTCGTCGCTCTTGCTCTTAGCCTGGCACGCGAGGATGACGCCGGCTTGTCGGTCCGCGTCATCAAGCGCGTCCTGGACATCCATCGCGACCTCGCCCTTGAGAAGCTTTACTTTGCAGCTCCCGCAGGTCCCCACACGACAGGAGTTATCGATGTTTACCCCAGCGTCATCGGCAGCCTCAAGCACGGTGGATGACGCCTGAAGAGGGACAGTCTTTCCGGACACGGTGAAACGCACGGTTGAATGCGATGCCTGAGTAGCGGTATCCGCTGCCGGAGTGTCTCTCTTGGCGGGTCCGAAGGCTTCGGTCTTGATGCGTTCGGCGGGGACACCGAGTTTGCCGAGCGTACCCTTGATCGCTTCCATCATCGGCGGTGGGCCGCACAGATGAACGAGCTTGGAGGCGATGTCTGGTACACATTCTCGGATGAGCCCTGCCGTAAGCCGCCCGGTTGGGCCAACCCAGGCGCTACCCCGTGCACGTGTCATCGTGGCCGTGACGTTGAGGCGCGGGTGCTTCCGCTGCAAATATTCCAGTTCATCGCGGAAGCAAAAATCGTCGGTGGTTCGGCAGCAGTGAAGGAGATAGATGTGGCCCGCCCATGCGCGGTCCGTGAGGTATCGGATCACACTCATCATGGGAGTGATGCCGACTCCGCCGCTGACGAGGACGATGCTATCTTCACCCTCGCCGGTGAATGTGAACGTTCCCGACGGGGCACTCAGTGTGAGCTCGTCGCCATCGCCGAGCATGTCGTGGAGCGCACGGCTCACGACGCCGAGTTCCTCACGCTTGACGGAAATCTCGACATATTCCTGTCGAGTGGGGCTCGATGCGATCGTGTACGATCGCTTAACGCGTCGGCCCTCACTTTCGATTTCCACAGTCATGAACTGACCGGGGAGGTACGAGAACGGCACAGCACCCCCAGTGGGGTTGACTAAACGGAAGGTCTTGATGTCTGGCGTCTCGCTGAACGTAGCTGCGAGACAGAGCCGCCCTTCCCAGCGTTCATTGCGGACCGACGGCTGCAAGGCCGCTGTAGCGGGCGAGGGTGAATGGGCGAGGATCGCAGCGGACGAAGCCGATGGAACTGACTGAGTTGATGGCGCACCTTCAGGTTGTGCCGCGAGTTCTTGTAGCAGGGTCGTGGCTCGCCGCATCTTCACGAAGTACAGTGCGATCATGACAAGGGCGAAGCCGATCAGCACAGCCATGCCGCTCGTGTGGAACCATGACCACCCAAACGGACCAGTCGTGGTCGCGGCCGACAGCGGCGTAGAGAGATTCAACTCGCGTTTGAACCACTCCATGGCGACCTGGTCTGAGGGCACGACGCTGTTCATGACACGGTGCGCAGCCAGTCCGCTATCGAATCGTGACAGGCCCTCTCGGAGCATGTTCACGGCGTCCTGCATTGCCTCGAAGTCCTGCGTGGGTGACGACCGTAGCAGTGCGTCAAAGCCCTCGCTCATTAGTTCTGTACCGGCGCGCATCCGCTCGTGGCCGAGTCGCTCAAACGCGTCGCGCTGCTCGGCCGTCATGTTCGGGAGGTCCATGAGGCTCGGATAGATATCCTTGGGCGGCGGAACACCCATCCGGCTCATCATCTCACCCATGTCGCCCATGCCCTGCATGCCGCCAGCACCGCTCGCCTCAGTCGTGTCGCCCGCCGCTGACTCGGGATGATGCTGGGCGTGCTCTTCTGGTGATACTTGCGCATATGTGTTAGTACCAATGACGGCAATGAGAAAGCACATCAGGACTAGCGTGGTTGATCGGCTCATGATGTACCCTCAGCGGGCTGAGTCCCAGAAAACGACTCGTCGGCGGAAGTGGTATTTGCAAGCACTCTGTGAAGTGCTGCATATGCCGTCTCATCGAGCTTGTCTCCTCGCAGAGGCTCCATGGCTAGAAGTGCCTCTGACTCTGTCATCGCCTCGTGGTATGGTCTCGCCTCGGTGAGTGCAGAGAACACATCCGCAACCCGAAGTACCGCGGCGGTGGGGTCGATGTCTGAGGCGGTAAGGCCTCTGGGATACCCCGAGCCATCCGGAGACTCGTGATGCTGGGACACCAAACGTGCGATCGCTCCAGTGCCCGGAATCTCACCGAGCATCCCAACGGCGATGTCGACATGCTCGCGCATCGCGGCCATCTGCTCATCATCGAGCGAGCCGTGTTTGAATAGAATCGCGTCAGGGACTCCTGCCTTGCCTATGTCGTGCACCAAAGCCGCGAGATGTAACTGAGACACCTCGTGGGCTCCAAACCCGAGTTCCTCGGCAATTGCTTTAGAGAGCTCCGCCACTCGGCGAGAATGCTCAAGAGTGGCTTCGTCACGCACGCCCACAGCGGTAAGTAGTCCTGTAATCCCATTGATCATCTCGGTATGCCAAGAGCGAGCGATGACCTCGTCGCGTTGCCACTTGCGTATGTTCGAAGACTGCACGAGGTGCCCGGTAATCGCACCAACAATCGGATACACTCCAAGCCACGCGTATTGGTCGAGATTCGCCATCGGCGAATCCCCCCATGACCAGAGTAGATGGCTAAGGTAGACGGCACTCGCAACACCTGCTGTGAGCAAACCGCCTTTCAGTTCGAATTCGACAGCAGAGATCAGGATGGGAATAAGAAAGAGACCTGCAAGCAAGATGTGAATCCAGTGGAGCGCCGGAGAATGCGTATTGATTGCAAAGTGGCCCACAGTAATCCCGGCAGTCCAGAACGCTGCGCGTCGAATCTGCGATTTCTGATGAGTCTGCATGGCGCTCCTTAGTTCACATGATTTGGACCGTTGCATCGATGGTCAATGGTGCTCAGCTTATCTGAGATCTCTGCGATCCATAACGAAGGCACGGAATATCTCGTAGTGCATAAATTTGATTGGCATGTCCGGGCAGATGCGGACCAATAGTCCTCGGAGTTTTTTTCGAGCATGCGGCTCATTGTACAGAAATCAGTTGGGATGCAGCCGTCACAGCCGTTGTATAGACAATCACAACTGGTCTCAAAATACCACGCGCCGTCAACAACGAACTTGTACTCGTAGCGGCCCGGTGGGAGGTCAAGCTCGATCTCCCACCAACCCAGCCTGTCGCGCGTCATTGCGTGTGTGGTCGTGCTCCATTCGTTGAACGAGCCGGCGACAATTACTTCGCTCGCGTCAGGGGCAGCGAGTGTGATGCGTGAGATGGTGGTCTGGGTTGCTAGCTTGGGTATTGTCACGCTCCTTTCAGTAATGGTGTCAGTCGTCCTTGCTCTGGCCAGTCATGTCCATGGGGCGGGTTCCTGCGAGGGTTTGCCGTTGCTCAACAGTCAGAATCTGGGCAGCCTCGCCCACCGCTCTGATAAACGCGAGACGCTTCTCGGCACGCAGCACTCCGATGGCGCGGACCTCGGTCTCGATGCGATTGATGTCGGGGGTAGACGCGGCCGTCAGTGACCACAGCACTTCTTCGAGGCCCTCGATGCGGCGGTCGTAATCCGACTGGGCGAGGATGATTTCCTGCTTCTTTTCGTTCAGACGAGTTTGTTGTTCGAGTGTCAGGCCAATGTGCTCGCTGTGGTCGAGGAAGAAGCCGGTGGCGCCGATATGGTAGATGTGCGATGCGCCAGGAAAGCCTGGAAGATTAGAGCGAACTTCCATAGCGTCGGTGGTGCCGTCGACATCTTTCGCCTTCGGACTCATGCCCATCATGCTGCGCATGCCACCCATGCGATTGGCATCGGAGGGCCCCATTCCTCCCATGGCGGTCATGCCCATCTGACGCTTACCACCCAATTCGCCCATACGACCCATCGCGTTCTGCTTCTCGGAGGCGTATGCGGCGGTGCTATCCGAACTCGATGAAACCGATCGGTGGGCGAGCAGCAGTGAGACCTCAAGTTGGGCGACCTGAGCGCGGAGTGCTGCAAGCTCCCTCACGGCATCCGCGTTCTCTCGAACTTCCTGCGTTTCGGGTTCGGATTGCTCGATGTCCCTGTAGTTCTGTGCGAGGACCGGTGTAGCGAAAAGGGTAGCTGCGAACAGCAGCGGCATGAGGGGGGATTTCTGTGGCTGAGAGGCTTTCATCAATCGGCTCCTTATCTGTTGGAAACGCGCCGATCTTCCTGATGGCTCCTGAATGCCATGGCGGTTTATAAACAGACTTAAAAGATGCAAACATTATCCGCTATGAATGAATAAAGCAAGCGGGCTTTGCCTCTTGTCTATGTGCTCACGCCTCTGATTGCCGTATGCTTAAGTGATGATATTTGACAAAGCGGACACAGTAGTCCTGAAAGGCCTGGATGATTTCAAGGCAAGTAGCAATGGCGGCGGTTTGTATGGGGCTCATCGGGCGCGATGGGACCGACGAGTGCATGCAGATTCCCGAGCTTGTGGAGCGGACAGGCATATCGAGGCCGACGCTTGGAAAGATCATCAACGCATTAGCGCGGAAGAAACTCGTGAAGACTCGGCGCGGTGTCGGTGGTGGGGTGCGATTGGTGCATTCCGTAGAGCAGGTCACTTTGTATGACCTATGTGTGGCCTTTGAAGATCCTGTGATCGAATGTCATTGTTCTTTCGGTTTCGGCCACTGTGTTGAGGAAGGACCGTGCCCTCCGGGATGCCTCTGCGTCGCACAACACTCGAAACATTTGGAGTACCTCAAGAATACGACTGTGCTAGACGTCGCTGAGACGATGTCGCCGAGGCTGAAGGAAGCTGCCTGTCTAGCTAAACGATCACGGCGAAAGTGCTGAATTAGATAATTGATCAGGTCACATGAGAATCGTACTAGGTTAATGTGTTCCCACTTTGTGTCAGGCTTTCTAGCCTCGCTCTAGGGGTACGTTTCATGTAGCATTTGATCTAAGCCAAGTCTAAAAAGCATATACAGTACACTCCAAACCTCGTTCCGCAATGATGTGCGGCGGTTTTCCCAATCCGAGGGAGACTCTGCCGTACACAAAAGATCGGGAGAATCCACCTAGGTAATTTTCATAGGTTGATCTGATTCTCATTGCTGAGCTAATAAAGTAAGCCGATGAGCTAATCTTATTCCGAATGGGCGGGCGCAAGAAGCTTCAGTAAATTTTGTGGTATTAATGAGCAATCCAATGCGCGGATCGGGATTTGGATCCATGCAGGACGAGGGTGCTGTTGTAATCAAGATGATATTGAGAGACAGAATGCCATTCGTAAGGACATATTTATAGTTAGCTACAAATGGTGGCTCAGCATCCCAAGATTGCGTCGAAAATCATATGTTTAAGTGTTGTGAATTTGGATTTAAATATGACTGTGAAAAGCTTCGAAGTCTTAGCAGAATAATAGTCGAACTGCGTTATTCGATTTTCTCACTTGGACGAGAGCGATCATTGAGCACGCGCCCCATCGACGTAAATATGAAGGAAGCCGACCACGCTAGGTAGAGCAATCCACACAGACCTTCCGTTGCAGCAATAAAACGAAGGTGGCCGGATGGCAGAACATCGCCGAATCCGATCGTTGTATAAATTGTTGCAGACACATAGAGATGACCAAATGGTCCTTCGGCGCTGGATCCGCTGATCGTCCCGAGGCCGAGTACATGCCATGCGAAGTAAATGGCGAGCGCGAAAATGATAATATCCACCATGTGACTGATGAAGATGCTAAGCATCAGGCAATAAAACCGATGCGTTGTGAAATGAACGGCATCTAGTGTGTGACGGGCGGCAACCATGAAGAACCCAAGCCGAAATCCGGTTGTTAGGAGGACGAGAACAAGACTAATTAGCACGGCTACAGCCATTGGATACTCTATCCCAGGAAGCAACCCATTTGGCCAGATTACAGATTGGACACAATAGAAAATAGATAGCGTTTTCTTGGTTTTCACGGATGATTCGGTGGAATCGGGAGGTTGGTTGCCGGAGTAAGATGGTAAAAGAGTGATAGGTACACGATTTGACGAATAATTCGGCAACTCGATGAGTTCTCTAGATCGAGTAGCGATACACCCCGATGGATTTACACACCTCACTGAACTAGACTCAACTGAATGATTCGAATGCTGACCATCCTGATTCTCTTGCTTGCGGGAATCCCGCGGGTTGGCATTGGGATGATTGGCACAGCCGGAGACGCTGGCTGTTACGATGCTGTTTGTCAGCCTGTAGTTGTCGAATCGAGTTGCTGCAGCGATCCTGTACCCGCCATTGATATGGACGAATACTGTCCTATGTCGGGCGGGCCTTGCCGTTGTGGAGTCAGTCCTGGTAATGACAGGAATGAGTTGCCTGAAGCTCCGCTCCAACGGAGTGAGTCTCAGATTACTCTGGGTCTTTCCGCTGATCCTGTTCGGATATGTGTTTGGACGGCGAACAATGATGAGCATTCCGCACCAATGGAGGGGCTTGTAGGAAACCTCCACGCACTTCGCACACACTGTGAAACACAAGCCATTCTGGGTATCTGGAGAACTTAGAACGAGGATCCATAGGGGCAATGCGCGCAAAGCGTTTTGTTCTCATGATGTGATCCGCCGTTCTATTTCACTCTCAATCAAGTAGATATCTAGGAGTTTGCTATGGCTTCCAGCCTATGCATGGGCGCATTGAGCGCTGGTTTAGGGCTTGTGTTCCTTGCCGGGTGTTCAACGAGTCCGTTTGATTCACCATCCAGTTCGAGACGATCTGCGCTCCATCGGCTGAGTATGTCCGATGGTTCAGGAGCAGAACTCGCTTCGGTCTACAGGGACCAGGACGAGGAAACTGAGCATGCGGCGATGGTTGTGGACTCAACACCCGAGTCGTTTGTTCGATACGCCTTGTATCACAGTCCAATGGTTGAGCGTGCGTATCAGCAATGGCGAGCTGCAAGTGAGCGGCTGCCTCAGGTACGGTCGCTTCCTGACCCTCGTTTGAATATCGGATTTTTCCTTGACGAGGTCGAAACCCGTGTTGGGCCGCAGCAAGCAAAGGTTGGGTTTCAACAAACCTTCCCGTGGATTGGGAAGCTACAGGATCGTGAGGATGCGGCGGCACGGGGTGCGCTAGCGGCATGGTACCAATACCAAAGTATTCAACTGATTGTGGTTGAGCAGGTCATCATCGCACTGCGGGATCTTGTGTACCTCGATGAAGCGATCAGGATTACCAAGGAGAACTACGCACTACTCGGCTCGTTCGAGGAAGTCGTGCGTGCACGGTATCGCGTTGGTGCTGGGTCGCATCCGGAACTGATACGGGTTCAGGTTGAGCTTGGTCAGATCGAGGATCGGGTATTGGGGCTTGAAGCGCTCCGGCCGTCGTATGTGGCCAATCTCAATGCATTATTGAATCGACCGCCTGAAGAGGATATCGGCGAAGGGATCAGCCTCACAAACTCGGTCATCTCGGAAAGTGCACAGCAGATTTCGCAATCGGCTCATGAGTGGAGTCCGGTGCTTCAATCGATCGCCCAGCGTGTTGAACAAGAACGGATTGGAACGAAACTTGCTCAGAAAGACGGGTATCCAGATCTGACTGTCGGTATTGAGTACATCGTGACTGACGACGCTGCGAATCCATCGATCGCCGAGAGTGGTGATGATCCGATTATGCTCACCTTTGGGATCAACTTGCCCATTTGGCGTGAGAAGTACGATGCTGGCGTGCGTGAGTCGATTGCGAAGCGGCTTTCGATGAGCCGTGAACTGGACTCATCAACAAATCAACTCACAGCAACGGTATACAAAGCATGGTTCGAGCATACGGATGCGGATCGACGGGTACGACTGTATGAGGACTCATTGATACCGAAAGCTCAGGAGTCGCTTTCAGCATCGCTTGGTGGATTCCGTACCGGTGATTCAGAGTTCTTGGATCTGCTCGATACCCAGCGCACTCTGCTTGAGTTCTCAATATCAGCAGAAAGAGCGAGAGCCGATCGAGGGAAGGCACTGGCGACGCTCAATCGCCTTGTTGGTCGGCCAGTAGCAACAATCGATGAGAGTTTTTCTCCACGCAGCGGTGATCAATCAACAGATCAAACAGTAGATGAGGTGCAGCCATGAGTTCGTTGAGAGCAAGAATTTCTCCTGTATTGAACTGGGTTTGGACGCATACTTCTGCAGCAATTGCATTGGTACTGATCGTTGTCGCGTTGCTCGTTGGCTACAACATCGGAAGCCCAAATACCACTGTAGATTCAAAGTCAGACCATTCAGAGCTTGCGGGATCCGAAGAGTCCGGCCCACAAATGTACACATGCTCGATGCATCCTTCCGTGCGTCTGACTGATCCGAACGCAAAGTGTCCGATTTGCTTTATGGATCTGATTCCTGTCAAGGATAGCGCGAGTGGTGATGGTGCTGAGATCCAGCTGGTGCTCTCTGAGTCTGCCATGTCGATGAGCCAAATTGAAACAACGGAGGTCGGGCGATTCTTTCCATCTACTGAGAATCGTTTGTTTGGAAAGTTGGCTTATGACGAAACATCGGTGGCACGGATCAGTGCGTACTTTCCAGGAAGGATTGAACGACTCTTTGTGAATTACATCGGCGTAAGTGTTCAGGAAGGGGACCATCTTGCTGAGCTATACAGCCCGGATCTGCTTTCATCATTTGAAGAACTTGTACAGGCGAAGAAATCAGCAGAGAATGCGAGTGGGGGGAGTTCATTCCTTCGAGAAACAGCGAACCAAACCCTCCAGGCTTCGAGAGATAAACTCCGGCTGTTTGGGCTCACAGCAGAACAGATCGAGCAAGTTGAGCGGGGTGACTTTGACTCCGATGAGTTGACTGTCTACTCACCGATCGGCGGTGTTGTCACACATCTTGCGGCTCGTGAGGGCGATTATCTTGATACTGGTGACCCGATTGCAACGGTCTCTGATCTGAGTCGTCTTTGGCTTGATCTTGAGGCGTACGAATCACAGTTGTCGATGCTGCGCTGGGGTTTGCCGGTGACCTTTACTGTTGAAGCTCATCCGGGAGAGATCTTCGAGGGGCAGGTGTCATTTATCGAACCAATTGTTGATGAGCAGACACGCACGGCTGCAGTCCGTGTTGCGGTTGATAACTCCGAGTTAAGGTTAAAGCCTGGAATGTTTGCGACAGCAATGGTCCGGGCAAAAGTTGCTGCTGATGGTGCGGTGCTTTCTGATGAACTTGCTGGCAAATGGGTGAGTCCGATGCATCCGACCATTGTCAAGGACGAGCCTGGGAATTGTGATGTTTGTGGTATGGACTTAGTGACCGCAGAGTCGCTTGGTGCTGTCGGCGATTCTTCAAAAGCTGAGATGCCGATGGTGATTCCTCGGAGTGCGGTGCTGTTTACCGGGACTCGATCGGTGGTGTATGTTCAAGTTCCAGATAAGGAACAGCCAACATATGAGGGGCGAATCGTCGATCTTGGGTTACGGGCGGGTGAGTTCTACACGGTTCGTGATGGGCTCAAAGTGGGTGATCAAATCGTGGTCAATGGCGCATTCAGGATTGACAGCGCCATGCAGATTTCTGCCAAGCCAAGCATGATGATGCCGAGCGGTGGGGGTGGCGGAGGCGGTCACAATCATGGAGGGAGTCCGTCTTCAATGGGCTCAATGGAGATGAAAGACTCGGTGCCTGGTGGGTTTGTCGAAGATTTAGACTCGGTCTATACGGCTTATCTGGATGCTCAAGAACGGTTGGCTGATGACGATCTGAGTGGCTATCTCGATGCAGCCATGCAGCTAGATCGTTCGGTTGAATCTGTTCGAGTGGTTGGTCTTGTTGGTGAATCACTCGGTACTTGGCGGCGTGTGGCGAGCAAACTGTCACAGGAATCGCCCGCAACAACGATGGACGCTGCACGGTTGAACTTCGAACGAATGTCAGAAGCGATCATGGAACTGCAGGATCGGTTTGGGAATGCGGCGGATGAAACGATCTATACGGCGTACTGCCCAATGGCTTTCGATTTCAAGGGTGCCAAATGGATTCAGCGTGGTCAAGAGATCAATAACCCGTACTTTGGCAGCGAGATGCTGCGATGCGGTGATATTGAAAAGGCACATGAGCCGCTCGGTTTGCAAGACCATGACAGTATGGATATGAACATTGATCCGGAGATGGAAATGGGCATGCCAAATGCTGCTGAACACGAAGGGCATGACCATGACTGATCTGGAACACAATCCGGGTTTGGTGAATTGTGTCATCCGATTCTGTCTTGAACAGAAACTGGTTGTTGCGATATTGCTATTTGTCATGATCTTCTGGGGTGTGCTTGTAGCTCCGTTTGATTGGGAAGTTGGTGATCTTCCACGGAACCCTGTCCCGGTAGATGCAATCCCAGATATTGGCGAGAATCAGCAGATTGTCTTTACGGAATGGATGGGGCGTTCGCCCCAGGATATTGATGATCAGATCTCGTATCCGATGACTGTGGCACTGCTAGGGATTCCGGGGGTCAAGGATATCCGGAGCTATTCGGTGTTCGGGTTCTCGACGATTTATATAGTCTTCGAGGATGGGATTGAGTTCTATTGGTCTCGTTCTCGTGTGCTTGAAAAACTCAACTCTCTCCCAGCGGGAACGCTCCCGTCTGGTGTTGTGCCGACGCTTGGGCCGGACGCAACGGCATTGGGGCAGGTTTTCTGGTACACGCTCGAAGGGCGTGATTCAGATGGGAATCCGACAGGGGGATGGGAGCCCGATGAGTTGCGATCAATCCAGGACTTCACCGTCAAGTATCAACTCGCAGGGGTTGAGGGCGTCAGTGAAGTCGCTTCGATTGGTGGGTTTGTTCGTGAATATCAGGTTGATGTGAACCCAGACGCAATGCGTGCGGCGGGGATCACACTCAAACAAGTCATCGGAGCGGTTCGAAAGAGTAATCTTGATGTTGGCGCTCGGACACTGGAAGTGAATCGAGCGGAATACATCGTTCGGGGGATAGGGTTTATCGAGGATCCTGAGGATCTTGAACAGACGGCAATCACTGCACGAGACGGGCAGCCAATTTTGATCGGGGATATTGCACAAGTGGGGTACGGTCCTGCGCTTCGTCGTGGTGTGCTCACGAAGGCTGGTGTTGAGGCGGTTGGTGGAGTGGTTGTCGTTCGATATGGCGAGAATCCTATGGCAACGATCGAGCGTGTGAAAGAACAAATCGCTTCGACGGCCTCGGGATTGCCTACCAAGATCTTGAGTGATGGCACTGAATCACAAGTGACCATTGTTCCGTTTTATGATCGCTCAGGGCTCATCAAGGAAACACTGGGAACGCTCAACTCAGCAATCGAGCAGCAGGTGTATGTGACGATCATCGTGGTCGTGTTGATGGTGATGCATCTACGGAGCAGCATACTCATTGGCGCGATGCTTCCAATCACGGTGATGGGGACATTCATCGGGATGAAAGTGTTCAGGGTTGATGCGAATATTGTGGCGCTGTCTGGGATAGCTATTGCGATTGGCACGATTGTGGATATGGGGATCGTGCTCTCGGAGAATATTCTTCGTGGTCTTGATGATGCTGACCCGACAGAGTCTCGGCTTGAGGTGGTCTATCGAGCGTCGTCGGAGGTCGGGGGGGCGGTGCTTACGGCTGTGGCAACGACAGTTGTCGGATTCTTGCCGGTGTTCACGATGGAAGCGGCGGAAGGCAAGCTGTTCAAACCGCTTGCCTATACCAAGACATTCGCCCTGATCGCATCGATCATCATTGCCCTGACGATCCTGCCCGCTGCGGCTCAGGTTCTGATGGGATTCCGGGTTCCGATCAAGTCGATGCGGACGATTTCTTCAGCGATGCTCGCTGTGGCTGGGGTCTGCATAGCCATTTGGATTCAGCCGCTTGGTGGTATATTGATCGCTGCGTTCGGAATGTTTTATTTGATCGAACCAGCATTACCCAAACTTGTTGCAAGGTCTTTGCTTTGGTCGGCGAACCTTGTTGTGGTTGGAGTGGTGCTTGTGGTTCTTGCCGGTTCATGGGAGCCTTTAGGACCAGAGCCTGGCTTGATTGGGAATGCGATATTTATTGGTTCCATCGTTGGTGGATTACTGTTGGTGTTCTGGGTAATCCGAATACTGTTCCCACTCGTGCTTACGTGGGCGCTTAAGCATAAAGTGATTGCGCTCTCGCCTGCCATATTCATTGTTCTCTTTGGCTCAACTGTTTGGCATGGGTTTGACCAGGTATGGGGGTGGTTGCCAGAGGGAGTCCGCCAGAATGAGCGAACGGTCAAGATTGCCCATTCGCTCCCCGGATTGGGTTCGGAGTTTATGCCTTCGCTTGATGAGGGATCGTTCTTGTATATGCCGACGACGATGCCGCATGCATCTATTGGTGAGGCAACGGACATACTCAAAGAGCTTGATCTGCGGATTATGAGTGTCCCCGAGGTCGAGATGTCGGTCGGGAAGATCGGGCGGGTTGATAGCCCGCTGGACCCGGCACCGATTTCGATGATCGAAACCATCATCGAGTATGCAGACGAATACATCATGGATGACAGGGGGCATCGAATTCTCTTTGCGGTTGATGATGAGGGTAAATATCTCAGATCAGAGTCCAACGAACTCATTGAAGACGATGATGGTGAGCCCTACCGCCAGTGGCGTGATGAGATTCAATCGCCGCAGGATATCTGGGATGAGATCGTGCGGGTTGCGGAGATGCCCGGTGTGACAAGCGCCCCCAAGCTTCAGCCGATCGAGACTCGGATTGTGATGCTCCAGTCAGGATTCCGTGCTCCGATGGGTATCAAAGTCTACGGGCCAAGCTTGGAGTCGATTGAATCGTTCGGCCTTGAACTCGAACGCTTGCTCAAAGAAGTGCCTTCGGTGCAGCCCGCTGCGGTCTTTGCGGATCGTGTGGTTGGGAAGCCGTATTTAGAGATCGAGATCGACCGTGAGAAGATCGCCCGGTACGGGATACAGATCGATGATGTGCAGGAAGTTATCGAGGTGGCTATTGGCGGGAAGCCGTTGACGATGACCGTTGAGGGCCGTGAGCGGTACCCGGTGCGGGTCCGGTATTTGAGAGAGTTGCGAGATCAGCCCGAGACACTTCTGGATATTCTTGTCCCTGCGCCAGATGGAACGCAGGTTCCTCTTGGAGAGCTCGCCACGCTTGAGTATCGGCGCGGCCCTCAGATGATCAAGAGTGAGGATACTTTCCTTGTAGCGTATGTGCTCTTTGATAAGCAGCCCGGGGTTGCAGAAGTCACCGTCGTTGAAGATGCGAACGCCTACATCAACTCGAAGATTGAATCTGGTGAACTTGTTGTGCCCGCAGGAGTGAGTTATGACTTTGCCGGTTCATACAAGAATCAGATCCGTGCGGCGAAACGGATGAGCATTGTTCTGCCACTGTCGCTTGTGGCGATCTTCTTATTGCTGTACTTCCAGTTCAAGAAGGTCAGCGTCACGATGATGGTGTTCTCTGGCGTATTTGTCGCTTGGGGTGGCGGGTTCATGATGCTGTGGCTCTACGGGCAGCCCTGGTTTATGGATATTGATCTGTTTGGAAACAACCTCAGAGATCTGTTCCAGATCCGCCAGTACAACCTGAGTGTTGCCGTGTGGGTTGGGTTCCTTGCTTTGTTCGGGATTGCGACCGATGACGGCGTCATCATGGCTACTCGAATCGAGCAGTCAATGCGTGAAGAGAAACCCAACTCAATCGAATCGATCCGTCATGCGGTGGTCACCGGCGGTCGGCTACGGGTGCGTGCAGCCGTGATGACTTCTGCAACCACTATTCTCGCACTCCTCCCAGTGCTTACGAGCACTGGTCGAGGTTCGGACATCATGATCCCGATGGCGATCCCAACCTTTGGCGGGATGGCTGTTGCATCGTTGACTTGGTTTGTCGTTCCCATCCTGTACTGCTGGGCGCAGGAATGGAAACTCCGTATAACACAGATTACCAGCAAGAAAACCACTGACTAAAGGAGTCACTCAATGAAATGTTTATCCATCACTGCTGTTTGCGCCTGTTGCGCATTTCTCGCAACTCCAGTCCTCGCTCAATCCGGACACGGGAATCATGCCGGTCATGCACATGCCGAATCGGATTCCTCAAAGCCAGTCAATGCAATGTGTCCGATCGGGAAGGAACCTGTAGAAGATGACGGCGGCCGCACTGTGTACAAGGGCAAGACCATCGGATTCTGTTGCCCCGGCTGTATTGGCAAATTCAATGCATGGGATGAGAGCAAGAAAGACGAGTTTGTATCCATGTCCATGATGAGTGGGCAACCAGGTATGCATGACGAGCATGAGAAGATGACAGACTCCAAGGATGTGAATGAGTCTGATAGTGTGCAGTACCTGTTCAATACCTGCGCGGTTTCGGGGAAAGAACTCGGAAGCATGGGTGACCCCATCGTCAAGTCCTATGACGGGCGTGAGGTCAAGTTCTGCTGCAAGATGTGCGTGCCAAGATTCGAGAAGAATCTAGAGGCGTCGTTTGCCAAGCTCGATCAGAAGATCATCGAATCGCAGTTGCCTTTGTATCCAATGGCCAACTGTGTTGTCTCGAACGAAGAGTTTGGCGGGGATATGGGAGATCCGATTGATCTTGTATATAACAATCGGCTTGTCCGCCTTTGCTGCAAGATGTGCAAGTCTGATTTCAAAGATAACCCAAAAAAGTTCATCGACAAACTCGATGCAGCGGTCATTGCCCAGCAGAGCGAACATTATCCATTGACAACATGCCCGATCTCGGGGGAGGAACTCGGATCGATGGGTGGTGCGATCAATGTCGTCTATGCGGGTCGTCTTGTCAAGTTCTGTTGTGCGATGTGCGTGCCCAAGTTCGAAGCCGACCCGATGCCGACGATCGAGAAGATTGACGCAGCGTGGACAGAGTTGCATGGGAACAGCGATCAAGGTCATCAAGATATGGATAACCACGGCAAGCCAGGCCATCACGGCGGGTAATTGGAGAATGAAACAATGCAGTCGATGAATATACTTCTGACAGTTTCTGCTATCGCAGCGTTGGCGTTCCCATCGATTGCAATAGCACAAGATACTCATGACGAACATGCACATGTTACCGAAACCTCAAGCTTCGATTCGCCATTGGGACCCATCAACTCAATGTGTCCGGTGACGACGGATGAAGTCGTTGATCCAGCATTCCAAACTGAGTATGAAGGCCAGGTCATCGGATTCTGCTGCAGGAAGTGCCGTACTCGATTCGAAGAAAATCCCGAGTCTTATCTCGCTGAACTACCAATGCTCCTGACTGTATCGATGCTTTCACAAGATATAGGGCATGATGAAGGCGATTCACACAGTCATGATTCGAGCATGGTTGATGATCATGAGGACAGTTTCAGCCATGACGATAGTGAGGAGCATGATCACGCAACTGACCATGGAATAAATGAATCGGGACTTGCCAGGCTCATTTCATGGCTTGGCAAGTTCCATCCAGCGGCTACCCACCTCCCGATCGGCATGCTGATCGGGGGCGGGTTGGCCGAGGGCCTATTGATCATGACAAAAAATGAAATCTTTCGGAATGCGAGTGCGTTCTGCGTTGTAGTTGCCAGTATTGGTGCGATTATAGCGGTGTCGCTTGGCTGGTTCAACGGTGGCTTTGCAATCGTTGATGATCAATGGCCACAGACGGTTCATAGGTGGCTAGGAACAGTAACCGCAGCATTCACTTTTCTCTCGGTATTCCTGCTGATCCTTTCTGCAAAGAGCACCGTCAAACAATCAATGAGAATCTGGTACCGTATTACATTATTTTCTGCAGTCGGGTTAATTGGTGCGACGGGCTTCTTTGGAGGTGCTCTTGTGTACGGCATGAATCACTATGCATGGTAAATGCATACCGGTCCGTGATTCGCAATATGGCCTGGGAGTTCAGAATGATACGAAAGTCAGTAAATGCAATACGATCACGCTTTCAGCGTGCACACCTGAGAACCCAACTTCTTTTCACGGTGAACTTGTTTGTGGCAGCAATACTGGCAGCGTATCTCTATATCGATTTTCAACAAAGTGTGCGGTTTGATCTGCAAGAAAAAACGGTTTCATTGAGTGATGAGTCACGGACAATCCATGCTGCAATACAAGAGTTACGCACGATGGGTCCAGATGCTGTCCAGCGTCATATCAATACAATCTGTGCGACTATGAACTCCGGGGAATCACCTGGTCACACCATCGAAGTGGTGATTGATGGAGTCCATTTTATCTCCGACGCAACACAGCATCTTCATGATCATTCATCGCCCTGGTCGGAACTTGTTGCAGGTTCAGTTTCAGCCGAAGGGGTAATGGTTCGGGTTGGAGAACGGAGGAAGCCATTGGTTGCCAAGGTTCGAAGAGATTCACTTGAGGGTCTTGGAGTGTTGGTTGGTTCAACTCTTCTCGGTGTATTGGTTCTGAATATACTATTGGTCCGGCTTGTAACACGGCCTCTTGAGCGAACCGTCGTTGCAGTTCGTGAGGTTGGAAAGGGAAAGCATGGAATCACGGTCGGCGTGAGGGCAAACTGTGAACTTTCTCAGTTGGCTGATGAAGTGTCACAGATGAGCCAAGAACTGGATCGGCGAGATTCAGATCGTAATGCACAACTTGATCGTGCACAACGTTTACAAGCCCATCTCATTCCGAAAAAGTATTCAAATGACGGGCTTGAAGTAGCCATTGAGTTTCATCCTGCTGATGAGATCGCGGGAGATTATGTAGATGTGCTTGAATGCCCGAATGGCGATACATTATTTTGTGTAGCTGATGTTGTCGGGCACGGCATCCATGCTGCGATGGGATCAGCGGTACTCAAGGCATTATTGCTCACTGTTGACCTAGGGGAGTCATCTCCATCTGAGATGCTCAGATGGATCAATCAACGATTCTGCTCAGCCAGCCTGCCGGAAGATTTTGCATCCATGATTCTGGTTCGAGTCTCATGTGATAGAAGAACGTTGGTGTACGCAAGCGCTGGGCATGAACTTGGCTATCTCAGAAAAACTGATGGGGAACTCCAAGAACTAAGCTCTACCGGCACAGTACTCGGCATTATCAATGATGCTGAGTATGAGAACATTGAGCATCAACTTCATCAGGGCGATCTGATCGCCCTGCTTTCAGATGGGGTAAGTGAGACATTCAACTCTGAAAAGGCCATGCTAGGCAGAGGCAGAATCAGTTCCATGATTCAAAGACCGACTCGAATTTGTGCAGATGCAGTAGCTGATGAAATAGTCACTAGGGCAGTAAAACACAGAGGTGAAACACAAGTTATGGATGACATAACCGTACTTGTTTTAAGTGTTGTACATCAAGACCATATTAACGAGGCAGGCGTAGAAAGCAGTGGTTTCGAGAACAAGCCCAATAAGCCTCTAATTGACATTTCTATGACTTCTTCATCATAAGGAAAGATACTATGAAACACTCTTTCATAATGATAACAGTGTGCGTGATTCCCTTTCTGTTGTTCTTTTCATTTCCCTTGCTTGGATTGAGCGGCGACTGGAGTTTGTTGCTCTTTGTCGTTCTTCTCTTCGGCGGGCATTTACTCATGCTGACATGGCATAGTCGTCAAACTCACATGAGCAACAAAAATACAAATACATTGGAGGTGCATGATGACAACTAAAACGCTTAGTGTCCATCGTACTGGATTTGCACTTGGAGCATCTCTCGCGGTTCTATACGCAGGATGTATGATTCTAATGCTTTCGGTTTCACGTGAATCCGTTGTGCAGTTTGCAAACAGTATTCTGCACGGCATTGATGTCGATCCGATTATGAGGTGGAACATGCCATTGTGGGAAGCATGCTTAGGGGTTATTGAGATATTTATTCTTGGCTGGTTCTTCGGTGCGCTCTTTTCATCGTTGTACAACTATGGCCTGGGGAATCCGCCGAATTCAGGCTAAAAGAACAGAGGACAATACAGTGAATACAAACACAAACACTCACCAATCAGTAGAGGAAGTCACAGATCCAGTCTGTGGCATGAAGATAGATCGAGAGACTGCTTCAGAAGTCATTGATTATCAGTCGCGCCAATATCATTTCTGTGGTTCATCGTGTGCCCAGAAGTTTAAAACCAACCCCCAGCATTACCTCGTTCCTACAGAAGACCGGTCTGCTCCGAACACGCCAATAGACGCGATCTATACCTGCCCTATGCATCCGGAGATCGAGCAGGTCGGCCCTGGCTCATGCCCAAAATGTGGCATGGCGCTCGAACCCATGGATTCTAGTGCAGAGCAGGACGATGGCGAACTGCGTGATATGACCAGAAGGTTTATAATATCGGCTATCTTTACTCTTCCATTGCTCTTCGTGTCTATGGGAAACTTGTTGCCCGGAAATCCAGTTGACAAACTCTTTGGACATACAACGGCAAGATGGAGTGAGCTATTACTTGCGACTCCAGTGATCCTCTATTGCGCGTGGCCGTTTTTTGTCAGAGCACTCCAGTCGGTTAAACACACAAGTCCGAATATGTTTACTCTTGTTGGTATGGGTGTCGGCGTAGCGTATGTATTTAGCGTTGTTGCCACTCTCTTGCCTGGTATATTTCCTGAGTCGTTTAGAGATGAAATTGGGCAGGTTGCAGTGTACTTTGAAGCGGCAGCATTCATCACTATGCTTGTGTTGCTTGGACAAGTGCTTGAGCTTCGAGCACGCTCACAGACCGGTTCGGCAATCCGTGAACTCCTAGAGCTCGCCCCGCCGACTGCATTGATTCTTGATTCGGATGGTCACGATAAGGAAGTACCGGTTGAACAACTCAATGTAGGTGATCGAGTCCGGGTTCGTCCTGGAGATAAGATTCCTATTGATGGGGTAGTTATCGAGGGGCATTCATCAGTAGATGAGTCGATGATCACCGGAGAACCTGTTCCGGTAGCCAAAGAAGCTGGCGTTCAGGTCACCGGCGGCACTGTAAATACGACGGGGTCCTTTATATTTGAAGTTGAGCGGGTGGGTTCTGAGACCATGCTCGCACAGATTGTACAAATGGTTTCCGACGCGCAGCGTTCACGAGCACCCATACAGAAACTTGTTGATGCTGTTTCTGCTTGGTTTGTTCCAGCCGTGATTGTTATAGCGGTAATTTCATTCGTTCTTTGGTCAACACTTGGACCATCCCCAGCTATGGCATACGCACTGATTGCTTCAATATCAGTGCTCATTATTGCTTGTCCCTGTGCTCTTGGATTGGCTACACCGATGTCAATCATGGTGGCTGCTGGGAAAGGGGCAAAGAATGGCGTTCTGATCAAGGATGCTGAAGCGCTCGAAGTATTCGGGAAGATCACTACTGTTGTAGTTGACAAAACAGGGACTTTGACAGAAGGCAAGCCCAAACTTGTTGAAGTCCATTCGATAGATGGCATTGATCAAAAACGGATGCTATCACTCATTGCTGCTGCAGAGCGTTCTAGCGAACACCCGTTAGCAAGTGCCATTGTAAAGGGCGCTGTTGAGCGTGGTGTTGATCAGTTGGATGTGAGTTCGTTTGAGTCTATCACAGGCAAGGGCATCACGGCAACTGTTGACGGGGTTCAAGTAGGTATTGGATCTCCCAAGATGATGCTTGCAATGGATATTGATCCTTCTCCTCTGTCATCTCTTGCAGATGATGCAAGACGCGAAGGGCAGACCGCCATGCTTGTTGCAATGGGAGGTCATTTAGCCGGGATGATTTCAGTAGCCGATCCGATCAAGGAATCGACGCCCGGAGCGATCGAAGCAATGCATAAACTCGGTCTTCGTATTGTGATGCTCACAGGAGACAATGAGACTACAGCAAGAGCGATTGCTTCCAAGCTCAACATCGACGATGTGAAAGCGGATGTGCTTCCGCAAGAGAAGGCCGAGATTGTCAAAAGCTATCAAGATCAAGGAGAGCGGATAGCAATGGCAGGCGACGGAGTCAATGACGCTCCTGCACTTGCACAAGCTGATATTGGCATTGCGATGGGAACCGGATCTGGGGTTGCCATTGAGAGCGCTGGGATCACACTCATAGGCGGTGATCTACGGGGTCTGGTACGAGCACGAAAGCTGAGTACATCTACGATGCGAAATATCCGCCAGAACCTGTTCTTCGCATTTGTATATAACGCTGCAGGAGTTCCAGTTGCCGCAGGCGTGCTGTATCCAATGTTCGGAGAGCGGGCATTGCTCAGTCCGCTCATCGCTGCAGTCGCCATGAGCCTGAGTTCAGTATCGGTGATTGCGAATGCATTGCGTTTGCGCCGAGTTCGGCTTTAACAACTCTTACTCACGGAGTAATCAATGGATAACGCTGTCACATTAGTCCAAGCATACCTGAGGCTCAATGGGTATTTTACGATCACCGAGTTTCCGATTGTTGAAGCGATCAAGCATGGTGGGCATCGTACGGCAACAGACATCGATGTCATGGCAGTTCGATTTCCTGGGGCTGGTCGGCTAGTCACTCAATCAGGGAAGAGATCACATCATGATCGCATTATTACCGGTGTTGATCCGGTGCTCGGTGTTTCGCTGGGTGATGCTGACATGATTATTGGTGAAGTCAAAGAAGGAAAGGCACAGATCAATCGTGGTGGGCGAGATCCATCAGTGTTGAGAACGGCTTTGGTGAGGTTTGGGTGCTGTCATGACGAGAAAGTCTCCGAGATGGTGCATTTCCTAATCCAGAAGGGTCACGCTCAAACTCAGCATGGGCACAACATTCGACTGGTCGCATTTGGATCCATTCTACCAGAATCCAATCCCGGTTACCTCACAATTGGGCTAGGTCACATCATTGATTTTACCAAAGCATATCTGCAGGATAACTGGGATGTGTTTCGTGTAACGGACTTGAAGGATCCTGCGTTGGGATTTTTGTCAACCATGATCAAATCATCGAGGATATCTTCATGAAACCTAGGAAATCGACATACATAGCACATCGTTGGTTTGGTCTTGTCATTTCGTTGCAACTACTTGCATGGAGTGTGGGTGGGTTTATTTTTAGTATTCTCGATATAGACGAAGTACACGGGGATACTGAAGCACGGATGGTTCAATCTAATGGCGTGAGTATCAGTTCGTTACCGAGTGAGATTCAAGAATCCCTCGGGGAGCAAGGAGTCGAGACGATCAGCACAGCAACTCTTATTGATCGTGGGCTCGGCCCATTTTGGGAGATTCGCCTTCCAGATGGAAGTTGGTTTGGTCGAATCGATAACTACGGTGAGATTCTGGGTCTCATCACTCCTGAACAGGCCCGGAGTATCGCTGCCGAAGATTTCATTCCTGATTCAGAAATGATCAGTATTCGGCTGATTGAGGAAAAGCCGCCGAGTGAGTATCGGGGCGGCCGGCTCCCTGCTTATCAGGTCGCAATGGATCATCCGAAAGAGACTCGAATCTACATCGATGCCTCAACCGGGAGAATTATGGCTAGGCGGAACAAGTCTTGGAGAATATTCGACTTCTTCTGGATGCTACACACGATGGACTATAAGGGTCGTGACAACTTCAATCATCCCTTGCTCACTATAGCAAGCGTGTTGGCGATCACTACATCAGGTTCCGGTCTTGCACTTTGGGGTTGGAGAGTGCTTCCCAAGTTTAAACGCAGATTCACCGGCAACATCAGGGTGAAATCATGAGCCAGAATCGTAATGGAAAAAGTGGATTCACGCTGATTGAGTTGCTTGTTGTAATCGCTGTTATCGCAGTACTCATCGGAATTTTACTGCCCGCACTCGGGCATGCCCGTGAAACAGCCCGGGTTACGGTCTGCTTATCAAACCTAAGATCTCAAGGGCAGGCGATCGCATCATATACACTTGAAAACAAAGACTCAACACCTCCCCGTCTCGTCTGGATCAATGAACCAAATGACCAGGGTGGGATTGACTTGACAAGACTTTTATTGAATCAGTTCATGGCAAAATGGCTTGGGGATCCATTCCCACCAGATGATAATGATCAGCTTTTTGTGCCACAGGATATGTGGAGATGTCCTGAAATTGCTCTTGAGTCCGAGGGTCTCAGGCTGACTCACAATGGATATTTGCATCACGCTCCAAATCAGTTTTTGTTTGGAATCCTTGATTATGAGACGCCGAACTCAGATCCGAATGCCTATATGGATGCAGCTCAAGGTTGGCAATCGACCTCTTATGGGAAGAGATGGGGAAAATACACGATGCCACAGCATCCTTCGAATGTTGTTGCAGTGATGGATAATGTGCAAACATATTTTCCAAGCCATCAGCATTATGATGCGCGCGAGTTTTACGGACGCTCTGTTCATGTATCAGAAGGACCAACAAATGCAAGCAATGTCGAGAATAACGGATCTCATAGCAGGTTAAGCGTTCGGCCTTCAGTATTTGTTGATGGGCATGCCGAAGCGATGTCGAGTTTGGCTTCGTACTGGGAACAAGATCCGGGTGAATATCGAGGGCCGGATGGCTTTGATACCGAACGCATGTTCATATCGGAGATTCGACATTTTATGTACTACGTCACAAGCAGGTATCGAGTTGATGAGTGACAAAATCGGCACCGATTTTGGATGCCGATAATCACAAGGAATGCTGGTAAATAAGACAGTGAAATGCTGATTAGTTTAATGTACTTATTTCGTAGAAATACAGTAAAAGTCTTGTTTTTTAGGTGTATTCGTGTAAATTGGTTGTTCGATGTCAAGTCAAAATGTTGGCTCTCACAAAGGCAGGAAAATATGAAAAACACAAAGTGTATCTACGCAGCAATAGTCAGTGGATCTGTTTGCTGCACTACCGCAATCTCGCAATCTAGTACAACGACACTCCCGAGTTCTTCACGAACTGAAGCAGGCGTGGCTACAACTATGACTCCATTGCAGCACCATTCCGCTGCTGTTAGGAGAACTGTTTCGCAACAACAAGGCTTAGAGCATTCTGTTGCAAGAATGTGGAGTGAACTGCTTCTCGATTCAATCCGTGGCGACTTTGCTCGGCCCACTGTCCATTCAAGGAATCTTTACCATACAAGCGCGGCGATGTGGGACGCATGGGCCGCTTATGACACTCAGGCTGATCAGGTGCTTCATCAAGAGAAAATGAGTAACACCGACGATGTATCAGCTGCGCGACAAGAGGCGATTAGCTTCGCTATGTATCGGATACTACGGCATCGATTTTTACTTTCTCCTGCTGCAATCAACATGTTCCCTGAGTACGACTTGCTCATGAACGAGTTAGGCTACGACACTACGAATCAAAGTACACAAGGTGATTCGCCAGCAGCGCTGGGAAATCGGATTGCGCAAACCGTCATCCAGTACGGGTTGTCAGATGGTTCAAACGAACAGTTCGATTTTGCAAACCTGGTGTACCAACCACTGAACCCGCCGCTGTTGCCAGATTTTCCCGGGAATCCGGATATGCTCGACCCAAACCGCTGGCAGCCTCTGGCGCTTGAGTTCTTTGTTGATCAATCAGGTAATCCGATCCCCGCTGGATACCCTGATTTTCTGAGCCCTGAATGGGGTGAGGTAGCCCCCTTTGCGATGGACGAATCAGATGTGACCTATCGAGATCGTGATGGGACAACTTGGTCGGTTTGGCATGATCCTGGTGCACCGCCGTACATCAATGGTGAGCCTGCAGAAGATTACCGATATAAATGGGGATATGAGATGGTCGTCACTTGGTCATCACATCTTGATCCAGCTACTGGGACCATGGTGGATATTTCACCAGCGACATTTGGAAATGCACCATTGCCGACAGTCGAAGAAGAAGAGTCGTTTTATGATCGGCTCAACGGGGGTGACTGGGGTAAAGGGTACGATATAAACCCAGTTACCGGTGAACCATACGAGCCGCAAATTGTACCATTGGGCGATTATGCTCGGGTGCTCGCTGAGTTTTGGGCGGACGGTCCTGATTCGGAGACACCACCAGGCCATTGGTTCTCAGTCCTTCATTATGTCACCGATCATCCCGAACACAATGGTCAGTTTATGGGCACCGGTCCAGTTCTTGATCCCTTGGAGTATGACGTCAAATCCTATCTCGCTTTGGGTGGCGGGATGCATGATAGTGCAATCTCTGCATGGTCTGTGAAAGGGTACTATGACTACCTGCGTCCAGTATCTGCAATTCGGTACATGGCAGATCGTGGTCAATGTTCTGATCCCGAGTTGCCAAGCTTTAACCCTGAAGGAATCAATCTGATTCCTGATTACATCGAAGTCATCACCGCTGAGTCGGCTGCTCCAGGCGAACGCCATGAACACTTACTAGGAAATGAAGGCAAGATTGCGATCAAGGCGTGGCGTGGTCCAGAGTTCATATTCGATGAGGAAACAGATGTTGCTGGTGTGGGTTGGATACTTGCAGAAAACTGGTGGCCTTATCAGCGCCCAAGCTTTGTAAGCCCGCCATTTGCGGGTTATGTATCCGGTCACTCGGTATTCTCACGTGCAGCGGCTGAGATCATGTCTCTCCTTACTGGGAGTCCATACTTTCCAGGGGGAATGGGTGAGTTTGAGGCACCCATGAATGAGTTCCTGGTATTCGAAGATGGGCCATCTATGGATATCACCCTGCAATGGGCAACCTATGCCGATGCGTCTGATCAGACCTCGCTCTCAAGAATCTGGGGCGGTATTCATCCGCCAGCAGATGATCTGCCCGGTCGGTATATGGGTATCGTCATTGGTCCAGAAGCATTCACTGAGGCGCGGCGATATTTCTTAGGGCTCAAATCTTGTCCAGTAGATTACAACGCTGATGGTAGAACAGATTTCTTTGATATCTCGCGCTTCATCAATGCCTATTCGAATCAGGATCAGATTGCAGATGTGAACGATGACAGTGTGCTTGATGTGGACGATGTCTTTGATTTCATCTCAGAATTTATGAATGGATGTCCTTAAAAAATTGACTGAGCCCCGGTTATTTCACATAGTAGATTTGTAACTGCTAACGCTGTTGAGATAGAGCGGGTGGTAGCAGTTTGTGTCAGCCTTCCATTTGAATTATAACACGAAATGCTGTGTGTTAGCATCGCCTTTATCACCAATATGAGCAACCTCGGATTACCTCCGAACCGTAATCGTTCGAACGAATCCTTGGATTTAATTCTACTTCCTTCTGTATAACGCGTTTAGTATTCTGTTTTGCTTGGGGGTCAATATGGAAATCGAGGCGTTCGGGCGGGATAAAGAATGTGCCATTTGTCAAATGCATCATGACGCATCATGATCGTGGGGAGTGATCAATGAGAAACTAGGGCTTGACGCAGGCACCGGCTCCACCGTCACATGATTGATTCCGAAATCTCTAGCGAGTGTCAACCTTACTTGCTCGATAATTAGTGCAGACTGATTGAGTGGTGTTTCATCGTGTATCGCAACTCGAGTTTCAAGAGAGACAGTTGACTCATCGATCGGCCAAATGTGTAGATGACCGACGCCCTCGACACCGGGGATTGCAGCAATCGACGCGGAAACTGTCTCGAGCGAGAGGTGGTCGGGTGTGCTTTGCATTAGAATTCTGATACACCGCTTCATCGGTGCCCAGGAGATCCAAACGATGTAGACCGAGATGCCAACGGTCGCGGCGATGTCAGTCCAGTACCAGTCGAACAGTATGATCAGGGTCCCGGTGATGATGACCGCCACTGAGGCGAGCGCGTCAGCAATGTTGTGAAGAAACGCAGCCTTGATGTTCACGCTCTCCTTCGACATAGAGTAGGTCAGCACGGCGGTCGCTGCGTCAACAACCAGAGCAATGCCGGCGACGATGACAACCATCCAGCCGTCAATCTCGGAGCGGTCAAATGTTCGGCTAACGGCCTCAATGAGCAAGTAGCCAGCGATCACCATGATGGAAGTTAGATTGATCAGGCCACCTATCACCTCGGCTCGTCCGTACCCGAATGTGCGTCGCTCATCCGCTGGCCGCTTCGAGATTCTGCGTGCGATCAGCGCAAGTAGGAGGCCGGCTGCATCACTGAAGTTGTGTAGCGCATCTGCGATCAGAGATAGGCTGCCCGAAAGCACGCCACCGATAACCTGGGCCGCCGTCAGTAACATGTTGATAGCGACGGCCCATGCGAGTCGGCGAGTGCCTAGATCAGTCCCGTGGTGATGGTGTGAAGACATGTATGCCACTTAATCGATGCTGATCGAACCGGTTTCACGGCTGTCATCAGCCGTTTCGATCTCGATCCAGACGGCGGCATCGGGCATCAGTTCTGCGGGGGCCTCGGCTTCAGCGTGGTAGTCACCTCCATTGCCGGTTGCCTTTCTCTTGAGTGCGCCTGTCGCGGCTCTATCGCCGATCCAAACTCGGATAGCAATCGGCTCGGGGCCATCGGTGGTTTTGATATCGAGATGCATGACAGCCCCTGGCTTGAGGTCACCACCCATATTGACGCTGAGTGTGGTACCGGCGATCGTCACAAAACCGAGTTCGTCTTCGGAACCGTGAGCATCCGGCTCCTCTTCAGCGTGGTTGTGGTCTTCGTGCCCGTCTTCGCCATGGTTGTGACCCTCGTGGTTGTCGTGATCCAAGTGGGAATCTGTGCCAGGTGCTTCCGATTCGTTGCCACACCCGCCGAGAAAGAGCGGGCCGATGATTGTGGAAGCGAGGAGCAGTTTAGTGAGATTGTTCATGTCAGTTTTCCTGAAAATTGAATGGGTTTTAAGTGGACTGTTTCCGGCGGAGCTTGCCAGCTAGACGGGAACGAAGCGACGACAAAGTTCGCTGTCGCGGTTCTGGTTTGTGCCCGAACACCAGCGAGTAGCCGGCGGGGACGACTATGAGGTTTAAGAACGTCGAGGTCAGCAGTCCCCCGAGCGTGACGATGGCCAGAGGCGCAAGCAGCTCGCTACCAGGCTCGCCAGCGGCGAGTGCGAGCGGAACCAGCCCGAGAGCAGCAGAGATCGCAGTCATCAGGATTGGCACAAGCCGCTCCATCGATCCTTGAACGATCGCTTCACCCATCGGCACATCCTCGGCCTCCATGAGATGGTTGTAGTGATTGATAAGCAGGATGCCGTTACGCACCGCAATCCCAAACAGTGTGATGAATCCCACGAGACTCGCGATCGAGATCACCGGTGGAACATACCCGCCGCCGATACCGACTAGTGCCAATGTATTGCTGATCGCTCCGGCACCTTCGGTCAGATAGATCGCTGCGATACCGCCAATGAGCGCGAGCGGCATGTTGAGCATGACGAGGACAGCGGCTCGCATCGATCCTGTGGAGATCTGAAGCAGCATGAGCATGATGAGTGCAACGGCCACACCTGCCACGAGGATCGTACGGGATGCGGACTGCTGCGCCTCGAACTGTCCGCCGTACGAAACTGTCATCCCGGCTTCTTGGACGATTGGATCGACACGTTCCTGCACTTGAGCGACGAGATCACCGAGGTTCGATCCTTCAGCGACATTGAGAGAAATGACCGCCTTCCGCTGAGCATTCTCGCGGGTGATTAAGTTACTCGATCGCTCGGGTCCGATGTCAGCAACATCACTAAGACGCACGGTTGCGCCGCCGCGTCCGCGAAGTAATAGATCACGCACCTGCCGTACCGATTCTCGATCGGCGGCCGCGAGACGTACAACGATGTCATACTGGCGGACGCCCTGATTGACGGTGTCGACTACCTCTCCGTAGATCGCTTCACGGACCTGCTCGGCAGCGTCCGCCGGGCTAAGACCGACTGCAGCTAACTCTGCGTGGCGGTACCGGATAGGGAGCGAAGTAATCATGACTTCACGATTGGCATTCACATCCCGGGCACCCGGGAGCGATTGTAACTCGCCTTCGATGGCTTTGGCGACGCGACGAAGCTCTGACAGGTCCTCGCCGAACACATTGATCGCGACGGCGGCGGGAGTTCCCGAGAGGACATGACTCAGACGGTGCTCGATCGGTTGGCCGACCATGGTCGTGATGCCTGGGATCGATGCGAGGATGCGATCGATCTCATCACGCACCTCTACTCGTGAACGCCCTGCATCGACCGTGACCTCGACCTCCGAGTTACTGACCGGTTCGGCGTGTTCATCACGCTCGGCTCGTCCAGTACGGCGTGACACCGACCGAACACCATCGATCTCGACGAGCTGCTTCTCGACCTCGGTCGCGAGCCGATCGCTTTCGACAATCGATGTACCGGGAGGCGCGAGGAGAAACACGGTAAAAGTCCCTTCATTGAATGAAGGCAAGAATGATGTACCGAATGTGCTCGCCAGGAGCAACGCTGCGGCGGTGATCAGGCCCGCTGCACCCAGCACCCATGCTCGAAACTGGATCGCGGATCGAAGAGCGGGCTCATACCCACGCTTGAGAACTCGTACGAGAAAACCGTCACGATCTTCGTGTGTCCCGCCGAGCTTACCCTTGAGTAGCAAGCTGCACATAGCCGGGACGACCGTGAGGGCGACCACAAGGGACGCGAGGATAGAGATCATGTAAGTCAGCGCGAGCGGCTGAAAGAATCGTCCCTCGAGCCCCTGAAGAAACAGGAGCGGCAGGAAGACCATCACAATGATCACTGTCGCAAAGACCATGGCGGGTCTGATTTCATTACTGGCGTCGAAAATGACCTCTGTAAACGGGCGACGATCTGATTCAGTCATCGCACGGTTCTGCTTGAGACGTCGAAAGACATTTTCTACATCAATGATCGCGTCATCGACCAGAACACCAATTGCTACAGTCAAGCCACCGAGAGTCATTACATTGAGCCCAAGCTTCATCGCATCCATCATCAGCAGACCGACAGCAAGCGAAATCGGGATAGCAGTGAGCGTTATGAGCGTCGTTCGTAGATTCATTAGGAACAGCACAAGCACGACTAGAACGATGAGCACGGCTTCGCCGAGCACTTTGGTCACGTTATGGACTGCGCGATCGATGAAATGCGACTGACGAACCACATCTCGATTCAGTACAATACCCGCAGGGAGCGTTGGTTCGATCTGATCAAAGAGCGCGTCGAGGTTATCGGTAAGGGCGAGGGTGTTGGTGCCAGGGGATTTCTGGATCGATAGGATGACCGCGGGATTGCCACCTTCTGAAGCAGTACCGCGTTTGAGCGCCGGACCCAGACGGACATCGGCAACCTGCCCGATCGTTACGGCCACACCTTCGTGATACTTGATGACCGAGTTGGCGATGTCTTCCGACCCCGTCACTCGGCTCTGCTGACGAATCGGAATCTCGAAATTATCGACATTGACGAGATAGCCGCCACTTGCGGTGCTGTGCGCACCGCCGGCGGCTTCGACCACATCAGTGATTGTGAGGTCGTAGAGACGTAGTCGCTCTTGGTTGACATTGACCTGATACTCCGGCAACTCGCCACCGATTGCGACCGCTTGGGCTACACCGGGTACTGAGAGAATCTTGTTCCGAAGATCAAAGTCGGCGTAGGATCGGAGTTCCATCGGGTCGACGGACCCATCTGGAGAAGAGAGTGAGACGAGCATGATCTCGCCGGCGATTGATGTGATCGGGGTTATGAATGGTTCAACCTCGTCGGGGAGGTTTTCTCTTGCGGTAACGAGCCGCTCCGCCACGAGCTGCCGCGCGTCGTAGAGATCGGTTCCCCAATCCAAATCGACCCACACGATACCGAGGCCGATGGCGCTGGCACTGCGAACACGTCGGACACCTGTCATGCCATTCACAGCAGACTCGATGGGAAAAGTAACATACTGCTCGACCTCGTCGGCGGCGAGCCCGCCTGACTCGGCCATGATGGTCACGGTCGGTGCGTTGAGCTCCGGGAACACATCCACACTCATGCGCGGGAGCCGGTAGCCGGCGTACCCGACCACCATAACGGCAGCGATGAGGACAAGCGATGAGTACTGGAGCGAGAATCGGATGACTGATTTCAACATGGCTTAGTCCTCCCCTTCGTGGAAGGTGCCATCTGAGTGGAAGTGGCCACCCTTCTGGATCGATCCGCTGGTCGCAAGCATGAGTTGGAATGCCCCGTCAAGGACTACTTCGTCGCCATCGCGGACACCGCTGAGCAGCACGACCCACCGGCCATCGTCTTTGCCGAGGTCCGCCTCCATACGAATCGCTTCATTGGGGTTGTCGGGAGCTCGACGGAAGATCACTGGTGAGAGACCATCACGCTGTACGGCAGCAAGTGGAATTGAAACCTCGGGAGAGGCCGTGGCATCGGTCACAATCTCAAGCTGAGCCGAGACGCCCGGGCGTGCCCAAGAACTGAGTTCGTCGGGGACAACGAAGAGCTCAAGCGTGCGATCGTTGGGATCACCGGCAAGCCCGAGGGTGAGCGCGCCATTCATCGTGTCTTGCAACGGCACTGCTCGACCAACGGCGGTAGGCGTCGGGGGAACGATCCGAGCGAGCAGGCCGTCCTTGAGCACGCCAAGATCACTCTGTAGACCAGATGCCCGGAAACGGAGCCGGTCAGGCTGCACCACCGTCATCACAGGCGTTTTCTCATCGGCCCATGATCCGTTTGTCAGGCCCAACGCCTCCACGACACCCGCCTCGGTCGCGACGACCTCAATCGTGTTAACTGCAGCCCACCTGGGTTCAGTCCCGTGGTCTGTTTCGACTGTGGAAGCAAGTTGCTCTCGATCGAGCGAGACGATTGCTGATGCCGAATCCAGCAGGTAGTTCAGTCGAGCCGCTGAAGCCCGAAGATCCGCTTCGGTTTGCTGACGATTGGCGTGCAGTTCAGCTTTCTTCTCCTGCACGCTTGCAAGCTCTGCCCTGTTGCTCGCGACCGCCGCTCTCGCCTGGGCGAGTTCGTCTATACGGCCGCCACCCATCTCGCGCACGCTTCTTAGCTGGTCGACACGCTCGTTCCATACAGCAACACTCTCATGGAGACTCTCTTCGTGCTGTTCGTGTGCCGCAAGGAGCGGCTCAAATGTTTCGAGCCGCGCACCAAACCTCTGGATTTGTGCTTCCGCATCGGCGAGTTGCTGCTGCATATCGCGCCACGACGGAGAGTCGATGCGGTAGAGTACATCCCCAGCTTCCACTCGTTGGAACTGCTCTGCGAGCAGTTCGACGCGGCCCGGGATAGCTGTGCGGTACTCTCGGCGCGCTGTAGGCAGATACTCGAAACGCCCTGGCACGCGGAGGGTCTGCTCGATCCGCCGACGTTCGACCTTGACAAAGCTGATACCAAGATTCGACCGTACTGCGGAAGGAATAGCGACGCGGTCGGTACCGGTTGCCATGGCCTCGGTTTCTGACGAGTGGTCGTGCCCGTCGTCCTCGCCGTGCTCGACAACTCTTTGCTCGATGGATTCTGATCGATCGCAGGACACGAGGAACAAGGCGGCGATCGAGAACACTACTAAAGCGATCATAGTCCGGATCATCCCTCACCCCCTTCACCATCCGCGACCTGGGCGAATGCTTCTTGGAGGCGATCGACGAGATCACTCACCGAAGGCACGCCATCGGGTCCTTCATACATACGGCAGCCCATCGAAGGAGTCTTCGGTGCTTCCGTGCCGAACAGGTCGGATTCATTCACTAGAACCGTCGGAGCGGGATATCCGCGGCGGAGGTCCGATGAATCCAAAGACTGCTGATCGATCTGCACAAGATCCAAGTCTCGACCGACTACTCTGATCGCCTGCTCGAGCCTCTCTTTCATGAGTGGTGTGAGCGGGCAGCCTTCGAATCCGAGAAGTGTGATTGACATGGCTGTATCTCTATCGCTAGGAATAATGTTTGCTGGAATTTGACTGTTTGTGGTCACATGAAGCTGTCGTTGATCCGTTGCCCCTGTGCAGGCGGCCAGTGTCAGCGGCAGAAGTGCTGCTAGAACGATCGCGTTCGTCTGTTCCAAATATTTCATGGGGATGCCTCCTCGGCTGGCGTGTCGCCTCGCGCCGCGGTGTATGGTGTGTTTGTTTTTGTCGTGTCATATTCGGTCGCTGGCTCGATAGGCGCGGGAGGTTTCGGCTGATCCGGCCCGAGCAGTCTCATACGCTCGATTTCAGCATTCAATTCGGCTAGGCGCAAATCAAGCAGCTGGCTCTTGACCTCGAAGCGACGCGATACCGTCTCCAGCAGAATCAGCGTGTCAACTTCGCCGAAATCGATGAGCTTTTCAACTTCCCTCGACTGTTCCTCAAGCATCGGGACCAACTGCGTTTCGAACGCTTCGAGTTGGGTGCCTGCTGCAATAATCGCTGCATTCGTTGTGGCAAGCTCACGTGTGAGTTGCTCGAAGGTGATTTCCGCTGCGGCGCGAGCAACTTCGCGCTGTGCTCTCGCTTCAGCAATTCCAGCTCGGTTTGCATTAAGAATCGGAATCGGAAGTGATAAGCCAAGCAGAAGGCGGTCGTCGTTGTCTTCGCTGCCGTATCCACTGCCGATCGTGATATCCGGGTACTGCTTGCGGATCTCCAGGCGGAGTGTTTCCTCTGCGGTTTGGTACTCTGCACGACGCACCGCGAGCGATGTATTCGCCTCAATAAGCCGATGCAACTCGTCCGTGAACGACACTGACTCGCTGGGTGAGAGCGAGGGGATGAGCTCAATGTCAATTGATGGCGGTAAGCCTAGCAACCCGAACAGATCCACTCGGGCTTGGGACGCCGCAAACTCAGCCTGAGCAAGTCTTCCGCGGGTCTGCACGAGTTCGGCACGTATGAGCCGGGCCTCAATACGGGTAAGTTCGCCGGCCTCTTCGAGCCTGTCGGTGATGGACCCGATCCGTTCGATCTGCCCGATCACGTCGCTCAGTAGTCGAACGCGTTCGTCGGCAACTGTCCATGCGGCCCACGCCGATCTGACCCGAGCACGCATGGTCCACTCCGCGTCCACGATGCGCCTTAGCTCGGCCTCGTACGAAGCTCCGGCCCGATCTTTGGCCACGCCCAACCGTCCGGATATCGGAACTGTGAAGCTGAGTGCTAGGCCATACTCGAACGGCCCCGAAGGCGACAAGATCTCAGCACCGTCGAAGCCGAACTCTGGGTCTTCCCATAGCCCCGCGGTTTCGTAGTCGGCGAGCGTAACGCCTGCCGCAAGCCTTGCTAATCGGAGATCGGCGTTGTAGAACAACGCGAGGACTTCACCCTCTGCTGATGACAATCCATCGGTTGGATCAAATCCATCTGGCGTATCGCCACCAGATTCGTCCAGGCGGTTGAGGAATGCGTTGATCGATTCTGCGGCGTCAAGCCGGCTCTCTATTGTGTCTCGATGTGAAGTGAGGTCGAGCGGCGCTCGCTCGTAGCTTTGGCAGCCGCCGAGCAATCCACCGGCCGCCGCCGCGGCGATGCCGGGCCAAGCCACCCGCCTCAAGAGCGGGGTTGTTGAGATGTCCATAAGTTGATTTTCCTATCTGAGTGAACGACAAACCGCCCAATGCAGCTGGAGCTGCTCAGGGCACGATTCGGACTCAGACAGGATTTAGAGAATCAAACGAGTAGTTGAAACGATTGCAAGCCGCTGGGCACTACCTGGATCGAACCACTGCGGAATGCCCGGTGGACCGGTCCAAGAAAGACCGTGCCCAAGTTCCGTGACAATCCAAGTTGGGGTTGGATGAACAGCATTCGTCTGCAATGAACCGCTATCTGCTCTCAAAAGGCTGAGAAGCTCAATCAGCTCGATTTCGATATCTACACAGTCACAATCCTCGCCGTGCTGATCAGCTGGCACCGGGCCAGGCAAGCCTTCTGCATGCCCGCAAGCAAGCTCGCACAATGCGAGCATTTCTGATGGCTGATGCTCGTGACCGCCACCCAGGCACAAGACGACTGCACCGCCCAGGCCTCCGTAGATAGCCTGAAAGCCGATGAGCATTGTCAAAAAGATGACGAGCGAACGGTTATGCACGATACGAGTATACCTCGGCTATTGCGGTGGGGTTACATGAGCATGAGCATTTCGAATAAAAAAATTGAGACCAGAGATGCTGACGGTGTGCTAGGACAACTTCGATATCGTCAAGTATATTTCTTCCCTAGGATTTTTCTTGCGATTTACTCGATGCGGGCATTCCTACATATCTGTAAACCCCCGCGTACAACAATTACTGCGACAATTGAACCGACTACCAAATCGGGGACTCTACTACCAAGCGTCACCACGAGCACTCCGGCGATAATGACGCCTGTGTTGGCGATCACGTCGTTCTTGGAGAAGATCCATGATGCACGCATATGTGCGCCACCGTCTCGATGCTTCGAGATGAGCCGGAGACAGATGAGGTTCGCGACGAGAGCGATGCAGCCAGTACCGACCATAAGCAGGCTGGTTGGCTCACTCCCAAAGATCGCACGGCGCATGATTTCTGCAAGAACGCCAATACCTAGGGCAATCTGGAGTACACCACTGATGCTGGCAGCGGCCTGCTGGGCCTTGCTGGATCGACGGACGGCGTACATTGCTAAGCCGTAGACCGTGGCATCGGCCAACATATCGAGTGAATCGGCCAGCAGCGCTGTCGATTCCGCGATCCACCCAACGACCGCCTCCGCGAGGAACATGACGCCGTTGATCGCGAGCAACGTCAGCAGTGTTCGATGCTCAAGTCTAGCGGTATCATCTGCGCAGTCGCATCCGATCATGGTAGTGCGGTCTCTTCCGTGCTAGGCAGCGATTTGCGCATAACTACAGAGCCTATGACAGGAAGCACGAAGAGCGTCAGCAGCGTCGATGTGACCATCCCGCCGATGACTACTGTCGCGAGTGGGCGCTGAATCTCGCTCCCAACGCCAGTAGCAATCGCCATTGGAATGAACCCAGCGATATCTGTGATCGCCGTCGCCAGCACCGGCTGGAGGCGCGTCTTTGACGCTGCGATGATCGCTTCCCGCTTCGGCTGTCCTGTTTCGAGAGCGTCGCGAATCGCCGTGATCAGGATCTGCCCGTTGAGCACGGCGATACCCGTCAGGGCGATGAACCCGACTGCGGCGCTGACGCTAAACGGGATGTCCCGCCACCACAGCGCGAAGATCGCACCGACCGCTGCAAACGGGATGCAAGTATAAATGATGACGACATCCCGTAGGTTCTTCAGGCTGAAGTACAGCAGGAAGAACACCATGAGCAAGACCGCAGGCACGACGATGATCAAGCGAGTTCTGGCGCGTTCCAAGTTCTCAAACTGCCCGCCCCATTCGAGCACGTAGCCCTCGGGCAACGCGACCCGTGCATCGATGGCTGCCCTTGCTTCATTGACAAACGACGCTGGGTCTCTTCCGCTGACGTTCGACTGTACGCGGATGAGTCTTCTGCTCCACTCGCGGTTGATCGTGGCCGATCCTTCCGAGAGATCGACCGAGGCCAGGGACGCGAGTGGCACCGCAACGCCCCCCTCGGTCGGGATGCGAACCGACGACACGGTTGCAACATCTTCTCTGAACGTTGACGGCAGCCTGACGACAAGCGGGAAGACACGCTGGCCCTCGAACACCTCGCCGACGCGGATCCCACCGATCGCTTCAACGAAGTCCAACACCTCGCTGGCGGCGACGCCGTAGCGGGCAACTCGGGATTGGTCGACGGAGACGGACAGCGACGGTTGCCCCGTGATCTGATCGACCGAGATATCTGACGCACCTGGAATGTCCAGAAGCACGCGTTGAACGTCGTCGGCGATCCGAAGCAGCTCGTCGAAGTCGTCGCCGAAGATTTTGATCCCGATATCTGATCGGATGCCCGAGACCATCTCGTTCATCCGCATCTCGATCGGCTGCGTGAACACCATGTTGACGCCGGGGAACTGCGAGATGGTTTTCTCCATCTCGATCACGAGACCAGCCTGCGTGTCCGCTCTTGCCCACTCAGCACGTGGCTTGAGTGTCAAAAAGATGTCTGTTAGCTCGATACCCATCGGATCGGTCGCCACCTCGGCGGTCCCGATGCGGCTCCAGATGTGCTCGATCTCGTCTGGGAACTCATCGAGCAGGACCTCCTCGATCCGCGTGTTGTACCGCACGGACTCATCGATCGAGACACCCGCTAGTCGAATGGTATTCACGACCATCGAGCCCTCGCTGAGCCGCGGGATAAACTCGCCGCCCATCTGCGTGCTTCGGTAGCCTGCGACACCAAGCAGAGCCACCGCCAGCAGCATCACGACCCACCGAAGTCGAATCGCCCTGTCGACTGCCCAGCCGTAAGCCCCGGCCAATCCGCGTAGCAGAATGGCGTCCTTGGGTTTCGCGCGATGCGGAAGGAAGTAGTACGACAAGACCGGTGACAGGAACACCGCGACCAGCAAGGCTCCAAGGAGCGCGAAGATGAACGTCCACGCCATCGGCCGGAACATCTTCCCCTCAATGCCCTCAAGCGTCAGCACGGGGGCAAAGACGAGCGTGATGATGCCCATCCCGAACACGATTGGACGTACAACGCGTGCGCTGGACTTCGCAATCGATTCGAGCCGCTCGGAAGGCGAGAGCTTCCGACCGAGCTCTCGCTGGCGTTGCTTCAGCGAACGGAGATTGGCTTCCGTCATGACCACTGAGCCGTCGACAAGGATGCCAAAGTCGATCGCGCCGAGGCTGAGCAAACTCGCGGCGATCGCGAACTCGTACATGCCTTGCACGGCGAACAGCATTGAGATCGGGATGGCGACCGCTACAAGCAGGCCGGCGCGGATGTTACCCAAGATGATCAACAACACAACGATCACCAGCACGGCACCGATCACGAGGTTGTGCTCGACCGTCTTGATGACCTGCTCGACGAGCAGAGTCCGATCGTAAACAACATCCACAACAACGTCAGATGGCAGCGATGGTGTGAGGGACTCAAGGCGCTCGCGTAGTTCCTCGGTCACGACACGGCTGTTCTCGCCCATCAGCATAAAGGCTAGACCGAGGACAACCTCGCCCTTCCCGTACGCTGAAACCGCGCCGCGGCGAATCTCGCTGCCGATTTCAACGTTTGCGACATCTCGAATGTGTACTGGCGTGCCATCGCTGGATGCGATGACGATGTTCTCGATCTCATCGATCGTCGAGACACGAGCCAATCCTCGCACCACCCTCGCCTCACCGGAGGTGACAATCTGGCCACCGCCGACATTGGCATTGTTGCGTTGCAATGCCTCAAGCACATCATCTAGTGTGTAGCCAAACTTAATCAGGGCCTCCGGCTTGACGACGACATGATATTGCCGCTCCAATCCGCCCCACGAGTTGACCTCTGCAACTCCCGGGACTTTCCGAAGCTCGGGCTTGATCACCCAATCGTGGATTGTCCGGAGTTCTTCGATGGAGTGTTCACCGGTCTCGGACCGGATGACGTAGTGAAATATCTCACCGAGACCTGTCGCGATAGGACCGAGCTCTGGCCTTCCGACATCGTCTGGAAGCTCAACTGCCGAGAGTCGCTCGGTGATGTACTGCCTCGCGTCGATGATCCGGATGTCATCATCGAATGTCGCCACGACCTGTGAGAAACCGAACTTTGAGACGGACCGCACGTTCTGGAGCCCGGGCAGCCCGCCGATCGAGAGTTCGACAGGAAGGGTGATCTGCTGCTCGATTTCTTCCGGGCTGAGCGCGGGGGCCACGGTGTTGATCTGCACCTGGATCGGCGTGGTGTCTGGAAACGCGTCGATAGGGAGCTGGACCATCCGGTACACACCAGCAGCGCACGCGATTGCAAACAGCAGAATGACGAGCACTCTATTCTTGAGCGAAATTTCGATAAGGCTGGTCAGCATGGCAACTCCGGATTAATCGTCAACACATCCCGCGCCTAGGCGAGACTTGAGAAACTCGGTCTTCATCGTGAAGCTGCCACCTGTGACGACCGCATCGCTCTCTATCAGACCCGACAAAACAGCAACATTGCCGCCCCCCGCAATCGGGCCGATATCTACACGCCTGACAGCGAACAAATCCGCTTCCTGGCGAACGAACACAAACGGCGATCCTTCGATCTGATGGACCGCTTCGCTTGGAATCAGCAGCGAGTTTCCTACGCTCCCTATCACCGCGACGACCTCAGTAAACATGCCGTGCCGCAGAATGCCACGATTGTTTTGAACTGTGGCGCGGACCCGGACCATGCGGGTACGCTCGTCAATTCGCGGACTGATCCATGTAATCTGCCCTGAGATTTGCATCTGAGGCAACGCTCGAACCCGTGCGAAGATCTGCCCACCTCGCTCAATCTGGAACACTTGCTCCTCGGGGACTGCCAACTCGATCCACATCGTCGTCAGATCGGCGATCTCAAAGAGTGATCCTTGCGAATCGGCGGCTTCACCCAATACAGCCGTCCGTTCGACGACGGTGCCGTCGAACGGAGCTCTGACATACAGATCCGACGACGAGGATTGCTCCGCGGCTATTTCAGCAACTTCGCTAACTGTAAAGCCAAGGTTGAGCAGTTGCTGATGTGTCCGCCGCACTTCAAGCTCAGCAAGCTTGAGCGCGGCCTCAGCCTCTTGGAAGTCACGGCGTGCGGCGATGTTCTCGTCGACGAGTTTCTGCTCTCGCACGAATGTTGTTTTTGACGCTGCAAGCTCTGCGATCTTGGACAGATAAGCCGACTTCGCTTGCGCGACGCCCACAGAGTTGATGACTGCGAGGATCTGGCCCGCTGATACACTGTCGCCAACATCGACACGGATATCTGTGATGACACCGGGTGCCATTGGTGTCAGTTTGGCGAGCTTGTTTCCGTTGTATCGGACTTCACCAAGGAGCTCGATAGACGCTGCAGAAGCGCCCCGGCCGGGATGTTCGAGTGTCAGGCCAGCTAAATCGGCAGATCTTGCTGAGGGCATCCTGACCAGGAGCGAGTCACCGATTCCAAGTGCACCTGCGAGCTGAGGCTGGCAGATACCACATTCGTGCTCAGGCACCCCGTGCTCGTTGCAGAAGAGAGCCGGAATGCTCCCGGTTTGCGTTGGCGGTGCAGCAGCATCGTCGTGGAGTGACGGATTGCAAAGATGGCACTCATCTTCGTAGAGCCCGTGCTCATCGCAGTACGGACGGGTGGCATCTTCCAACTGCGGCTGACAGATCCAGCACCGATCCTCATAGCGATCGTGCTCAGCACACCAGAGTCGACCAGCATCACGCTTCGAAGCATCGCAGATGAAGCACGCCTCGTCGGTACCGTGCCCGTGCAGTCCGCCCATCGCTTCACTCGTATCACTTCCATTCGTGCCGCGTGTGGGATCGCAGATGTGGCATTCATCCTCGTAGAGATGGTGCTCCTCGCAATACGCACGAGAAGCGTCTTCAAGCTGCGGTTGGCATATCCAGCAACGATCCTCGTACCGGGCGTGCTCGCTGCACCACAGGCGGCCAGCGTCACGCTTCGTGGCGTCACACACGAAGCAGGTCTCGCCGTTCTTGTGAGAGTGCGCAACCTGAGTCGCATCAGTAGCGTGTGCACCGCCGGATGTTGATGATGCGTCCTGTCCCCGGTCGCACCCGCCTAGCAGGAATGCTGTTGTAAATAGGCAAAATAGTGTAATGATGCCGTGTGATGGTCTCACGGTGTTTCTCCTTGATTGAGGTGATCAGTATGTTCGCGGAGCGATTGTGTGTTCAGCGGCTCTGAGATGAGTCCTTCGACCTGCACCTTCGCAGCGTGATATTCAGCAAGGGCTTCGAGTCGTTGTGTTTGAGTATCGAATAAGGTGCGCTGCGCATCGAGTACATCGAGGTACGGGAGCTTGCCCTCGTCGTATGCCCGACGCGTCGCGTCGTAGGCGTCCTTCGCCGCGGGAAGTAGAGCAGCATCGATCGACATGGCCTCGTGATATGCGGCGGTCAATCGGGCATGCGCTCGGACAAGTTGTGTGACCAGGTCGCGTCGGGAAGCCCGTCCCTCGTCGATCGCTTGTGCTGCTCGAAGACGAGCGGCCAATATCCCTCCCTGATTACGATCAAAGATTGTCAGTGGCACGGACAGGGACACGACGAGACCGACATCATCGCTCTCTTCGGCATATCGAATGCCAGCACCCGCCGACACGTCTGAGACTGTTTGAGCCCGTTCGAGAGCGACCACCGATGATCGGCGCTCGGTCTCTGCGATCCAACGCTGTACTTCCGGATGCTGCTCAATGAGATCAGTCAGGGCATTGAGCATCGGAACAGGTATGAGATCATCCAGCGATCCGATGGCCGTGTCAAAGCCTGGGTCGGTTGCATCCCATATTGCGCTGAGTTCATGCCTCGCGGCCTCAAGTTCCCGGCTGAGTCGATCTGCGACAATGCGTGCGGACTCGCTTTCGAGCCGGGCCTTGATCTCGTCGATGGGTGAGACATCTCCGGCTTGCACTCGACGATCGATCACACGCCGGTTTTCTTCTGCTAGCGTTTGCGCGCGAACGGCAAATTCAACACGCTGTTGGAGCTCCAGCACACGCACGAATCGGGACGCGGTATCGGTAAGCACCGCCAGCCGTTGTGCTTCGAAGTCTAGAGCAACAACAGCCCACTGCCCCTCTGCTACTCGTACTCTGCGATCGCGCTTCCTGCCAAGCTCAAGTAGCTGGCTAAAAGCAATGGTGGTCTCGGCAGAATCGAAGCCATTCATGGTTCCAGAGCCCGCAAAGTTCTCAACCTCGATTCCGATGTTGGGATTCGGCGACAGCCCGGCTTGCAGGCGGCGTGCCTCAGCAATCCGCGGTTCCCACGCGAATGATCGAAGCTGCGGATTGTGTACAAGCGCAGCCGCGAGAGCATGACGGAGGGTCAACTGCTCACCGATAGCAACCACGTCCGATCCTGGTCTGAATTGATCAGGATTCTTCGGCGCTTCGTAGCGAGGCAGTTCTCGAAGAAGGGGCCTTGCGGCAGGTGGCTCATAGTCGAACGGCGATGGCGAGCAACCGCATAACAGTGCGAGCACACACAGGCAACACAACAATTTGGGTTCAGTTAATCTCATGGATTTCTCTCGGATAGAGACATTGCCCGGCGCGCCGAGCCTCTGGGAAGAACAATCGCAGTATGTGAACTGCGCAGAATCCCAGGTCGTCCTAAACGAGCAGAATCACAGTGCGAAGATGGGAAGCAGGTGACTTGACATCCGACACCACTGAAGGTCGGGGAGTGGGAGTTGCACCTCTCGATAGAGTCGCGAGGGTATCCATCTGCAGTAAGAGGAGATCACCTGGCCCGTCAAGAGACCAGTCCTCTTCCGTATCTTTCTCATGGCGATCAACTGCGACTATCGACTCGGATTCCACCAATGTGGACTGGCATCCACCGTCCACGCTTCCGACGCAGAAATTCAAGTCATCGCTGCGCTCTTGGGAGGTCGGGCACGGGGCTTCGCCCGGCCCGTCGCAGCAAAACTGCTGACCAAACTGAGTGGTCGTTGTACCATCAGAACAGATACAGAGAAACCGGGGGCCAAGACCAACGCCCAAGCCAAACCAAATGGCGAAAAAAGTCGTAATGAGGGTATTTAGTGGCATGGTGGGTTTGACAAAGATCTTTCAGGATTATGTTGACTATAACACGATGTCGTGTCATAGTCAATATGGCTTGATCTATTTCTGGTCACAGCTAGACGGGAGGCTGATATCGACACATGTAAACCAAGGCCGGCGTTGGTTAACCGACCACTAATTGGGACTCAGGATTCCGATCGGCTAGGTCGTCTATTCAAGTGCCTCTCACATCCATCAAGGTTAAGGATGCTTCACTCACTTATTCGCACTGGCGAACTCAGCGTTGGGACGCTTGCGGATGAAGCGCAGATGAGCCGTCAAGCAGCTTCGAATCAGCTTCGAACGCTCGCAGATGCTGGCATTGTGACCGGAAGGCAGGAGGGACTCAAAGTGTTCTACCGAGTTATCGATCCATGCGTACCGGTCTTGCTTGAGAGGGGATGGTGCCATATCGACGAGTATGAAACGGTTCATGAGTAGGGCATAGTAGGGGGCCAGCGAGTCTTTGCGGCATACTTGAGGCATTGTGTTCAGCTGTAGTGTGCACAAAGTAATTGATGAGTAAGAGCGGGTTTGTCGCTGTGAGTTCATAGATATCGATTTGCTTGGTGTTCAAAAACTCTATCCGCGACTTGATGAGTGCGTTGGCTGGACTCGATGGATTGATCTGAGCCCGGCGCCGCGACGGATAACGATTCGTTTGTCATTGTATCAGGTTGGGCGCACGAGTACCAGATGCGATCTCGGTCGCATCATCGCTTCCATTGCACTTCAATAAATCAAGCCGCTCGGTGATAATGCCGGAGAATTCCGCCGAGTCGAGTGTCGCATTTAATCACGCCCTCGGATGATAGTGGGGTGGTTCGTTTAATCACTCTGTTTCCGAGACCCTGATGCGGCCGTTCAAAATGGTAGTGTTCGACATACTCACCGATGATGTGATCAAGATGATTCGTACCGACGGGGATGAAGTGATCGAGGCACTCGACCTTAAGTGACTTGATCCAGCGCTCGATGTGCGCATTCATCAAAGGCGATTGAAGAGGAAGTTTGTACGGAGTGATACCTTCGGCTTTGAGTAAGTCATCAAATTCTCTAGTGAACTTTGTGTCGTTGTCTCGCACAAGGATCCCAGGTGGATCGAGTCCGAGCTGTTTCACCATCGAGGGAAAGCATTCTGCGACTTTGCATATCCATTCGTTGTTTGGATGCTCAGTAGCGCCAGCCACGATCACTTTTCTGCTCGCGATATGCATGAAGACAAGCACTGATTGATGCTTGATACCTCTCCATGTGAGCACAGGTTTGGTCAGAAAATCGCATGACCAGAGCGTTGAAGAATGCCGCTTGAGGAACTGGTCCCATGTGGGTTCAGACCGGTCGGGGGATGGCTCGATTCCCTGTTCATTGAGGATGTTCCGGATCGTTGTTCGAGAAACTGACATGATCCCGAGTTTGCGAAGTTCACCCAAGATCCGTGTATAGCCCCAGCCTGGAGACTTCGTCATCTCAAGCACCAGTTTCCGTATCTCCGCGGATGTACGCGGTCTGCCTCCACGCTTCTTCGTCTTCTTCTTGTGCTTGGGTGCACGGAGCCATTTCTGAAATGTGCTATACTGCACAATCGAGATGATGTGCCGCAGCTCATCTCCAACAGCTTTGCCAAACTGGATCAGTCTCCGGCGTTCCTTCGGGCTCAGAGACAATCGCTTTGGGAGCTTCGATCGAAGGATCTGATTCTCGATCGTGAGGTATTGGATCTGGGCGATGAGCTGATCATGGTCGGATCGACCCAAAGCCAGCATTTTCGGCAAGCGTGCGGCATTCATCCCCAATCAAAGGCGCGGATAGGGTTTTTGCACCCCTGGAGACACTGATTTCTCGTAAAATCAAGGCTCAGAATGGGAGACTGTTTTCCATATCTTTGAGCACACTCCGGATCGAGTATAACACCACCAGCGTTACACTTGTCGCACACGACATCAGCACCTGTCCAGCGGACTACACGGAAGACGGGCAACTCAACTTCCTTGATGTCTCGGCTTTCCTCGGGCTATACAGCATCTCTGATCCGTTGGCAGATTTGACGAATGATGGTCATTTCAACTTCCTCGATGTGAGTGCCTTTCTAGAGCTTTATGCACAAGGATGTCCATAACAGATCAAACAGATCTCACAAGGATGTGTTTCCGAGAGGGCTCGTCGTTATGGCGAGTCCTTCTCGATTGATTACGGGGACTCTTCATCTGCAGGCGAAGTATTCCCGCTTTCATGAGCCTGGATCTTCGTATCAAGCTGAGTCATGAACTCGCGATAGGTCTCAACCATTGAACTTGGTAGTTCCGTCTGTTCACCAATCGTTTCGCAACGCTCTAGATCGATCCTCGCCTCGTCGAATCGTTCGAGTCTCGTGAGCACAAGCGCACGATCCATGAGCATCATGACAAGTCTTTGTGAATGTTCGCCGTATATGGCTGGGGTGAGCTCGATCGCGATGTCGAACCAGTGAACTGCTTCCTCGTCACGTTCGAGCTTGCGGAGCGGACGCGCTTGGTTGTTCGCAAGTTCTAGGCTGATCTGGTGTTGTGCACCAAGCGCTTCAATACCGAGTGGATACGCTCGCGCCGCGATGTCATACGCGGATTGCCAGTCTTCCATGCGATAGTACATAAGACTTAAATTGAGCATCGAGACCACCGCATCCACACTCGACTCACCTTTCGACTCGATAAGCACGTCTAAGGATCGTCTCATCAAGGGTAATGCCTCTTCATATCGCCCAACCCTGGAATACAGAGCTCCGAGGTTCGCTCGGCACGCCGCGGTGTTCTGGTTCTCCCCAAAGACCTGTTCAAGCCGAGGGAGGGCTTCCCGATATATCGCGATCGCCTGTTCATTGAAGCGATTCTGAGCGAGGTAAGCGCCGTATGCGAGTTTGGCACTCAGCGTTGTTGCATGATCGGGTCCTTGTTCTCGTTCGAGCTGTGCAATTGTCTCTCGATGCTGTGCATCTGTTTCGTCGCTGGGACCACCTTCGAGGGATTCGTAGTTAAGTGCGAGGCGTTTCGATTCGAGTGTTTTTTCATGATTCGGTCCATGAAAGTCTGCTCGTATAAGTTGGACCTGCTTCGCTATTGTCGCCGCTTCAGAATAGCTATAGAAATCCGCAAGCACATATGCTTTCTCGATCATCGCCTTTGTCGTGACAAGCGGGTCAGATCCAAACCATTGAGTTGATTGCTCGATCGCACGATCAATCATATCAAGTGCCTGACTCCGCTCTCCTTGAGACGCGAGTATCCGCGCGGCGGTGCCCATCGCGTCGATGTTGTACGCACTCGGAATATCAGTTCCGTCAAAGTATGCGAGTGCTTCATCAATCTGTTGCTCAGCGCGTTCGAGATCGGTCAGTTTCAGATACACGCCTCCGAGAATCGTCTGGAGCTCTGCGCGGAGTTCGCGGTCCTGATCAAATCTAGTAGGGACCGAGATGCTCGCGTGATTGATTCCCTCGGTAATGGTCGCATTAGGTCCCAGCCGTTCAGGTGCTGCGGACATCAGGACATCACTGAAGAGAAAGTCGCGGATCCGGTTCGATCGAGACTCTGCGAGTCTTGCCGCATCCCGCTCACGGATCGCTTCACGCGCTTGAACGATTGAGATTCCAGTCCCTAAGCCCATGCCCACAACCGCGATCAACACGCCCGCGGTGAGGGCTTTGTTGCGCCGTATGAACCTTGATGTGGTGTAATACAGACCCGGTGTACGCACACTGATTGGTTTGTGCTCAAGTACCCTCCGAAGATCTTCCGCAAGTGCAGCGGCGGACTGGAATCGCCGAGCCGGATCGGGCTCGAGTGCCGCGTGCACGATGGTATCGATGTCACCTTTGAGTGATCGATCAACGCTGCTTATTCGTCTTGGAGGCTCGAATCGGATCTTCCGAGCGGCTTCCGGAAGCGAGCAAGTCGTGAGATCATGCGGGAGCACGCCGACGAGCAGTTCGTAGAGCACGACCCCGAGCGCATACACATCCGAACGGATATCGATGTTCGTTTGGTCTCCCTCAACCTGCTCAGGACTCATGTATGCGATGGTCCCGATCAGATGGCGTTCACCAGTTTTATGCTGAGTGATTTGCAGTTCGAGCTCCGATGCACGCGCGACCCCGAAGTCAAGGACTTTAGGCTGTCCGCAAGTACTGCCGTCGTCCTCAACAAGTATGTTGCTTGGTTTAAGATCCCGGTGAATCACCCCACTCAGATGCGCGTGATGCACCGCATCGCAAATTTTCGCGACGAGTTCCAGTTTCTGATTGCGGGAGAGTTGTTCGGTTGTGGCATGCTCTAAGACAGGGCTCCCATTGATCAGTTCCATCGCGATGTACTGGGCATCTTCTGTGCCACCATCAATCTTGGCCGTGCCCGCATCGTATACATGGGCAATCCCTGGATGACGCAAACGCGCGAGCAGCTGAGCCTCGAGAGTAAATCGCTGCATGATGGACGAGCCTTCATGCTGACGCCGGAGCACTTTGACCGCAATCCGGCGTTCTGGGTGCGACTGGGTTGCTTCATAAACGACGCCCATCGCTCCTTGCCCGAGCACCCTTTGCACCCCATATTTGCCGATTTTCCTGGGAGTCAGTTCATCAGCGGTTATCCCAGCCTCGCCGTGCATCGGTGATCGATCCAGTTCTTGGGCCATAGTACCGGCATCAGCCAGAAGCATTCTGCGAACCTCATCCCGGATCGATTCATCATCGCAAGCGTTATATAGGAACTCATCCTGTTGCTCAGTCGTGAAATCAAGTGCTCGTAAGAAGAGATCCTTGATGATTTCATGCCGATCCTTCATTCGCTTTGCTCCGTATTGAGTCTGCTCGCTAGCCAAGCTCTCGCAACCCGCCATTCACGCTCAAGTGTCGATGTAGAGACTCCCATTACATCTGATGCCTGTGCGATGGTTAATCCACCAAAGTAACGGAGTTGTACAAGCTCGGCTTGCCGTTGATCAACTGCCTCCAACGCTTCGAGCGCCTCGTGCAGCGCAAGCACATCGATCTGCCCAATGCCTGTTTCTTGCTCCGAAACTCCTGCGATCGTGACACGATGTCTACCCCCTCCCCGTTTCTGAGTCTGCTTCGCACGGGCGTGATCGATCAATAGCTGCCGCATGGTAACAGATGCCAGCGCGAGCAAATGATTCTGATTGTTTGGGAATTGCTGTGATGAGCCGTCAATTTTTAGGTACGCCTCGTTTACAAGCGCTGTCGCTTGAAGTGTGTGTGCAGAGGGTTGATGATGCATCATGCTTTGGGCAACCCGACGAAGCAGTTCATACAGTGATTCAAAGTCAATCTCTTGATCGTTCCCAAGTCTGGTTTGTCTTTCAATAGCATTTTTGATTTGTGAAGTCGGAAGATCCATTACTTTTCTCGCGCAAGATCGATAAGAAACTTGTGAGCTAGCATGCTGCATCTTACTCTATCTGATCAGTGCATAGTTGACAGAAATGATCAGAATGTATGGAATCTGAACATAGTCCTACAGTACAGTTCACATTGAATCATTCTTACTCAACGAGTGTCTGTGTCTGAGATGATGGGCATGATTGAAATATCAAGAATGAGTGATACTGATTGCAAGTTCGGTTAGAGAGCTCGGAGAAAGTAGTCCCCCAGAATCACTGAAAAACGAGCCAGATTCTCTTTGTCCACTACTCGAATAGCACTGGGATGATCTTGCTCTCGCATACGAGCAGGCTAGAGGGTTGTAAATCTCGTTCATGGTTGTATGAATACCATCTCCTATGGATGATTGGCAGCTATCTTGGACCAGTGAGCGTTCGATCCTTGTGAGCACAACGAAAGGTGCAACTCAACTCGCTCCCACGAGTCAACTTGCTGATTGGATTCATTCTCAGCACTCATCGGATATCCGATCGGTGATCCCATCGGCAACAGGGGTGCTCATCGAGTTTGACATCATCATGTGTTCACCGGATGACCCTTGGGAGATTGCAACGCAGATCATCGAATCATTCGTACAGAGGTATTCCAGTCCATCATCCGAAACAAATAGTCGTGAAATCCTGATCCCTGTATGTTATGAAAAACAGTGCGCGCCTGATTTGGATCGTGTTTCCTGTCAGCTCAAATGTGATCCGAGTACGGTCATTCAACTGCATACATCAGTTCAGTATCGTGTAGATTCAATGGGATTTGTGCCAGGATTCGGATACATGAGTTCAACTCATGAGTCTTTGCATCTCACTCGCATGAAAGTGCCTCGGACACGAGTGCCCGCTGGGAGTGTTGGGATCGCTGAATATATGACCGCTGTCTATCCACAGCAGAGTGCCGGAGGCTGGCATCTCATCGGGCGAACTCCTCTGCAACTCTTTGATCCGTTCCAAGCATCGCCAGCACTTTTACGCGTAGGTGATCGAGTCCGGTTTGAACAGATAACGCTTGATGAGTTTGAGAAATATACAGAGGCCGAGGCAACTAGAGGCATCTCATGGGGATGATCGAAGTCATTCATCCCGGAGTCTTGAGCAGTGTGCAGGATGCTGGCCGAGAAGGCTATGTTGATGTAGGCGTTCCGAAGAGTGGGGCTGTTGATCAAGTCGCACTTCGTATCGGAAATCGCTTACTCAATAATTCTGAATCTGATGCCGCTATCGAAATGACCATGTCGGGTGGAGAATACAAGTTCAGTACTTCTTCTGTAATCTGCTTGACAGGTGCAATTGCTGAGGAAGCATTCTTGATGAAGGGTGAGATCAAAGCGCCGATTCGTCATCAACAACCAGTTGAGATTCCTCGGGACTGCACGCTCAAGATTGGGAGATTTGTCAATGGATTCCGAGGCTACCTATGTGTCCTCGGTGGTATTCAATCTCCTTCCGTGCTGGGGAGCAAATCCTCCCTCGTTTCTCTTCCAGATGCCGGTCTAGGCAGAGCATTAAGGCCGGGTGATCGATTGCAGATTGGGAAGAAACAGGTTGGTACTATGGATCTCATATGTTCACAGGTTCAGCAGGAAGAACAACCAACCCTTGATGGCGCTCGGGTGTTGCGGATTGTGCCTGGTGCCCATTTCGATTTGTTCAGTGAGCAGCAGCGTGAAGCGTTGAATAATCTGACGTTTAAGATTTCTGATGAAAGCAATCGAGCAGGCGTGCGTCTGTTGGATGCTGTAATCCCTGGGAAGCTTCCAATCAATGTTCCAAGCGAGGGAGCTTTACCTGGATATATACAAGTCCCCCCGTCTGGAGCGCCGATCATACTTGGTGTAGATGGTCCAACTACTGGTGGATATCCAGTCATCGCAAGTGTTATTGAAGTGGATCTGCCAGTGCTGGCGAAATTCGCTCTGCGTGAGCAGCTTAGGTTTCGTTGGATCAGCCGTGAAGAAGCTCAACAGGCGTTGAGGAATCAATACAAACTGATTCAATCTGTCAAGCCTCTCCATCCGGTGCAGATGGGAATGGGCGTTCGAGGATCAGACTGGCCGAAGGTCATACTGAGTTGTGATACAGGAGAAGCGCCAGCAGGCATCGGGCGAGATCGAGAGATGGCGTTGCTCCCCTATGTGTCAGCAGCGAGTATTGCCTGTGGCGGACACGCCGGTGATGAAGAGTCGATTCGAGAACTCATCACTGCAGCGTGTGCATATGGCTGTGTGATCGGTGCACATCCCTCGTATCCTGACAGAGCAGGGTTTGGTCGGCGTGCTATCGATATCAGCCGAGCAGATTTGGGGTTTTCGATCAAGAATCAACTCAAGACATTCTCTCGAATCGCAGGTGAGTGTAATGCCACTGTGTCATATATAAAGGCTCATGGAGCGCTCTATCACGCACTTGCCCGTGACACATCAATGGCTCGATGGTATTGGGAAATATGCTCATCGATCTTCCCGCAGGCGCAGTTCGTAGGACCGCTCGGTTCAGCAACACTGAACGCTTTCCGATCTTTGGGTATCCCAGTGCTCGGCGAGGGGTTCTGTGACCGTGTGTATAATGCGGACGGGACACTGCGATCACGCAGTGCTGAAGATGCTTGTATCACGGATCCGGATATTGCTGTGATGCAAGCTGATCATTTGGTGAATCAGATGGGATGCCAGTTTTTGTGTGTGCACAGCGACACCGCGAACGCAACTGAGATTGCACGATCAGTTCAAGAAAAGTTTGTCCTGCAACAGTGATCAAACAGTTGCTGTGGAGCTTGAAGCGGGAGTTGGCTGAGATTCATGGGCAGAAGAGCTCAGTACGAATAGGGCTTATCCAACTTCTAGATGTTTGTCATTACCAGCTACTGATCTACTAAGTACTCATAAACATGTATCTTTGCATGATGCTGTAATCTGAGATGCTTGCTCTCTTTGGCAAGCCCGACTGGTGTCCAAATAGTGTTCATATTTTCACTAAATCAGTGTATCCACTCGCCAAACGCGATCGAAATCAGGTTGACCCGCTATCGGATAGTGAGGTCTTGTTGCACAGTCAGAGTTGTACGAATCATCACCAATGCACGGTTTATGTGCTGAAGGCAGCAGGAACTTGTGAACAAACTTGAAGGAAAACGCGTCTGGCTGACTGGAGCGAGTCTTGGGATCGGCCGTGCTCTTGCCCTTGAGTTGGCAAAGCGGGGTGCAACTGTTGCGCTCACCGCTCGGAACAAGGAAAGGCTGGAAGAGGTTCGCAAGGAAGTCGAAAGTCTTGGTGGTCGTGCATTGATCGTGCCTGGGGATGTCACGGACCTAGATCGTATGAAAGAAGTAGCTAGGGAAATCGTGTCCGAGATCGGTGGCGTTGACATCCTCATCGCCAATGCTGGAACGCATGTCTTTTCAAAGCCCGAAGAGTTCGATACATCCGAGTACCTTGACCTTATGGATATCAACTATGGTGGAACGCTGCGGTGCATCGAGGCAATCCTTCCGAGCATGCTCGAGCGACAGTCTGGCAGGATAGTGGGGGTCGCGAGTCTTGCGGGATTGCGAGGGCTCCCTCGTGCAGCAGCATATTGCGCTAGTAAAGCTGCGATCATCAACTTCTTCCAGAGTATGAGGATTCATCTCCGTGATCACAATATTGGTGTCACGGTCATCAATCCTGGATTTGTTCGCACACCCCTCACGGACAAGAATGACTTCCACATGCCGTGTCTCATCGAAGCAGATAAGGCGGCACGAATCATGTGCTCCGGTATAGCAAAGGGGCGTGATGAAATTTCTTTCCCGATACCCTTCAGCTGGACCATTCGACTGCTTCGGGTTTTCCCGCTCCCAATATATAACTGGATAATGACACGAGTATGGCGACGCATGAAGGACAACTAAATATCGGGGTCATCGGTGCCGGGATTGCCGGCATCACAGCCGCGTATCTGCTCGCCAATAAACACAAGGTGACACTCATAGAGCGCAATGACTATGTTGGTGGCCATACCAACACCATATCTGTTAAAGAGAATGATCGAGAACTTCCAGTTGACACTGGGTTTATTGTCTGCAATCCCAAGACATACCCAACATTCTATCGGTTGCTCGAAGAGTGGGGTGTTCAGCTGCGTGACAGTGACATGTCTTTCGGATTCATGTGCGATCAGACCGGTGTCGGATATTCGGGACCTGAGATGCGAGAGTTCCTCCGAAAGCCATCCAATCTCCTGAACCTAAAACTACTTGGCATGATCCGGGCTCATCGCAAGTTCAATCACCGAGCAGCGAAAGATCTTGAGAACGGATCCCTTCGTGGTTTATCGCTTGGTGAGTATCTACAAAGGATCGGTGCAAGTTCATTCTTCATCGAGCACTACCTGATCCCGCTCGCGGCTTCTGTCTGGTCGAGTCCTGATGCAGATATCAACCGATTCCCTGCAGAAACCTTCATACGCTTTTTCTCGAATCATGGTCTTCTTGACCTCCGTGATAGGCCTACATGGCAGACTGTTGTCGGAGGGAGTTCGGCATACATCAAAGCGTTCAGATCAAAGTACCAGGGGGACATGATCACCGAATCCCCAGTTCTATCTGTCGAGCGTCAAGCCAATGGCATTGTTGTGACCCTTAGAAACAATGAGTCCATGATGTTTGACCATGTTGTTCTCGCATCACACGCGGACGAGTCATTGAAATTATTATCCGACCCATCCGACGGTGAACAGTCTGCTCTGGGCTCTTGGGGGTATCAAGATAATCACATCCAGTTGCATACCGATTCGTCGGTTATGCCCTCTGATCGTCGGCTCTGGTCTTCTTGGAACTATCGGAGACTTTCAAGACAAGACCAGAATGCCCCCGTCAATATCACATACTACATGAATCGATTGCAGGGACTGCAAACTGAAATCAACTACTTCGTCTCACTGAACTCTAAGGAGCACATCGACCCACAAAAAGTCATCTATGCTGTGGACTACACCCACCCGGCGTATACCTCAGAATCAATCAACTCGCAGTGTCAACTGCGTTCGATCAATGGAGCACGCAACACTTGGTATTGTGGCGCTTACATGCGATACGGCTTTCACGAGGATGCCGTCGTCTCAGCTGTGGATGTCGCAAGTCATTTCGGGATCACGATATGAAGTCACGGATTTACCAAGGGATGACTTCTCACTGTCGATTCGCGCCTCGTAGGCACGCATTCCGATATCGAATGTTTTGGTTCGCGATTGATCTTGATGAGCTCCCTCTCCTCGACAAGACGATCCGATTCTTTCGGCATAATCATGCGGCTCTCGTTTCGATCCATGATCGCGATTATGGTGGAAAGAGTGATGGAGACATACAGCAGCGTATTAGGAAGCATTTAGAGGACGCCGGAATAGATGAGTCGGTTGAACGAATTGAGCTCATCACAATTCCACGAGTTGCCGGCTATGTATTCAATCCTGTGAGCTTCTTCCTCTGTATTTCAGCGACTGGTCAGATCAGGAATCTCGTAGCAGAAGTGAGAAACACATTCGGTGAGATACACCATTATGTCGGAACTCTAGAGCCATCAGATCCAGGAGATCCGGATTCACTGGAGTGCCGAATCCCCAAAGAGTTTTATGTCTCCCCATTCTTCCGAGTGGATGGTGAGTATCACATTCGAATCAAGAGCACGGAGAACCGTCTCCGAATCAGCGTCGATTTACACGATGATGCTGGACATGTCTTCTCTGCCTCCATGGACGGCGAGAGTAGGGGAATGACTTCGCGAAACCTGTTTCGAACCGTTTGTCGGATGCCTTTCTTCGCTTTAAGCATCATGACAAAGATCCATTGGCAAGCAATCCGGCTGTATTTCGCTCGTGGATTGAGCATGTTCAAAAAACCCACGCCAACGCATCCATCAACTACACCGAGTTCTAATCCGCAGTGGTGGATGCGACTCCGAACTGCTTGTGTCCAGAAGGCCGCACGATCCCGTCCATCTGTAAGCCTGAATCCTGAGGTTGGTGTTCCTACGGAGAAATCAGAATGACCCCAGAAACCCTTACGCACACCCCTCCTGAATCGAATGTAGTGGCCACTCATTCCCCATCAGAGATTCAGCCAGTCTTTGATGATGCAACTCGCAAAAGGATTGATCGTGGCGGAATCTATGCTCTAGGAAGAACATACGAGGAGGGTTTGTGGTCAACTGAGCATCTTGATGAATATCTCACGATGGTGTTCAAATCGTCAGCTACTCGACTCTCCCTGTTCGCATGGTCACGCCTTTTCCTAGCCGCGATGGACAAACGGTTCATCAATCGCCAATCCGGTCGTGGCGCGTTCAACATCGGAGAAAAGCACTACAACCTTGGCAACGATCTCTTCCGCAACATGCTTGACTCAAGTATGTCCTACACAAGCGGCTATTGGGCATCAGCGAGTTCTCTTGATCAGGCACAAGAAGCGAAGCTAGATCTAATTTGCAGAAAACTGGATCTACAGCCGGGACAGCATGTGCTCGATATTGGCTGTGGATGGGGGAACTTCGCAGAATATGCGGCTCGAAAGTACGGTGCGAGAGTAACCGGCTTGACCGTATCCAGTGAGCAAGCCCAGTTTGCGAACCAACGCTGCAAAGGTCTTCCTGTAGAGATTCGATTGCAAGACTACCGTGAGCTTTATGAGCAGTTTGACCATGTCGTGTCAATAGAAATGATCGAAGCGGTTGGTCGTAAAAACCTTCCGGCATACTACCGGGTTGTTGACCGGTGCCTCCGTGAGGGGGGACTCTTTGTATTGCAAGTCATCTCCGGGAATACATTGACACGCACATCTGATCAGAATCTAGATCAGTACATCCTCTGGCTCGTGCGCCATATATTCCCTGATGGGTATCTTCCCAGGGTTGACGAGTTGATCCCGCCAAGTGACACGAAACTAAGCGTGGAAGATTGGCATCGATACCATGACGATTACGATCGCACACTCATTGCTTGGGCATCCAGGTTCAATGATAACTGGGAGCAGATCAAAGGGGAGTATGACGAACGATTCCATCGCCGATGGAACTTCTATATGCTTGGTTGTGCGGCGTTATTCCGCGCACAGTTAATCGATGTCGGACAAGTTGTCTATACCAAGGGGCGAACAAAGAGTCGTCACTATCCAGTTCGATAGAAGACTCAAGTGAAATCATGGTCTCATGTCGTAGCCCGTAGATTGTTTAAAAATGGAGGTCGCCAATGAGTCGTGCCATCATCGTTCTTGTCATCGGATTCTTCATCATGGCTGCAGGGATCACCTATGCACTGATCTGGGGAGACTTCTTTGTGGAGTTGAAGATCATGCAAGGGCTTCCTTGGTTTCACCTCTCGATGCTCGATCTGTATGTAGGATTTCTACTGTTCGGAGGATGGATTCTTTTCCGAGAGAAATCAATGGGGATCGCATTGGTCTGGATTCTTCTTCTGCTATGTCTTGGGAATCTACTGGCCTGCTTGTACGCGGCGTTTGCACTTGCTCGGTCTCAGGGAAACTGGCAGAGATTCTGGATGGGTGATCGCTTTGGGCAAAGCGGCATGCATGCTCCAAATTGATCCATCTAGTGGTGAATAAGAGAGCTTCAATCGGATCCATCTCAGTCAAGCGAAGTTTGGTGGTCCAATTTGCTGGTTCATTAGGATACCAGGGTTGTCTGATTCTCAGTGTCCACTGAATCAACAGATCGTGAATGTCAGGTACAATCCAGAGAGTAGATGGTGAAGCGATTCAAATGGCATGCAAATTAGATCGTATTTTTTAGCTGATCTATAGGAGTTTCAAGAGTCTATGTTTTCCATCTCAGTGTCAATCTGTTCGATCAGGGGGTCGCTCTCACCAATTGCCGAGGTAAAGCGGTCCCTTGCAGATTGATATGTTTGGAGCACTTGTTCCTTTGAGATGCCCTCAGTTTTGTTTTCTATGCGGGCCAGCAACCAATGCCAATAGGCAATGCTGAGTTTCGATTCGTTCGCGTCATCCGTTCGGCGCTCAACTTCCTCTCGGAGTAGACGAGCCCCCTCTGCAGAAACGAGGGTTGAATAGGTCCAATCTTTCCATCCTACACGATCGCCCATCTGAGCAATTGCCCAGAACATCGCCGGATCAACATCATGTCCTCGTAATCTCATGTCAAGGACGCTATCAAGTATGACACGTTGCGAATAGCCATTTGCTAGTTTGAGTAACTCAACCTGGTTTGCCGATTCTGATAATCGCGAGTGGAGCATGTCTCTTTCGTGATTCCCAAACCCAATTTGTTTATGCTGATTCAAAATGAGCCAGCTCACGCATGCGATCAGCAATAGGAGCAAGATGCTTTGAATTGGATTCCGAATAAATGCAAGTACTATTCGTCTTGAAACACTTTGGTGTACGCAACTGAGTGGCCGGTGTTGTAGGTATGCTCGAAGATCGAGAGCGAGTTGGTCCGCCGATTGATATCGATCAGTTGGCAACGGTTCAATGCATTTGCGTGCAACTGACCAGAGTTGCTTGTCTCGTACGGCACCGTCTGTATCGATATGTTCATCTTCGGGTGAGCCCGGCAATGTTCCGCTCAACAAGTAGTACATTACAACACCCAGACCGAACACATCTACCAGAGTTGAGGCGCCTGAGCCCTTGCGGAGTTCTGGCGCAAGGACTCGTGGAGTCCCGGCGGCGTTCCAGTCATCGAGGCCAGTAACAGAGATCCCGAAATCCATTATCACGGGACGATCCCCACAGATCATCACATTCCCAGGTTTCAAATCCCGATGCACAATCATCGATCGATGAATGGCGCTCACCCCTTCGCAGAGTTGCAGCATCAGCTTCGCAACTTCTGGTCCGCGCATCGATCGGTCATATGCCCACTGATCCAGCCGGCGACCGTCAAGGAGTTCGTAAACGATGTATGAACGCTCAGTTTTTTGATCAAACCCCTCGTCATACACGTGAACTACATTTGGATGATCAACACTGCGAGTGCGTACACCCTCGAATGTTGGTTTTCGAGTAAACAACTTGATGGCTACATTGCTACGAGAGGATCCACGGAACTTTCGGTCGATTGCTCGGAAGACCTCGCCTTGTCCCCCAATGCCGAGGCGTTCAATCAGTTCATAGCGGCCTTCTCCATCTTGTAAGCGAGGGCCGAAATAACTATCGCGACCACCATTGCTGAGCCGTCTATCACGCTCGTTATGAATGGCATCAAGTACTCGGATGTCATCAGCGTAGTCTGGAAGTTCAAGAGCTATGGCACCAATCACAGCGCTGATGGCAACCGATGGATGTGCCGATGTAGTATGCTCAAGCCAGAGCATAATTGCGTTGATAACTTTCCGATCGTCTTCGTTTGTCCGATCTTTGAGTACTTCGGATAAAGCCTCGCCTCGAGAGATCCGCTCCAAATAATCTTCAGGGATCATTGCTGATACTCCAGTTTTCAATCGGAACTCCCACGACAAGAGTTTCAGCACCGGGCAGAGTGATTTCATTCTGCACACATGAACGACACTCAGCCCTTTTTGTAAAGGGGCTATATATTCAGCCCAAGACTATGTCAGTCTAACAGTATCGGTACATGTGTGCATCACTTTGAGCAAGAAACCATCATCCTCAAACAAGTTCTAATCCCTTGGTGTCTGCTCTACTATGAAACAGTTTACGATCGCGGAGCATCTCGTTTTGTGTACTGGGGAAAATACCACACATTAAAGGAACATCAAACAGCCGTCATGCCCGTGCCTCATTGAGAGGGTAGTAGGCTTTCCTATGCATAACGTGATTGGCTCAAAGTTGCCTAGATTAATTGGTTTCTCACTCACATTCGCTGGAACCGACTGCTTGAGATTACCAAGAGGCTGACTCGCTCTCGTCCATCCTCAAATCTTTGAAATGACTGGACAGTATATCCGTGGGTAAAATTACTCAGTCATCTATGGGTGGGTGATTCTTGAAAGGCACAAGTGAGTGATCTTGAAATTCATCAAATATGAAAACTCTTTGTGCTCTAGTCCCAGAATATATGAAAGTGTAAAGAGATTAGCGAATCCTAAAAATTCCGTAAGACATTGCAAAAAAAGAGGTTATGTTAATCATTCTTTCGGCTAAACATCAAAAGAAAGGATGAATCATGAACCGATTTCACTTTGTCGCGTTGACAGCATTTATTGTGCTTGCGGTTTGTTCGGGTCAGGCAATGTCTCAAATTAGCGCTCCACTTCCATGTGAGGCTCCGCCCGCGGGATCAAATGAGCAGGTAGTTCAGTGCTATGAAGACGCGTGTGAAGTATTTCAGAAGGCATACTCAGATTGTGACACGGCGGAATGCCGAAAAATTGTGAAGCTTGAGTATGCGTACGCTCTAAATCAGTGCCTTCCGATACTGAACGCGCCTGTTAGTCGGTCAACACATGTTGACCGTGCAAGCTGGATCACGCTGTACTACATTGAGGGTGAGTGGTCATACTCATTCAACGATGTGGCTCCAGCAGGTTCAGCCGTGTTCCGCTATTGATGCGATCAGGCAAAGCAGGGCAGTCCGAGCACAGTAATCATGATTGAACGCTACACTGGAGAGCACCCATCAGAGACAAGATGGAGATAATGTGTTCTCGTAAGTGAAGCCTACTCCATGACGAACTCAAACTCGGATCAATCAGAGCCAGGGACTGCGAGGCAGACAGGGGTGTTCAAGCGCTTTCTCGCATTCGTCGAATGGCTCGGAAATCTGCTCCCGCATCCAGTCACATTGTTTGCCCTCTTTGCAGTGGGGGTGATCCTTGTGTCCCAACTCGCTTCGAGTTTGGGTCTCAGCGCTGCAGACCCACGGCCAGGCGCGGATGGCGCAGTTTTTTCTGTGCGGAGTCTGATGTCCGGAGAGGGCATCCGCTGGATGAGTGAAAGTCTGGTTACCAACTTCACAGGATTTGTCCCATTAGGAACAGTATTGGTGGCGCTCTTGGGAGTTGGGGTCGCGGAGAAGTCTGGATTGCTCACTACCGCCGTGCGTGCTTTGGTGCTCGGCGCACCAAAGAATCTTGTCACAGTGGTGGTGATCTTTGCGGGAATCATGAGCAACACTGCAAGTGAGATGGGATATGTTGTCCTCATCCCGCTCGCGATGGCTATCTATCACTCGCTTGGAAGACACCCCTTAGCCGGGATGGCCGCAGCATTCGCCGGAGTATCAGGGGGGTACTCTGCGAATCTGTTGATCGGTACAGTGGATCCATTACTTGCAGGGATCACTGAAGAAGCCGCTCAGATTTTAGATCCCACATACGAGGTCCACCCGGCGGTGAACTGGTATTTCATGATCGCTAGTACTTTCATGATCACTCTTGTTGGTTGGTTTGTATCAGCCAAGATCGTCGAGCCGCGATTGGGGGTCTACGACGAAAGTCTCGCATCCGAAGACCTCGGAGAGCGTGCCGATCTAGAACCTGTTTCGAGCATCGAATGTAAAGGCTTGCTCTTTGCCGGATTGAGCATGATATTTGTGCTACTTGGTGTCATCTATGTTGCCGGTCCAGGATACGAGAGTGGCTGGTTGCCAGGCTGGGGAGTCCTCCGCAATCCTGATCCAGAAGCGGTTGGCGCAGAATCGTTCCGACCACTATTACGCAGTGTGGTCCCGATTATTGTGGTCTTCTTCGTAGTCCCAGGGTTTGTCTACGGCCGAGTAGTTGGCACTATGAGAAATGATCGGGATGTCATTGATGCCATGGCCGGAGCTATGCGCAGTATGGGTCTGTATATCGTTCTGGTATTCTTCGCGGCCCAGTTTGTCGCATTCTTCAACTATTCAGGTCTTGGTCAGATCCTTGCTGTTCTGGGAGCGGATGCGATTGTCGCTATGAACCTCGACAACCCGCTTGTGTTCATTCCATTCATTCTGATGTGCTGCTTTGTCAATCTCATGCTTGGTTCAGCAAGTGCTCAGTGGGCGCTCACGGCACCGATCTTTGTACCAATGCTCATGACCATTGGGTACAGCCCCGAGGTCATCCAAGCCGCCTATCGAATCGGTGATTCCACAACAAACATCATCACGCCGATGATGAGTTACTTCGGACTGATCCTCGCGGTTGCTACCAAGTATCAGAAGAATCTCGGTATTGGAACAATGGTTGCAACAATGCTTCCGTACTCGATCTTCTTTCTGATTGCTTGGACGGCACTCTTTTACATCTGGGTTTTCTTGATTGGACTCCCAGTCGGACCAGGCGCTGAAACCCTGTATCAGATGCCCACTGGTGGATAAATACCTCCAGCACATTCTGTGTTCTACGCCTTAGTGCAGTTGCGTGCCAACACCGCGTTCCTGTGACCGATGAGGCCTTCCATCTCTGCAAGGCGTTTGGTGTCTTCAAAAATCTCAGCTGCTTCAATTGGCTCATCAATATTGATCCATGTCCGAAACCTCAGGAAGTTGATGACACTCAGTCCTGCTTGGAATCGAGCAGTCCCCCCAGTAGGAAGTGTGTGATTGGGTCCGATCCCATAATCTCCGATGACCTCCGGTGTATTTTCTCCAATGAAGATGGCACCAGCGTTTCGGATGCGTGCTGCGATCCCCGCCGCATTGATGGCATTGATCTGCAGATGCTCTGGGGCAAGTGTGTTGGCTGTCCCAATGGCTTGATCAATGTTCTCGCATAACACAATGAATCCATTGTTCAATGCTTCTCGCGCAGTGACTGCAGTTTGTAGCGATTTCAGTTGTTTATTGAGCTCAAACTCAACTTGGTCTGCAAGTTCTGGGGATGAAGTGGTCAGCATCGGTACAGCTTCAGTGTCGTGCTCCGCTTGAGCCAATAGGTCAGCAGCGACAACAGCGGCATCCGCAGTTTCGTCGGCTATTACAAGAAGCTCCGATGGACCAGCAAGCATATCTATACCGACATCGCCTGAAACGATCTTCTTTGCTGCGGTTACCCAAGCATTTCCAGGTCCCGCAATGACATCACAGCGATCAAAGCCCTTGAATCCATACGCCATCGCGCCAATCGCATGAGCCCCTCCTATACATAGGAACTCATCCGCTCCCGCGATGTGTGCTGCTGCAAGCATCGTCATGTTTGCACCTGGTGATGCGACCACAACTCGTCTGCATCCTGCAGAACGCGCAGTGATAGCAGTCATCAGCACCGAGCTCGGAAGCGGGTATCGGCCAGCCGGCGCATAGCAGCCCGCAGAATGGACAGGTTCAATAGTGTGTCCCGCCTGGCCTCCAGGGACATCAAGCGTGAGTGGCTTGATCGAATCTCGCTGAGCGTCGGCGAATCGTTTGATCCTGTCAGCGACACTGTGCAACACGGCACGATCTTCGGAGTCCAATGATTCGTACGCTTCTTGCATCTGCACTGGAGTGAGAACGAGTGGTTCATCAGAAGTCCGTTCGCCAAACTGAACAGCATATGAACGGATCGCATTGATACCGACCTCCCGTACATCATCAAGAATTCGGCGAGCCTGCACTTCCACTTCGTGACTGAACACGGGTTTGGATAGCCTGGATACCGACTCTGGGGTCATGACGCGAAGTAGATTCATGATTTCACTCCAGTCAAGTTAGGCTTGGCATCACCAGGCCTGCGAGTGACTTTGAGTGCTCGCCGATCAAGTTCTTGCTCGATTTCTTCGATAGATGATCCACACTGGATAGCACGAGTAAGAGCAAAGAACAGCAGGTCTGCGGCTTCATGGGTAGCTTCCGCAGGATTGGAAGCGTTAATGAGTTCATCCGCTTCTTCGAGCAACTTTGATCGCAGTAGCGATGGGTCATCGAGAAGCCGCCGCGTGTATGACTCAAGAGGGGCCTTTATAGATCGAGTTCGAATGGTTGATTCAAGCTTGCTGAGTCCACTTTCTTCACCAAAGCAAGAGCGGGATCCAGTGTGACAAAATCCTGTACCGCTTTGTTTGACCACAAACTTGAGCGCATCACGATCACAATCTGTGAGGATCCGAATCAACTCTTGTGTGTTTCCCGAAGTTTCTCCCTTACGCCAGAGTTGATTTCTGGAACGAGAGAAATAGACGGCTTTGCCTGTGCGAACCGATTCACGAACGCTCTCAGCATTTGAGTACACCAATCCGAGAGTCTGGCCTCGCACATCACAGACTACGGTCGGCCAGAGGCCATCACTCCGATCAGATCGGAGTAATGAGGTGATCCCCTCTGAGAGATCCATGGCGCCTGAATAGATCGCCATCCCGACTTGTGAGTCTATTCCGAGCGCATCGAGTTCCGCGATATCTTCAGCGTTGCGAACACCTCCAGCGGCAGTGAGCCTCGTTGCGCCCGCGATCATACTGAGTTCTCTGGCACGCTCGATCGGTATACCTTGCATGCGTCCCTCATGCTCGACGAAGGTCACAAGAAAGCCAGATACGAAGTCGTTGAGTTCTCTCATGCGCTCTTCAATCGAATAACCCGTCGTTACTTTCCATCCCTCGATGACCACTCGCCCTTCGCGAGCATCCAATGCAGCAATGACGCGTTCTCGCGGGATCTCTCGGAGAACTTCAGGGGTTGCCGCCGTACCGAGTATCACCCTCTGGGCTCCCGAGTCCAGCCAACGAACCGCGGACTTCGCATCACGGATCCCGCCACCAACACGGCATGGAAACTTAGCACACAGCTCCGCAACTAGAGCTGAGTTTTCACCAGTGCCCATTGCGGCATCGAGATCAATAACCGCGATTTCACCGACTCGTGCAAAGCGTTCAGCTATGGGCCATGGATCTCCAGCGTCGATCGCTTTCTTGTCTCCTCCAATAAGCTGTACTGCTCGCCCGTCTTGGATGTCTATAGATGGGATAATCATGGCTTTCGTACCTCTATCCCGCTCTGTGCGAGTTTCAGTTTGAGTTCGTTTGGTGTAGTTCGTTGTTCATGGAAAATGGACGCAGCAAGCACCGCGTCAGCGCCAGCTCTGATTGCGTCAATCATGTGATGAGCGCCGTCTGCGCCACCGGAAGCGATGATGGGCAAGCTCGTGATCTTCCGGATCTCGCGTAAGAGTGCCGTGTCGTATCCGGATCTTGTGCCATCTTGGTCGAAGCTCGTGAGTAGGATCTCACCAGCGCCTATGACTTCGGCAGATTGAGCCCATTCAATGGCATCGATACCTGTTCGGAATGTACCAGCGTGTGTGACAACCTCCCATCCTTCAGATCCGATTCTTGATGCGGCATCGATTGAGATTACAACGCACTGTGAACCGACTTCCGAAGCCAGCTCAGTGACCAGACTTGGATTTTGAACTGCGGAGCTGTTGATTCCAACTTTATCTGCACCCGCCTTTAGCAGATTCAGTGCATGCTGGGTATCCCGAATCCCGCCCCCAACACTCAGTGGGATGGAGATCTGCTCTCGAACAGCGCTCACAACATCAACTGCTGTGCTGGCACCTTCGATCGTGGCGCTGACATCGAGCATCACCAGCTCGTCCGCGCCCGCGCTTTCATATCTCATGGCTTGTTCTACAGGATCTCCTGCATCTCTAAGATTTGAGAATCGAACCCCCTTGACTACGCGCCCGTTCTTGATGTCCAAGCATGGAATCACTCGAGTAGTTAGCATGTTGCCACCCCCTCTAGGCACTGGAGCCATTCTGAAAGAATGTTCTTGCCCCAATCGCCTGACAACTCTGGGTGGAACTGACACGCGAGGGTAGTTCCCCTACGGAGCATCGCGACAAACGATTCTCCGTGGAAGCTCAATTCTCCGTTCCATCCGTCAGGGATAGTGGTCAGGCGATAGGTATTCGAAAAGTACGCGTAGCCGTCCGAGACTCGATTCCAGCCATGTTGTGGTGTTCTCACGGAGTTTGGGAATCGAGTAATCTCCGCATTGATAACGCCTAGGCCATTGACGCCTGGAGTTTCTTCAGAACTGGAACACAGGAGCTGCATACCGAGGCATATCCCAAGGAGTGGTGTGTTACTGGTTATTCGATCCACTATGACTTGTCCAAGGCCAAAGCGATTCAACTCTCTCATCCCAGCTCCGAAACTTCCAACCCCCGGAAGCACAACATACTCTGCCTGACGGACCACGTCAGCATTGTTTGTGATCGCAATATCACATCCAAGCCGATCGAACGCAGCCTTCACCGATGCGATATTGGCGATTCCAGTATCGATTATCTGTACTTCTTTCATCTGAGCGTCCCCTTTGTGGATGGGACTGACAGGCCTCGAGTCAATCGCGTTGCTTCTCGTAGAGCAAGCGCGAATGCTTTGAAGGCAGCTTCCGCTTTGTGGTGATCGTTCTGACCTCTGATCAGATCAACATGGATTGTCGCACGCATCGAAACTGCGAGCGATTGGAAGAAGTGCGTGATATTCTCTGTTGCAACCTGCCCAATCAGCTCACGCACAAATCCAAGTTCGACATACGCATACGGCCTACCAGAGAGATCCAGGACAACCCGTGCCAACGATTCATCCAGCGGTGCATAGGTGCTTGCGAAACGAGTGATTCCTACGCGATCACCAAGCGCCTCATCGATGGCATTTCCAAGAACGAGCGCACAATCTTCAATGCTGTGGTGGTCATCGATGACGAGATCTCCCTGACAGCGTATCGCAATGTCAACCCCGCTATGCCGTGCGAGTGCATCAAGCATGTGGTCAAGAAATCCAAGTCCAGTGTTGATCTCGGATCTGCCATCTCCATCGAGATTTACTTCCACTGAAATCGATGTTTCATTTGTTGATCGTTCGAACTGTGCTTGTCGAGTTTTCATAGCGAGGCCCCGATTGTGTTTAATGCTTTCAGAACTCGGTTGAGATGATCGAGTTTGGCCGGAACCGTCAGTCGGAGGTATGCGCCGATACCGCTGTGTATTCCAAACTTTCTTACGCTGATCCCTTGTTTGAGAAGTTGTGCATGTACGAGCTCAGCGTTCTGGAACTTTGCGAGTACGAAGTTCGCTTGTGATGGAAGTGGATCCGCGCCGATTGCCTTGAGTACGCTGATCAATCGCTCTCTGTAATCTCGAGTTCTTTGTGTGATCTCAGTTCGAGCACCCACGCGTTTGTTTGCCACTTGTGCAACGGCTATGGAGAGTATCGAGACCGGGAATGGGCTGCCCACCGTTCTGAGCCAACGGATCAGTTCGGTTGGACCTATCGCATACCCCACTCGAATTCCAGCGAGCCCCATCGCCTTCGACATGGTCCGAATGATGATCAGATTCGGTAAGTCGATGACTTGGCTGAGCGGATCCTCGTCTGCAAACTCAACATACGCCTGGTCGAGCATGACAACCGCGCCGACGCTTTGGGCTTTCGCGGCGATCACCATAATGGCTTCAGCATTGATTGTTTTCCCAGTTGGATTGCAAGGGGAAACCAGTGTGATCAATCTGGTACTTTCATCGATTGCACACAGAAACTCTTTCGTTGGAAACTCGCCATCAAGCCAGCCGATCGATTCAACAGACGCACCGGCCAATATTGCTGAGCGTGCAATCATCTCAAAGTTGGGAGTATGCGTGATCATGGTGTCGCCAGGATTGAGTACGGCTCGACAAGTCCGGTCGATCGCGTCATCGCCGCCATTGGTAACAATCACCGAAGATTGATCAATCCCGAATCGTTCAGCGATATCCAGTTCCAAACTAGAAGTGTCTGGGTACCGTGTTAGTTCAGGCGCATCGATCATCCCAAGGATGCTGATCAACGACTCATCAACCGGAGCTCCCTCATTACTGTCAAGTTTCAGTTGAACAGAATCGCCTAGCCTCGGAGGCATGTAAGGATCAAACGATGCAATCCGATTTGCTGGTTTGAGTTCGATCGTATTCATGGCACAATCTGTCCCGGCTGTGAGACAATGATGTCAGTCCCGCCTCGCGCTTTGATGTAAGGGATCAGTGATGTGAGCTCTTCACGGCGTACCGCTACCTTGACGGCGAACCCATCACTATCGTGCATCGGTGCCACAGTGGGTTGACGCATGCAAGGTAGACCATGAATGACTGATTGAAGGTCCTTTGCGGATACATTCAGTTCAACCATGACACGCTTGCGTGCTTCCAGAACAGATCTGACGAGGAGCACGAATCGTTCGATGTATTCACGCTTTCGACCATCATCCATAGCCTGTTTGGAGGCGTAGATTCGTGTTGTAGAAACCATGAGCTCATCGATAATCCGAAGATTGTTTGCGCTCAGCGTTGATCCCGTTGCCGTGTTGTCGATTATGCAGTCGGCGTCTTCGGGAGGGAGTACTTCGGTTGCGCCATAACTACGCAAGAGTCGAGCATTGAATCCAATCTGTTTAATCCATTTCTTTGTGATATTGGAGTACTCCGATGCAATCAAGGCACCATCACGATTGAGGAGGTCATTCTCATCGCTCTCAGCCGGGATCGCGGCGACGAGTCGGACACGATCAAGTTCTGTATCAAGCAGTTCGACCAGATCAGCGTCATCTTCACAGACCCAGTCGGCTCCGGCAAAGCCGAGATCTCGTGAACCTACATCGAGCATCTCGATGATCGCCCTTGGCTTCAATATTTTGACATCGAATCCATCCAGAGAGATGCTGGGTCGATAGTCTCGAGAACTGGTGCGCAGCGAGATCCCCGCTTCGCTCATCAGCTTGGTGACGCCATCATACATACGACCCTTCGGGATCGCGATACGGATCGGATTGTTTGATTGTTGCGGTGCCATCGTTGGCTCCTCTATGGAGCCGACCTTGGCCGATCGTCATCCTGGGTCAATACCCAAAACGAACAACGCCGACCAGAGGCCGGCGTTGGTGTGGTTGTATCTCAAGATACCCTATTCACACGATCATCACCGACCAATGACATGGCTGAGATGATGAACATGATGGAAAGGAGATCTACTCATTGGCCGTAATATACGCCCCACAGGTTCGATTGGATACAGTTTGTACTGATTTTTCCATCAGATCAGTATGAATGCATGTTCAACAGCCAGTGTAGATCTGTGGTCAGGGGCACAGAAGCCAGGGGTTTTGCCTATAGGCATGCGGCCAATCTTCCATTGCAAATGTGCCATCAATGATCGATTGGTTCCTAACAAAAAACCCTTTAGTCAGTAGTTGCTACCTCTCCTTGCGAGTCGCACTGCTTCTGTAGATAGAATCTTCATAGTAGTTATCCGCTGTGATTCCGTTCGTCGATATTGAGGAGGAGTTCAAAATGCCAAACGCGAAAGCGTACGCCGTAGAGAACGCGGCAACACCATTCGGATCAACCACAATCCCACGCCGAGAAGTCACGGATCGCGATGTTGAGATCGAGATCCAGTATTGTGGAATCTGTCACTCGGATCTACACACGGCTCGCGATGAATGGGCATCAGTCATGCCAACTGTGTACCCCTGTGTACCAGGTCATGAGATCGTCGGCAAAGTCACCAAGGTCGGAGATCAAGTATCGAAGTTCAAGGTTGGTGATGCCGTGGGAGTGGGTTGCCTGGTCGGATCAGACCGTTCATGTACGTGCTGCCATTCAGATCTTGAGCAGCTCTGCCCCAATAGCGTTTTTACGTATAACTCTCCAGATCCGCACGGCACGGCCCCAGTGACCTACGGCGGGTATTCCGAAAGCATCGTCGTTGACGAACACTTCGTGCTCAGTGTGCCTGAGAATCTGGAACTGGCCGCGGCAGCACCGCTGCTGTGCGCCGGGATTACGACTTATTCGCCCCTCAAACGAGGGGATGTTGGTCCAGGTCGCAAAGTCGGGATTGTGGGCTTGGGGGGATTGGGGCACATGGGTGTCAAGATTGCTAAAGCAATGGGGGCCCATGTCGTGGTGTTCACCAGAACCCCAAGTAAAGCTGAAGACGCGAAACGGCTTGGAGCCGACGATGTAATCCTCTCGACGGATGAGGATCAGATGGCCCAGCACGCAGGGTCCTTCCACTTTATTCTCGACTGTGTTTCAGCGCGGCATGACATCAATATGTACCTCGGGATGCTCGCCCACGACGGCGAACTCTCCCTTGTCGGCGCTCCTGAAGAGCCGTTCGAGGTGTCTGCATTCGCCTTGCTCTTTGGTCGCAAAAAGCTATCGGGATCCCTCATCGGTGGTATCGCAGAGACCCAAGAAATGCTCGATTTCTGCGGCGAGCACGGCATTGTCTCTGATGTTGAGGTCATCCCGATCCAGCAGCTCAATGAGGCCTACGAGCGTCTGGTCAATGGTGATGTGAAGTATCGATTCTCGATCGATATGTCATCGATCCAACAAGATTGATTATTTTGTATGGAGAAGATTTGACATCGGACCGATATTGAATACAGTTTGCCGCACATGAATATGCACTACACCAACCTGAAATCGATCAAATCGAAAGCCAAAGACGCGAAACGCGTCTGGGTTGCGGTTTTGGTCGAGGTTGATGTGATCTAGCACATTTAGCACAACCTAGACATCAGTAATCGCACCCCTGACGCAGTTTCAGGGGTGTTTTCGTATTTGGATATCAAATCAACAACCGTTCATCGAACAAGGAGAAAGCCATGACACAGACCGCCACCATCCAAGCAGTATGCCCAGAATGCGAAGCAGAACTGAATTTCGATCGCCGCCCATTCAAGGGACAAGTGACCCATTGCACCGATTGCTCTGCAGAACTTGAGGTCATCGAACGCGAGCCGCTATTACTGGAACTCGCGCCTGAGGTTGAAGAGGACTGGGGAGAGTAAATCAGATCCGACTTCAACCAAATAGGGAACATTCACATGCATATCGCAATGACATATACCAGGCTGAGGACCGAGGAGCGGATCATGCTCGATGCATTCGACGCACTCGGCATCTTGGCAACCCCGATCGATCTCAGAGAGTTTGTCTTTGACCCCAGAGATCAGGCTTCTTGGTCTCGATTCGACGCGGTGCTCGACCGATCGTTGAGTTTGACCAACTCCATCACTTCAATCAGGATGTTTGAGCACTACGGATTGCCCTGTTATAACAGCTCAAATGCAATCCAGACATGCTCCGACAAGTTGCTGACCACGCTTGCATTGGAGCACAATGAGATCCCGACCCCAAATACCCGTATCGCGCTCACCGCGCGGAGTGGATTTGAAGCCATTGAGCAGATCGGATATCCAGCGGTCATCAAGCCCACTGTCGGATCCTGGGGGCGCCTCGTTGCTCGTGTCAATGATCGTGACGCCGCTGAAGCGATCCTTGAGCATCGAGAGACTCTCGGGTCTGTCCAGCAGCGTGTGTTGTATATTCAGGAGCATATCGAAAAGCCGGGTCGAGATCTTCGAGTCTTTGTGGTGGGGGGGCGAGCAATCGCTGCCATCGCTCGTGCAAGCGAGCACTGGGTGACAAACACCGCACGCGGAGCGCGTGCAATTGGGATACCAGTCACCGATGAACTCGCGAGTTTGGCGGTAAAGGCAGTGGATAGTGTCGGCGCTCACATCGCAGCCGTTGACTTTCTCGAGTGCCCAAACAGGGGGTTGCTCGTCAATGAGATCAACCATTCGATGGAGTTTCGCAACTCAATCGTGACTACAGGTGTCAACATCGCAGAGCATGTAGCAAGATTCGTTGTTGAGCAAGTCGAATCTTGCGCTTCACACACCGGAGCGGCGGTATGACAAAATCAGTTTCCATCGTCGGCGGCTCAGGATACACCGGAGGGGAACTCCTCCGATTGCTCCACGCTCATCCGGAAGTAGAAATCGCCCAAGTCACTTCACGCAAGCTCAGCGGGCAACCAGTGCATAGATCTCATCCGAACATGCGTGGGTATCTTGATACTGTGTACAGTCTTCCTGAGGATGTGGAGGGTTGCGATGTCATCATCCTATGCATGCCTCACGGAAAGGCATCCAGCGACATCGAGCATTGGCGATCCAAAGCGCCGCTCGTGATCGACCTCAGCGCCGACTTTCGACTCCGAGATCCTCAGAACTATCAGCAGTGGTACGGCGAAGAGCATCCGTCACCCCAAGCACTCTCAGAAGTGGTGTACGGACTCCCTGAGATCACACGAGATCAACTAAGTGGCGCCAGCTTGATCTCTGGAGTGGGTTGCAACGCAACGGCGATGACACTTGCATTGCTTCCTCTCGCACGAGCAGGGTTGATCAAGAGATGTATCGCAGATATCAAAGTGGGATCATCCGAAGCCGGCGCCGAGGCCAATGCGGGTTCGCATCATCCAGTTCGTGCGCGTACGGCTCGGACCTACAGCGCATTCGGGCATCGACATCTTGCAGAGGTCAACCAATCACTCGGACAGTTGGATCTCGATGCAACTGTCACAGCCATCGACATGGTCCGCGGCGTGCTTTGCACTGCACACATCGAACCAACTGAGCGACTCGAAACCAAGGATCTCTGGAAGCTTTATCGTGGGGCGTACAACAACGAGCCTTTTGTCCGGATCATCGCTGATCGTTCAGGACCGAATCGTTTCCCGGACCCTCGCATTGTTGTTGGATCCAACAAAGCGGATGTTGGATTCAGCGTAGATCCGATTTCCGGAAGGATTATCTCGCTCTGTGCCATTGACAACCTTGTCAAAGGAGCCGCAGGTTCAGCTGTCCAATCCATGAATATCGCACTCGGATTCCCAGAAACAGCAGGATTGGGATTCCCAGGACTTCACCCCGCATAAAGAGAGCACCATGAGTACCCAACCACACACCATCGTCATCAAAGTCGGCGGCGGAGAGGGCATTGACCCCACAAACCTCACGCCTGAGATTGCTGAACTCCATGAATCCGGAATGCGAGTCATTCTGGTTCACGGCGGATCACATGAAACCAACCAACTCGCTGAGCTACTCGGTCACCCTACGCAGACCATTACCAGTCCGAGCGGGCATCAGTCGCGCAGGACTGATCGAGCGACACTCGATATTTTCAAGATGGTGTACTGTGGCAAGGTCAACAAAGCCGTTGTCGAGAGCCTCCAGGCTTCAGGGATCAACGCGATTGGCCTCTCCGGCATCGATGCAGGTATCTGGGTCGGGAAGCGCAAGTCTGCGATCCGATCGGTTGTTGATGGACAGACCATGATTATCCGAGATGACCTTACAGGGCGCGTCGAATCGGTGAATGCTGAGTTCTTGAACTCGCTGCTCGATGCCGGACTCGTCCCGGTCCTTACCCCTCCAGCGGTCACCCCTGAGGGTGTCGCTATCAATGTTGATGCCGATCGTGCTGCGGCGGCAACGGCGCGGGCACTCAATGCCGATGAACTGCTTCTGCTCTCCAATGTTTCTGGTCTACTCAACGATCCAGATGACACCGATTCAATGATTCATGAAATCGATATCCAATCCATGGAACTTGCACACAACGCCGCGAAGGGTCGCATGAAGAACAAGGTCCTCGCGGCTCAAGAGGCGCTCGAGGGCGGTGTAGCACATGTCACCATTGGCTCTGCTGGTGGAGATCGTCCAATCGAGCAGGCTCGGAGCGGAGCAGGAACTCGATTCTCTTTGGAGCCGGTGACATGAATGCCGAAGATCTGAGCAATCCTGATATCCAACTGCTCTACGAACTGGTCGCGACACCGAGTATTTCTGGAGATGAACTCGGCGCCTCCAATGTATTTGTACAGCACGCGAATCGAATGGGTTTCGAAACGGCCATCGACGAAGTGGGGAACGCAATCGCCGAGCGTGGTCGGGCAATTAATGAGAATTCCGTACATCTGATGCTGCTTGGTCATATCGATACCGTGCCAGGAGACATCCCAGTCAGAATCGAGAATGGAATCTTGCATGGCAGAGGATCAGTTGATGCGAAGGGACCACTCGCTGCGATGCTCGCCGCGGCATCAGTCGCTGATCTCGCAGACAATGTTCGGGTGAGTGTCATCGGAGCGGTGGGAGAGGAGGCCGCGGAGTCTATTGGAGCGCGTCACATCGTGAACAAGTATTCACCTGACGCGTGTATCATCGGTGAACCAAGCGGCTTCGATGGTGTCACTCTCGGATACAAGGGCAGACTACTCTGCGAGGCATCCGTGAACATCTCCAATGCGCACTCGGCTGGCGAAGAACTCTCTGCGCCTGACTTGCTCATGCAATGGTGGCGTGGGATCACAGATCGAGTTGCAGAGCTAAACTCTGGTCATGATCGTGTATTTGATCAAGTGCAAGCGAGTGTGCTTAGCATGGATTCTGAATCCGATGGACTCACACAGCGAGCGCATATACGCACTGGATTCCGCTTGCCAATACAGATCCAAGCTGATCAAATGCAGTCTATATTGCAGCAGCAAAGCAACGAACAGATCGAACTCGCATTCAGCGGGTCTGAGAATGCACATGCAACGGGTCGCAATGATCCTGTAGTCCGTGCGATCTCAACATCGATCCGTACAATCGGGAGCCGACCTCGGCCAAAGCTCAAGACCGGAACCGCAGATTTGAATGTGGTCGCTCCAGTCTGGGATTGTCCTATCGCTGCCTACGGCCCTGGAGATAGTGCTCTGGATCATCACCCGGATGAACATCTGGTGCTCGAAGAATATTTACAATCAATCACAGTGCTCAAAGGCGCGATCGAGACTCTCGCAGAAGAACTGCATGCTCAAAAAACCGAGCAGGCGTGTAGCGCCTAAATACGCTGAGCAGAAAGAATCTCACTGATCACTCGATAGACCAGCTTCGCGGCGATGAAGTCCGAGGCATGATGGTTCGGATTCGGGCACAGTTCCACCACATCAAATCCAATGATTGTGCGTTGTTGAGCAACTCGCCGAACAAGCTCGTTGACGGTAAACCAGTCCAACCCTCCAGGTTCCGGAGTTCCGGTGCTCGGAATGATGGACGGATCAAAGGCATCGAGATCAATCGTGAGGTAAACATGCTCATCGAGTTGTGAGACTACGCGATCCATCCAGGTCAAATCGTGCTCACGCGTCCACTGATCAACTTGATGACCAAAGTACACACGCTCGATATCCATGCCAGATAGTTCTTCTTGATCGATCGCGCGGATCCCGACCTGCACAATCGAAGCAAGCTCGCGAGCTCTTGCCATTACGCATGCATGATTATGAGTGGATCCATGGTATGACTCTCGTGTGTCACCATGGGCGTCAACTTGTAATACCGAGAGTGTTTCGACATGATTAGCCGCAGCTTGAATCGCCCCAACCGAAACCGAATGCTCTCCTCCCAGAACAACAGGGAGTTGATGATTGCTGAGTGCCTGTGAAACTCGTTGCTGAACCAGTGGCGCCAGTTCGATTGGATCATGGGCGCTGCAGATAACAGGGTACTGGGTAAAGATGCCTTGCTCGATATGCTCAGCGTTAGTCTGTATGTCGTACCACTCTATTTGCGAAGACGCATCAATGATCGCTTGTGGTCCCTTGTCAGCACCCTTTCGGTAAGTTGAAGTCGCGTCATATGGAACAGGGATGACTTGCACATATGACTGTGCTGTACAAAACTGATCCGGGATGTCCAGAAATCCGGGCATGCTCTACGCTTTCAGGAAATTTTGTCTTCTGGATTCAGGTAGGTATACCCATTGAGTCCCGATTCGTAGAACTCCGTCAGAATCCGTGATTCACGAACGGTCATCGCCTTGCGTTTCACCGCACGCTCGCATTCCTTTTCGAGCGATCTTGCGAGCCGATCTGGTTCAAACTGCACATAGGAGAGCACTTCGGAGATGGTGTCGCCTTTGACAACTTCACGGATGGACCATTCATCGTCTTCAATCTCAATATGAACCGCGTGCGGATCGCCGAAGAGATTGTGGAGATCTCCGAGTGTTTCCTGATACGCGCCCACTAGGAATACCCCAAAGTAATACGGCTGATCATCCACAATCTCATGCACATTCAATGTGTGCTCAGGATGACCAGTATCTGATACAAACAGGTCAATCTTCCCATCTGAATCACAGGTGATATCAGCGAGTACCGCACGCTTGATGGGTTCCTCGTTGAGTCGATGGATTGGCGCGATCGGGAATAACTGGTCGATCGCCCAAGTGTCAGGGAGTGACTGGAATAGGGAGAAGTTCGCGAAGTATGTTTCGCTCATGAGATCATCGATCCCAGCAAGAGGTTCGGGAACTTCCTCCATGTCCAAACATGCGGATTGGATCATCGAGCAAATGGTCCAAAATAATCGCTCGATCTCTGCTCGATGCTGGAGGGAAAGATACCCCAATGAGAAGAGCGACATCGCATCCTCTCGTGCTCTGGTGGTGTCGTGGTAAATCTCAGCAAGTTTCTGTGAGCCTTCTTTGAGTCCATTGAGAGCGTGCCTGAGATCGCGTAGTGGCTGTGGGGCGCTCGGATCGTCATCGTGAACCACCATATCAGGATCAATCAGATCACTTGGTCCAGTTGAGCCGAGCACATTGAACACGAGCACCGATGAATACGCAACCATCGCTCGTCCGCATTCTGTCACGACTGTAGGATGGTCGATATCCTTGGCCGTGCAGATCGAGCCAATACGATAAATCACATCCGAAGCGTACTCCTCAAGCGAGTAGTTCATTGAAGACGCTTGATCGGACGCAGATCCTTGGTAGTCCACTCCCAATCCGCCGCCTACATCAAGATATTTGAGTTTCGCGCCTGTCTCGTGGAGCTGCGTGAACACATGTACGAGCTCAGTGATTGCGGATTTGATCGTGCTGATATCTTGGTGCTGACTCCCCGAGTGGCAGTGCAGGAGTTCAAGAGAGTCCAGCATGTCGTGATCCCTGAGTGTTTGGACCGCGTGGAGAAGTTCAGTGATTGTCAATCCAAACTTGCTTTTGATCCCCACCGATGTTGCCCATCGTCCAGAGCCGGCTGATGCCAGTTTGACTCTCACACCAATCCTTGGACGAACGCCGTGTTTCTCCGCGAACTTGATGATCAAATCGAGTTCACGAATATTCTCCACTACTGGGATGATTGTTCGTCCAAGCTTGTGAGCGAGGATAACTGCCTCGATGTACTGCGCATCCTTGAAACCATTGCAGATGATAAACTGACCAGGAGTATCGGTTGTCATCGCCATCACGGCAAGGAGTTCAGGTTTTGAACCGACTTCCAGACCATATCCGAGTTGGTGTCCATATCGAGCCACTTCTTCAACAACCTGATGCTGCTGATTCACTTTGATTGGGTACGCGGCGACATACCCGCCTTGATAGTCGTTCTCTTCAATCGCTTGAGCGAAAGCACTCTTGAGAGTCTGTAGACGGTGATCCACGATATCCGTAAATCGCAATAACACTGGGGTCTGAATGCCACGCTCGCTCAAGCCTTCAACAATCTGATGCAGATCAATTCCAACGCGCTCAATGCCCATTGGATGCACATACATGTGCCCATCATCATGGATAGAGTAATAGCCCTGTCCCCATGCTTGGGAACGGTATACCTGCTCCGAATCCGATGCGGTCCAAAACGAGTCCGTAACGGGTAACTTCGATTCGGTATCGGATTGATCAGCCTTCTTGTTGGGCAATGTATTCGGCATGCCGAATTGTATCGCCGGATCAGATCGTGCGATTACACGATGGGTATGATTTTCTTCATAAGCAAACAGCCATCCGATCCATCGGGTTCTTGATTGGAGCGAATCAATGACTATCCGCGCATTTATGGAAGAGCACTTCCGGCACTTCAACGCAGCCGCAGCTCTTGACGCCTCAAAGGCATACGAGGCTCACCTCGATCAAGGCGGGAAGATGCTCGTTACCCTTGCCGGAGCGATGAGCACAGCCGAGCTTGGTCGATCTCTCGCTGAGATGATCCGCAGCGGAAAGATCCACGCGATCTCTTGCACAGGTGCGAACTTGGAGGAGGATGTCTACAACCTCATCGCTCACGATCATTATGAGCGGATCCCAAACTACCGTGATCTAACTCCAAGCGATGAGCAAGATCTCCTGGACAGACATCTCAATCGGGTCACCGATACCTGTATTCCTGAAGAAGGGGCGTTCCGAAAACTGGGGCACCATCTCATTGGTAAATGGAAGCAAGCATCCGAATCGGGTGATCGCAAGTTTCCGCACGAGTATCTCTATGAGATCCTCAATGAGGGACTGCTCAAGGCTGAATACCAAGCTGATCCAAAGAACTCTTGGTTGCTCGCGGCCGCGGAATGCAACCTCCCAATGGTAGTCCCAGGATGGGAAGACTCGACCTGTGGGAACATATTCGCTGCAGAAGTTCTGAATGGGACGATCCAAAGCGCGAGTACTGTCAAAACAGGCATCGAGTACATGATGGAGTTCACGAGCTGGTATAAAAATGAATCTCAGGGTGCCAGCATCGGTTTCTTCCAGATCGGTGGTGGGATTGCTGGAGATTTCCCGATTTGCGCTGTGCCGTTGATGCGTCAGGACATGGAGCTCGATGTGCCGCTCTGGGGATACTTCTGTCAAATAAGTGACTCGACGACCAGCTACGGCTCATACTCCGGAGCTGTCCCAAACGAGAAGATTACATGGGAGAAACTCGCTGTAGACACCCCGAGTTTCATTGTCGAGTCTGACGCGACAATCGTCGCCCCCTTGATCTTTGGTTATCTCTTAAACTGGTAATCCTCTGATTCAAGTGGTCCCGTATACTGTTGAATGTACGCTATGAAAGGAACCGCTTGGCAGATCCCAAACCAAACACACCGGCCTTTGAAAGAACTCGGCGGGATCACGCGATGGAGATCGCTGAGGATTATGTTGAAGCTGTAGCCGAGCTGATCGAATCCAACGGTTCCTGCCGCGTCACCGATCTCGCAGAATACTTCGGAGTTACGCATGTCACTGTCATTAAGACCGTTCAGCGTCTCGAACGCGATGGGCTCCTTAGTACCGAGCCGTACAAACCCGTCGAGCTCACTTCGGCCGGAAGCCAGATGGCGCAGGAGTGCAAAGAGCGACACGAAATCGTGTATCAGTTTCTCTTAGCGATCGGTGTTGATGAAGCCGCGGCGGCTGTAGATGCCGAGGGGATCGAGCATCATGTCAGTCCGGCAACCCTCGCTGCATTCAAGAAAATCGCCCAGAAATAGGTACGAAACTCCCGACGAGGTGCATACAGGTCTTGATTTGACAAAAATGTAACCGGTGCTACAATAGGGCTTCTGAATCCAACAACCGTAGAGGTTTCTAATGCAAATCACTCGCATGTTTCATTTCGTATTCATCCTCGCAAGTCTGCTTCTTGCCGGGTGTCAATCGGAATCTCAACCGGAAACTAGACGCTCGAACATCGTCGCAACGGTCGGCATGATTGCAGATATCACCCGCAATGTTGCCGGCGATCATGCGGATGTCATTGGTCTCATGGGACCCGGCGTAGATCCACACCTTTACAAGCCAACGCGTTCGGATGTACAGGAGCTCATGTCCGCTGATGTCATTTTCTACAACGGCTTATTACTCGAAGGAAAGATGACGGACTCTTTGGTTCGTGCTGCAACGAGCGGGAAGAAGGTACATGCGGTCACAGAACTTCTGGAACAATCGTACTTGCTGGAGCCGGACGAGTTTGAGGGTCACTTTGACCCCCATGTCTGGATGGACCCGTCAGCATGGATGAAAGCAGTAGGAGTGGTGAAGAGCAAACTCATCGAGTTTGATCCTCAGCATACTGACGAATACGAAAGCAATACAGATGCCTATCTCCGCCAACTGGAATCACTCGATCAATACGCAGAAGAAGTTTTGGGAAGCGTGTCCCAGCAGCAGCGTGTACTTGTCACGGCACATGATGCGTTCAACTACTTCGGACAGCGTTACGGATTTGAAGTCGTGGGGATTCAAGGGATATCCACGGAATCTGAAGCGGGAGTGCGTGATATCGAACGATTGGTGAATCTTCTTGTTGATCGTGAGATTTCTGCCGTCTTTGTGGAATCCACAGTTTCAGATAGAAACATCAATGCTTTGATCGCTGGAGCGAAAGCACGCGGGCACGAGGTGATGATTGGCGGCGAACTCTTCTCGGACGCGATGGGTGACCAAGGGACCTATGAAGGAACCTACATCGGGATGATCGACCACAATGTCACAACCATCGCGCGAGCTCTTGGTGGACAAGCACCAGAGCGTGGTCTCAACGGGAAACTGGCCGAATAATGCCAGTCCATCCAACCAACCAAGGGTCGGGCCAAGGACTCGCCACTCGTCCAGAGCACTCTGCGAACAGTCCGCTCTCGATCCACGCGATGACCGTCGCGTACCACCGCAAGCCCGTCCTCTGGGATGTCGATTACGATGCTCCCCCAAACAAACTCATCGCGATCATTGGACCCAACGGCGCTGGAAAGAGCACGCTGATCAAATCCTGTCTCGGATTGATCCCGAGAGCTTCGGGACAGGTCGAGTTCTGGGGACTGTCGTACAAACAAGCACGATCAAGAGTTGGCTATGTCCCTCAGCGTGAGAGTGTGGATTGGGACTTTCCAGTCTCAGCGCTCGATGTTGTGTGCATGGGGCGTTACAGAATGATCGGATGGTGCAAACCAGTATCCAAAAAGCAGAAGGAAGCCGCGCTCAGTTGCTTGGATCAAGTCGGGATGCGCGACTTTGCGAATCGTCAGATCAGCCAACTCTCTGGCGGGCAGCAGCAGCGAGTCTTCCTAGCAAGAGCTTTGGCGCAAGAAGCGGATCTGTACTTCATGGATGAACCCTTTGCTGGTGTGGATGCCGCAACAGAGAGAGCGATTGTGCAAGTCCTCAGGAAGCTCAAGGAAAGCAATAAAACAGTCATTGTCGTTCATCACGATTTGCAGACAGTCCCAGATTATTTCGATGAAGTGATCCTCCTCAACATGCGAGTCGTAGCTGCCGGTGAAGTAAGCGAAGTATTCACGAGCGAGAATCTTCATAAAACCTACGGCGGACGACTCACGCTTCTTGCCGAAGCCGCCGAAGCAGTTGCCCGTGCATCGAGCGGGAGTACTTAGCGGTGCTAGTGCTCTCGTCCATCCAGAATCCGTTGGGCACCTCGTCAATTACTGAAGTTCATGATCAGATGCCGAGCGCGAGCGAGATACTGCAATCACTCACATTCCGATCAGGGTACAACACAAATCTTGTGATCCTTGGGACCACGCTCCTCGGTCTCGCCGCAGGAATCATCGGTGTATTCGCTCTACTCCGGAAGCGATCGTTGATGACCGATGCACTCAGTCACGCAACACTCCCCGGCATCACAGTCGCATTCCTCGTTTCGACAGCACTTGGGGTCAATAGCAAATCAATCCCAGTGCTCCTCTTTGGCGCCGCAGCGACCGGGGTCATTGGGGTCCTTTGTATTCAAGTGATTCTTCGTTTCTCACGATTGCGAGAAGACGCCGCGATCGGCATCGTGCTAAGTGTTTTCTTTGGAGCCGGAATCGTTGGTTTGAGCTACATTCAAGCGAATGCAGCTTCGGGATCCGCCGGATTAAACAAGTTTATCTACGGCCAAGCCGCGACCATGCAGCCACCAGATGTCTTGCTCATGGGTGGGATCGCGGTCGCAGCAATGCTTGCGACCTTTCTATTTCTCAAAGAGTTCGCCCTTGTTTGTTTCAATGACTCATTCGCAAAGGTCGACGGCTGGCCCGTCAGTGTGATTGACTTGGTGATGATGGGATTGGTAGTGCTTGTCACAGTCGCGGGGCTTCAAGCAGTGGGGCTCATCCTTGTTGTCGCGATGCTCATCATCCCAGCAGTCGCTGCGAGGTTGTGGACAGATCGACTCCTGCAACTGGTGATCATCGCGGGACTCATCGGAGCCGGGAGCGGCTATCTTGGTTCTGTAATCTCAGCGCTGCTCCCGCGGAAGCCAGCCGGAGCGGTCATTGTTCTCACCTGTAGCGGTATCTTTCTGTTCAGCATGATTGCAGCCCCTTCACGAGGGGTCATCTCCGCAGTTTGGCGCAGGATTCGGCTCCGGCTTCAAATCGAAGCGGACCACTTATTCGAGCACGCGCATGAGAATGCCAGGTTTGTCATCACTCAAGATGAGCTCAAAGAGCTTTCAAAATTCAGAGCTTGGTCGCCTGCATTCCGTTGGGTACTTATTCGATTAATGCTCAGCGAGGGGCAAGTTGTACGAGTGAGCGAGGGCTTAGAACTCACCAGAGCAGGCGCAAACAGGGGGGCACAGGTAAGTCGTAACCACGCTTTGTGGGAACAGTATTTGATGAGTTACGCAGATGTCGCGCCGAGCCATGTGGATTGGTCCGTCGATCAAGTCGAGCATGTGCTCTCGCAAGAACTGGTCAGCGAACTGGAGCGTACCCTGTCGTCTCGCGGGATCATGATTCCACAACCCAATGAGAGTTCGGTATGAGCACGCCATTCTTCCAGTTCGACATCGGTCTAGATTTGTTCCCGATGCTCGCCGCGACGCTTGCGGCGGTAGGGTGCGGATTGCTGGGAAACTTTCTCGTGCTCCGCAAGCTGAGCTTGATGGGAGACGCGATCAGCCACAGCGTGCTCCCAGGACTCGTGATCGCATTCCTGATTGCTTCAACGCGTAGTCCACTGGTCATGTTCCTTGGAGCGGCAATCGCAGGTGTCACGACCGTCCTTTTAGTTGAGCTGGTCAAAAAGTATGCCCGTGTTGAGCCTGGGGCTGCGATGGGTGTGGTGTTCAGCGCTCTCTTTGCTCTTGGAGTATTACTGATCGAACGAGCCGCGGTCCGCCACATCGATCTCGACGCGGACTGTGTGCTCCATGGTCAGCTCGAAACGTTGGTCTGGTATGGAGCGCCTCAGAAACTCAGTGATCTGATCCAGTTCTCGAACTTGAGTGAAGTCCCACGACAGATTTATGTACTATTGAGTATGGTCGTCGCCGCATTCATCTTTGTTGGATTGTTCTTTAAAGAACTCAGGATCGCCGCATTTGATCCTGCACTTTCGACAACGCAAGGCTTCAATGCGACACTTCTTCACTACTTACTCATGATTTTCGTAGCTGCCGCTACGGTTGCGAGCTTTGAAGCGGTCGGTTCGATCTTGGTTATCGCGATGCTGATTTGTCCCGCCGCGACCGCTCGGCTTATGACCGATCGGCTTCACACTCAGATAGCTATGAGTGTTGTTGTTTCAATCATCTGCGGGATAGGTGGTTATGTCGCAGCTACGGCAGTTCCCGCGGTGTTTGGGAAGGACGCTGTCAATGCCGCAGGAAGCATGTCCGTGGTCGCCGGATTGATCCTCGCCATTGCGATCATTGGTGCTCCGAAACACGGATTGATCACACGCATCATCCGTCGAAAGAAACTCGCACTTAGAATCGCCATCGATGATGTGCTCGCCACGCTGTATAGAGCAGAAGAATCAGGACAAAATGTGACAATCAGATCGCTCAAGCAAATGCTGATCGGCCGTTCTGTGGATTCGGCTATTGCAGCAGCCCTTCGCAAAAAGATGCTTTTGCAAGATCAGTCACAACTGAGCCTTACGCAGTCAGGGAGGGACACGGCATCCGCTATCGTTCGCAAACACCGCTTATGGGAGCATTACCTCGTCGCGAACGCAGGATTCGCTCCGGATCATGTTCACGATACAGCTGAGCAACTCGAGCATCTCAAGACACAGCCCCCCGCCGGACCGACAACAGATCCGCACGGCAAGTCAATTCCCTGAACATTGTCTCAAGGCTGGATGAGACCTTCGCGGATCGCCCATCGTGAGAGTTCCACCCGATTGGCGCAGCCGGTTTTGGCAAACGCAGAAGAGATCTGGTTATCAACTGTCTTCGGTGACCGGAACACCGTTTCTGCTATCTGTGTACTCGTCATGCCTTGAGCAACGAGCCGAACGATTGTGATTTCGCGAGGTGAGAGCTTCAAGATTTTCGATTCTCTAATTCGATCACCTCGGTCATCAATCATGCGATCGCGGACTTCATCAGAATAGACCTCGTGACCCGCGGCAATCGCAAGCAACCCATCTACAACAGTCTCTGCCGGTTCATGCTTAGTCATGAATCCCATCACAGGAAGCTTAAGTGCACGAGCAATGTGCGCATCAGTTGGATACGCAGTGAGTATCACAATCTTTACTTCAGGGCAGTGCTGCAAAGCCTCAGCGCACGCCTCAAGTGGATCGCCACCAGGCATTTCTAGATCACAAAGCACAATATCAGGTTGATGGGAACGAATGCTCTCCGCGATATCCTGTGGTGAATAAACACGGTGCACGACTTCCATACAGCCGGTGGTCTCAAGGAGCGTGCAGATCGCATCAGCAACGATTTTGTGATCATCCGCAACAAGAATACGAATCAACTTTCGAGTTGATTGATCGCCAGTGTCCTTCATATACATATTGTATATCAAACTGCTTGCAAAAATAGGTAAAAACACTTAAGGTTCAAAAAATGTTGAAACAGGGTATCCAATGGGGAGTCAAAACAACAACCAGCCTCGGATGAAATCAGCCATAGAACCGCAGGATCGCTACTACACATATGTGGCCTATTCGTGGTTTGCAGTCGCTTTTTTAGCCTCTCAGTTCCTTGGGTATTCATTCGGATACGGCGTCGAATCGATCAGCATCCTCTGGCCCCCAACCGGCGTGTTGGGCGCGACCTTGGTATTGCTCAGTCGAAAGCATTGGATTCAGATACTCATCATCGCGTCTGTCATTGACTTCTTAAGTGGAGTTGTTTCAAACAATTTCCAAGCCGATCCGAGCTTTATCAAGTTCTTGCTCGTCGGGCTCGCAACAAACCCAATCACGGCAATCGTCTTTGCAACCACCTGTAAGCTGCTCATCCCTAATGCAAGACCTTTATCCGAACCCAAGCTGTTCGGCATGTACATCCTCATTCCCATTGTGCTCAACACAGCGGTGGTCTCATTGATCATCGTAAGCCTTCTGAGCTACTCAGTAGAGGGATTCCCAACGCTCGCGGGTTGGCAACAGTGGTGGTATTCAGATGTGATGGGCATACTCATTTTTGCGACACCGATTCTCATGATTGCATCTTCATGGGATCGTACAGTCTCGCAACAAAGCCGAATGCTTGAGGCATTTCTTATGCTGGCCGTATTCGCGGTACTCACCCTTGTTCTCTTCACGAGTCCGATCGATAGTACTGCGTTCAAATACTACAAACTCGTGTTTATGCTTCCGATCTATGCTTGGGTGGTTTCACGATTCGGCGCTGTGGTAATGACTTTAACAACTGTCGTTCTCAATCTCGTTGTGCTTTCGGCGCTCGTAAATCACATCAGCCCCTTTGAGCTTGAAGATCAAACAGAGGCTCAGAATGTACTCGCTGTACAAGGGTTTTTGGTCCCTGCTACACTCACCGTGCTTTTCGTCGCATCGATCCTTGAGCATCGGAAGCGTCAATATGAGGCGCTGCTTGAGAATGAACGGCACATGCGTGCGCTCAGTCATGTCGAAGCACTAGGGACCATGGCGGGTGGAGTCGCTCACGATTTCGGAAACCTTGCTATCGCGGCGCGAGCATATCTTTCCGTAATCAAATCGCAAATCAGCAGCCCCAATGAATCGACAAGACAAGCCATCACTGGTTTAGAAGAAACGATGGACGGTGTCCAGTCCCTGACGAAATCCTTGATGCGTTTTGCACGAGAAGACAACTCGGATCCATTAGGCACTGTGGAACGGACCGATCTCTGTCAAGCCGTAGAAGAATCAATCGCTACCATGGGGTCGTTGATTTCTCCGAAGTTTACATTGTCTGGTCATGTTCCAGATGAACAGATATTCATTCGAGCTCAGAATACTGATCTTCAGCGAATACTCAGTAACCTGATCATCAACGCTCGCGATGCCTCCGAGCCGGGGCAAACGATAAGCGTCTCCCTCGCAAAGGAAAATAGCGGGGTTTGGCTGCTGGTCACAGATCAAGGCAAAGGAGTCCCGAAAGAAATACAAGATCGCGTATTCGATCCGTTCTTCACAACCAAGCCTCGTGGACAAGGGACGGGATTGGGGCTCGCCGTAGTCTCCGGAATCGTACGGGAACTGGGGGGCAAGCTGAACATCGCGTCAACACCAGGTCAAGGGACAACGATTGCGATTTACTTCCCAGTTGTTGAGGAAAGTGATTGATTAATCCTGATGTGATCGGCGAGGACTGTATTCAAGGAATGTTTCAGTCGATTGCCAGAGTTGTTCAAGTCGATCAATCCGATGATGGGCTTCTTTGCCCAGCAATCTGACAACCCGTGCAACGATGAGCTCGGAAGCGATAACCGCTGGGACAGAACTGTCGAATGGTCCAACGGCTGGGATCTTCAACTCGCACCAGTTCTGAGTAATCGCAGCGAGCGGCGAGAGCGGACCGTCAGTGATCGCAACAATCTCTACCCCCATGTCAGCAAGTGTCCGTGCCGTTGTGATTGAGTATCTTCTGTAACGTGTGAAATCAAATACAACAGCGACATCCCGATCAGTGGCGCTGCTGAGTTCGCGTCCTGTGGAATGTTCTTCAACGAGATGGACATCGGAGCGGACCATCGACAACCCGCTCCGGAGCACCATCGCGCCCGCCATCGATGTTTCACCTGAGAGGATCCAAATATTCCGAGCTTTGACTATCGGAGACGCTAATCGACCCAGTCGAGTGTCATCCAAGGAATGGAACACTTGCTGGACAGACTCTTGGATTCCTGCTCTGGTAGGGGTCAGGTTTCCAGGCTGCTGCCGTATTCGCGCACTCGGACTGGTCAACTGATTCGCAAGCTCACTCCGGATCCAGTTCTGAAGATCCGTATATCCCTCAAAGCCGAGTTTGGTCGCGAATCGAACGATCGAAGGTCGGCTGGTCTGAGCACGCTCCGCGAGGTCCGATACCGTTCCAAATGCCAATAGGGTGGGATCCTCAAGCACCAATGACGCAATTCGGCGCTCGGTTGGGGTCAGTTGCTCACTGACTTTGGCGATGAAATCTTCTATCGACATCACTGGTACTCCCGTGAACAGTGTATTACAATATGATCCGGCGAGTGTGCAAGTTATTACAGAAACTGCATCCGCAAATTTTGGTCCCCAACGGAGCCCTTCGAATGATCAAGCCTCAGGAATATGTCCCATCCGACAAAGAACAAGCATTTCTCGAGTCCATCGAGGATGTCCAGTACAAGCGTGAGATCATTAACGGGCTCAAGCCCTTCCTCGATGAGAAGGCCCCAGAGGACATGCGGGAGTTCTACAGCTCTCAAGAACTCGTCCAGCTCGGCGGTCTCAAAGGCAGTGACCGTGATGTCGAAAAACGGATGCCTGTGAAGGTGACCCGTCACTTCTTCGAGCTCGCGACCAAGAGTAAACCGCTCCAGCGATTGGTCAAAGCGAGCCCAGACGAGACCATGGATCTCGCGGGATCAGAAGATCCAGGCAACCAAATGGACTATGCACCTGTAGAGGGTCTCCTCCATAAATACGAGATGGGACTGCTCTATGTCGTCTCCACATGTTCAGCACACTGCCGATTCTGCTACCGCGAAGAGCTGATCGCTCGCAAGGAAATCAAGCGTGCCGACGGGACTGTCGCGAAGAAGGGACTCGCAAAGATCCCAGAAGTGACCGGCTATGTCCGCGCATTCAACGAAGCCGTCGCAAAGAACGGCGGACGGCACCCAGTCTGTGGCCGAGAGAAGCTCCGCGAAGTCTTGCTCTCCGGCGGTGACCCGATGGTGCTCAATAACTCGAAAATCGGTGCTTGGCTCGCCGCACTTGCAGAAGCCGGAGTTGAGTCCATCCGTATCGGTACCAAAGAAATGGCGTTCTATCCGCAACGCTTCGATGAGACCTTCTTTGCGATGCTCGATCAGTTCCACGAAGCGTACCCACATGTTGGTCTGCACATCATGATCCACTTCGAGCATCCAGACGAGTTCCTCATGAAGGATGACGATGGCAACTATGTCTACGACGAGAACGGCGTCCTCCAATGGGTCCCAGAAACTGGCGCTGCGATCCGTGGCGTTCTGGATCGTGGTTGGATCACGGTTGAAAACCAGACTCCGATCATCAAAGACATCAACGATGATCCGGACGCTCTTCGAATCATGCAGCGTGAGATGAAGCGTGTGGGTGCTGAGAATCACTACTTCTTCTGTGGTCGAGACATCGTTGCTTACAAAGCATTCAACATCCCGATCGAAGAATCGTGGAGAATCCTCAACGAGTCGCAAAAGGGACTCTCCGGGGTCGAAACACACGCGCGTCTCTCAATCACGCACTACAAGGGCAAGACCGAGGTCAACGCAGTTACCAACGAGCCAATCCCAGGTCTTAAAGGTAGCGAGAATGGCGTCGTGATTTTCAAACTCCTCCGAAATGCACACGGCGCTCCGGATCGTGGCAAGGTCTGTATCGTTGGTCGGAACCCAGACGCGGTTTGGTTCAATGACTATGAAGATCGTGTGCTTTTCGATGAAGCGGGATTGTTTGATTACACACGCGTCGTTGATGTCAAGGAAGAAGCTGAGCAGGTATCGTAATGATCAACAAACAGGTGTCCAGCACCGCTGATGCGGTCCGCGATGTCTTCGACGGCGCCAAGGTTATGGTCGGAGGATTCGGCGAAGCCGGGAGCCCGATCGAACTCATCCACGCGCTGATCGATCAAGGTGCCAAGAATCTCACCGTCATCAGCAACAACTGCGGCAGTGGTGAGGTCGGTCTCGCAGCGCTCCTTAAAGCCGGTCGTGTTTCCAAGGTGATCTGCTCTTTCCCACGCACCGCAAACTCGACCGTCTTTCCTGATCTGTATCACAGCGGGAAGATCGAGCTTGAGTTAGTCCCGCAAGGAACGCTCGCTGAGCGCATCCGTGCTGGTGGAGCCGGGATCCCAGCGTTCTATACACCCGCGGCTGTGGGGACACCACTCGCAGAGGGCAAAGAATCTCGCGATTTCGATGGGAAGACCTATCTCATGGAACTCGGTCTCAAAGCTGACTTCGCACTCATAAAGGGGCGAGCCGCGGATACCCATGGCAATGTCGTCTACAACAAAACCGCTCGCAACTTCGGTCCGATCATGGCAATGGCATGCGAAGTTGCGATTGTGCAAGCCGAGCAAATCATTGAGCCTGGATCTATCGATCCTGAGATCGTAGTAAGCCCTGGGATTTTCGTGAATCGCGTCGTGCAGGTCGCTGACCCTGTCCACGAGTCCGAACTCGTCAGTGCCGGAGCGACCTACCCATGAGCCAGCAGACAGAAGCAATCGGACGCACCCGCGAAGAAATGGCGCAACGGCTCGCGATGGATATTCCCAACGGGTCATATGTGAATCTCGGGATTGGGATCCCAGAACTTGTTGCTCGATTCGTACCAGAGGGACGCACACTCATCTACCACACCGAGAACGGCTTGCTTGGAATGGGACCCTCTCCTGCAGTAGGCGAAGGGGATCCCGAGCTTATCAACGCTGGGAAGCGGTATGTGACGACGAATCCAGGAGCCGCTTTCTTCCATCACGCTGACAGCTTCGCGATGATCCGAGGCGGACACATTGACCTTTGCGTACTCGGCGCTATGCAGGTCTCAGAAGCAGGCGACCTCGCGAATTGGTCCACAGGAGCACCCGACGCGATCCCAGCAGTGGGGGGTGCGATGGATCTTTGTGCCGGAGTGAAATCCGTCTATGTCATTACTCAACATACCACGAAGCAAGGCGAGCCCAAACTGGTCGAATCGTGCACCTATCCGCTCACAGGACGCGGAGTGATCACACGCGTGTACACCGATCTCGCGGTCATCGAGATCACATCCAGTGGATTCCAACTCATCGAGCTGAGTCCCGGAGTGGAGTTCGACTATGTGCAAGAGCGAACCGGTGCCAAGCTCCAGCCGATCCCGAACTGATATTTATAGGATTCCATCATGAGCACGCCTACTCAAGTCAATCGAAGTGCTGAACTCTACGAGAGGGCCTGCAAAGTCCTTCCCGGCGGTGTGAGCCGAAACACAGTCCTCAGAGATCCATACCCGGCTTACGCGAGTCATGGAGAGGGGTGCCGCATCGTCGATATCGAGGGTGTGTCCCGCATCGACTTTGCCAACAACATGGCATCACTCATTCATGGACACGCAGATCCTGACATCGTTGCTGCAGTTTCAGAGCAACTGAAAAAGGGGAGTGCGTTCACCATGGCGACTGAGGTCGAGGTGCAATACGCAGAGCACCTCTGCTCAAGGAACACAGGATTCGAGAAGCTCCGATTCGTCAACTCCGGAACCGAAGCGATCATGGTCTCGCTCAAAGCGTCCCGCGCATTCACAGGCAAAGCAAAGATTGCGAAAGCCGAGGGCTCGTACCACGGCGGATACGACTACGCAGAAGTGAGCCAAGCTCCAAACCCTGAAACTTGGGGTGAACTTGATCAACCAAACAGTGTTCCGCTCGCACACGGCACACCCCGATCAGCACTCGATGATGTCATCATCATCCCGTACAACGACATCGAAAGATCCATCGCGATCCTTGAGAAACACAAGAACGATCTCGCGTGTGTGCTCCTAGACCTGATGCCGCACCGCGTCGGGCTCAATCCGGCGAATACAGACTTCGCACAAGCGATCCGAAAATGGACACAAGAGAACGGCGTGCTTCTCGTTCTCGACGAGGTCATTACGTTCCGTTGTGGACATGGCGGGCTTCAATCACGCTTCGGGATCACCCCAGATCTCACCGCGATGGGGAAGATGATCGGAGGAGGATTCCCAATTGGCGCCCTCGCGGGACGAAGCGATGTGATGGAAGTGTTGAATCCGAAAGCAAAGAAAGTGCTATTCCCCCATTCGGGAACATTCTCAGCAAATCCGATCACACTCACAGCTGGATTGGTTGCCATGGAGAAGTTTGACGACATCGCAGTAGATCGTTTGAACGCGCTCGCACATCGCGCCATGGAAGGCATCAATGTTGCGATCCGCGAGACAGGAATCAACGCATGTGTGACCGGCGACGGTTCAATGTTCCGCGTGCATATGAAAGCACATCCGCCGCACAACTTCCGCGAAGCATACATGTCTCCTGACGAGAGCGCCAAGATCAAGTTCATGCTCGATCATTTGTTCGACTCTGGATTCGTGATGATCAACACCTGCTCAGCAACGATGTCTACACCAATGACGGAGCAAGATATCGATGCACTTGTTGATGCGATCAAGGATGGATTCGAAAAGATCGTCGCTGCCGGATGATCAATCTCGTTCAAACACTGTAGCAAGACCTTGACCAACTCCTACACATAACGCGGCGATCCCGCGCTTTGCATCATTACGAAGCATCTGATGGATCAGCGTGGTCGCGATGCGAGTTCCGCTGCATCCAAGAGGGTGTCCAATCGCGATCGCGCCGCCGTTGACATTTACTTTGCTCTCATCCAGTCCAAGGTCACGCACACAAGCAATCGATTGTGCCGCAAATGCCTCATTGAGCTCAACAAGGTCGATCTGATCTAGAGTCAGACCCGCTCGATCGAGCGCTTTGCGGATTGCTGGAACAGGACCGATCCCCATATACGCCGGATCGACACCTGCAGAAGCACTCTTCCCGACATACGCGATCGGGGTCAGTCCTAGTTCCTTTGCTTTGGACTCTTCGACGAGCAGCATCGCCGCGGCGCCATCGTTGACCCCTGATGAGTTCCCAGCCGTGACAGTTCCAAGTTCATCCTTCGCAAAGACAGGCTTGAGTGTCCCAAGTTTTTCAAGCGAGGTCTCAGGTCGAGGGTGTTCATCCGTATCAAACACCACGGGTTCGCTCTTGCGTTGAGGGATCTCAACTGGGATTAGTTCGTCCGCAAATAAATCCTTGTCGTTCGCGGCTTTCCATCGCTGCTGACTCCGGAACGCAAATGCGTCCTGATCTTCCCTGCTGATGCGATGCTTCCGAGCAACATTCTCCGCCGTCTCGCCCATTGGGAATGGATAGTGGAGTTCGGAGAGCTTGGGATTGATGAATCGCCATCCGATTGATGTGTCGTAAATCTTCTGAGAGCGATCAAACCCTAATTCAGCTTTGCTCAATACCAGTGGCGCTCGGCTCATGGATTCCACACCACCCGCAATGAACACATCGCCGTGGTCTGCCTCGATCATTCGCGCGGCAATATTGATCGCTTCGAGTCCTGAAGCGCAGAGGCGATTGACTGTTGATCCTGGGACAGTTTGAGGGAGGCCCGCGAGCAGCGCTGACATGCGAGCGACATTGCGATTGTCCTCTCCCGCTTGGTTCGTCGCACCAAGGTAGACATCATCAATGATCCCACCATCAATACCGCTCCGTTGTACCACTGCACGGATCACATGGGCCGCAAGATCATCAGGTCGGACGGAGGAAAGCGCCCCGCCGTATCGACCAATCGGGGTTCGTAACGCACAAATCACAGCGGCTCTTCTTTGCATGACTGATCTTAGGTTCACCCACCAGTTCAGTCGCTCAAAACCACACAGGAATGCGTATGCAATTCTGATTTGTCGCATGGAATCAACGATTTGGACACCGCTACGCATACCATTGACCGATGACGCAGACTTGGAATCTTGAAGCCGCGATGGACCGCTCGATCACGCTTGTCGATGGCGTGCTCGTAGGGCACAGCACCAACGCGCAAGGCTGCACCGGATGCACCGCGATTGTGTGCGAGCACGATGCTATTGCCGGAGTGGATGTGCGGGGCGGAGCAACAGCTTCGCACGAGATTGAACTGCTCAATCCTACAGGATTGGTCGATCGTGTCCAAGGGATCATGCTGACCGGCGGATCAGCGATGGGACTCGCATGCGCCTCCGGAGCATCTCGTTTCATGCGTGAACAGGGGCGTGGATTTCAGACCAATCAAGGCGTAGTTCCCATCGTCCCCACCGCGGCGATTTATGATCTCGGAATAGGCGTTTCAGCGGCGCATCCCGATGCTCAATCGGGGTATGAAGCTTGCCGAATCGCGAGCAAGAAATCCCTCAGCGGTTGCATTGGAGCTGGGACAGGAGCTGTTGTCGGAAAGATATTTGGTCATACCCGTGCGACCAAATCAGGTTTAGGATCGGCGGGTTGGGAAACGGATGATGGACTCCAAGTCGGCGCATTGGTCGTTCTCAACGCATTCGGTGATGTCAGGCATCCAGAAACCAATAAGATCCTCGCCGGCGCTCGAAGTGATGATGGTGTCCCGATAGACAGTCAGCACGCATACATGATGGGACACCAAGACCCGATCATGTTCGGGTCAAATACCACGCTTTGCGTCATCGCGACGAACGCAAAGCTTGATAAGACCGAGACGAGCATTGTCTCCCGGATCGCTCAAACAGGCGTAACCCGTGTGGTCACGCCATGCCACACACAGTACGACGGCGATATGGTGTTCGGGCTCTCATTGGGGGAAGGAACGCACGATGTGAATCGCGTAGGAATACTCGCATCCATGGTTGTGGAAGCCGCGATTGTTGATGCAATCCGAGAAGCAGAATCCGTACACTCAATCCCGAGTGCAACAGAACTCGGTTGGCTGAACACAACAACTGAGCAAGATTGACCAATGCCTAACGACGGCCCATTTCTCCATCTCCACTCACTCGAAGCCAGCCAACTGGGTGATGGTCTTGAGAACGGACTGAGTCCTGCAGTGCTTCGAAGTTTGTCTTCAAGAGCAATATTTCTCGCTACTCCAGATGATCTTGTTGTGGTTGACCGGGAACCTGATCCAAGCTGGATCGAGTATCTTCAGCGAGTTGGACTCAAACTCCCCCAAGTTAGAGTCGCGCGGGGTGAGGGAGAAACACTCGTTGAGCGGACCGCAAATGATGCTGAGTTGTGTGCTCAGCTCAGGGAAAATGGCTGCCCGATTAAGCCATATATGGGGAGCATCCAGAATCAAACGCTCGCGCATCAACTCGGACTCCGCTACATCGCTCCCGACAACCAACTCGTCGATCGACTCAATCACAAGAGTAATCTCGATCAGATTTTACTGGAGATTGGACTCCCCCGTATCCCGACTGAAGTCAGCACCCGAGATCAGATCGTACACGATGCTCGTTTAGCGTTCGAGGAGCATGGCTCACTGATGATCCGTTCTGATCTCAGCATCGGTGGGCACGGCGTCTGGAGAATCGAAAACACTCAAGACATTGATCAACTCGCAGATGGAGTAAAGTCAGCATGTCCTGATCGCAAGTTCATTTGGCAACCACTCAAAGCGGTCACCAACTCACCCAATGTGCAATACGAAATCACGGATGATTCATGCACATTGCTTGGAATCTCCGCTCAACAGATGACCGAGAGTTTCGCGTTTGGCGGCAATAATTTCCCAAGCCCACTTTCGAATAACCAGTCAATTCTCGATCAATCCCAAGAAACAGCCCAATGGCTCCAAACGCAAGGCTACCGAGGACTCATGGGATTGGACTTCATTGTCACTACAAATCAAGAAGTCTATATCGTCGAGATCAATCCAAGGGTCAACACATCCACCTTTCCTCTGGTATTGAGTCATCATCTTGGAGTGGAGGCTTTCAAACTCATGACGGGATTGCCAACCCAAACAGTTGGGTTTGATGAACTTCAATCTTTAATCGGCTCTGAGTTGCTCTATGATCAACATCGAAAGGATGGGGTCATCCCACTGATGATCCCGACCAAAGATCGGCCGGTTTGTGATGTCATGGTGTTCGCAAACACGCGAGATGAAACAGAAGTCATCGCAGACCGGTTGGATAATCGACTCGGAGCGTTTCTGTCTGCAAGGAGCGCCCCATGAAATCAAGCACGCTCATCAAGATCGCTCATCAGCACGGCACACCTGTCTATGTATACGACGGCGGCGCTATACGATCCACAGTTCAAACTCTGACGGATGCTCTCCATGGAGAAGTGGAGGTGTATTACAGCATCAAAGCGAATCCAGCTTTAGCGGTGTGTTCATTGATCCGTCAATCGGGAGTAGATGGAGCCGAGATCGCATCGAGTGGCGAGCTCGAAGCTGCGATTGCAAGCGGGTATGACCCAGATAGCCTACTCTTTGCCGGCCCAGGAAAGACAGACGAAGAACTCCGCCTAGCGATCGCTGCAGGAGTGGGGCAGATCAATGCGGAATCGATCCATGAGATCCGTCGAATTCAATCAATTGCTCAAGAGCAGAGCAAGAAACAGCGTGTTGGTGTCCGTGTTAACCCAGACACAGATTCATCCAATCCAGCGCGGATCTCCACATCCGGTGCTGGACAGAAGTTCGGAATCAACGAATCCCAAACGATTTCAGCGATTCGCGAGATCAATGAGTCGTCACATCTGAGTTTCACCGGCATCCACACCATGCTTGGTTCACAGATCCTCAACACTCATACTCTGATAAGAAACTGCAAATCGACCATCTCAATGGTCACTCGAATTGCTCAAGAACTGAGACTCCCTATTCCATCGATCAACTTCGGAGGGGGCTTGGGTGTCCCACATACTGAGGATGACGATCAGTTTGATATCAGCGACTTCGGACGCGAGTTGGTTCAACTGGTGAATGAGATCAAAGCTGTTCAGCTGTTCCAGGATTGCCGATTCATGATCGAGCCTGGGAGAATCCTTGTTTCCAAGCACGGCATCTACCTCGCGAAGGTCATCGATGTCAAAGAATCGGATAACTCGAACATCGCAATTCTCGATGGTGGGATCAATCACGCACTGCTCCCAATCACGGCGAACCAGTATCAGGTCGAAGTGATCAACCGAAAGCCGACAGAAAGCACAACCCCGATCACCATCGGGGGACCACTCTGCACCTCCGCTGACCAGTGGCGATCTCAGGTCCAACTCAGCGATGTTCAGATCGGAGACCTGATCGCGATGCAGAACGCCGGCGCGTATGGACTCACCGCTTCCATGACCAAGTTCCTCAGCCGGGAAACACCAGCAGAAGTTTTGGTTTTAGACGGCCGAGTTCATCTGATACGAGAGCCTTCAAAGCCGGCAGATGTCTTGCGTGGGCAATCCGTCCCGAGCGAACTCCAAGAAGACTAAACTCCACCATGCGGGTGATCCGAACGATCAAAGAAATGTCCGAATGGGTTGATTCCACCAGAGATCCAATCGCTCTCGTACCCACTCAGGGATGCCTCCATCATGGGCATGAATCACTTCTACACGCTGCGAAGCGTGCTGTGGATGATCACGGTTCAGTAGTGATGAGCCTTTTCGTAAACCCACTTCAGTTCAGAAAGCCTGCGTACGAAGCATATCCAAGGCAGGAAAATCAGGATCTTGAACTCGCTGAGAACGCAGGCGTGGATGTTGTCTTCGCACCAGAAGTGTTCGGCATGTACCCTGAAGCACGAGATCTCGATTGGATATTTAATCTTCAGAACGGGGAATCCGGACCTCGGGATCATGAGCGATTCACAATTGATCATCCAAGAGATTCTTCGGAGTTCGAGTATGTGCGTGTTCCCCAGCGCTTGACTCATCGCATGGATGGGATTGACCATCCCTGGCACTTTGATGGCGTTGCAACAGTCGTGCGAAGACTATTTGAGATTGTCCATCCGGATACTTCGTACTTTGGACTCAAAGATATCCAGCAGCTCGCAATCTTGCGATCATTGAATCTTTGGATGGATTCTCCGACGAAGATTGTTCCAATCCCAGTAGTTCGAGATCACGATGGGCTCTCGTCAAGCTCGCGACTGGTCTTGCTTGATGATGAGCAGCGCACCATTGCATGTCAGGTTGTCAAGCTCCTGAATGAAGCGTTCCTGCATATCAGATCATCGAGATACTCGGTTGTTGATGTGTTGCAAAAGTTTTATGATGCGTGCGAGTCTATCGAAACTGAGGACAACACGCTCGAGATTGATGCATTGACCTACTCGGATTCAACAACACTCGAAGATCTCAATGAGTATTCAATTGATGGGGTGCTTTATCTTGCCTACATCATCAATGGGATCCGGCTCGCCGAAACGCTCAGCCCATAAGAAGTAAAGAAAAAACGGTGCGGGTGGGATTCGAACCCACGGACCCCTTGCGGAGTCACTCGATTTCAAGTCGAGCGCCTTCAACCGCTCAGCCACCGCACCTGCGATCATGCCGAGAATCGACATTGAGCGATGATAACCATAGCGATCCAGTAGAGGCAGATCGCGCTATTGGAGCGAAAAACTTGATGTTCGTGTAATCGAATCGCGGAAGATCAACGACGACGACGCATAGCCGCGAGCCCAAAGAATCCGAGCGCCAAGCTGCCGGGAGCAGGGACAAATGTGCCGACATTGATATTGTCGATCGCGATTGCATTGCGAGCGAATTCGTCGTGCGAATCACGGATTTCAGAGGACGCGTAGCTCCCGATACGGATCAGATCAAATCCGCCACCGGTGAATCCGACATAATCGCCTGTTGTTGCATCAATGTCGAACTCCGAAACAAGCGATTCTCCGTCGTATAACTGGACCCAGAGGTACATGGTCCCGACTTCAAGAGGTGACCAGCCACTGCTGATTTGCATGTCCATGTCTGAAAAATCCTCGCCGCTGACGAGCGAGATATCGACGAGTTCCAACGCACCAGTGCTCGCGTAGAACATCTCGGAGCCATCGAGACCCGGTGCGTTCCAGCTGTAGTAATCTCGGCTCACGCTTACTTCAAGGCCACCCTCTTGGTATCCATCGAGCGATTGTTCATCGATCAGTCCATTAAAATTTGCGGAGTTGGTGACATCAGCAATCATGGTTGAATCACTGGTATAGGTTGAGATGCCCGCAGTCGATGCTCCAGCAACCGCTGCAATGGTCATTAGCCCAAGAAGTCCTTGATTCTTCATGTCATGTCTCCCCAAATGAGATCTCTGTGAGCACGCTAGTACAGACCTTGCGCACCGGTTTCACCCCTAAGAGACACGCAAAAGGACCACACTGCCAGTCAGTTGCCAGAATTTCAAGGTGATTTCATCGAGCTTCCGCGGTTCGATGGCGTGGCGCATGAATCAACATGATCGATCCGATAACAGTCTGAGCAATCGAGGTGTTAAACTGGGTAATCAAGTAGATGGAATCTGAAACGATGTTCTCATTTTCATGGCATCCTCTCAAAGCTGAGGTACTTTTGGGCAAATAGGTACAACACCTCTGATCTGTTGGGGAGATTTACGCCATGGCTTTGAATATGCGAACACTTACTCTGTCGATCGCGATGGGAACCCTTGTGGCATCGGCAGTTGCTGGTCCAGATTGGATCGAAGACGGCGACGCCGGGAGCACACTCGGAGATGCACAAGACGCAACTTCCGTCGGTGAGCTCCAAACCATCGCAGGCACACTGGGTGGATTCGACACTGAAGATGTCTACAAGCTCGTCATTCTCAATGGCGACAACATCGGCGGTGCTGTACAGTTCGGATTGACACTCGACAGCGGACCAGATCAGAACTTCAATCCCGCACTCTGGCTCTTCGACAGCGAAGGCTTCGGAGTGCTGGGCAATGATGACGACCCGATCCTTGGTGGTCCCGATGCTCGCTTGACGACTCCATCTACCGATGGCGTCACCCTGCTCCTTCCTCCAGGTGTCTACTTCCTCGCAATCACTGAGAGCGGAAATGTCCCACTAAGTTTCCGTGAGAATTTGGGTCTTGGTGACTCTGGGGGAACATTCGAAGAGATCTTCTCATTCGACAGCTCAACCGAAGTTTCTGGTCCTGACGGGATCGGTGCAGACAACCCACTCGCGGCATGGACTGGTGGTGAAGGAACCGTTGGTGGATACGGCATTGATATCACGCCAACACCAGGGAGTGCTGCAGTCTTCGCATTTGCAGGAATCGCAATGAGCCGTCGTCGCCGCTAAAGCGATTTCCATTTTGAAACAACTTCAAGCATCGGAAGCCGTCTCGGTTTCCGATGCTTTGCTTTCTATGATCTGTAGCACGCGCCGCGCAACATTCAGCAGACGCTCGTCGCCGAGCAGTTCTCTTACTCGCACTGCTTCTTGAGCATGCGGGACCGCTTCATCATATTGCTTGTTGTGGTAATACGCTTCGGCAAGCGTCTGTTGAGTCTCAGCGACCGATGCCGTGTCTGTGCCCAGCAGCAACTGTTTCAGATCAAGCGCCTCATTGAGCTTCTGGATCGCTTCTTCATGCTTGCCAAGCTGGATCAATGTGCCCCCAAGGCTATCAAGAGTCTTTGCGAGCCAAACTGGTTTCGGATCGTCTTCAGGTTGATTCTGAAGAGTCTCGATCAGTTCTCGGAAGATGCCTTCAGCAAGATCATACTTTTTCTGTTGGGTATACAAAGACGCGAGCGAGTTATTGGTCTGTGCCACTTGGATGTCGTCAGGACCAAGCAGCGAGAGCTTGATCTGTTTCGCACGCTGGTATAGAGGTAGCGCCGTTTCGAAATCACCCAGCCGCATATTGGTTGATCCAAGGTGATCCAGAGTAATCGCGAGTTCGACCGCGTTCGGATCTTCACTGTCGAAGAGGAGCTCACGCATTTCAAGAGCCTTCTCGTAGTTCAGCTTCGCTTTCTCAAAGTCATTCATGAAGTATTGAGCACGAGCGATATTGTGTAGAGATCTTGCAATTTCAGGATGTGGAGCCGTGTGCATCTTGCTCTGGATTGAGTTGACTTTGATGAATGATGAAAGAGCTCTGTTAAAGTCCTCGTACCCAAGATACGCTTCACCAATGTTCGTGTAGAACACCGCAAGACTCTCTTTGTCGCTCGTGAAAATGGTCTCGCCGTGATCGGAATACAGATCAAGCAAGCGTTTGGCAAGTGCTGGACCCTCGCCTTTCTGGACATCCATCTCCTTGAGCGTTGTCAGCATATTGTCCAGCGCCAATCGCCTTGCTTCGATGCGCTGGACCCATTGTGTCGCCGCGAACCCCGCGCCGATCGAAAACACAATCAGGATGCACAAAGCCGCGATTGTGACACCGGTATTCCGGCGAACAAACTTAGTAGACTTATAGATCATGCTCGGAGGGCGAGCCGAGATCGGCTGATTGCCAAGCGATCTACGAATATCAGCAGACAGATCCGCAACACTCTGATATCGTCGATCCTTGTCCTTGTCGAGCGCCTTGCCGACGATGATCTCGATATCTCCAGAGAGCGAGCTGTCGTGTCGGCTTAGTTTTGTTGGATTCGTGTCTTGGATAACGCGAACAGCTTCGTGGATCGCTTTGTTTTCGAGGTCGTAGGGGATCTTTCCAGTTAGGATTTCATAGAGCACCACGCCGAGCGCATAGACATCGGATCGTGTGTCCAAGTTGAGTGTGTCGCCGATCGCCTGTTCGGGACTCATGTAGTAGAGTGTCCCGATTAACTGACCCACATTGGTTTGCATCGTCATCCCAGACGAGTTGGTGTCTGTCGCACGAGCAACACCAAAGTCCAACACTTTCGGCCCACCATCTTTGTCAACAAGTACATTTGCCGGCTTCAGGTCTCTGTGGATGATCCCCTTCGCATGCGCGTGCTGGATCGCATCGCAGAGCTTGACAAACAACTCAAGCCGATCGCGTGTACTCAGATCGTGCTCATTGACATAATCCCCCATTTCCTGCCCGTCGACATACTCCATCGCAAAGTAAGGCGAACCCGATTCAGGATCAATCCCCGCTTCATGAATCTGCGCAATGTTGGGATGGTGCAACCTCCCAAGAATCTCCGCTTCCAGATCGAAGCGTCGCACAGACTTTGATGACAATACACCAGGACGGATGAGTTTCAGCGCGACCTGTCGCTGCGGTTTACTCTGAGTCGCGCGATACACGGCGCCCATGCCGCCGACGCCGAGAACTTTGTCAATGGTGTACTTCCCGACCTGAGTCCCAGGAGGAAGCGTTGGGACATCGTGCTCGTATTCCACATAATCAGGAATCGTCACATCGTCCGCGGCTGTATGGATCGCATCCTCAGCGATGGTCTCCATCGTCTTCCGCAAGTCCCGCTCTGGAGGCTTTCGCTCATCCATACACCCAGTATACGCCTATTTGCCATGATCCAGCGCTAGAAATAGGCGAAACACACCAGAAGTCCGAGCTGATTCAGCTTTCAATTTGAACGCCGACAGACGCAATTGTGGTGTCATCGCGGAGTTGGTCAGATTGAGCAAATCCCAGCACGCCTTCGAGCAGTTTAGTGACATCCTCTCGATGCGATGTGCTCGAACGCAGCAGCGCACCAGCTCGATGCATTCCATACTCTTCCTCTGAATCCGGCGGCGTCTGCTCAACAATTCCATCAGAGAAGATCACCATCCGCTGACCTGGTTCAATCCTAAATCGTTCTGATTCATACTCGATATCCGGATCAATCCCGACCACGACCCCGCCGCGGTAATCTGGACGCTGTGCATCGGCGCCGCCATTGGTAATAAGCCAATGCCCGTGCCCGGCGTCGATGAACTCAACCTCCGCACCTCCAGACTCGTCCTTGTTGATCACTCCGATCCACATCGTCACGAACTGCCCCATCGACCGATGAGCAATGTGTTTGTTGAGTTTGGTCATGACTACAGAGATATCAGAAGTCTGATCAAACATCGCGTGGATGTAACTCTGAGTAGTCGCCATCATGATCGCCGCGCCGGCGCCCTTTCCAGATACATCCCCAAGGAACGCACACACTCGTCCATCTTTAAGTTTCACAACTCCGAACAGGTCGCCCGCGACCATCCGTCCAGGACGCATCAGCATTGAATAGGAGACCGATCCGACGACCCCATCCGAAGGAGGGAGCAGTAATCGTTGAGCATTCGCTGCGGCATCCAAGTCGTACTGCATCGCGTGCTGCTGGATCTCAAGCTCTTTGCTCCGGATATTCGATGCCGTGAGTCCCAGCAATCGGCCGACCGCGCGTCCGAATGCGGATGCATCATGTTTGACGGTGCTCTCTGATCCACGAGCATCGAGGTACAAATACCCCATAGGTGCTTCATCAACCATTACAGGAACGCACAGCGCCGAGTGGATATCAAGCTCAGCAATGCTCTGACCATAATCCGCTTGTGATGCCGTCCCGGACAATCGGACCACCTCGCCTTCAGATGCAGTCTCAAGCAACGACTGGCTGAAGTTGACGGATGTCACATCATCGAATGGATTCTTACTCTGAAACGCGACAGTCTCATACTGACCAGCATCTTCCATCGGAGTCAAAAACGCAGCCCGTGAGAATCCTGTGGACTCGATCATTGCATGCAACGCGCTGTTCGCAGCTTCCTCCAGATCAGACGAGCCGTGGATCTTGTCAGCGCATTCAAGCAGCACCGCCAATCGATGGCTCGCAAGATTCGCGAGCGGCTCAGCAACCACACGCTCGACCATGCTCGTGCTCTCATCTGTGTCGTTGAGCGTATTGATCATCGTTGAGTCTGAACCCATCGATTTCTGATCACCAACTTTCACACGGAATACCCATGATCCAACTCGAATCACATCGCCGTGTGAAATGGCTGTTGCATAATCTGGAAGCAACTTGGTGCCGTTGAGTTGGGTCCCATTCCGTGATCCCAGATCAGTAATGTGCCAGCCATTCGAATCATGAATCTGGAAGTGTTTGCGAGAGATTGATGCGTCTGGATCCTCGAGTGGATAATCACAGCCCGAACTGCGTCCGAAGACTTTAGTCGTACCTGTTGCGAACTTGATCGGGTCGAGTCTCGATGGTCCCTTCGCTTGGATCAGTTGAATAGATTCGCTTGCAAGATCAGTCACTTCATTCCCCTGCATGTGGAAAGCACATAGAAAGCCGCAAGTGGTCCATCATACCTTACCGAGTATCAGATGTGGGCAATAAAAAACAGCCCGATTGGGCTGTCGAAAGCGGGTGAACGGACTCGAACCGTCAACATTCAGCTTGGAAGGCTGACGCTCTACCATTGAGCTACACCCGCAAGGTGACTGGATTCTAGACCCCATCCAATCGCTCGGCTAGACCCCATATCGGGTTCCATCACAGTTTCGTTCACTTTCAAGCGGATCGGATGGCACGGATCGCCATAAACATCGGGATTTCTTCGCGAGCCGTGTTCTCCGCTTTAGCGCGAGGTCCAGGCTCGCTTTCACGCTTGCTCGACCATTCCTCGATCGTGTCTACGAGCAGCCCATTCTTCCCCATCGAAGTGACATAGCTCGACATGGGGCGATGGTGTGTATGCGTCTTGATCGCGGCTGCACCAGAACTCACCTGTCCCGGATTCATGACGATCTCCTGCGTCCGCTCGCTCATGTACTGATCCACACGCCGGAACTGGACCGGTTGCCTTGTTCGTTCATCAGTGATCCACCCCCACGCTGTAGCCCCTGGATTCCGGAACGCTGGGTGAAGAATCACAGCAACAAATCGACCGCCGACCTTCAATCTAGACGAAACTCCTGCGAAGACATCATCAAGTTGATCAATGTTCATCAACGCAAGCACACACACCGCCGCGTCATACTCCTGATCACCAAGCTCAGCCGCTCCGAGCGTTCGCGCATCTCCAACAACATACGAGATCGATTCGGGTGATTGCCCTGTCGCTCGTTCAATCAACTCGGGAGATGCATCAATCCCAACACCTGTAGCGCCGGGCTGTTGCGCGATCAGATGCCGAGCGACAAGCCCTTGTCCGCACGCAACATCAAGCAGCCGTTCGTTTGGTTTTAGGTTCACGAGCCGCGTGACACCGGGAAGGATCAGGTCCTCGTGATGATCCGAACCACGTACCGAGAGCAGATTGTCATACCAACCAGCGACCTTGTCCCAGCCCTCTTGATCAGGATTCGACGCGATCTCTTCCGCTTCAGCAGACATCCCGATCGCGGGCTCAGCCCCCATCACGCTCCAGAACGAGTGGGGAGCCGGCACACGCACACGAGCGATCTTCTCTGTTTCAGGATCCTCATAGCGAATTTCAAAGGCATGCATCGCCAATCGTTTGAGATCATCGCGTGTCGATCCAAAGTCCGTATCGCCGAGGATGGGATGTCCCGATTGAGCAAGATGTTGACGGATCTGACCCTGCAAATCAGGGCGTGCACGTACCTGCAGCAATGAAAGACCAGCACCGGTTTCCAGCACTCGGAAGTGGGTCACCGGATTCGCGCCGCTGCTCTTTGAACCCTCAACAGCCCCATTGATGGATGACCCCGATTTGACGACTTCTTCGTCGTACTCGCCTTCAACAACACAAAGATAGTTCGTTTCAGGCCGTGTCATCTCGCGAGGAGAATCAACCTCGCCTCGTGTTTTGACAAGAAGCACACCTCCAGATGCAAGAGTGTCTATTTCATGTGCTGGACGCATTTTTAGTTTGCGGACAAACCCAAGTTCCCATGCCGACTCACGCAGCGTTTCGTGCGACTCCCCTCTGATCGGGAGTCCTGCAGGTTTATTCAGAACACAAACCCAATCATCTCGGAACACAATGTCCGCTTTGGGAGGCTTTGGTGCTTTGGGAGCACTTCGAAGATCTGGTCGACCAAAGTGGCTGCCGCCTGGTCGTCCGCTTGGTCTACCCATTGGTCGCCCGCCGCGTGGGGGACCTCCACGCCCGCCCCCGCGGTCATTGTTGAACGGGGGCCGACCACGATCAGATCCAGAACGAGATTCATATGGCGCCATTGGACGAAGTCTCCCGAGTCGTGTGCTGTCCGCGTCGTTCTTCGACCAGATCAGTCAGATTCTGGAAGAGCCATGCAGCAAATCCATCTTTGGTAATGCATCCTTCAGTGGAGAGATCAGTATCGAAACCATGCTCAGGATTCCCGATGAGACGAGCTTCGATGGTGTCGGAGTCCATCGTTTCCAGAGGGTTCGCGACAATGAAGTCAATGTCTTTCTTCGCGAGCTTCCTCAAAGCTGAGGCTTCTAACTCTTCAGTTGGTTCGAGGGCAAATCCTACAAGCAACTGGTCTTCCCGAGCGATCTTCGAGCAACCGGCGAGCAGATCAGGAGTTGATTCGAGTTGGATACTCAAGTCCCCACCAGTTCGGCGTCGTTTCCCATCGCAGTCCACTTCGCACGGCTTGGGTCGATAGTCTGCGACAGCCGCAGCCATGATCAAGCAGTCGCACCAGCTCAGATGTTCTGAGAGTGCATTTTCTAGATCCTGTGCAGATCCGAAGCGGATAACCTCAACCCCCGCATCAGTCGGGACTTGAGCGTTTGGTCCGAGCAGCAAGCGGACCTCCCATCCCTCAGCCGCGGCATAATCAGCAAGCGAGGAGCCCACCTTTCCGGACGATCGATTCCCGATGAATCGAACCGCGTCGATTGGTTCGTATGTGGGTCCAGCGCTGATAAGCAGTCGTGCCAAGGGAGGGTCCTTTTGTTGTCAGAGAGTCCGATCGATCCATTATGGAACTGTTATGGATACACATCGTAGAACCTTCAAGGCGATCCGTCGCCGAAAAGTGGGGGATCGAGCCGGTCTCAAGCAGGATTGATCCCGTTTTTTACAACAGCAACGCGGCATGCGACGCTATAGTGACGCTCGCATAAACCAGGTCAGGTATGACCGACCCAAAGGGATCCTTCTATCCATGGCAAGAAGTCGAAAGAAACTTGGTGAAATCCTAGTTGCTCAAGGTGTCATCGATGACAACCAAGTCAACGAAGGACTCAAGAAAGCCCAAGAAGACAGCACACGCATCGGCGAAGCTCTCGTCGAACTCGGACTCGTATCAGACCACCAAGTGCTCAAAGCACTCGCGGCTCAGCACGGGATCAAATATGTCGATCTCTCAAATGAGAAAATCGCCAAGTTGATCGATAAGGACGCGATTGACAAGAGCGTCATGAAGAAGCACCTTGTACTCGGGATGGGCAAATCCGGCGGCAAGATGCGAGTTGCCATCCACGACCCACTCGATCTTGAAGTACTCGACAACCTCCGCTTCGTGCTCAACTGCGAGATCGAGCCTCTCCTCGCAACCAAAGCACAGCTCAAAGAAGTCATTGCAGGCGAAGAAGCATCCGAGAGTGCCGGGATGCCCAAAGAATCTTTGGTCACCGACTCGATTGACCGCTCGATTGATCGCTCAGTCGACCGTTCTATGGATAAGTCGATTGATGTATCTTCCGAAGATTCCCCTGTCGTCAAACTGGTGAATCGCGTGCTTGATGAAGCGGTCCGCATGCGGACCTCTGATATCCATGTTGAACCAATGGGTGATCGGGTCCGTCTTCGCTATCGTGTTGACGGCGTGTGTTCAGAACGCGACAATCTCCCCAAGCGCATGCAGAACGCGGTCCTCTCAAGACTAAAACTCATGGCTGGGATGAATATCTCCGAGAAACGCATCCCGCAAGACGGTCGCATTAAGATTCATGTCGATGAAGTGCCAATCGATTTCCGTGTCTCGGCATGTCCAGCGTACCACGGCGAATCCGTGGTACTCCGTATTCTCCGTCCTGACGCAGTCCGAATCGGTCTCGAAAACCTCGGATTCGAGCCTGAAAACCTCGAAACATTCAACCGAGTTATCAAGCGACCCAACGGCATCTTCCTCGTGACTGGACCAACAGGTTCTGGCAAAACCACGACGCTCTACTCAGCGCTCGATGTGCTCAACCGTCCGGACAAGAAAATCATCACGGCTGAAGATCCAGTCGAATACAACTTCGACGGGATTAACCAGTGTCAGATCCGCGAAGACATCGGATTCACATTCCCGAGCGTCCTGCGTTCGATGCTCCGTCAAGCACCCAATGTCATCCTGGTCGGTGAAATTCGTGACCGCGAAGTCGGCGAAATCGCGATCCAGGCAGCACTCACCGGTCACCTCGTGTTCTCGACCCTCCACACGAACGATGCGCCGAGTGCGATGACGCGTTTGATCGACATGGGAATTAAGCCGTTCCTTGTCGCGTCCTCGATCCAAGCGGTCATGGCTCAGCGACTTGTCCGTGTGCTCGCAAACACCAAGACCCTCGCTGAAGAAGCTGATCTAGATCCGAAGTACCTAAATCTCATCGGACTCAAGATGGAAGACGCGATCGGTAAGGTGTACAAGCCTGTGCCGACCAACGACATCCCAAGCGGTTTCAAGGGTCGAAAGGCGATCTTCGAAATGATGCTCATGAACGCAGAGATCCGAGATCTTGCATTCAAGAAAGCCCAAGCATCAGAGATCCGAGTAGCCGCGATCAAGTCAGGGATGAAAGAACTCGTCGAAGACGGGCGTCTCAAAGTTCTTAAAGGAGTCACCACTCCGGAAGAGATCGCGCGAGTCAGCCAATCCGAAGGCCACTAACCACAGTCATTACCGATCCAGTATTTCAGAGGAGACTGATCAATGTCCACAGTCCAGATCGACCGCCTGCTCGACACAGTGGTCAAAACCGGCGGCTCTGACCTCCACCTAACCGTTGGACGTCAGCCAACCATCCGCCTCCATGGCGGACTCCGAAACCTTGAGACCAAGGTCCTTGAGTCCGATGACATGGTTTCGCTAATGAAGTCCATCACGCCGGAGCGGAATCAGCAGGAACTCCAGGAAGAAGGCGGCACCGACTTTGGATTCGCATACGGCGAGGCCGCTCGTTTCCGTGTTTCCGTCTTCCGTCAACGCGGCGATATCGCGATTGTTCTCCGTCAAATCCCGAACCGCCTCTTGACCTTCGACCAGATCGGTTTGCCGGATATGTGTAAGGATCTGATCCGTCGCCCGCGTGGTCTCTTCCTCGTGACCGGCCCGACTGGATCGGGTAAGACCACCTCGCTTGCGACGATGATTGACTATGTCAACCAGTACATGGATCGTCACATCGTGACGATGGAAGACCCGATCGAGTACTACCACGAGCACAAGAAGTCGATCGTCAACCAGCGTGAAGTCGGGAACGATGTCCCGAGCTTTGCGGAAGCACTCCGCCGTGCTCTGCGTCAGGACCCTGATGTGATCCTTGTGGGTGAAATGCGTGACCTCGAGACCATCGAAGCAGCGGTGCGTGCTGCGGAAACGGGTCACTTGGTCTTCGGTACGCTCCACACCACCGGTGCCGCGAAGACAATTGACCGACTCGTGGATGCATTCCCTGTGACCCAGCAGAACCAGATCCGTGTCCAGCTCTCCACAGCGCTGGTATGTGTGCTCTCTCAGGTACTGCTCGGTCGAATCGATACCAAGGGTATGGTTGCTGCTTATGAGTTCCTCGTTGTCACGCCAGCGATCGCGAACCTCATCCGCGACAACAAGTCCTATCGCATCGATTCGGCGATCCAGACCGGAAAGAAATACGGTATGCAGTTGCTGGATGACCACCTTTGGTCACTCTATTCGTCCGGTAAAATCTCTCCTGAAGAAATGATTGACAAGTGTAAGGACTCGAACGCACTGCGAACAAAGGTCCACCAAGCGGGTGGTATCATTGGTCGTCCAGAGATGGATGATCCAGAAGCTGAAGTTGAACCTGAAGATTGATGAGCTCGATTCAATCCGAAATATCGATCATGCACCAAATGTCGCAATGCGAAATAGTGTTAAAAAGACCAGGTTCGAGCAGGCCATACTCGAATTCTATGCGAACATGACCATGTCCATATCTTATGATTTGGATCAAGACGGAGTTGGTAAATGGACCCATCCGAACTCAAAGGCCGGAAGATTGGACGCGTGCTCACCAAGATGGGTGTTGTTACGCGCGAACAAGTTCACCAAGCCATCGGAATCCAAAAGGGACGTTCACAGAAAATCAAACTCGGCCAGATTCTGATCGAGATGGATCTGTGTACTCAACTCGACATCGACAAGGCGCTCGCAGGACAAGCCGGCATGGAGTATGCCGACCTTTCCGGACTGGAACTCGACGAAGAAACGGTTGGTGCGATTCCCGCTGAGAATGCGAAGGCGTACCAGTGTGTCCCAATCGAGTACGAGCCCAAGTCCCGCAAGCTCAAAGTCGCGATCAAAAGTCCAGATAACTTCCAAGCCGTGGACGACCTCCGTTTGTTGATGGGTGCAAAGGTCGAAGCGGTGATCGCGTCACCAAAGGAAATAGACTCCCTCCTGGAGAAGTACTACGCCAAATCAGAGTCCATGGAAGAGGTCATGGGCGCTCTCGCGAGTGATGAGAAGCTCAAGAGTGTTGGTGGCGCCTCTGATCAGTCCATCGACCTCGATGCGGTGATCGATGCCGCGGATGACAACCAGGTCATCAAGCTGCTGAACATGGTGCTCCTCCAAGCCATCCGCGATCGCGCCTCGGACATCCACTTCGAGCCATTCGAGCACGAGTTTAAGATGCGTTATCGTATCGACGGCATCCTCTACGAGATGGTGCCGCCGCCCAAGCACCTTGGTGCTGCGATCACTTCGCGTGTCAAGGTTATGGCGAACCTTGACATCGCGGAACGCCGACTCCCACAGGACGGCCGTATCGAGCTCACCGTTGGTGGTAACCCGGTCGACCTGCGTGTCGCAGTGCTCCCAACCATCTACGGCGAAAGCGTCGTTATGCGTGTGCTCGATCGCGGGAATGTTGAACTCTCGCTTGACCGTGTTGGATTCCGTCCAGACGACCTCGAAACCTTCCGTGGCTTGATCCACAAACCAAACGGGATTGTGATTGTCACCGGCCCTACCGGGTCTGGTAAAACCACCACGCTCTATGCGGCTCTTGCTGAGTTGAACGACATCAAGACCAAGGTGCTCACTGCTGAGGATCCGGTCGAATACGACATCGATGGGCTCTGCCAAGTCCAAGTCAACTCTGAAGTCGGTTTGACCTTCGCGAGTGCGTTGCGTTCATTCTTGCGTCAGGACCCTGATGTAATCCTCGTCGGTGAAATCCGCGACCTTGAAACTGCTCAGATCGCGGTTCAAGCTTCGCTCACCGGTCACTTGGTGCTCTCGACGCTCCACACCAATGACGCGCCGAGTTCGATCATCCGTCTTGTGGACCTCGGGATCGAGCCCTTCCTTCTGACCGCGACAATCGAAGGCATCGTCGCTCAGCGACTGGTTCGAACACTCGACCAGACGACCAAGGAAGCGTACATGCCGACGGAACAGGAACTCATGGAACTTTCATTGCGTCCAAGCGATGTGCAAGGAAGAGAGTTTTACCGACCAGGCAAAACAAGCAATGTCGGTGGCGGATACAAAGGGCGTATGGCCCTATTCGAGATCCTGCATCTCGATGATGAACTGCGTGAGCTCATCATTAAAAATGCAAGCACCGCAGTACTCAGAGATCTCGCGCGAAAGAAAGGCATGCGTTCACTCCGTGAGAGCGGCATGCTCGCAATCTACGAAGGTCAAACTAGTATCGATGAGGTCGTTCGCGAAACGCTCGCTGAGGAATAAGTCAGACGATTACTGCTCCCGCATATGGATCAGTTCATCGGAAGGAATAAGACATGGCAACTTTTGTATACCAAGCTCTGAACGCAGCAGGCAAAACCCAGAAGGGGACCGTCGAAGCTGCGAGCTCCGAGGACGCGATTCAACGCATTAAGTCTCAGGGATACTTCCCGACCTCTGTCCAACCTCAGAAAGAGAAAAAGGGCAAAGGCGATACCACCGGAGCTGCCGCAGCTGCTGCAGCAGATAGCAAGAAAAAGAAGAAGAAAAAGAAAAAAGGTGGCGGGATTACCATCGGCGGTGTGAGCAACAAAAATATGACGCTCTTCACGCGTCAGCTCTCGACACTCCAGGATGCAGGTCTTCCTTTGTTGCGTTCTTTGCAGATTCTGGAGAGCCAGCAGAAACCCGGGGCACTGAAGAATGTGCTCCAGAATGTGACGGAAGAAGTTGAAGGCGGATCATCGCTCTCTGAAGCGATGTCCAAGCAGCCTAAAGCGTTTGATCACCTCTATGTCAAGATGGTCAATGCGGGCGAAATCGGTGGTGTTCTTGACATCATCCTCCAGCGTCTCTCAGAGTTCATGGAGAAGAGTGAAAAACTCAAGCGCAAAATCAAGGGTGCGATGGTCTACCCGATCGTGGTTGTTCTTATCGCGCTCATCATCCTGACGGCGATTATGTTGCTCATCATCCCACAGTTTGAAGCGATCTTTGCGGACTTCGGCGTTGAACTCCCCGCGCTCACACTCTGGCTCGTGAACACATCCAGCTGGGTTGCAGGCTCCAAGCCTGGGCAAGAGATACCTGGGTGGGTGTTCATCTTGGTAGGGCCGCCGGTTGTGTTTATTGCACTGAAGCTCATCCGAAAGACCACGCCTGGTAAAGCGGTATTCGATACACTGCTGCTCTGGACTCCAATCTTCGGGACGCTTGTGCGGAAGACCACCATTGCACGATTTACGCGTACCCTCGGAACGCTCATCAGCGCTGGTGTTCCCATCCTCGAAGCGGTCACTATTACCGGCCAAACCTCCGGCAATTATGTCTTCGAGAAAGCACTCCGGAAGGTGCATGATTCGATCCGCGAAGGTGAGACCTTTGCGGATCCTCTCCGCGAATCTAAAACATGTGACGCAATTGTGGTCAACATGATCGATGTGGGTGAAGAGACCGGCGACATGGATTCCATGCTCATGAAGATCGCGGACAACTATGACGAAGAAGTCGATGTCGCGGTTGAATCACTCGTCTCGCTCCTTGAACCAATCATGGTCGTCCTGCTTGGTGGTATGGTCGGGACAATCGTCGTCGCGATGTTCCTGCCGATGGTCAAGATGATCGAGAGTTTGCAGTAATCATTTTCGGTCCAAAACACCGTCTCTCGCACAACGGAGTACGCATTCGTGCCGCACACGAACAGACATACTGAACATCCAGAGCGTGGAAGCCGCGATCGTCTCGCCTTCACCCTAATGGAACTGATGGTCACGCTGTCGATCATTGTGCTCCTGCTCGGATTCCTAGCGTCGGCGCTTGGACGCGCGACTCAGAGTGCGCGACAAACCGCAAGTCAACAATCAGCAGAGGCTATTGCGGCATCAGTTGAGCAGTTCCGTCTCGAGTTTGGTTTCCTTCCTCCCCTTGTTCACGACGGCGAGATCATCAGTGGTGGTGATTTCCGTCCTTGGGATCAGTCTGCGGGGATGGTAACTGCCGAGGAAGGACCACTCGCTCCAGGACTTGCGGATGTTCCTTATCAATACCAACAGCTTGTTGTTTGGAATGAAGGCTATGACTTCGATTTCTTTCGTAGACGCGATGGGAGTGCGACAGACGAGATTGAAATCCCAGCTGGTGGGCCATGGGATCTCGATGGTGCATGGGATGACCGGCGTTATTCTCGCTACGCGCTTGCATATTACCTCACAGGAACTCTGCCGCGTTCTGTTGATGGAGTTGCCGGGCAAGGCATGAGCCGTCCTCTTGCAAATGGTGGATTCGTGAATGTTGGTTACCCAATCGGGAGCACACGTGATCGCTACGAACCAACCATCGATACCGATCGTCAAGGGATTAAACTCCAGACTGGATATGTGCGTCCAATAGACCTCGCTGAGCACGCTGTAGAGCCGTATTCAGATAACCTTGTGCCACAGAATGTGTATGACCTCTACGATGAAGAAGAGCTCGATCAACTCACTGCTCTTGTAGATGCATTTGGGACAGCGTTTCGTTACTACCGCTGGGAACACGGCCGCTACAACGCAGCGCGACAACTGGTCATAGAAACCTCGCTGGATCTCAACATTCCTCCAATTTTGCTTGATCCTGAAGTGTTGGTTGAACTGGAAAACGATGATAGTGCGAACCCTGTATTGGATGTGACAGCGGGAAATGCTGAACTTCGTCAGGCACGATTCGCGATCGTTGGTGCCGGTGCTGACAAGCTCTTTGGTACCGAGCCAATAGAGCACATCGTGAAAATCCTGAACACCAGAGATCCCGGAACTGATGCCGGAGAGATCGCCCGAATTCGCAAGCTCGCCATGGATGACAATGTCGTCGCGTACGGCAAATAAAGAAGTTAGTTGGATGATGAACCTATTAAACACACATCCTGTTCATGGCAAGAACAACCTGCGAGGTGCATTCACACTCGTAGAAGTGCTCGTGGTTGCGGTGATTGCGTTCATTCTGATTTCGATCAGTGTGCCTGCGTATCAGACGCTAATCAACTCATCTGAGCGATCCCTTGCTGTGAACTCTGTACAAGCAGCCATCCAAGCTGCGCAGGACATAGCGCTGGATGGACGAGAAGGCGAAGACGGCGCCATCGTCTTCCTCGTCGACGAGAACGGCTTGATGACTATGGTTCCTGCAGTCAAGATCGGCGATTACAAAGAGCCATACGCGGAAGCCCCAGGCGCTCTGGGGTTCCAGTCGTTCGATTACGACTATATCGAGATGGAAATCTTCGCCCCGTTAACTACAGGAGAATCCATCCAACTCCCTGAATCATGGTTCGTTCGTGGATACGCGCCAATCGGGAGCATGATTGATCGCTTCGTAGTTCGTGGCGCACCCGCACAGAATAGATTCGCTGCCGTTTGGTACAACTCTTCGATTTACGGCGGAAGTGATATTCAAAGTGATATCAAACAAGAAGGTCATTGGGTCTTCCCAGAAACCAACTTGTTTGCGAAAGACGCTCAGCATGTCGGAGGAAGTGCAACGACTGGCGATCTTGGAGGGATCCAAGGCCAGTTCAGAACACCTCGCCAATCCTTCATGATCCGATTTGATGGAGAGAGCGGCCAACTCAGCAGATCAACAGAACCGGCGTTGTTCATCTCTCCTCGTAAGAGCCGTGAGCGCCCATTTGGAGATCAACCCAACACAACGGATCGATGGAAGCGCGTAGATCTTGCAGACAATATCCAGCGATGGGGGATCCGCATGCTCTCAGCATCGGACACCAACTCCGATGGGACCCATTGGACAATTCAAGATCAATACACCAGAGCCTTGTGGATGGGCAACATCTCCCATGACACTGTACTGGTCAAAGCAGTAACCCGAATCGCGCTCTACAACGAGCAAGACATGGCGCAGGATCTTGGCGCTCGCGGGCTCAATCGAGTCACAGGCACGCTCTATAACGCATACGACCAAACCGATTCCGAATCAGAGATTGTGTTCGATGAACTCCTGTGGGCCGGCGCGTTTCCAGGGGAAGATCTAGTCCGTGATCGCATCAATCGCTGGATCGAAGGCGATACCAACGGTGATGGACAAATCGTCTTCGATACTGAAGATCTCGAACTACTCGATGAACCGCGCTCTCGCTTGTACCTCATTAGTCCCTACTCGGGACAACTCCAGGAGGTCTTCCGATGAGCACATTGCATCGTCAACAAAATGATCGAGCATTCACGCTCATTGAGGTCATGATCGCGATTCTGATCCTGGCGCTCGGACTGCTTGGACTCGGCGCTGTGTTTCCTGTCGTGATCACACAGCAACGCAATGCCAACGCTGTCGTCGAAGGCGAGAGCGTCGCGAGCATGGCAGAGTCGATTGTCCGTTCATCCACAGAAGTCATTGATTTCTCGGAGGGGTTTAATCCAATCAGCACGAACAAGTTTGGTTATAACGGCACAACGCCGACTGCTCCAATCACTTACGAATGGGTGGTCGGTCCACTTGATCCGTACGGTACATATCCGAATCCGCCTGGGTTCGAAGGTGGTCTGATGGGATCGGAGACTGGAAACTGGTTTTTCGATCTTGACAACCTCCCGAATATGTCAGATCCAAACGAGTTCAATCTAGTTCTAACAGTCGCTGATCGCCTGTTCCCGCAGCCTTACTCTGGGAAGGACCCAAAGTATGTCTGGGACATCGTCGCCCGTCGTCAGCCGGGAACGAATCGCCCACAGCTCGCCATATTCATCCGCCTGATCGATCAGCGGATCAGGGTCCCATCGGAAGGAACTCTCAGTGATGTGCTCGTCACTGGATACATGGTTGATGATCCTGTACTTCCTGTGGCGCTCGATCGTAGAACTGGTCGTCCAGTAGTCGACACTGGTCGATCTGCGGACTCTGACTTTGTCTACGCTGCACCACAGACTCTGCAAGTACAGGTCGTGAAGGATCATCTTGATTGGCTGATTATCGAGGACGCAGAAGATCCTTTCATTAATACATCCGTTGCATTTGCATCTGAGCCGGGACAAAAGTTGGTTGACAACACCGGAACTGTTCGCACAGTCCTTGGGCCAGCGAAGGGGCCCGATGCGAATATCCCGAATACACGAGTCCTGCGTGTGGATCCACCGTTTTTACCGAGCCAGGCTGTTGGTGACAGCATGAGTTACGCGCCAAATCAGAATGATCCAGAATTACAGAGTTCTGAACTCCGCGAAGCCGCCCGTGCCTCATGGGTTCGGCAGGTCGTATTCACACCACGCACACCTCTCGCTGTCCGTGTGATCACGCTTGAGGAGGTGTCACCATGATTCGCACTGCATCGAATCAACGAGCGTTCACAATCATCGAGATCATGGTCACAGTTGGCATTCTCGTGCTCATCGCGGCGGGTGTTTCCACAATCTTCACTTCAGTCGCGGACACTGTGAATACTGGTCGCCGTGTTGCCGAGCTCAATCGCTACGCTGCACAGCTCGAACGGGTGATGAGGACAGACTTCGAGAACATAACCCGGGACGGCTTTCTGGTAATCACCCATCAGTATGCGCCAGGCGATGATCCGATGAACGGATTCAATGATCGCGATGTCCAACTCAGTCCGGCGGATAGTTCGGATCAGAACAACAACAACGATCCTGGAAGACCGCGTCGAGTGGATGAGATCATGTTCTTTGCACGAGGCGATTTCGAAACTTCTCGCCGCACCATCGCTCCAGGGATGGTCGCACGATCAAGCGAAGCCGCAATCTACTACGGACACGGGCAGAAGCGTCGCCCCGATCTCGAGCGTAGTACTGATCCCACTCTGGGTTCCCAGCAAGCGAACCTCTTCTTCAACCCATTTGTGAACGACAACAACATCCGTTTCAATGTAGCGAGCGGCATGAATCAAGCCGGACTCGGTACACAATCCACTGATGGAGGGTTTAACCCGAATCAATACGCGAGCGATTGGGCGCTGCTTCGTCATGTCACCTTGCTAGTGAAGCCCCAGACCTCTGGTCAGGATCTCCCTGATGAGTTGTTTGGATACACCAGAATCGGACCACAACGAGCATTGCTCGAAGATTCTCCGCGACAAGTAGCTTTGCAGCCCGCCGCTCGTTCGATCTTCAACTCGCTCTCACAGACTGGATTCGATAATCTCCCTGACACGACTGGTGGATTCGTAACTCCCAAATGGTTTGGTGATCGCAACATCCAAGTGGGTGGTCCGATCGCTCTACCAAGCTACACCGATCCGGCGCTGCGTTCATCGGGGATCGTGGATATCGTGACCGACGATCTTTCACGCATCCGCACAATGCTTTATGGGATCGCGGGATCTACTGATATCGCCTTTGATGAACCAACTGACTATTGGGCCCGATCGAATCCGAATCGCATCCGCACACCAATGGATATCTCCTATGACGAGTTTGCTTCCGTCTTCTGGGAAGATCCGGCTTTGTCACCAAGCCCTTCTGATTCGAGCAATGTTGCATTGCCACTTACCGGAGCAAGCTCTCCCCAGTTCACGAATGTGCGTGCTTGGATGATTGATGCACTTCCATCGATCTGGGAGTTCAGCACAATTGATGAGCCCGCGCAACTCTCGCGTGTCCGCTACGAGGATGTGCCAACCCGACTCCTGTTTGATGCAAATGCCTTTGGCAATCCATCGGATGACAACACCAAGCGGCTCCGTACCTATGCAGAAGCGAACCAAGAGATGTTGGGTTCTGCTGTCTTCGTCCCCAAATGTACGGAGTTCATCGTTGAATGGTCCTTTGGATTCATCGATCCTTCAATCACTTCCCCAGCAGATCCGCGTTACAAGCAGATGCGTTGGCACGGTCTTGAGCGCTGGATCGATTCCAACAACGACGGCTTCATCGTTACCACCGGTAATGGAGTCGATGCTGGAGAGGATCAGATCGTCGCGACTTATTACGACAAGCGATCGACTGTTGCAGATGATCCCGCGGCTGAGTTGATTGTTGGTCGTGCTGGCGGTGACACTCCTGACACAGAGATCGCGACCTTTGGTTACCCAGACGAGTTCGGTAATGAATGGCCTTGGCCAAAGTACATCCGGATCACTATGTCGATCGCTGATCCGAACGATCTAAATATCGAAGAAACATTCCAGATGGTCTTCGAAATCCCGGACGCATCGGTGAACTGATCGCGTCCTGATATGAACCGGCAAGGGGCGCTGCGAGCACCGCGCAGCAATGACACGCCGATACACCCCATTGGTGCAGCGCACGCGTACGAAGCGTGCACGGAGTATGCAATGACGAATCAGCCAATCCAGCATATGCAGCGAAGCCATCGCCGAGGATCCGCGATCCTCATCGTAGTTGGGACGCTCGCGCTCATCGCTGTCTTCGCCGCTATCTATATCTCAGTTGGGCAAGGTGACCAACGCGTCGCTCGCTCGATTCAGAACAAGCAGTCTATCGAAGATAACGCTGATCTCTTCGCGGACCATATTCTCGGCATCCTTCGAGATGATCGTCTCGATACGACAGTTCAGTATTCCGACTCAGGAAATATCTTCACCGTTCGTGAAGTCACCGATGCGCCATACACCGATTGGACGATGCGATCAGAGTCCACCGATGAGTACGAGCTGTTCAATCCATCCGGTCGTCATAGCCTTGGTGGACTGACCGCTTCGACCGATTATCGCGTGAGTTCCGATCCCTGGCTCGCTTCCACAACCCCAGCCTACCTGGGTGATCCCGGACAGCCTTCCAACGGCAATGACCTCCGCCCCTTTGCGTCCCTGATGCCGGGAGACGGGACAAGCTACATCGCTGGACGCTACTCATCGAGCTTTCTCGATAACCGTGATTGGTTTCAGATCACCAACATCGCTCCGGATGGACGATTTGTAAACCTGTTCAACCTGCGAGCGGGGACCGCAGAGTCCAACGGATTCGGTGATACCAATGTCGGTGGTTTCGATTCCGAGTCAGGATACGGCACATTCACTCGAACCGATGGAACAGTCGTCCGCCGTATGAGTGAGTACCTCTCACTCTGGAAGCCGGATCGTGATGATGCAAACGCACGCATCCAAACGATGGTTCCCCAAAGCGAGGGGATCTGGATGCCAGGGCGTAACGATTCAGAACCTGGACATGGAATCACAGATGATCTTGAGAATGTTCCAGCAGTCTGGAGCATGTACCAGCGTTTCATGTTCATGCCGATCAACCAGCCGTTCATGACCGTCAATCGAAACGGTCAGATTTCAACTTGGGCCGATCCTGATTACGCACCATATCAGTACGCCGACGCCGATGGCGATGGCATGGCTGACTCGAGATGGTTTGAACTCACCGCCGCACGCGATGCGCAATCGGGAAGTTCAAATGAACGCGACGACATCGAGCGTCTGTACGACGCTGGACGCATGCGACTCTTCGCTGCAGCACGCATCGTTGATCTCTCATCCATGGTCAATGTGAACACCGCGCTTGATCAACTCGCGATGCCAGAACCGGATATGGGTGGTGCGTACGGAGCAACCCCAGCGGATGTCGACCTCCGCCGACTCCTCTCGATGTCTGATGCCGCGAACAACTACTCGCTTGCCGCGCTCGGTGGTTTGTCCCCAAGGTTCTTCCATAGACCAACGATGTCATCCAACACCGTTGGAGGCAACAACACTGACGAAGTCGCTGATGACGACTACTTCAAGTACTTCAGCAGAGCATGGGATGATCCACAGTTTTCCCAGCGCAAGAGCATCCAGCCGTACACCAACGCGCTGAGCATTGGTAGATTCGCGTACGATGCGATCAAACGCGGAGTCGAGTTTGGTGAAACTCTCGACAATCGCTACTACGCATGGCCCCCAGAGTTCGCTGAGTTCAACGGCGATGCCCCAATGACGCCGAACGCTGGTGACTTCGACGATGATTTCAATGCTGACAGCTCTGACTCATATGACATAGCTGACAGCAACTTTATGAAATACCGACTCAATCAGTTCCATGAGGATCCGATTAGTCAAGCGGGAGCTCCGATGACCGTTCGTGAGCGTTCAGATTGGTACAGAGGCATCGCACGCTTCGACCCATTCGGACGCTCGCTCGGGACGGCGACTCCCCCTTCATACGGTGTGACCCCATCACTCTATAACGAAGATGATCTCGCCGAACTCCTCGCATTCCACGGGCTCAACGATCCTTCCACTGTGACCCGTCTGGAAAAAGCCGCGATGGGACGCATGCCTTCCATCGCTGACCAAAACCAGCGTGCGCTGAGTCCGCTGCTTTCCAATCGCCCGCTCGATCTGGATCGCTATCGCCACGGCATCACCGAAGGTGGGCTCACAGGATTCGACGGATACACCGTCGCGCATCCAGAAACAGATCGTTACATCGCCGGACGAGTTGCAAAGGAATCCATGGCGTTCTTCGCGACCACTCCTCGTAAACTGCTCACCACAGTCTCTGGAGCGACACATCTGCTCCCAGGAACACCTGTGAGCACAACGAATTCATCGCTCGTCGATGCCGAGGTCGCGCCCGCTCTCAGCGATATGCTGTCGAGCCCAACACTGCTATTCGGTGCCTATTCCAACGCACTCGCTGGAGAGCTCAATCCGAACAAGCTCAGTCCCTTGAGCATTGACGATGTCTTTGTCTCTGATCCAACCCTAGCACGAAACGAGTCCACCGCGACACTCTTCTATGGACATCGCGGTCCCGAACTCGCGCTCCGTATCGCTGCTCATGCCGCAGTGAACATGGCAGACCTCTACGACAACGATCAAGAGCCAACCGCGGCAACACTATTGGTAGACAACTCACTTCGTAATGATCTCATTACGAACTACTCCGGTGAGAATGCTGATGTCACCGAGTACGCTCACTACGCCGGTCGTGCTTCAGGGAATATGTTCGACTTAGGGGAAGCCAACCTGCCTACAAATGCATTCAACGGGATGCAGGACCATCGTGAAGCAGTCAATGTCTTCGGCATTGAACCGATGCCATTCCTCACCGAAGTTGCATCGATGTATGTTTACACCGATGAGCCGAGTCCGCCAGTTGCAGCAGGAGATCCAGGAGATGATTTCGGGATCCAATACCCTAGAAACATCGGTGGATTCTTCACAGTCCCAGTGGTCAACAGGGAGATCACAATCGACGGCTTGGTTGCAGAGAACAACGGCGACTTCATGATGCAAGTCCTCGCGTTCCAGCTCACCAACCCCTGGCACGAATCCATCACCATTGGTGGTAACGGACAGATGGGCTATGTCGAGCAGAACGGCAATGTCTCCAACTCCCAACTCGAGTTCGACTACTACATCGAGTACGGTGGACGATTCTTCAAACTCGGAGAGTTCATCGAGTACAACCCCGCAGATGATCGGTATAACTACGATGGATTGCCAAATGCTCCTTCATTGGATGCCCCGATTACGGAAATGCACCCTGAGTTCCAATACCAGGGAACAACGATCCCAGCCGGCGAATCACGCGTCTTCTACGCGATCGCGCATGGTCGATTTGATCTTGAAGTTGACTTTTCGAACACACTAGATGCGAAGTGGCTTGCTCAGGTCGGATCATTCACGGACGACGGCGAGCCTTGGACAGGACCTGCAGAAGAATGGGTCAACAGGCAGTTTGAATCTGAGACGGGTAATCGTCCGATCCACATCCACCAGTTCGATCCTCGGACAGGCCAGCTCGTCGAGCAAGGCGAGTTCCATGACCTCCTCAGCGAGTCCTCTCCGATCGCAAATCCAGTCTTTACAGACGCAGAACGGGAACACGACTACTCTCAAGTCCGACTCTGGAGAAAGATCCGAGGCACACTCGAAGAGCAAGTAAGCGGTGGTGGACCAGTTACTCTTGGTGCAATCGAAGAGAACTTGGTCCAGAACGACATGCTCGTCGATCGCCTGGATATGGAAGGCACTCAGCGTCTGGATCGACCGCTCGCAGCCGGTGTCGACAATGAAGTCGAGGGGAGTGTTTCCTACAACCCTGATCTGTTTACACAAGCTGACTCTGCAGCGACAGGTGTACGCAATGACAACTTTGGAATGTCCATCGTCCGCTGGGCATCATACCGCAGGGGTGACAACAACGACGCGTCTCCCCAAACCCTCGATCACGATCAAGGTCAGATCGGCGCATGGATGCTCGCATCAAGAAGTGATCCAAATTTCAATACCGTCTTCTCCACAGATCCGTACGCTGACGGCGGGATTCTGGAAATCTCCGACTTCCGTTCTGGCACTGTCGCGGAGCTCGAAAACCCTGCGAACAACGCGTCAATCCTTCCAGATTACGAAGTCCACGAGACCTTTGCGGAGTTGTTTAACCTCAATGCTTCACAAGCGGTGGTACAATCCATTCGCCGTGATCCAGAAAACAAACACGAGTTGAGCATGCTCGATTCCACGATGCAAGTGGATGGGATCGATATGACAATGCGATTCCCCGCGGAACACCTTGGTGCAAATGCCAACGGCGATATCCTCCACGGCGATATGAGCGAGCTCATCCCTGAGTTACTCCCCAATGCGCAGGGATTCAATGAATCACCACGCCTCGCAGATTTGCTGCTCGCGTGGGGGATCGGTCCAACCTATACACCCGATCCGGATCGAGCACCGGGAGAAGTTTCCTTTGATAATACAGATGCTCGCCGATGGATCACCGTTCCAGAAGCGCTCGCATTCGGACTTGGATACGAAACATTCTCGTCAGGTGAGTACCAATCTGGTGAAGCGCTCGCAGAGAACATCTGGATCGATTCCATCAGCACAGACGACGAGCTGCTTGACAACGGCCATCTCTCACTCGACAACTTCGTGTCGTACTACAACTTCGCGACCTCCGAGGATCCGCCAGAGTTCAATACCGGCGTCGATATACGGCGCGGATCAGGGATCCCGATGGCGCTGGGAGTGCTGGATCAAGCTCGCCCGATCAGTCCGATCTACACCGATGATCCCGCGACTGTTCCTACCTTCGGCTTGATCAATATCAACACCGCTCCAGTCGAAGTCCTCCGCCTGCTCCCAGGACTGAGCCCATCGCTCGATAAGTACTATCCAAATATCGCTGCTCCAGGAACCGAAAGTGAATGGTGGGCGAGACAGAACTCCGCGCTGGATCTTCCGGATTTAACTGAGCCCACAAATGTAGAAAATCCTGGTGAAATTCCATCTATCACAACACCTGATGTTGCGGCGACTTTAGTTGGGTACCGTGATCGCCTACATGTGCACGCTCGATCTGCATCTGCAAATGTCAGTCCTCCATGGGAACAAAATCCACTCCGATACTCAACTGCAGAGCTTCAATCAGTAGCTCAAAACATGCTCTCTGAAATTCCTGGGGATGAGAGGATGCCGCCTGCAATGCAGGATCACCGCGATCGAGCAACCATTTCAGGAATCAATGGGCTTCGTCCATCACCAGGATTCAGTTCCATGGGGGAGATCCTCATGGCAACGATCGATGAAGATCGATTCGGAGAGGGTGGAACTTGGCATCTCAGGACTCTCTTTACACAACTCGATATCCAACAATTCGGATACGATCAAAAGAACCTCGATGGCATCTCGGATACTGATATCGCTCTGGACCCTCAGGTCTTCGCAGGCGACACCAATGGCGCGACCACCGACGACTACGCTGAGCGTCTGGCGCTTGCCAACAGCATCCTGAACACGATCTCCGTCCGCTCGGATTACTACGCCGTCTGGTTCGTAGTCCACGCCTACGAAGAGTCCGATGTGACCAACCTCCAGCCGGAGGATCCACTGGTGCCATCCATCGCCAAACGCTATGTGATGGTGGTTGATCGGACCAATGTCAAGGACGCGGGAGATACCCCCAAGGTGGTCTTCCTGAAAGAAGTCCCAATGTAATCATTTTGGTCCCCAAAGTTGACTGGCAGCACGCCCGATACAGGTCTACACTACAGACCCCCAGGGAGTAGCTCAGCTTGGTAGAGCGTCTGGTTTGGGACCAGAAGGTCGCAGGTTCAAATCCTGTCTCCCTGATTGAATCCCAAAGCCGCGGAATCCACATCCGCGGCTTTCTCATTTTTCACATTCTTTTCTCACAATCGAGTCAGCGATTCACTCCACATGCGGTGTGCAAATAACCACCAAACCGGATAAGGTGCATCCATGTCCAGCGCGTCCGTTCCAGACCCCGATTCTGTGCCTGCACTCTCTGTGCCGACGCGCCATCGACCCAATCCACTCACGCAATCCAAACCCGCCGTGATCGGATTTGTCTTTCTCGCCGCAATGTTCATCGCATGCCTGGGATCTCTCCCATGGACACTCTCTCCCAGCAACCCGCAAGTTTCCGAAGTCCCACGCTACGACTCAGGTGACCCCAAATCCGGACGGCTCCCCCCTGTCTGGTGGCCTTACGACGACACGGACACCAAGCGCGCCATCGCCGCTGTTGATCAAAGCACACTAGCTCAGATCACCTCAGAGCACAATACGGATATCGATCTGATCATTGACGATACTGATTCCCAGGCGCATCAGCAAGCAATGGACGCTGCTCCGTCATTCATCCTCGGCTCAGACAATCTCGGACGCTCCCTCGCGATACGACTGCTCACAGGAGGCGGAATATCACTCGCGATCGGGATCTGTGCCGCATTGATCTCTGTTGGGATCGGCACGATTTATGGCGCGATCGCAGCATACACGGGTGGCAAAGTCGACTCCATTATGATGCGCATCGTCGATGTCCTCTACGGACTTCCGTACATCCTCCTCGTCGTCCTCCTCGCCGTCGCGTCCAACGCGCTGCTGGATGAATACCAATCCAGAGCACGCACCAAAACCAACTGGGCAATCAACCAGATCATGGAGACGCAAACAACTGAAGCCGAGAAGAGCCCGACAAGATCTGAAGCTCGAGTGATCTTTGAAACCGATACAGTCCTCCAAGATGACCTGATGGTTCAAGCAGCTCAGATCTATCCCCGCCGGGTATTCTCAACAGGGACCCGCACGACCCTCGATGTCCTCACACTCCTCATCGCGATTGGAGGCGTCTCATGGCTCACCATGGCGCGTGTCATTCGAGGTCAGGTCCTGTCTCTCAAGAACCAGCCATTCATCGAAGCCGCGAGAGCTCTTGGTTCACCTGGACACCGAGTATTTTTCAAACACCTGCTCCCAAATCTCATAGGTCCGATCGTCGTCTATGCGACCCTCGCAGTTCCCCAAGCGATCCTCCAAGAGAGCTTCCTGAGCTTCCTCGGCATCGGGGTCAAGCCGCCACTCCCGAGTTGGGGAAACCTTGCCGCGGAAGGCTTGAGTGAACTCAATACCTTCCGGAGCCACTGGTGGCTCCTGTTCTTCCCCTGCGCGTTGCTCGGATTGACACTCCTTGCGATGAACTTCGTTGGTGAGGGTCTCAGGACCGCCTTCGACCCCAAACGCGACCGCTAACACAACGCCAAATCACCCGCTAGAATGATCCCAAGGCACAAAAAGCCACAGATTCGTAAAACTCCCCGGAACCAACCCAATGCAAAACAAGTTCGGATTCAAAGACTTCATCCTCATTGTCCTGGTCTCGCTCGCACTCGTGATGACCTACCTCTCGATGAAGCAAGACGATCGCCGCTGGGAGCAAAACGAAGCCGTCAACAAGAAAGTGGGGGACATCGAGCAGCTCGTCACTCGACTCGAAGCAAAGCTCGATTCCGGAATCGTGGTTGCCAACAACGGATCCTCCTCCAGCACCAACGGATCCAGCACCATCCAACGCGACGAATCATGGAGCAAGCAGCCCGGACTCGAGATCACCTGGTTCAACACCCCAGGCTTTGAGGTCGATCCACGCAACGAAGATGACTACCGACTCGGTGGGTTCTTCAAAGAAACCTTCAACGCTCAGCCCAACAAGATCACCCCGATCCTTGCTGAGGATGTTTATGCCCGCCGCGTCAATGACCAGGTCTGCGAGCGCCTCGCTGAGTACAACCCAACCACCCTCGAACTCGACGGCTACCTCGCCGAAGCATGGCAATACGACCCCAACGGCTACTGGGTCCGCGTCAAGCTCCGTGACAACGCCCGCTTCTCAGACGGGCAACCAGTCACCGCAGAAGACGTCCGCTGGACCTTCCACGAGTACATCAACAACCCAGAACTCGAAACAGAGTCCATCCGCTCGATCATGACCAATCTCGATCGCATCGATGTCGTCTCCGACAAGATCGTGGATATCTTCTTCAAAGAACCCGACGCGTACAACCTGCAGATGGCGATGGGCTTCTACATCCTCCCCAAGCACTTCTACGAGCAGTTCACCACCACCCAAATCAATCAATCCACAGCTCTTCTCATGGGGTCAGGTCCATTCAAAATGCAGAACCTTGATCCAGAAGATCAATGGACTCCAGGGACAGATATCGTTCTTGTCCGCAACGAGCAGTATTGGGGCTCCAAACCCGCACTCGCTGGACTCCGATACGATGTGATCCAGGAAGACGTCGCGTCCCTCACCGCGTTCGTCAACGGCGAGACCCACATGATCATCCCGTCATCGCCGCAGTACGTCGAGAAGATCTCCCAGCCCGGCTGGGACGAGAAGGCCTACTCCCTCAAGTGGCTCAACATGCGTTCCGGTTACCTCTTCATCGGTTGGCAGTGCGGCGAGCGCAACGGCAAGCTCACTCCATTCCATGACAAACGAGTCCGTCAAGCAATGACCCTCAATCTCGATCGCGAGCTCATGATCCGTGATATCTGGGCCGGTCTCGACAACATCGCCGTGGGACCAAACAACCCACCATCCCCAGCCGCCAATCCAGAGATCGAGCCCTGGCCGTACGACCCAGAGCGTGCGAAGGAACTCCTCGCAGAAGCGGGATGGGTCGACCGCGACAACGACGGCATCCTCGAAGACGAGAACGGTGTCGAGTTCGAGTTCGAGTTCACCCACTCCGTCGGTGGTCAAACCATCGAACGCATGATGAAGTACATCGGAGACCGCTGCGCCGCGATCGGCATCCGCTGTAAGACCAAACCAGTAGACTGGTCGCTCTTCGACCAGATCATGAAGACCAGAAACTTCGACGCCATCACCCTCGGCTGGTCCGCATCCGCTCCAGAATCCGACCCGCGTCAGATCTGGCACACCGACTCCATCCAGAACCAAGGTCACAACTTCATCCAGTGGGACGGCGGTCAAGACCAGTACCTCGACGCAATCGTCAAAGAACTCGACTTCGACAAGCGTATGAAGATCTTCCACCAGTTCCACGCCCTCGTTCACGAAGAGCAGCCGTACACATTCATCCGTTCCGTTCCCTGGAAGCGATTCATCTCGAAGGACTTTGCCAATGTCCATACCTACCCCAAGGGTCTGGAACAAAAAGAGTACTACATGCCCGCAAACTGATCTGCTGTGTTGATCTGATCGCTCAAAGGAAAGAAAGCGGGACCAATGGCCACATATATCCTCAGACGACTTCTCCTAATGATTCCGACGCTGATCGGGATCACATTTCTCGTCTTCATGATCATCGCGCTCGCGCCAGGCGGAATCGGCGCGGCGCTGCGACAGTCCGGCGGACAGATGGAAGCCAACTCCGCCGCGATCCGCGAAGCATATCTCGAAGACCGCTACGGCCTCGACGACCCCGCACCGGTCCAGTACCTCCGCTGGCTCGGACGCGTCTCCCCACTCAAGTTCGGGACCCGAGACCAGATCGATCCGACTGGCGAGTTCATCCGCTCACCAAAGCTCCCCAAAGAACCACCACTTTGGGAGTGGTTCGCTGAGGAACTCCCCGAGTATCCCGAGGTCGAGCAGTACACCTTCACCCCTGAAGATAACAACGAAGAACGCAAGGCCCGCTTGTACCGCCGCCAAGGCACCGCGTACGCACAAGCCCGAGCCGGAGCGATCGGCGCCAAAGCCAACCTCGATTCGCTCCTCGGATTCGTCGCAGGAGAAGCCGAACTCCGCAAGTTCCGCGACGGTAAAGGCAAGATCAAGTACGAAGTCATCGAAGCAAATAAATCGGTCTTTGAGAGCTCTGAATCTTGGGATGAAATTCAAGTTGCCGGCGATCAGCTCATCGAGAACTACAAGATCGCACAGCAAGAGTGGGCAAACCTCAAAGCGATTTTCGACGCCAAACCATTCCGCGAAGCCGGGATCGGACTGGTCGGATCAGTCTCTCTGTCTTCTCCTGACTTTGGACGCTCCTTCACCAAGTCGCGTCCTGTGGTTGATCTGATCTGGGAAGCTCTGCCAATCACGATCATGCTCAACCTGATCGCCGTCCCGATTATCTACTTCATCGCGATCCCCTGCGGCATGCTCGCCGCAGTTAAGTCCGGATCACTCTTTGACCGCCTCTCAGGCGCATTCTTCATCGGACTCTGGTCGTTCCCGATCCCACTCGCAGGCGTGCTCGCGATCGGATACCTCGCATCCAACGACTATCTTGGGTGGTTCCCCGTCGCTGGATTGCACGACGCGAACGCTGATACTTTTACATACTTGCCTACAAAGGGCCCCAACGGCTGGGAACCCGGATACCTCGTCGACCTGCTCTGGCACGTCTGTCTCCCTGTACTCTGTCTGGTCTATGGGGGATTCGCAGTTCTCTCAAAGCAGACCCGTGCCGCGATGCTCGACAACTTCAATATGGACTACGTCCGCACCGCCAAAGCAAAGGGCGTTGCGAACCACAACATCATCTTCGCCCACGTCTTCCGTAACTCACTGCTACCGCTGATCACCATGTTCGTCTCGATCTTCCCAGCGATGCTCGCGGGATCGGTCGTCATCGAGCAGATCTTCACTGTCCCAGGGATGGGCCGACTCACGCTCGAATCAATCAATCTGCGTGACCGCGAGCTCCTGCTCGCCAACACCATGATGATCTCCGCAGTCAACCTTCTGGCGCTCCTGCTCGCCGACATCCTGTATGCATTCGCCGATCCGAGGATTAGTTTCAAATGAGTAAGAACGCCGACCAACTCCAAGCCGAGAAGCTCGAAGCCGTCACCGGCGTCCAGCTCGCTCAAGGCATCGGACACCAAGAAGCCCAAGGCTTCTGGGCCGAAGCATGGGGCCAGGTGCTCAAGCGTCCCGCCGCAGTCGCCGGGATCGTCTGGGTCGCGATCGTCGCGTTCTTCGCGATCTACTCGCCACTCATCGCCTCTGGTCACCCCCTGATTGCGTGGCAGATGAATGCTGACGGCACAACAGGCGATATGTCCTCGCCGCTCATCCAGTCCCTCAAATCTTCAGACGTCGTCCTCCTCTTCTGGGGAGTCATGGCCCCAGTGATCCTCTTCTTCCCAGGGATCACCCTCAACAAAGCTGCACGTCTCCGCCTCATCATCGCCGCCGGAGCGCAGTCGGGGATCATGGTCGTCCTCGCACGCATGGTCGAGTCATACTTCACCGCTCGTGACGCCACCGAAGCGGTCCGCGACATCGGACAATCATCGTGGTTCCTCCCGGTCGCTGTCGCGATCATTGCAGCGGTCAGCGCGATCCCGTTCCTGCTCATCTCCATCTTCGCGTACTCAAGTTGGGCGCGTTCTTTCTTCGTCCTCACTGGCGCGATCGCGATGTCCGTCATCGTCGCGTGGAAATGGTCACCGGAACTCAACCGCTACGACTACCGCGCGATGGAATCCGCCGGAGAGATCCGCACGATCTACACCCTCGTCCCGTTCTCCCCGGATCAGTCCGAGACCGCGATGTTCAACCGCGCGCCGGGATCCACCCCGATGCACGCGATGTGGGACCGCCTCGAGCTTGCCCAGCGCGTCGCTCAGGAGCGTTCCGCCGCGTACAGCGATGAAGAACTCGCGGATCTCGAAGTCGAGCCCTTCCAGTACGATCGACTCCGCTCCATCGCTGGATCGATCGACTCGCTCACCTCCGATCCGATCAACGAGTTCATCGACGAGCTCGAGCAGCAAGCTCCGGAGGATATGCTCCAGCTCCGCGACGCGATCATCGCCCACCCCGCGCCGAGCCACCCCATCGGGACCGACACACTCGGACAGAGCGTGCTCTCCCAGATGTTCCACGCGTGCCGACTCGCGATCTCTATCGGATTCGTCTCCACCGGCATCGCCGTCGTCATCGGAGTCACCATCGGATCACTCATGGGATACTTCGGTGGTTGGGTCGACCTGCTCCTCTACCGACTCGTCGAAATGTTCATGGCGATCCCCGTCCTCTTCCTCCTCATCGTCGCCGCGGGTGTTCTCCCTCGCAATACCTACGTCATGATGGCGATCATCGGATGCTTCACCTGGACCGGCGCCGCTCGATTCATCCGCGCCGAGTTCATGAAACTCCGCGAGACCGACTACATCCAAGCCGCCAAAGCAATGGGGCTCCCCCTCTGGTCCATCCTCTTCAAGCACATGCTCCCCAACGGCGTGACCCCCGTCCTCGTCGAGTCCTCATTCTTGATCGCCGCCGCGATCCTGATCGAAGCGATCCTCAGCTTCCTCGGACTCGGACCATCCGGACAAGCGAGCTGGGGATCACTGCTCCGCAACGCATCGGGTGACACCGGCGCCTTCGTGTGGTGGCTCGCGATCTTCCCCGGAGCCGCGATATTCCTCACGACCCTCGCGTACAACCTCATCGGCGAAGCCCTCCGCGACGCCATCGACCCCAAACTCAAGAAAGCCCGCGTCTAAGACGCCGTGTTCATTCGACAGGATTCAGTATGACCCGAGCAGCAACGCAACCCAACATGAACACCAAGTCCTTGACCAATACGCCCATCATGGAAGTCCGCAACCTTGCGGTCTCCTTCGACAACGGCTCAGGACCACGCATCCAAGCCGTCGACGGCGTCAACATGACCGTCTACCCACGCCAAACCCTCGCGGTGGTAGGGGAGTCGGGGTGTGGCAAGTCCGTGACCTCGATGAGCTCCATGCAACTCGTCCCGCGCCCTCCAGGACGCTTCGACCGCGGCGAGATCATCTACCGCATGGAGAACGGCGAGAAGGTAAACCTCCTCACCCTCACCGAGCAACAGATGCGATCCGTGCGAGGCAACGAGATCGCGATGATCTTCCAAGAACCGATGACCTCGCTCAATCCCGTCTACACCGTCGGCGATCAGATCATCGAAGCGATCACGCTCCACCAAGACGTCACCGCGAAAGAAGCATGGAAGATCGCCGTCAAAGCGATGGACGACGTCGGGATCCCCGATCCCGAAGGACGCATGAAAGCGTACCCACACCAGTTCTCAGGTGGTATGCGCCAGCGCGTCATGATCGCGATGGCCCTCGCGTGCCAGCCGCGTCTGCTCCTCGCCGACGAGCCAACCACCGCGCTCGATGTAACCATCCAGGCGCAGATCCTCGAACTGATCCAAGAACTCAAAGAAACCCGCGACATGGCGGTCATCTTGATCACCCACGACCTCGGCGTGGTCGCGGAAAACTCCGATGTTGTCTGCGTCATGTACGCCGGACGCGTGGTCGAGTACGCGAATGTTTATGACCTCTTCGACGACCCACGACACCCTTACACCCGTGGACTCCTTGCATCGATTCCCAAGATCGGAACTGAACACGATCGGCTCGTAACGATCGATGAAATCGTCAACAACCCTGAAGAGTTCAAGAAGCTTCCAGGTGCCGACAAAGGGGTCACGCCATGGTGGCCGTGGAACGAACCGCCCGCGGATCTCAAGAAACTCAATGAACCGGCAGGGGATTACTGCCTCAAGCAAATCGCCGACAACCACTGGGTCGGTGTCTGGCGCACTGAAGCCGTCGCCAACGATGTTTCGCCACCACCGCAACTCAACTACAGAGTTGCAGACCACAAAGAATAACAACGCTCGAGGATATCAATGCGAGCCTTGCTCATCGTCGACAGACTCTTTGCCCAACACGAACGCGCGATGCTACAGCGCACAGCGATCGGGCTCCTCGACGAAGGGATCGAAACCACGATGGTCGTCCCAGACCTCGGGACATTTGAAACCACAGGCGTCGGCGCATTAATCCCGCAAGTGAAGTACAAAGACCGTGGTCTCTCATTCACACTCAAAATCAGAGCCGCCAGCATCATCCGTGATCTCTCCGACGACCGCACCGATACCCAATGGGACATCGTCCACGGCTTCGGTGGCAACTGCTGGGCGCTCGCCAATGAGCTCGCCAAATCACTAGATGCCGCAATGGTTCTCGAGCTCTGGAGAGCCGGGCTCATCCCTCGCGCAACACAACTCTACAAACAAGCTTCTGTAGAGTGCATGTTTACCGCGCCAGACAAGTCCATCGAGCGTGCTGTGCATCAGATAAATCCAAGGCTCCCAGTGCAGGTCGCTCCTTGGGGATCACCAGCACCGACAACTCCAAGAGAGATCCTCCAGCGAGATCGAGGTATTTCAATCGTCATGCAGTCCTCAGGACGCAACCGCGAAGAGTGTGCCGCTGCGTTCGAAGGAGTACTCGATGCAATACGAAATCAAGACAACATCCATTTCTTTGTCAATCTCCATGCCGCCCAGCGATCCGGACTCTGGTCCAAAGCAAAGAAAGCCGGCGCTTTGGGTCAACTCACCCTCGTCGATCAGATCGAAGAGCAGCGTGATCTGGTGCTCAATGCTGATTATCTAATCTACCCCGACACGGTTCATGAACACCGCTCCCTCCTTTTCGAAGCAATGGGCAGCGCCATGTGCGTGCTTGCTTCCACCGCTGAGCAAAGTTCTTGCTTGATTAACGACAAGACCGCTCAGATAGTCAAGCAGCCCTCAAGAGCAGGATGGTCCGAATCCCTGCGTAGTCTCCTCTCAGATCAAGAGCGATCAAGAGAACTCGGACACAACGCGTGGAAGCACATCCGCGAGCAACGCAAAGTGTCCACTCACATCGGCGCCTTGATCGACATTTACTCTCAACTGATCCCGCTTGAGACCGGCACACGCGCCGTCCGGTAACTCCATATTTTGAACATCTCCATTAGCATCCGCGTCCGTTAACCAAGCGTGCTGTTCAGATTGTGCGGATTGCTCCAGGGATCCGCTTTGATCCGTCTATTCCTGTGATAGATTGAATACGGCAGTCCTGTACTCCCCCGCGCCGTCACCTCGGCTCATTGACTGCCCAGCGCGACCATCGGAGCAATAGACATGAAAAAAGCAGCCCTGACATCCGCCCTCGTTTCGCTTATCGCATTCACCGGAGCCGTACAAGCGCAGGTCTCCGCGTCAATTGAATCTCCAGAAATCATCGAGATCAATCCAGCTGCGTTCCCTTCGACCCACACGCGTGGTGTGCAGGTCCGCTACAACAACGAGCGTGCTCAGCTCGCCGCGACCCAAGATCAAGACGGCACCATTACCTGGTCCGGATCACAGCGGGAAGCAATGGGTGGAGAAGATGCTCCTGCACGGATCCTCGTTCGTGTGTACGACGGCGTCTTCTCCATCGACCCATTCGTCCCCCTGAGCTACGGCAATGAAGATGTCGCCAACATGCTCTTCAACGGCACAACGCTCGAAACCAACCGAGCACTCTTCAACCGCCAGCGTATCGAGCGCGTCGAGCAGCTCATGAAATCCCTCGAAGTCGCTCGTCATAACTGGCTTCGTGACAACGGCTATTACGGCGTCCGGCAGTTCACAAGTTCCAAGTCCACAAGCGAAGAGCACGCGGACGCGTCGCTCCCAGAACCAGCCGCCAAGTTCCGTATCCCAGCGGATGTCCCACGCGGAAAATCCCGCGAGCAGGTCAACGCCGATGACGCGACCACCCGCTCAATCGCACGCAATCTGCTCGAAGGAGACGAGCCAGTACGGATCTCACTCCCATTCGGGACCGCTCCAGATGTCGTCGCACGCGTGGAAGCCCGAAACGCTGCAGCGGACGAGCAGGAGTCCCAGGAACTCGCATCCAACGACTGATTCAATCGGATCGACTAGACTACCAGCGTGACTGGTAGACTCCCTTTCGATCCCAGCAAAATGTCCCGGAAAGACCGGACCCCGAGCGACTCCCGCCCTCGGGGTCTTTCCAATTCTGCTGATAAGCCGTACACCGTCTCTCAACTCTCCGCAAAGATCGAATCCGCGATCAAGGACAGCTTTCCGACCAAAGTCAGAGTCATCGCAGAAATCAGTTCCGTCACCAATCGCACGCACTACTACTTCACTCTGAAGGATGAGAAAGCGACCATCTCAGCAGTGCTCTTCGCATCTGCAGCACGCAAGCAATCCTCCCCTCCAGAGCACGGCCAGAAGGTCATCGCAACCGGAAAGCTCGAGTACTACGCACCATCAGGACGACTCAGTCTCATCGTCGACAAACTCGAGCCCGTTGGAGTGGGGGACCTTGAGCAGAGATACAAAGCACTCTGCAACGATCTCCGAGCACGGGGGTGGTTCGATCCACTCTCTAAGCAGCCACTCCCGATCTTCCCAAGATCCATCGCGATCATCACCAGCGCCACAGGTGCGGCTCTTCAGGATGTCCTTGATACCGCCGCGAAGCGATGCCCCGCCGTCAACATGCTCATCGTCGATGCACGAGTGCAAGGCGAGCAAGCGAAGGGGCAGATCGCAAACGCCATTACCAAGCTCTCAGAACAGCACACCAAACTCGGAATCGACGCGATCATCCTCACCAGGGGTGGGGGCAGTCTCGAAGATCTATGGGCATTCAACGAACCCATCGTTGCCAAGGCTATCCACAATTGCGCTATCCCGATCGTCGCCGCGATCGGACACGAGACCGATACCACAATCGCTGAGTTGGTCGCTGACGAGCGTGCCGCAACCCCGACCCAAGCCGCGATGAAGCTGGTGCCGGATCGTACCGCACTGTCCGAACAACTCCACGCATTGACGCGTCGATTGTCCCGAGAAATCAGCACGCAGCTCACGCACGAAGAGTCAAGACTCAACCGTTTGGTCACGAGCGGACCGCTCGCCAATCCACAGCGGCTCATCGACCCGCAAAGCACTAGGCTCGACACACTACGGACTCAGATCCATTCCGCGATCCGTCATATCCAGTCTGCAAAGACCCGTCAAATCGACACCCTCGCGATCCGTCTTGCCAAGCACCAACCCGCCGCGGTTCAAGCCCAGCGTCAAGAGCACATTCATGCGCTCCACCAGCGACTTGCCCGATCAATGCACACACGATTGCGATCGATGTCCGCATCCCTCGATGCCGCTCAGCGAGAACTCAACGCGATCGGTCCGCGCCAGGTATTGAGCCGCGGTTACTCGCTTACCACCACCAAAGCAGGATCTGTCGTCCGCTCAACCAAGGATCTTAAATCTGGTGATTCGCTCACCACGCACCTCAGCGACGGCACGGTCACCTCCGTCGTTGACGGCAAGAATGTCACCAAACGAACCAAGACCAAGAAGGCGCCAGCTCAACCATCGCTCTTCAATCACAAAGAGGGACAGGATTAATCATGCCCAAGAAAGCCAAAGACGAACCGCGTTATGAGGACCTTGTCGAGCAGATCGAAACGCTCGTCGAGAAGATCGAGTCCGGAGAACTCGGTCTCGAGGAGTCCATCAAAGGCTACGAAGAAGGCACCAAGCTCATCAAGCAAGCCCGCGCCATCCTCGATCAAGCAAAGCAGCGCGTCGAATCGCTCAACCTCGAAGAATCCAGCGATTGACCACGCTTTGCCGATGAAAGTAACCCATGCCTGACGCTCTGATCATGATCCTCCCAAAGCTCATCATCCTGAGCTTTATCATGGCTTTCGGGGCCTGCATCGGATCACTCGTCAATGTGCTCGTCTACCGACTCCCGCTCGGCTTGGATGTCATTCGTCCGACCTCTCGTTGTCCCAAATGCAACACCAAACTCACATGGCGTGAGAACATCCCAATCTTCGGCTGGATCCTGCTTGGCGGGAAGTGCCGATTCTGCAAAGCCAAAATCTCACCCGAGTATCCCATCGTCGAGACCATCGTCGCGTTGATGTTCGGATTACTCTACACCCTCTGGTACCTTGTCGAGCCGGGATCGACCTTCCTCGGATTGCCAGTCGGATCCATCGCACCAGATTGGGCAGTCAATGGTCCAGCAATGACCTGGCCTACCCTCGTCACCCTCTTCATCCTCATGGGATCCCTCGTCGCGATGACCATCATCGATGCGCGCACATACACGATCCCGCTTGTTCTCACATGGGTCCCCGCCGTCGTCGCGATCCTCTTTCACACTGGACACGCGCTTTGGTTCCAACTCGCACATGGTCAACTCACTCAAGTCATCCCTGGATACTGGAACTTTACCGAATCCAACAGCCGATGGATGACCGCTGAAGGCGCTCTCTGGTCCATTCCAACAGGAGGACTCGGTGGATGGCGTTTCATCGGGATCATGCTCGGTGCGACCTTCGGCCTCTTCATTTCCAATCTACTTCTCAAATACAGAGTGCTCACCCGCTCCTTCGCCGACTACGACCAATGGCTTGAGAAACACAACAAGTCGCTCGCTGAATCCATGGAAGAGCCGGACACGGAGCCCGACCACTCCGCTGCTCAAGAATGGATCATGTATCCTTATGCCCGCCGCGAGATGATCCGCGAACTCGCATTCCTCGCCCCTGTCGCGCTGTTTGGCTTCTTCGGAGGTTGGCTCAGTGTAACCTTGGTAAACCGTATCGCTGGAGAATGGATCTACAACCCCTCAACGGGCGAGATGCTCCCTCCAACTCAAGCACCACTCTGGTTAGTGGTCCTCGCCGGGACGCTCGCCGGATATCTCATCGGTGGGGGAGTCGTCTGGGCCGTCCGCATCCTTGGATCGCTCCTCTTCAACAAAGAAGCGATGGGACTCGGAGATGTCCACATGATGGCCGCCGTCGGCGCCTGCATGGGATGGATCGACTCAACGATCGCGTTCTTCCTCGCCGCCTTCGTCGCACTGGGAATCGCGGCACTCGGAGCGATTGGGAAAGGAAAGCTCTCTCGTGCCATGCCATACGGCCCGTCACTCGCGATCGCGACGATACTGGTACTCTTCGCCAAACCCCTGATTGAATGGGGTTTAGGAAAGATCTTTGGTATGGAAGGCCCGTTGAATCTTCCCTGAGAGAATCCATGCAAAATTAAGCAGAAACGGATAGAGTATCCACAAGAACCACATACAAGGACAACCCAAACCACGGAGCCAAATCATGATCCGATCGATCAATAAAAAACTCGGACTTTCCCTGCTCTCAGCAGTCATGCTGACCGCTTTCACAGGCTGTAAAACAGTGTCACAGCGGGACTACGACGCAGCGATCGAAGAGAACACCACCCTTCGCGAACGCATCGCTGCACTCCAATCCTCGGCTGAGCAAGCAGGCAATGCAAACCAATCTTACATCGATCAGAACAACCAACTCCGCAGCGAGAACCAACGTCTCGCGGACCAACTCGCCGCTGCTCAAGCGAATCCAGCGACTGGATTCGAGAACATCGACGGCGTCGATGTCGGACGCCGTTCAGGTGGTGAAATCGTCGTCGGAGTCGAAGCAGATGTCCTGTTCAACTCGGGATCGGCTGATCTCCGCAAGGACGCCAAAGCGACGCTCGATCGCGTTGCCGGCGTACTAAAATCCACCTACGCGAACAATAATGTCCGCATCGAGGGATACACCGATACCGATAAACTCGTGAAAACCAAAGCGAAATGGCACACCAACGAGAATCTCTCCGCGGCACGCGCACTCGCGGTCGAGTACTACCTCGTCGGTAAGGGTGTCGATAACGACATGGTCTACTCAGCCGCCTTTGGACCCTCCAATCCCAAAGCGACCAAGAAAGACTCCCGGCGCGTAGAAATCGTCATTCTCGGCAACTAAATGACGATCGAAAGCAGGAAGAACACCAACTCGCGGGGTACAATCTCCCCGCTCCGGGCTATTGGCGCAGTTGGCTAGCGCACCAGTATGACACACTGGGGGTCACAGGTTCGAGTCCTGTATAGCCCATTCAAATACGGCTTCGCTCCTTGCGGGGCCTTTGTTTTTCGGGACAAATACCGAAGAACGACAACCAGATCACGCCACCTTAGCTCAGTTGATAGAGCAGCTGATTTGTAATCTGCAGGTCCTCGGTTTGAGTCCGAGAGGTGGCTATTCAAGGGCTATGATGCCCGACAATTAAGGGGCGTGTATCCAAGCGGCCAAAGGACGGGGATTGTAAATCCTCTCGCATTCGCGTTCGGTGGTTCGAATCCACCCGCGCCCACTTCCCCTTACCAGACCCTCCGATTATCGGAGGGTCTTTGTTTTTTCTAGGCCATTCCCCCGATTATCGACCTTCACTTCATTCTGCCCCGTTTTTCACCGATCTCGCTTCAAGAAGCCCTACACATGGCGCTTCACCAGGAGATCGTTGATGGCTGCTTTGTCATTCAAATCCAGCAAACCCTTTGCTTCACTCAGTGTGACATCCATCTCCTCCGGAACACTCGCCGTAGTCGCCATCGTCACCATGATTGTTGGTGGATTGACATGGTGGACAGTGAGTCAAGTCCGTGAAAACACGCACAATGAACATCTCGAAGAACTCACCAAATCAATCCAACTCATTGCATCGCAAACAGAGTTGTCGCTCCAAGACAGTGATCTCTCCAGAATCCGAAGGTTGCTCCTAGATGCTCAAGCGACAGGACTCTACCACAGACTCTCAATCGACTACGCGAACAACCAAACGCTGGTATCTACAGATCTTGGCGATACATATCAGACCTCGCTACCAGACTCATGGGGCGCGCCTGCAGTGCCATTTGAATCCAAATCCCGTTTCGATCCTCAACTGGGTCAACTAACCCTCTTTGAACCGCTTCATGTCGGGAAAGACGGATCTGCAGTACTCATCGCTGAGTCCATGCCGATTGCTAATTCACAACTGCTTTGGCGCTTCGAACTCGCTGCAGCGCTCACCGCACTCAGCGGGCTAGTTCTCGCGATGCTCGCTTGGCTGCAACGCCGTCAGCGTCCGGCGCCAGTCAATGCGATCCGCAATGCACTCACACGATACGCCGAAGGTCAAACCTCGACCCCGGATCTGCTCGTCGCATCCAGTCTCGGACAAGAAGCAAGCGCGTTCAATGATCTGCTCCAGGAGCGCGACGAGCTCAGTTCAAAGCTCACTATGCTCGAATGCGAAAGCACAATCGCTACTGTTTCAGCAGACTCCTTCGGTCTATCAAGTGTCTGCTCCTCGCTTACACAGGGGATGGTCGTACTGGATTCAAACCTGAACATCCAGTTCATCAACGGCTCCGCAGCCGCATATCTTGGAGTGGATGTCGCAACCAGCAATGGGAAGTCCATCAGCCAGATTGATCCGAATAACTTGCTTGTACCAACAGCTACTCGCGCACTGAACCCCGACAGCCCGCGTCGTCTCATGGCGGAGATCCAGCTTGAGCAATCAGCAACGACGCTCCGTGCTACATTTGCACGAATCCCAAGAGAAGACGATGTTTTGTGCTTGATCTATATCGAGGATATCACTCAGCAGCGTCACGCCGATGAAGCACTCAATAGTTTCATCGCTCAAGCGACGCATGAGCTCCGTACGCCGCTGACCAACATCCGCCTATACGCGGAGGAAGCAATTGACGCCGGAACAGAAGATGAAGAGTTCCGTTCCAACGCGTTCAACATGATCAACTCAGAATCACGCCGTTTGGAGCGTCTCGTCTCAGACATGCTGTGCGTGTCAGAGCTGGAAGCCGGATCTATGAAGATCCGCAAAGACACTGTGCGTCCTGGAGCGATGTTCGAGGAACTGCAGCGTGATTACGCTCCGCAAGCCGAATCCAAAGGGATCAACCTGATCTTTGATCTTCCGCCGAAGTTCCCGAGCTTGGAAGCAGACCGAGATCGTCTCGGACAAGCCATCCATAACCTCATTGGTAACGCTCTGAAGTACACATCATCAGGCGGGACCGTCACAGTCAAGGTTGAGTTTGATCCTTCCGACGCGATGACCGTTCGTGTGTCAGATACGGGAATCGGGATCTCGCTCGAAGATCAGTCCCGGATTTTCGAGCGATTCTGCCGTGCCCAAGATCAGCGGATTGAATCCATCTCTGGAACAGGTCTGGGACTCTCAATCACCAACGAAATCGTCAAAATGCACTCTGGTCAAATCACAGTCGAATCCGAACTAGACCAAGGGTCAACCTTTATCATGACAGTCCCCTCGGGACGCACTCCGATGAACAACGCCGCGTAAAGGGGGATCCAGCATGATGGCATTTGATCAACAATCCATCGGCGCTGTGACGGTCCTTCGTCCAACTGGTCCGGTCGCAAACGAAGAGGACGCACAGCAGTTCCACGAACTCGCGAGCAACCTCATTCGCAGTTCGCTCGGACGATTTGTGATTGACGCATCCGAACTATCTTATGTCGATTCCACAGGTCTTGAAGCTTTGGTTGACATCGCAGAGGAACTCAACGCGTTTGGGCAAGCTCTCAAGATCTGTGAAGTCGGTGAAACCCTGTCTGAAACGATGCGCGTCACACAAACCACCGACGCGTTCGAACCATACGAGCAGGTGCAAGATGCTGTGAGGAGTTACCGCTGATGCCAAGCGATCCTCAACAACCTACCGCTACCCGCTTAGCAATCGATCCAGATCGGGACCAAGTGATCGAACAGTCAGCGTCACGCCCTCGTCTCGTGGGTGAAGTGTTGATCAGTGAGGGGCATCTCACGGAGGATCAACTCGAGCAAGCGCTCACCGAGCAGCGCACGAGTGGCAAAAAACTAGGTGAGATTCTCATCAACTCTGGTACTGTATCCGAGTCGGTGCTGCTTCACTCGCTCGCACGCTGTCTAGGTGTCAAAGGCGTGAGGCTCCGTCACGGCTTGATCGATCCTCAGCTCATCTCGCTCATCAATCCGGAAGAATGTGAACGACTCAAGGTCCTCCCGATGTTTCGTGTCCGTGGGAAGCTCACTGTCGCTATGGCTGAGCCGCAAGATCTCCCTCTTGTCGACCAGCTCGCTGCGAAGACCGGCTACCAAATCATCCCTGTCCTCGCTTTTGAGAACAACATCCTCGAATATGTCCGCAAATACTCAGCAGGTGATGTGGACATCAATGAGTTCCTCACGACACTCTCGGAGACCGATGTCGAGGTCGTCGAGCGTGAATCAATTGATGAAGATCCAACCACAGACCTCTCGCAGATGGTCGAGGGATCACCCATCGTCAATCTCGTGAATGTCGCGATGCTGACCGCTGTGAAAGACGGTGCTTCGGACATCCATATTGAGCCCGACAAAGGCGGGACACGCATCAGATACCGTATCGATGGATCACTTCGTGAACTCATGCATTCACCTCCAGGTATGCATGCCGCGATCGTCTCCCGTGTCAAGATCATCGGAAAGATGGACATCTCCGAAAAACGTCTTCCCCAAGAGGGTCGCGTCCGAATCGTCGCTGAAGGCCGGGAGATCGATCTCCGTGTGTCTTCGATCCCGACCTTGTTGGGAGAAAAGCTTGTTATCCGCGTGCTGGATAAGGAGAATCTCAATGTTCGAATGGAAGAACTCGGATTCCGTCCCGAACTGCTCGAACGATTCAAGAAGACTCTGAAACTCCCGCACGGCATGCTCCTCGTCACCGGTCCGACAGGATCAGGGAAAACCACAACGCTCTACTCAGCGCTCGATCTACTCCGTTCGCCAGAAACGAACATTGTGACCGTCGAAGATCCAGTTGAATACCAACTCGATATGGTGAACCAGGTCCAAGTCCATGAGGGAATCGGTCTCGACTTCGCTCGAACACTCCGATCGATCCTGCGTCAAGACCCTGATGTCATCATGATTGGTGAGATTCGTGACCAAGAAACCGCACATGTCGCAATCCAAGCGTCCCTCACCGGACACTCCATGCTCGCGACCCTCCACACCAACGATGCGCCAGGGGCGATCTCCCGTATGACAGACATGGGAGTAGAGCCGTATCTCCTCTCCGCGGCACTCAACGGTGTCGTCGCTCAGCGTCTAGCGCGTACAATCTGCCCAGGTTGCTCAACCAGCTACTACCCAAGCGAGCAAGTCCTCGAGGACGCGGGATTGCCTCATATGGCAGGCAGGCCTTTCCGCAAGGGAGCCGGATGTTCGACCTGCCACGATACCGGATGCAAAGGCCGTATGGGTATCTACGAGTTCATGGAAGTGACTCCAGAAATCCGCAGATTGATATACGCGGGAGCACCAAAGCATCAAGTCCGATCGATTCTGACTTCTCAAAATCAACTATCTCTCCGTCAAGAGGGTGTGAAACTCGCGATTGCTCACCATACAAGTCTGGAAGAGATTCTTTCAGTCACCAAGATTGATGATGTCGATGATGAGCCAAACGCTCCACAGCAGAGGAGTGTCGCATGAAGTTCACTTATGAAGCCTACACCAAAGCCGGCGCTCCTAAATCTGGGACCATAGAAGCAGCTGATCAGCGTGAAGCAGAGGAAAAACTGCGGAAGAAAGATCTTCTCATCACTCAGATCAGCTCAGTTGAGAGCGGGAGTACAAAGTCCAAAGCGACAGTTTCAGGATCTAAGAAAAAATCAAAGATTCCTGTAAAAGTCGTGTCCGAGTTCGCACGCGAACTCTCCATCCTCGTTTCAACAGGGACCCCTCTCGTTGACGCGATCGAATCGCTCGAAGAGCAGTCCAGTTCCGATATTTGGAAAACAATCCTAGTCAATCTCCGAGCACGGCTCGAAGAAGGGGATTCCTTATCCGCCGCGATGCAGGCGCAGCATGAAGTCTTCGGTCCTGTATTCTGCTCACTCGCAGCAGCGGGGGAGACAGGGGGCAATCTTGATGTCATGCTCAACAGGGTCAGCAAGCTCCTGCGACAGGAAGCCAAAATCCGTGCCAATATCGCCGGCGCCATGATGTACCCGCTGCTCCTCACAGGCTTGTCGGTCGTCGTGCTTGGAGTCATGCTCTGTGTTGTGCTCCCAAGATTCGCGGGACTGTTCGAGTCCATCGATTCACCACTCCCGGCGACCACCAAGTTCCTGATGTTCTTGTCAGATCTCCTGCGCACCTATTGGTGGGGCATCATCCCTTCAGCAGCACTTGTAATGACTGGATTCGTATATTGGTTGAAGAGCTCCGTAGGAAGAGCATTCGTCGAAAACAGTGCCCTCAAAATTCCAGTCCTAGGGAAGACCATCTGCTCGATCCAAACCGCGAGGATCTTCCGTGTGCTCGGACTACTTATCGAATCCAAAGTACCAATCCTTGAGTCTATTGAACTCACCCGCCGTTCTGTAAGCAACACGCTCTACCGAGACCTTCTGACCAAAGCGGAAGAAGCAGTGACCATCGGTGAGTCGGTGTCTCTTGCACTTGCTAGTGATGACCTCATCGTCCCCAGCGCTGTTGAAGCCGTGAAAAACGCAGAGCAATCTGGTCGAATGGGTCCTGTCATGATTCAACTCGCCGATTACCTTGATGAAGAAAACGAGACAGTGATCAAATCGATCTCATCACTCATCGAGCCCCTCATCATGATCGGTTTGGGTCTGATGGTCGGATTCATCGCTGTGAGTATGTTCCTGCCCCTCTTTGATCTCACCGCTAGCGCAGGAGCACAGTAATGAGAAAGCTCCACAACATCACACCAATCGGGATCGACTTCGACTACAACGAGTTTCGAGCTGTTCAATACGCCTCCGCATCGAGTCCCACGCCCAAAGCGATCGCGTCGATACCCAGGACCGGATCTCATAAGCTCATCCCGACAACTGAGGAGCTCAAATATCTAGAGCAATCTTTAATGCAACGAGGATTCACAGGCAATCGTGTTTCGATCGCTGTGCCAAAGCGATTCTCATCGTTCCACATCATGGATCTCCCGCCAGAAGGATCTGGGGCGCCGATTAGTCGTCTGGCGCTCCTCGAAGCCCAGCGATCGGGAGCTCACAAGTCCACCGATCTCCAAATCGGATACTGGACCCAGCCGAAAGACGGCTCAAGCAAGAGCCAACACTCCCCGTATTACGCCGTTGCGTGCCAAACAGAACCATTGAACGAACTGTTAGATAGTTTCGAAGAAGCACAGCTCTTTCCAGTTCAGGTTGAACCTATGGAGACCGCGATCACACGGACCGCATCGATGCACGAGCAGTTCACGGGTGACGCGATCCACAGCATCATTGAAATTGGTTGGGATGAGTCTTGGGCAATCATCACGCTGGGGACCACGCCAGTGTACTGCCGTCAGATTCAAGTAGGTGCCTCTCGTATCAGGAGACAGCTGATCGATGATCACGCGATGCCCGCGGATTCGATCAACATGATATTGAATCCAGAAGGACCAACGATCGAGAGTGAGTCGCGTCTCAAGAGAATCATGACCACAATTCTGACGCCAGTGCTCGCACAGGTCGTTGATCAACTCGATACCGCACTGACATATGTATCTCAGCAGCACCGATTCGCGCCATTTGGAGTAGTCATGCGATCCGGATATTTCACGCATGAGGAGCAAACCGCCTTTGCAATTGCCCAGCGTACTGGTATGCCCACGCTCCCGCTCGAACCAGTGAATAAAGACATCCGCGAAATTGATTTGAACATAACCCCCTTTGAGTATGCGCAGACTCCGCGTCTAAACATCGCGTCAGGCCTAGCGAAGGGAGCCGCCTAATGAGTCCGATCCCATCGCCAAATCTGCTTCCGCAGTCACGGATGATCTCCAGAAGACGGAACCACGCTGTGCGTGTTTGGTCATTCGTCCTCGTTGCACTTGTCTTGGTCGTGATGATCCCGTCTGGTTTGTTGAGTGTTCATTTGCGAGCTGCTGAGCCACAAGATACGCAGCACATCACACGCTTTGTCAATGACCTCAATGAACTGCGAGCAACACTGCCTGCACTGAAGAAGAAAGTCGCGCAGCTCGAATCCGAATCCAAATCGCAGGAACTTGCAAAGCTCCGAGTTCATTGGAACAGTGTGATCAATCAGCTTGCTTTACTGACCAACGAGAATATTAGGATCCACTCCTTCGATGCTTCGATCATCCGCCAACCCTCAAAGCATACGATCAACATCTCAATTCAGATACACTCGAAGACCCTGTCGCAGGCGCGCGAGTTCCTCGTTGTCCTCGAAAACTCTTCACTATTCGATGAACTGAAGATGTCCGACTCACGCCGGACCTCGTCAGCCCCAGATGCGCCGATCAACTCCACGATCACCGCATCCATAGTCGCTGAGCAGCACGTGGAGGCGAATCCATGAACAATCCACTCAAATCCGCATCACTACTCCAGCTTCACCTGACAGGCGCATCGCTCGCAACACTTATTCTTGCGATCTCAGGGTATGTGATTTATACCTCCTGGGAAGCACAGCGGTCAGACTTTGAATCTACCAAGCTCGAACTCACGCAAGTCAGCGATCAGTTATCCAGCACACAGAGCGAGAGAGGTCGTCTGATAAATCAGATTTCGAACCTAGAAAGCTTTGTTCAGGAACGCGAATCCGTCATCATTGCGTCAAGCATCAACGAACTCGCTGTCCAGCTCGTAGGACTCGCTGAATCACACGGCCTTGAACTCGAGCAGTTCGAGCCATCCGAACCATCTCAAACAAACGAGAACCCAACTCAAGCGATCTCAATCCAGGTCACAGCCCCATACACAACGATCCAAACTTGGTTGGATGAACTCCACAGCAAAATGCCGGATATCCATGTGGAATCCCTTTCAATCAGCTCCAATGTCACCTCTGGTATGGTCAGCACGAATATTCGTCTTAACTGGTACATACCGTCCGATGCTGATCCGAAGCAATAATTATTTCTTCGATCTGTTTGCATGAGCCCCAAACGAATTCGTCTTTCATACACATGGGACTCACCACAGAACGCAAAATCTTTCTCGCGCTTGCACTCGTCGCCGGAGCATCACTGGTAATTGATCAAGCGATCCTCTCGCCATCCGGCGCGTCCGCTGCTCCGCTCGATGCGGATCAAATAGCGTCGATGCCAAGCGATCCAATCATCGCGAGTATCGCTGAACCGATCAAAAAATCAGTCACCGAGATTCTCAATGAGCGATTGAACCAGGCGAGCGATGGGTCGTCCGATATCAAGCTCAACGCACAAGCAACCGAGTTGCAACGCATGTTCGCGCCCCTGATCAAACCGGAATCCAAGCCGGTCATAAAGCAACCGATCAAGCAGACGCAGACAGAAGTCGAGCCAGCAATCCCGACCCAATCGATCCCGAACAATATGCCGTCACTCTCAGCAGTCATGCCTTCGCAAACAGGTCAATCCGGAGCGATCCTCAACGGCACACTCTATCGAGTGGGAGAGTCAACCCCAGAGGGTTATCGGCTCCTGAAAGTCAACCAGCGACAAGCACTTGTAGAGTATAACACCCAACAGTTTTGGCTCACTCTACCAGCGTTCAAGGACTAAAGCTTCCTAACCCGCATAAACCGAATGCGCAGAAATAAGTTCGCTCACAGGTAAGGGGTTCACAGTCAACTCAGCACAAATCTCCGCCGATCTCCACGGTACACATCAAACGCTTGCAAACGCAAGTGAAGGAGAAACAAGCATGCAAGCAATCGCACCAACCATCAAGGCCAACCGTCGCGCCTTCAGCCTCATCGAACTCGTTATCGTGGTCGTGATCATCGGGATCATCGGCGCCATCGCTATCCCACGCATGAGCCGTGGTGCAGCAGGTGCAGCCGATTCCAGCCTCGTCGCTGATCTCGCAGTCCTCCGCAGCGCGATCGACCTCTACAAGGCAGAGCACGGCGGAACCCTCCCAGCATTCGCAACCTTCGAAGCACAGATGACCACTTACACCAACGACGCAGGTACCGCAAACGCAACCAAGTCGTCCACCTACTACCTCGGACCATACCTCCGCGAGCTCCCAACCCTCAAGGTCGGCTCCAACAAGGGACAGTCCGCACTCGTTGCAACGCAAGGCGGCACCACCGCCGGCTGGGTGTACGATGAAACCACCGGCGCCATCAGCGCCAACCTCCCAGGCACCGAAGTCGACGTCCGCGGCGTGCAGTACAACAACTACTAAGCAGCCCGACACCGTTTGATGACTCACACGCGCCCCGGTCTGCACACGCAGACCGGGGCGTTCCCGATTCAGGAGTTCGCGATGCACAACCAATCCCACGCACAGCGCACCGGATTCTCGCTCATTGAGCTCGTCATCGTCGTCTCCATCATGGCCGTCGTCGCCGCGATTGCCGTCCCCAGATTCACCGACGCTTCCTCGGGACGAAGACTCCAAGCCGCCAAGAACGCGATCATCCACGACATCGAGCGTGCCAAGATCCGCGCCAGAGCGACCTCCACAAACCATGTCATCCAGTTCTACCCAGACCGCGAGACCTACATCATCACGGAAGGCGACACAGTCTCCGAGGACGCGATCATCCTCGCTCGCAATCTCAGCGATGATCCCCTTAATATCCAGATCCAAGCCACCAACCTCAGCGGCGACAACAACGCCACCATCACCCCATACGGCGATCTCACACCAGGTGTTCGGATCAGAATCACCGACGGCTCCAACTTCATCAACGTGGACTTCCCCGGAATCTCAACGACCCGAACCCCGCCCGTCGTCGAGGTCACCGAAGAAGATGTCAAGGGGCTTGAACTAGCCGGAGGAATTCTCGATGCACTCGGTCTCTAAAAACTCCCGACGCTCAGCGTTCACCCTGATCGAAACCATCATCAGCATCTCCGTGATGTCCGTCCTCTTCCTCGGACTCTCCGGCGCCGTCGTCATCGGATCCAAAGCGATCCCATCGACAGTCGATACAGGAGAAGCGGACCAGGAGATCATCGACTGTCTCAACCGATTCCGAGATGAACTCCGTCAAGCAAGTCAGATCAAATATAGTTCAGACGCCAGTGGTGTCAAATACGACCTGACCATGGTCGATTCCGGCGCAACCGGAGCACCATCATCAATCACTTATAAATACAGCGTCGATACCCAAACCGTCTCGAGGAAAGCTGATAGCAACACCGAATCCGTCTACCTCACCGGCGTCACGGACCTCCAAACCAGCGCCCTGCTCGACGATGACCGGATCCGAGCTGTCGTGATGAGATTCGAGTTCGAGAATTCTCTCCAAAGACACTTCGAGACCCACATCGTCCTCCCAAACAAGCCGGAGGCCAAATAATGTCAATGCAATACACCACACGCCGAGCGATCACCCTCGCCGAGACCGTTGTCTCAACGCTCATTATCGGGTTCGTCCTCGTCTCGACGCTCCAGATCGTCGCGCCGATCTCCCGCTCCGGAACCCACCACGCCAACAAACTCGTTGCGACCAACCTTGCTAACGAACTCGCCGAAGAGATCGCAACCAAGCTCTTCACCGATCCGGACGAAGACGTTCCCGACTTCCTCGGCACAGACACCGGAGAGCGTCCCGCTGTCCGCGCTGATTTCGACGACATCGACGACTTCCAGTCCTGGTCATCCTCCCCTCCAGTCAACAGTCTCAACGAGTCCTACACCAACCTCTCAGGATGGACAAGATCCGTCAAGATCATCCATGTCCTCGTCGCTGATCCAACCACCGAATCCCCGACCAACACAGGACTCAAGAAGATCACGATCACCGTATCCAAAGACTCCACCCAACTCGCGCAGATCAGCATCCTGCAGTCTCAAACCGCGGACCAACTCGGATTCATCTCCATCGCCACCGCATCGGAGGATTCCAAGTGAGAAAAGCGAGAACAAACAACCACAGCAGATCCGGATCAGTCTACCTTGTCACTCTGATCACCGTCGCCGCGATCGCGTCGATGGTCATGATTGGGGTTACACTCCGATCCTCGACAAGCTCCAAGTCCACACTCATCGAGGAAATGTCGAAGACAAACATCGACATCATGAATGCAACCGAACTCACACTCCAGACAGTCGCATCCGACGCCGCATGGAAAGCCACCGCACAAACAGGGGTCGCGCTCCCGAAGCAAACCATCAACGGCGTCACCTACGGCACAACAGTCAAAGATGCCGACACAGACACTACACCGACAAACACCACAACCAACTACACACTGACCATGAGCGCCACGCAAAACTCGATCGAGCATGTCTCGCAGCTCACTTTCGAGTATGCAAGCGTGGATTACCCAACATTCGTAGCTGATTACAAGGGTGAGTTCTATTGGCCGCTGAGCGAAGATCCGAAGTCAACCACCGCCGTCGATGCCATCGATGCGTGCGACGGATCATATCAAGACCCCAACGCCGCAGGCGCTACAACGAACGACCAAGGCGCTCAGGTCCCGCTCTTCACCGGGAGCAGCGACCACATCGATATCCCATGGACAGACAAATTCAAAGAAACACATGGCGCATTCAGTCTCTGGGTCAACTCCACGGGAACCACCAACTTAAAGTCCTACGGCATTCTCGGTATGCAATATGCCTCCGGAGGATCCCCAAACCTCTCGCTTGTTGTCATCAATAACGCTCTGGGTGCGTACCTCTCAGATAGCGGATCATTCAGTTTCTCAAAGGTAGCCGTGACCCCAGCCGTGCTCACTCCAGGAACTTGGCATCATGTTGCCCTGACTTGGGGATCAGATGGACTCATCATCTATGTCGACGGCGTCCAAGCCGGAGAAAACTACGGAAACACCTCAGGACTCGACACCGGAAGATCGGACCAAGGCGGCGAACAACCCCTCCACATCGGTGGGGGATACACCATCGGGTTCACCAAGCAACCCTTCGTGGGATTCGAGGGTTCCATCGCCCATGTCGTCTACTACAAGAATCATCAACTCACGGCAGATGAAGTCGCCGAGATTGCTGCGGTCAAACCGGACGAAGCAACATTCGCATTGATCCCAGATACCTGGGCAACCGTGTATCCCGAATAAGAGAAGCGTTGCTCACGCCGCCTTGCGGACATCCTGCGCCGCGTGATCCCGCACCGCCTCGTCATACGCCGTGAAATCAAGCTCGAGGAACAGCTCCGCAAGCCGAGGCTCAAACTGCGATCCCGAGCAACGCTCGATCTCCGCAAGCACCTTCTCGCGAGGCATCGCGGACCGATACGCACGATTCGAGCTCATCGCATCGAAAGTATCCGCAAGCGCCAAGATCCGGCCAAGCTCAGGGATGTCCTCTCCAGCAAGCCCGTGCGGATAGCCGCGTCCGTCCCAGCGTTCGTGGTGATGGAGCACGCCTGGGATGATGTCCTTCAGACTCGGAAGATCCTGCAGCATGTCCGCACCAATCTGCGGATGCAGCTTGATCAGCTCAAACTCCTCATCCGTCAAGCGACTGTTTTTGCACAAGACCTCTTCAGGGACACCGATCTTCCCAACATCATGCAGAATCCCGCACAAGCGGACGCGTTTCGCATCCTCGACCGAATACCCCGAAGCGATCGCAAGTTGCTCTGAGAGCATCGCCACGCGATCCGAGTGACCTCGTGTGTACCGATCCTTCGCATCGATCGCGCCAGAAAGCGCTCTGACCGTCCCCACAAACGCGCGTCGCTGTTCTTCATACAAACGCGTGTTCTCAAGGAACGCCGAGAAGATCCCAGAGATCGAGTCAATGGTCTTGGTATCGTGCGAGGAGACATACGAATCCTCGCCCTGCTTCCCACCAAGCACGAGCCAGCCGTATTTGTGTCCGTACGCTTGGACTGGATGGATCATGACCTGCGGATCGAGTGAATCGAACAAGCCCTCCGCGGGATACACCGCCGTCTTGTCCGAAACCGCGATCGGTTCAATCTCAAGAAGACGATTGATCTCAGATCGGAGTTCCTGCTCATCAAAGTGATGATCACCCTGCTGGTGCAGCTTCGACTGAAGCAATGACTCGCCCTCATCAGTGTTCACGACATACGCCGTCCAGTCATACCCAATCGTTGCCGCAATCATCTCCAGAGTCTGACGGATGTAGTTCGCGGGATCGGTCACCATCCCCATGTCACGCCCAAGCATGTGCAAAGCCGTGACGGTCTCATAGGATTCAGTCAACTGGTCCGCATAGCTCTCGATGATTCCCTCGGATGTCCGAGCGCTGTCGAGATCTCCGTACATCCACGAGAGCATCTGCTTAATCTCAGCGTCCATCGAATCCCACGGCCGGATCATCTCAGTGATTTTGTGCTCGACTGAAGCGAGTGTCAGCGGATCTCCCGCGAACCCATCATTGAGCAGTGAAGACTCGAGCACTTCTTGGGTAAAGCCAATCATCACGCTGAATCCAGTGCGACGCCCATGATGCTCGATGGTGAACGGATAGAGACGAATCCCAGGAGCCGCTTCGATCATCTCGAGCGACTCCATCGTTGCCCACATCTCCGCACACTCAATGACGCGTTGCCGGACAGGGTTGCTTAGGAGCCAGAGTTTCAATGGACCCCGACAAGCTGGATCAGAGACTGGGAGTCCGTTGATATCGACACACCACTCGACCAGTCCGAGCTCGGCGCATCGCTTCTTGAGTGCCTTCGGAATCTCTGGAGTATGCTCATCAATGAGTTCGAGTCTCATGCGCATCTCCCGAGTTCGCCGTTCTCTTCCGAAAGCGTCTTACGAATCAGATCGACAAGCGCCTTGGTCCCGAATGGCTTGCTCAGCAATGCACGGATATTGCCGAGCTCCTTGATTTGTTCTTCGATCGCAAATCCACGAGCGGAAAGCATGATCACAGGGATGTTCTTTGTCTTCTCGCTATTCCAAAGACGCGTTGACATATCAATACCGCTCATATACGGCATCTGCAAATCCGTGACCACAAGATCAGGTCCAACAGAGTGGATCAACTCCAAACCCTGTTGGCCATCCATCGCGGTATGAACTTCATAACCGTTTTGAATCAGCTTACGAGCGACCATGTGCGTGATATGCGGCTCATCATCAACAAGCACTACGCGCTGCCCATCTGTTCCGTCATTTGAGATGTTTGACATAGGTATACCTCAAAACCTATATCGACCCCTCGACACTTTGGATTCTGTTCAACTGAACATTCCCAAGCGCATTAATCGGTAGGGGGAGGCAGCCGTAGATATCGGACCAAATGCCGAGTCCCAATAATGAACGGCACTGTATCAATCAGCGCCGCAACCAGCTTGAACACATACCCAGTCGCGATGAACACGAATAACTGCAACCAGAGTTCTTGTTCCGGATTGATCGGGAGCGCCTTCGCATAGAAATGCGTGATAAGGATCACGGCTGCTGTATCCACGAGCTGACTCACCAAGGTCGATCCATTGTTGCGCAGCCAAAGATGCTTACCCCTTGTCAGCCGTTTCCAGAAATGGAAAACCTGCACATCGACAAGCTGAGCGACAAGGTACGCAATCATCGAAGCCGTCACCGCACCAAATGCGAGCGAGCGAACCTCATAAAACACAGGGAGTCTCCCAGCGGCATCCGTCAGAATATCACCCTCCGGACCGACCGCTTCAAATCCAGGAAGCGCTCCGCCGAGCCAAAGGATGAAGACCACCCACAGGTTCAAGATCAAGCCCACCCAGACCACCGCATTCGCTCTCCGGCGACCATACAACTCCGAAATAAAGTCTGTGCACAAGAAGGTCATCGGATAAGGAAGCACGCCGACAGCAACCGCAAAAACCGTACTCCCATCGACGCCTTTGTCAAAGTCGATCTCAAAGAGTTTGATAAACCTCGTGATGCCAAGAATATTGAGCATCGCCAGTGTCCCAAGAAAGATCCCCGACAGGATCAGGAAGAGGCGCTCTCGCCGCCGATGCAACTCATGTTCGGTCAACTCCTTGAGCCCTTCATACCGATACTGTTCACTAGGGAGTGGTTCATGAAGATGCTGCATGGTCCGAGGATAGCAGACCATCCTCAGAATTGCCCATTTCCACCCAGAACTGTGATACCATCCCCCCATGACGCCGCAAACTGAAAACCCGCCAATGACCTCCGAAATCAAGCCACTCGATTCCAGATCGCGTGCGGCACTCGAAGCCCTGCTTATGACCGCGGATCGTCCGCTCAAATCCCAGGCGATCATCGATCCACTCAACCTCCTCGACCGGTCTTCTGAGTCCATCTCCCAAGAGACTCTGGACGCTTCGATCGATGCGCTCAATGAGGAGTACGAGTCGACCAATCGATCCTTCCGAATCGAACGCGTCGCAGCGGGCTATCGAATCATGACCCTTCCTGAACATGCTCCAGTCGTCGCCGCGATGCACCGAGCAAGAGCGGGGACGCGATTGACCCGGACTCAGCTCGAGACGCTCTCCATCATCGCATACCGCCAGCCGGTCACCCGCGCCGAACTCGAGAACATTCGAGGCGTTGCCTGCGGCGATATCGTCCGAACACTCATGGATCGTGGACTTGTCAAAATCACCGGCAGAGCTGAAGTCCTCGGACGCCCGATGCTCTACGGCACGACCCCGCGATTCCTCGACACCTTTGGACTCGCAAACCTCAAAGATCTCCCCAAACCAGAAGATCTCCTTCCAACGATGGAACAAGCAAGCACAACCGAACGCATATAAAGTAATACTGCGTGAACAGAGCCACGGAAGGTCACACCCATGCAACTGATCAAATCTACTCTCCTCATCGTCGCAGTATTCGCCCTATCCGCATGCGGTTCCTCGAAGTACATGGGCAAAGTCGTTCCAGGCTCTGTAGGTAGGCCGATCATCGTCTCAAGCAATGACGACCGCATCAACAACCAGCCCGGCATCCAAGGACTCGAACTCACGCTCTACAACGAACCCAAGCAGGGGCAAGCCCCGGTTCAACTCACCAGAACAACCAGCGGCGAAGATGGCCGATTCACCTTCACTATCCCAGCGAAGCAAACGCCTCGCGGCACTGTACTTGTTCGTGTCACTGGTGACGACATCTATTCCGCTCGCTCAAAGACCTTCCTCCCACGCAACGGCCAGTTCATGCTCTTTACCGTGGTCACCAGGGATCCACAACCCGAATAAGAGCAACGCAGTGATCCAGAATCGGTAAACCCTTTCATGTCCACCACGAGCGCTCGATCCCTGCGAAGAAAGAACAAGCGACGCCTGCACCGCTCTCCGCCCGGTACTCCGCATCACAGCCGATCCTCATCACTCACAGTCCCGGGATTCCTGTTTGTCTTCGTCACGCTCTCCCTCGCGCTGGGAGCAATCAACGGCCAAAATAATCTGCTCTTTTGGCTCTTCGGATTCTCCATCGCCGCCCTCATTGTTTCCGGAATCATCACCGGAAACGCACTCATGCATCTCCGCCTTATCGCGAGCCAGATTGACCACGCAGAAGTCGCAAAGCCATTGCGACTCAAGTACACCTTCTTCAATACCTCGAAGTTGCTCCCGAACTTTGCGCTTGAAATACTCGAACTCGATGCGGATGAATCTGCTTCACATGAGCCAGGGATAGTACTCCACATCCGACCAAACGCTCGCGGGGCATTCACATCGCAGATCATACCAAACAAACGAGGATACCTCGATCTCGCCCAGATCCGAGTGCGCACTCGATTCCCATTTGGACTATTCACGAAATCGGTCTTCTTCAACATGCCACGCAGTGCATTGGTGTACCCGAAACTCATCCCAGTAAAGCAGCACACTCTCGATGCGATCACTTCAAGCGAAGATTCAATGAGCCGATCCGCCAACCGCCGAGGAGCAGGTCTTGATTATTTCGCACTCCGTCAGTATCAACCCGGCGATCCACTCAAAACGATCGCATGGAAACGCTCAGCTCGATCCAGCGAAATCCTCGTTACTGAGTTCCCAGATCCCACGGCAGAGCTTGTACAACTCCAAATTGAATCTCCGTCACAAAACACAAGTGATGAGCAGTTCGAAGCCGTGATCTCACTCGCATACTCGATTCTGAAAGAGGCAAAGCCGCAAGCAAGGATTGGTTTAAGCATCCCCGGCGCCCACATTGATATTCACCCTTCGACTGGGGTCGCTCACATCGATCGATGCGCGAGAGCACTCGCTCTCCTAGATAGAAATGACTTCAGTCACAACACGCAACCCCGCTCTTCAGTTCGTCGAACAATTATGCTGGGTTACTCGCCCTCGGAATCCAAAGCGGATCTGTACGCACAAGACTACCTAAGCGAGCCTGCGAATGCGTGACACTTCTACCCCCAAGTTGATCCGCACATACCACCGAGCACTCTTGCTTACCATGCTTGGATCGGTGGTGATGTTTTCCATTGCTGATCTCAGCCTGACATTCTTCATCATTGGATGTGTTGGATCACTCATCGGATACTGGTATGCCTCGCAAGGGCCATCAACGATCTCACGCATGGCAATTAACTCCCTGCTCGCCGTCGTCGTAGTGCTCGGGATCACCAATGCACTGAGAGGAAACTTCACCGTCAGCACATTCGCGTTCTTCTCTCTACTTCTGATGATCCTCAAGCTCTTCGATCTCCGCACGCCAAGAGACCACGGCCAGATCCTGGTTCTCTCACTCGCATTGCTGATCGCAACAGCGCTTACATCCAACTCGATGCCCACCGGGATCGGTGTTTTCGTTATGGGATTTGTATTCATCCGTTCGATGATGTATTTCCGCATCTACGCGCTCGCTTTCAAACTCACAGTTCCTCCAAAGGACAAGTCAAGGACTTTCACAGATCTGCGTTCTATTCAAACAGTCACAGGATTCGTCTGCGCGATCGTTGCTTTGCTCATCTTCCTCGCAATGCCCCGATCTCTTGGATCAAGCACCCTCGGACAGTGGGGAGAAGTGGGGAACGAACTCACAACCGGTTTCGCTGATGATGTACAGCTAGGACGCCCAGGTCGCATCACCACATCTTCAAAGCCAGTCTTACGCGTTTCCGTTTCAGACCGCAACGATCAACCTGTTGGATCAGAATCTTCCAGAGCAATCTATCTTCGAGGGTCAGTCCTCACCCAATACGAGTCAGGTCGCTGGGTGTCCCATAAGGAGCAGAGCATCCCAACAACATTCCGCACGCGGATCGTTGAGCCCGATCGATCGATCCCGCTGGTTTCCGATATGTCACGAGCTCAGTGGACACAAGAATACCACATCACTTTCGATCGCCAAGATCAGAACTACGGCTACCTGTTCTCGCCGTGGAAACCTCTCGAACTCAAAACACTCACATCGCGAGCCCGCGTAGGAATCGACGAAGAAACCCGAATGATTCTGCTCGCGAGTCAGCCTGTAGGATCTTACCGAGTACGCACCATCGATCCAGAACTCATTCCTTCCCAGCCCGACCAATCCATCGCACGCCCATTCGTCTCACAGACCGGTGTAACGACGCAAATCAAGGAGCTTGCTGTATCTGTTCTCACCAGAGCATCGATCGAACCCGATCCAAGCATCAGACCGAGAGCTCAGGACATCAAAGCAGTCCGAGCATTGGAGACCCACCTGAGAACACAGTTCAGCTATACCCTTGTTTCCGAACCTGTTCCTTCAGACAAAGACGCGACTGAATGGTTTCTCTTTGAACGAAAGCAAGGGCACTGTGAGTACTACGCTTCCGCACTCACACTCCTCGCTCGAGCGGTCGGCGTACCAGCAAGAGTCATCACCGGATATGTCGCCGCTGAGTACAACGATGTGACCGGTACATACACCGTCCGTGAGTCCAACGCCCACGCGTGGGTCGAGGCGATGGTCGCGCCAAACTTCTGGCGCACTTTCGACGGCACACCGCAATCAGACTTCCACGAAATCCACGAGCCCGAGCCTACCCTCTTCCGTTCAATCGCAAAGATCTACGAAGCCGTGGAGCACGCCTGGATCACCGCCGTGATTGGGTATGACTCTGACACACGGAGTGCCGTGTTCGGAGATATGGATCCAAATCTTGGACTCCAGAATGTCGCAAACACGCTCCAAGAACGACTCGCTACTGGACGGACCCAACTCATCCGAAAAGCTTTCGTCACTGCAGGATTGATCTTCTCAATCACTATGCTCGCAGGTTTGGCGCTGATTCTGCTTCTAAATCTCCCAGCAGCAACTGCGATCCGAGAAAGACTATTTCGTTGGATCAAACTTCAACGCTTCGCACCCACATCAACTGACGAACGGATCACCAATCAGCTTTCCAGAGCGGTTCATCATCGACTCGACAACCTCGGCATCCCTTGCCCTCAAGGAATACCACTCCGCTCACACATTGAGTCCACAGAGTTGAATGGTCACCACCAAGAGTGGGGGGTAATCCCAGAAGCGACTTTGTTGCTCTACACGCACATGTATGCACAATCCACTGATGAACAATACATTGACCGCGCACAGTCTTTGATCAATCAACTCCGATAACCAGCCCTCAATCCAAACACGCGGTTTGGATCAACTGCACCAGTCTTCTACCCGATCCTCATTGATATCCATAAAGAGAAATGAGGATACACATGCCCCCGAACCGCTCAAAAACAGACCGTTGGCGCCAATCACTCGAAAAAATCAAATCGAGAGGCGGAGGACTTGAGTTCACCGTTAATCATGCGAGCGCAAGCGATGATCCATCGCTCAAGAACCTCGTCTGGCGTGTTCGATTGATAGATTACAACGATCACGAGCTCGTGCTTGAGCACCCCGGCGCGATGGGACTCTCATTTCATATCGAAGACAACACGCCACTCATCGGGATTATGTCCGTCGGACAGAATCGCTGGATGTTCCACACCAAAGTCATCGGCGCATCGACCTTTTCAGATCGTCAAGGCCCAACGAAAGTCCTCAAGGTCTCAATGCCAGATAAAGTTGAACGATGCATGCGTCGCAACTTCGATCGTACATCGACCGCACAGGTCAACCTCCCGACCGTCAATGTTTGGCCGCTCCTCAACCACGCCACCGCCCGTCCGATTGAGATCGCCAATCGTATGATGATCCAGCAGCTCAGAGAGCAAGGATCCACGGCATCAGGGAGCTTTGACCCACAGATGCTCCCTGAAGTCGGCCCACGCTTTGAAGCCAAGCTCGCCAACATCGGAGGTGGGGGAGTCGGTCTCGTCGTGGACAAAGACAACCGCTCGCATCTCGACGCAGTCCAACAGTTCTGGCTCTCCATCAATCTGCTCCCAGCCGTCCCCGCACCGCTGGTTATGGTCGCCCGCATGGCGCACACCCACCTCGACTCACAGCAGAACACCTACGCCGGCCTCGCCTTCGACTTCTCTCAATCTACCAATCACAAAGAGTTCGTTGTCCGTGAGATCGACACCTTCATCCGCCAGTCCCAAGCAACGCAGCAACGCAAGGCGGCATAAAGCGATCCAGAAATCACAAGAAAAAACCCGCTCGAAGGCGGGTTTTTCTATGTCATATCAAAGTGTTGCAAACTCAAGGGCGATGGAATCGCGGCTTCTCTGTTACGAATACCGTCGCATCACCATTTTCAGAGTGCAATGAAATCTCATTGGTGCCATCGTTCCAGATCCCTGTCCATTTCCCACGATCAGGCATCGAGTGATCGACATACCCATAGTGTGACTGGAATGAAGCACTCCCACGAGGAGCCGTCAGATCAAAAACTCCAGAGTTGTCTGGAGAAGCAACGAGGTGAACATCACCCTTGCTGGTGTATGCCATGACTTCTTCGATTGGGTTCTCGCCTGAGCGGATCCAGATATCCCCACCCTCGGTGAACTCGTCGCCGTTGCGAAGCTCGATGCTCCCGCTTACGCCGGTCACCTTGATGGTCCCATTGCTCGTGCTCACCCTCGCGCCATCGCAGCGTGGGATCGAGATCACGACATCAATCGGAGGACGGAATCCCTCGATCGAAAGATCGGTCGGGCGGATCACAAGCGTCCCATATTGGTTCATCGACTCGTCGGTGACCACATACTCAGCAGTGAAATAGTCACCAGTTGGATCAAACTCGATCCCTTGTTTCGCCATCCGGAACCGGAGCCAGCGTTCTTTGCGAACTTTGAACTCCACGAAGGCCTTCTCGTGCTTGGAGTGTGAGCGGATCTCAACATTCCCGCTCGGATTCTCGATATCCACCGCAGTGAACTGCCCGATAGTGATCGGGATACCATTGATTTCGACGCTATGAGCGAGCTTTTTTGCTTGGATGCGAGCCTGGATACCACCCATTCGCTTGGTTTCTTTGCAGCCGCTGATCCCAGAAATCATCCCGACCGACAAACCCGCTCCGAGAGTGAGCGCCAGTGCGCGTGAGCGGAAGATCCGTGAAAAGCGTCGATTCGAATGCATGATCCATACTCCAAAGGCCACTGGTGACCAGTATTCTATGTTTTTGAGCCCGCATTGTTCGCCACGAGCACCAAAGAACTTGCTAAGATAGTCATAAGTCGTCAAGCCGGACACCCGACTCGACACAAACATACCCAAAACCGCCCGTTTGAGCCAATAAGGTCGGCCCAATCGGATGTCTAAGAGATCATCGGCAACCAACACCGGTTCCGTTCAGTACAGATAGCGAACTCCACACGCATTGCATATATGTTCATCCGAGAGTACACAGTCACACCAAATCCCCATTCAATCGACAAATCCAGTGACCCGCTTCTGACCCTCCAGGCACCCGAAGAACCGATCGCACAAATACGCCCAGACGAGCCTCACCGCCGATAACCGGATGATCCGACATCATCTAAAGGCACGGAGCCGCTCGTGGAACCAACAACCCCTCTCCACACCCTCGCCCAAGCGACGTCGGGATTCAGCACACCCACGCTGATCATCATCGCCGCCGCCGCTGTCCTCATCGGAGCCGTCGCAGGATTCATCCTCGCGCCCATGATCGCGACCAAGAAACTCCACGCGATCAAGTCCGAGACCAATCAGCTCACCAAACGCGCCGAGGAAGACGCCAAGACCGCCGCCGAGAAAGTCCTCCTCGACGCCGAGCGCAAAGCCCTCGAGCGCAAGGAAGAAGCGGACAAAGAGCTCGAAGCCGCCCGAGCCGAGCTCCGCGAGTCCGAGCGACGACTCGCCAAGCGTGAAGACCTTGTGGACCGCAAAGACGAGACCCTCTCCACGAAAGAGCAATCCCTCGAGTCCCGCTCCGAGAAGCTCGAATCCCGCAAAGAAAAGCTCGACAACCGAGAAGCCGAGCTCGAATCCCTGCTCGAAAAACAACAAAAAGAACTCGAACGCGTCTCCCAGCTCGACCGTAACCAAGCCAAAGAGATGCTCCTCGAACGCGTCGCCGACAAATCCCGCGCCGAGATGGGCAAGGTCACCCGAGAGATCGTCGAAGACGCCGAGGACGATGCGAAGGACAAAGCCCGCGAGATCCTCATCAACGCGATCCAGCGATACGCCAACGAGCACGCCTCCGAAGCCACCGTCCGCACCGTCGCGATCCCCTCCGACGACATGAAAGGCCGAATCATCGGCCGCGAAGGACGCAACATCCGCGCCTTCGAGAAAGCCACCGGCGCTGACATCATCGTCGACGACACCCCCGGTGTCATCGTCGTCTCCTGCTTCGACAAGGTCCGCCAAGCGATCGCCGTCCAAGCCCTCGAACGCCTCATCACCGACGGGCGAATGCACCCATCACGCATCGAAGAGGTCACCGAAAAAGTCCGCTCCGAGATCAACGAGAAAGTCATCAAAGCCGGTAAAGACGCCGCCCAAGAACTCAAACTCAAAGGCTTCCACCCCAAAGTCATCGAAGCCATGGGCAAACTCACCTACCGAACCTCCTACGGCCAAAACGTCCTCAAACACTCCATCGAAGTCGCTTTCCTCTCCCAAATCATCGCCGACCAACTCGGCCTCGACGGACGCCTCGCAAGACGCGCCGGATTCCTCCACGACATCGGGAAAGCGATGGACCACGAAATGGAAGGCGGACACCCCAAAATCGGGATGGACTTCGCCGCACAGTACGGCGAGAAAGACGAAGCCGTCCTCAACGCCATCGGTGGTCACCACGCCGACATCCCCGCGACCACCCTCTACACCCCAATCATCATGGCCGCCGACGCCGTCTCCGCCGCACGCCCCGGAGCCCGCCGCGAATCCATGGAACGCTACATCCAGCGTCTCCACGACCTCGAAGACATCGCCAAAGGACAACCAGGTGTGGTCGAAGCATTCGCCGTCCAAGCCGGACGCGAGATCCGCGTCATGATCGATGCCGATCGTGTCTCCGACGACGAGGCTTACCTCGCTGCACACGAAATCGCCAAACGCGTCTCCAACGAGATGACTTTCCCCGGCGAGATCAAAGTCACTGTCCTCCGAGAAACCCGAGCAATCGAACTCGCACGATAAACCAACCAAGGAGCCGACATGCGTCACGCCACCACCCTGCTCGCCCTGACCGCCGCGCTCCTCGTCTCATTAGTCTCAACAACCGCCATCGCGAAAACAACCCTCATCCACTGCGGCACCCTCATCGCAGTCCCCGGCGAACCACCAAAGCAATCCCAATCGATCCTCGTCATCGACAACAAGATTGTCTCAGTAGTCGACGGATTCACCGATCCCGGAACCATCGACACCCTCGACGAGTTCAAGTTCATCGACCTCTCCGATTACTACGTCCTCCCCGGCCTCATCGATTGCCACACCCATCTCACCGGACAAAACCTTCCATCGCACGAAAGCATCCGCAGAAGGATGCAAGAAACCCAAGCACACTCCGCAATCGACGGCGTCGCAAACGCAAAGAAAACAGTCGAAGCCGGATTCACCACCGTCCGCAACGTCGGATCCCCCGGATCAGTCGCCCTCGCCCTCCGCGACCGAATCAAAGCCGGTGTCATCCCAGGACCACGCATGTACGTCTCAGGTCCCGCAGTCTCCGTCACCGGAGGCCATGGCGACGGCACCAACTCACTCTCACCACTCCTCCGCCCCGATCTCCCAGACCACCTCACCACGGCCGACGGCCCATCCGAAGCCCGCAAAGCCGTCCGCGCACGAATCCGTGAAGGCGTCGACCTCATCAAAATCACCGCTACAGGTGGTGTCCTCTCGCCAACGGCCGCAGGTGTCGAGCAGCAGTTTTTCGACGACGAGCTCGAGTCCATCGTCCAAGCCGCCAAAATGATGGGCCGCAAAGTCGCCGCCCACGCCCACGGCACGCAAGGCATCAACGCCGCACTCCGCGCCGGAGTCGCTTCCATCGAGCACGGCACATACCTCGAAGACTCCTCCATCGAGCTCTTCCTCGAAACCGGCGCCTACCTCGTCCCCACAATCCACGCCGGAAAGTTCGTCGAAGACAAAGCCAAAATCGACGGCTACTTCCCCGAAGCCATCCGCGCTAAAGCCGCCGCAGTCGGACCACTCATCCAAGACTCCTTCGGACGCGCCTACAAAGCCGGAGTCAACATCGCCTTCGGAACCGACGTCGGAGTCGGAGCCCACGGCACAAACGCCGAAGAGTTCCTCTATATGAGCCAGGCCGGGATGACCAACGAGGACTGCCTCATCTCCGCCACCATCAGCGCTGCAAAGCTCATCGGAGCAGAGGATCAAATCGGAACCATCGAAGAGGGCAAACTCGCCGACATCATCGCCGTGGAGTCCGACCCCCTCGAGGACATCTCCACCCTCCTCAGTGTCCCCTTCGTCATGGCCAACGGACACCTCATCACAACTCCATAACCATTCCTCACCCAAAAAGTCCGTTTTTATTGGCAAATCGCCATTCCTAGTCCAAACTCTGGGAAGCACATACACACTTCTTGAGGGTTATCAATATGAATCGTTTGCCAATCGCCGCCGCTCTGCTCATCACCTCCGCTGCAGCCGCTGACGTCGTCAGTTATGAAGACTTCTCCGACACCTCCGGACTCGTCCTTAACGGAACCGCCGCGACTGCTTCCACATCCGACGGAGAGGTCATGCGCCTCACCCCCTCCGCAAGCAACCGAGCCGGAAGCATCTTCTCCGAAACACAGGTCGACGCAAGCGATTTTTCCTCCAAGTTCTCCTTCCGAATCACTGACCCAGGAGGCGCCATCTTCGACGGCAACACCGAAAACGGCGCCGACGGATTCGTCTTCGTAGTCCAGCCAATCGACAGCTCACTCGGAGGACTCGGACAAGGCATCGGTTACTCCGGAATCGGAACCTCACTCGGTGTCGAGTTCGACACCTGGCACAACTCCGCAAACAACGACCCAAGCCAATCCCACGTCGGAATCAACCTCAACGGATCCGTCAACCACAACTCCGGACTCCCAACCGCCGACATCACCGGACCAGAACTCGACGACGGCGACCAATGGTTCGCATGGATCGACTACGACGGCACAACACTTGAAGTGCGCCTCTCCCAGATCGACTCCTACCCCGCCGAAGCACTCCTCTCAATGGAACTCGATCTCGAGTCCATCCTCGGACAAGAAACCGCCTATGTCGGATTCACCTCCGCAACCGGAGCTGCATGGGCCAACCACGATATCCTGAGCTGGAGCTACACCGGATTCGTCCCAGCCCCGAGCGCCACCGCGTTCCTCGCACTCGCAGGGTTCGCCGCACCGCGCCGTCGCCGCTAAATCAATACAAAGAAAATCCCGGGTGCGCATGTAAGCAACACCCGGGAGAGAGACCCATCGCTGGCGGTGGGTTTATCGACGCCGGCGAGCAGCAACCAGTCCGCCGAGCCCAAGTGCCAAAGCACCGCTCGGAGCCGGGACCTGAGTAATAGTGATACGCGCGATTAGATCGTTTGCCCCAAATGCAGATCCGATGGTCGCGCCGTTTCCGGTCTGGGATCCGATGAATGAAGCAAGGTAACTCCCGTCTTCACTCTTGGTGAAGAAGTTTCGTACAACATGCTCCTCCTCAATCGAATCTCCGCCATTCGCGGAGAACGCCGCGCCCGCGAACGCGTCGTTGAGCTCAGAGCCATTGTCATTGACATCACTGCCATAGATCTCAATGACAGTTGGGCCATTAAAGTTACCCGACGCATCAAAAATCGCATGCGCCATCGGATTCCCATTCGCGACAAACAAGTCATTGGAAGGGATCACCATCGATGCATACGAGAAGTATCGATTCACTGAAGAATCTCCGACATCAAGATTAAAGATCGTCGATTCGCCAGGCGAGAACACAGGAGCATCTCCATCAAAAGCTACAGCCGTCTGAGTTGCTTGAACCCCACCAGCCAATCCAGATGAGCTCGCGCTGAATCGCTCTGATAGCGGCCCAGTATTCCCCGTCTCAGCAATCTCAGTGATTCCGGGGAAATCACTAGCAAGCGCACCGCCATCGTAAGTATCAAACCCGCCATCATGAGCCGCGACCCAGAACGGCGTGAAAAAGAATCCACCCGAACTATTGGTATTCTCGATCTGAACACTGATTACTTCTGCGCCAGCACCACCAGCGACTACCGCCAGCAGACCAGAAAGACCAAGTGCAGCACCCTTAACCGTCATCTCTTGAAACTGAAACATGTTAAGATTTCCTCCAGGGAAAGATGTCATTGTCGGCAGACAACACGCAATCACGACGCAGCGATCGCGCAGACTCGCGCCAACAGCAAGCCTTCAAACCCTCTTGATGTGTCAAATGTCAGATCGTGACGAATGCTTTAAACAGCAAGCAAACCGATCACGACCTCAGCGATCTCGTCGCCATACTTCAGAGCGGGCCCTTCCAGAACCCCCTCGTTGATTAACCGTGGTATATTGAGCACGACGCCAGTGAACAACGCATATGCCAATCCAAGGTCGATGCCTTTCGCTTCACCGCGTTCTTGCGCTTGTTCCAGAAACAACCGGAACACATCCCCCTGTTTGTTGTAGATGTCACCGAGTTTCCCGGCCATCTGATGAGGCATCAAGAGCACATAAGTGAACGCATCGCGATTCCCATCAAAGTACTCAAAGGTCAACTTCACCCAAGCCTTCAATGCATGCCTGAAAGGGAGATCCGCTTTCAGCAGCACCTGCTTGTCCCGCGCCATTTCTTCCACGATCGCCGTATACGCCTCGCGGATCAAATCATCTTTGTTCCCAAAGTGTTTGTACACAGCCCCCTCAGTCACCCCAGCCTCACGAGCAATCGTCCGAACAGATGCCCCATGAATCCCTTCACGCACACCGAGACGAATCGCCGCATTCTGCAGCTCAAGCCGTGTATCTAGTCGATTTTGACCTCGTTCAGCCATCAGAATCTCCATACTTCCACGGTAAACAGATGTTTACCCTAGATAAACAATGATTCAAGACATCGTCATATTCCAATAACTTCCAATTTTTTCTAGTTCCCCACCAAGATTGACATCAACGCAATCAAAAACAGGCGCCCATCGATCCAATCCCGCCGATGTTGGGCCAAACACAAGATCAATCCTGCACTCAAGACGATCGAGCAAGCGAAGATCAATACCCCAACACTCGTATGTTTGAGTAGCAATACGGTTGAACCAAGCACCAACGCCGTCATGCCGACAAGTGCCGCCCTTCGACCGCCAAGCATCACAGGCAGACTACGAGTCCGGAATGCATCATCGCTCGACTCATCGTCTAAATCACAGAGCACCGCATCCCCAAACACAATGAGCCCAATCCCTGATATCGCCCAAAGCATGCTCGGCGACTCCACGAGTACAACCAGCTCTCCGCGATTGACAGTGAATGTCGCGAGCCCAGTCACCGCGCCACTGACCAGCAACGCTTTGAGTCCCGCGAGGTCCTTAAGCCGCGAAATCTTTCCAGGCTTCCAACCCGCGTATCCAATCCCTGCCGCGACACCCACAATTACCAAGCCAGCCAATAGTGGAGAAATCATGGCTCCGACAGCGATCGCTGCGACCCACTCCATGATCATGAGCCAACGGATCCACCACGCTTGTCGGCGGAGATAGCTATGCCGTTCAGGTTCCGCCATCAGATCCGCAGGATCCAGATCCTGATCGCGAAACTTAACGCGATCTAGAAGATATCCAGCGTGCGCACACAGAGTGACATACGCCAAGCTCCACGGATCAACCTCCCGATCTAGTATGGCAGCCAATACCAGTGTGACTCCGATGCTGTAAAGCGTTGCCCAGCCCGCGAGATGACCAAACTTACTCAGAGTTGGAATTGTTCCACGTGGAACATCATCGCCGCGATTGTGCGCACGCATCGTGTCACTCTCCGGCCCAGTTGATGGAGCGATCCATGATGAACACTTCGGCGTTGGACACGAGTTCTCGCGCTTTGCGTTCCATCAGCGTTTGCTGGGCGACGAGCATCGCGCGTTTGCGTAGCTGGATTATTCGTGCATCTGAAACTGATTCAGTTGAGCGCTCAATCGCGGCTTGGGTTTCTTGCTCGACTAGGGCTGGGATTTCCGGGCTCTTGACGATCATGCGTCGAAGGATGGCGTTTCTCCGAAGCAAGGCGTTGAAACGGGCTGGACCTAGGCCGCGACGCTCACGAACGGACTCGATCAGTCGCGCGGAGGATTCACTCGGCGTGGATTGATTCAGCGTTGCAATCAACGCGTCGAGTTCTGTTTGAATGTTATCCTCGTCCACGACCCATCCGGCTCGCTGTGCGTGCTGATCCAGGAGTTGCGTGAGGATCAGTTCGTCTAACGCTTGTCGGCCTGCGAGTTCGGACATTGTTGTCCATATCTGGTGTTGATAGATCGGAGTGGAGTTCAGCATCGCGACGATTGGTGCTCGCTGCGTTGCGGTTGATCTGGGTTGAGAAGATCCGCATCCGCTGGGAGTAACGAGCACGCAGATCACGCTCGTCAGGACTACGAGCCGATGGATAGCTAGGGAGAGTAGGTATCGGGATGCTATGGATCGTGCGTGCATGCGTCTTTGAGTATAGTGGCTCGAAGAGTCAACCTTACGGGTTCTGATGCGTATAGGTTTCTGAAAGGGTTGTATGTCTCAAGCAACAGCAACACAGGATGGGCAAATTGGGGAGAGCCGGCGATCGGTGTCAATGAAGCGTGCGATGGGTATCGCTTTGGGAAAGGATGTCGGTGGGGTGTTGGCATCGCCGAAGCTGCGGAATTTGATTTGTCCATTCTGTGGTGAGTTGACCGCGGATTCGGGTCGTTGTACGCATTGTCAAGCGCGGTTCGATCCCTTGTCGCGTCAGGCGACACAGAACGAGATGGGGCCTTGGTATATCCGAGATGATTCGATGCCGTTCCGACCTGGGTGCAGCTACTCGACTGTCCAGCGGCTGATTGAGAACGGGGGAGTCCAAGCGAACTCTGTGATGCGAGGTCCGAGCACGCATCAGTTCTGGATGCTTGCGAAGCACACGCCTGGGGTTGCGCATCTGCTTGGGGTTTGCCATAGCTGCGGCGAATCGGTTGAGAAAGATGCGTTCGCGTGCCGCAACTGTCATGCAGCATTTTCGACGGATCGGGATCGTCAGCATCTTGGGCTGGGACCGACGCGGCCGCTTCCGGGCCGTGCTCCGGCGCAGGTGCTCGCGTTGCATGCTGAGCCGCCAGCGGGTGCGGATTCTGTTGCCGGGCCGGCGACAATCCCGATATCTCCTGGTCCTCGCGATGGGGAGCGGAGAGTGTCCGAACTAAGATCTGAGGGCGGATCTGCAGATGAAACTGGAGTCGGCGAGGAGCTTGATGCGATTGCTCGGATTGACGAACTCACAAGGGCTGTCGGGACTCTGCGTCGGGCATGGGTGCAAGAACGAAAGCGTTCATGGATATCGCTTGTGTGCGCGGTAGCGGTTACGCTCTTGGCGCTTGTGATTATTCTGGTATCATGAACGCTGTCTGCTTTGGGGGCGATTGGAATTCGCCGTTGAAACGAAACGAAGGTCAAGTTCATATTCGAAAGTCGCGTTATGGCTTCACGCTGATCGAGTTGCTCGTGGTGATCGCGATCATTGCGGTATTGATCGGGATTTTGCTCCCTGCTCTTGGTTCGGCGCGTGCGTCCTCGAGAACACTGCTGTGTACATCGAACATGCGTCAGCATGGGGTAGCAGGATCGCTGTATGCGGATGATAATCGGTCCGTGCTCCCGGCTCTCTGGTGGCGAGGGAATCAGCGTCCTGATACGCCTTATGCTGATTTGTCCAATCCACTTTCTGATGTGAATGGGGTTTCGTTTCAGGCGCTGCACATCATCCGAGAGCGGAGCGGGTTCACGAACGCTACCGCCGGGAGTAACTGGTTCTCAAACCTCTGGTTTACGCATTTGGTTTATCTGGATTACTTGTCTGGGAATCCGGAGGAGCCGGTGGCTGTGTGTCCGGATGATGAGGAGCAATACGAACGAGCGCAGACTCCAGTCGAAGAGTTTTCCAATGGAACTATACGGCGCAAGTTTGAGAGTTCCTATGAGACGAGCGTGTTCACATACTCGGTTGACAGGCAACGCGGTTCTTTCCGACCACTGTCGCAGAGGTTCAACTCGTATACATCATTTGCTCGTGACCAGCGATATCTTGTGGATCGAAAGATGACGGACGTTGCGTTCCCGTCATCGAAGGTATGGATGTTCGATACTTTCGCGCGGCACGGTCGTGACGAGATTGAGTTGTTCATGGCGAGTGGGACGAGTCAGCCTATTCTGATGTTCGATGGATCGGTGAGCGATCGCGAGACGAATGATTCGAATCTTGGTGTTGATCCACGTGATCCAACGAGTGATGAGCCGATGACGATTGAGGGGCTTGATGAGGTGCTGTATCCGGGTGTGTTCCGTTGGACTCGAGGGGGATTGCGAGGAATTGACTTTGGCGGACAGGAAGTCAATACGGGTCAGTAGACTGATTTGACGAACGCGGTGTGCGTTTAACACCACTCGGCTTTCGGGGGAGGATTGTCCTAGAATCTGATGGACCAATCGGTCGTGATTGGTTGATCGGAGGTTGATATGGGTGATTTGCCGGGCGTGTTGATTGCGGACAAGTTTGATCAGATCGGGATCGATGGTCTCAAAGAGCTTGGTTGTGTGGTTCATCAGGACGCAGATCTAGGACCTGAGACAATTTCTGATGCGCTCAAAGCGACTGGGGCGAAGGTGCTTGTGGTTCGTTCAACCAAGGTGCCTGCAGCGGTCTTTGAGGATTGCGGTGATTTGGCGCTCGTTATCCGAGCGGGGGCTGGTCATGACAATATCGACTCTGCCGCAGCAGGCGCGAAGGGTATTCCGGTCTGCAACTGTCCAGGGATGAACGCGGTCGCGGTCGCGGAGCTCGCGTTTGGTCACATGGTCAATCTGGATCGTCGGATTCGTCAGCAGACTGATGAACTGGTGGGGGGTCACTGGAACAAGAAAGAGTATTCCAAAGCGAAGGGTCTTAAGGGCAGCAAGCTCCTTGTAGTGGGTATGGGTTCGATCGGGATGGAGGTCATCAAGCGAGCACAGGCGTTCGGGATGCAGGTCAGTGCCCAATCTCGCTCCATGCATAAGGAAACGGCTCGGGCGCTTGGGATCAAGATGATCGAGTACACACGCGAAGCGCTGAAGGAAGCGCTTGAGGATGCGGACATCGTTTCGGTGCATGTCGCGTTGTGTCCCGATACGGATAAGCTCTGCGGACCTGGATTCTTTGGAGCGATGAAACCTGGCGCGATGTTCATCAATACTTCGCGCGGCGAGATCGTTGATGAAGCGGAGCTGATCAAAGCGGTGAAGGGGAAGGGCATCCGCGTTGGTTTGGATGTGTATCAGAATCAACCTTCGAGTAAGGATATTGATTGGAAACCTGAGCTTGCGGAGCTTGAAGGCGTATCGCTGACGCATCATGTTGGCGCATCGACCGATCAGGCACAGGAAGCGGTGGCGCTGGAGGTGATCCGGATCATGCATACGGTCATTGAGGAAGCTCGGACGCTGCATGTCGTGAATAAGGATTCGTTGAAGGAAGAGCAACTCTGCCCGGCGTTTTGATGTCGGTATAGTCCATAGGAGAACTGTCATGGGTGATCGTGTTTACAACTTCTCGGCTGGTCCTGCGTGTCTGCCTGAGAGCGTGATCAAGCAGGCGCAGAAAGATATCTGGAACATCTTCGATTCTGGGATCGGGATCATGGAGCACTCGCATCGGAATAAGTATTTCGATCGTGTGACGCATGAGACCGAGGCTGATTGCCGTGCTGTTGGGAATATCCCTGATGATTACTCGATCTTCTGGATGCAGGGAGGCGCAACGAGCCAGTGCTATATGGTTCCCGCGAACTTCCTCGCATCTGATCGGACTGCGGATTACTTTGAGACTGGGAAGTGGGCGCAGGATTCGATCAAAGAAGTGCATCACTATGGGAATCTTCACATTGCTGGATCCTCGAAGGAGTCGGGGTTCAATCACATCCCGAAGGGGGATGAAGTGAAGCATTCTGATAATCCAGCGTATGTGCAGTTCACTTCAAACAACACGATCATGGGGACGGAGTTCAAAGAGCTTCCGCAGACTCCGGGCAGCTCGTTCCTCGTTGCGGACATGTCGTCGAATATCTACTCGCGTCCGATTGATGTGAGTAAGTATGGTTTGATCTATGCAGGAGCACAGAAGAATCTCGGTCCATCGGGAACGACGCTGTTGATCGCGAAGACGGACATCATCAATAACCCGGTGCGAGAGCTTCCGAAGATGATGCAGTACGATCTGATGGCGAAGAAGGAGGGGCGTTATAACACGCCGAATACCTTCGGGGTTTACCTGATGGGGCAGGTGTTCAAGTGGATCCTCGCTGAGGGCGGTCTCAAGGCGATGGATGAGCACAATACGGAGAAGGCTGCGGTTATCTATGACTTCATTGATTCGCAGGATTTCTTTGTGCCGCATGCGGTGAAGGAAGATCGTTCACTGATGAACATCACTTTCAAGTGTCCGACTGCTGAGCTTGATGCGTTGTTTATCGAGCAGGCTGAAGAGCAGGGGCTCACGACGCTTGCTGGGCACCGATCGATCGGTGGGATGCGTGCGAGCATTTACAATGCGTTCCCGAAGGAGGGATGCGTGAAGCTCGTTGAGTTCATGAAGGCGTTTGCGCTGGAGCATGCAGCAGCGAATGCGTGATTGTTTGAGATTGATAGGCTCACAACCCGTTGCGTATGCATCGGGTTTTTTATTGGAGTCGTTGTTTACACTCGGCGATCACTTCTTCGGTGGATATCCGCTGGATCATGTCGGCGGATCGGTCGTCGCGGAAGTAGAACTCGTCGCCTTCTTTGATGTGCTGGATGATGTCGGCTTCTCGCTTGTATGGGGAGGCTTTGGCGGGGTCGGTTGGGCCGAGGAGACCAACAAGGGGGCGATTGAATCCCACGGCCATGTGGAGGGCGGCGGAGTCGTTGGCCACGACGAGCTTTGAGCGTGCGATGATCGCCATGAGCAGCGCGATGGAGGTTGATCCGACGCGATCGGTGATTTTGGGATGGTCGGCTATGGCTTCAAGGAGCGGGGCGCAGTGCAGGCGTTCACCTGGGCCTCCGACGATGATGACACGGCCGAGAGCGGGGTGCTTGGCGAGTTCGAGAGCGAGTTCGGTGAAACGCTCGATGGGCCAGCACTTCGCGGGCCAAGCGGATGTTGGTGCGAGGACGGCGTAGGGTTCTGGGTACTCGATGATGACCTGCGAGAGTTCCTCTTGTCCGGCATAGTTGGTGACCTTGGGATCGGAGATGTCCGCGCCGGCGGTTTGAGCGAGGGCGAGCATGCGGTCGACGGTATGCATCGAGCGTGGGGCATCGACGGGTGTGTTGTGGAACAGCCAGCCGAGTTCTTGGGAGTCTTTGAATCCGATTCGGATTTTGGCGCCGGTTGCTCTGGAAAAGAATCCGGAGCGAGCGAGTCCCTGGCAGTCGAGGACCATGTCGTACTTGTTTTTGCGGAGTTCCCTGAGCCAACTGATGAGCGGACCGAATCGGAAGTGTCGGCATTGCTTGCCGAGTTTGGCTCGCGCGAATGGGATGACTTGGTGAAGGTCGGGGTGGTGCTCGATGGCTTGGATGAAGGTGTCACGCACCATCCAGTCAATTTTGGCATCGGGGTAGCGTGCTTTGAGCGCGGCGAGGACTGGGGTGGATCTGCAGATGTCACCTAACGCGCTGGGGCGGATGATGAGAATGCGCTTGGGGTCTGAGTTCGTGGAGTTTATCTCGGTCACCGCACACGATAGGGGCCGTGGTTTGATCAGGCGGGATAGGTGGCGCTGGTGCGGTCTGTTTCCCAGACAGTGAGATTGAGCAGTTCGCATCCGAGTTCAGCGATTGCTGGTTTGAGAGATTCATAACCGAATTTGGTGATATTCTCGACGGATGGGATCACACCCTCTTTGGATTGATCAAAGGCAGGGCAATCGGTGTTGAGGAACTTGTGGTCGAGGGCATCGAGGATGGTGTTCTTGACGGCTTGTTCGATCTGAAAATGGATTGATTCCGAGTCATTGAACGGGATACGGATAGTGGGTTTGAGTTTGTAGTTGTGGCCGTGTCCGGAGGGGTTGTTGCACTTCCCGAAGAAATCCGCGTTTTCTTGGTCGGAGAGATTCGGTGAGTGGAGTCGGTGCGCCGCGGCGAACTCGAAGTGCTGTTGATAGAGGTAAGTGTCTGCTTTGGGATTGGTCATGGTCATCGTGTGGTACGGGGTGAGGTCCCAGTTGATTTCTACAAGTTGTGGCTCGAGGTGGGACTGTGCAGCTTCCCAGAGTGGGGGGAGCAGCAATGCTGGGTTGGAAATGGGATCGGAATTGATTTTGTCAGCGATGATTGGGAGCAGGTAGGTTCGGACCAGAGCGTCGATTTCTTGGATCCCGATGAGATATCCAGTGATGGGGTCTGGGACGCCACGGACGATGAGACTGAGTTCGTAGTATCGAGCAAATCCGGAAGGGGAGGGTTTCCCAGCCGCTGAGTCGGCGCCTTGGGTTGAGCCGTCGGGGTTGATGCAGAATCGGACGGTTCGTTTGAGCTGGATTGCGTCGGTTGGGTGCATCGCTACGAAAGGATAGGGGTATATTGGGTGGAGGGAACAGTCTGGAGGTACTCGGTATGGGTTGTCGTGGATGTTGTGGTCAGAAGGTAGCCGGGATTATGGTGATTCTGATGGGTGCGGTGATTGTGCCGGTGCTTAATGGTCAGGATCAGAAGGAACGAAGCGCGGCATCCCAAGAGGTGTTCGTTGCTCAAGGGCAGGAGGATGCGAAGGTGTCGAAGGATGTGCTAGGTTATGAGATCGAGATGATTGATGGGTCCACGAAATCTCTTGAGGATTATCGTGGGAAGGTCTTGATGTTTGTGAATGTCGCGAGTGCTTGTGGTTTGACGCCTCAGTACCAGGGGCTCGAGGCGATGTACAATAAATATAAAGACGATGGGTTTGAGATCATCGGATTCCCAGCGAATGAGTTTGGGGCGCAGGAGCCCGGGACGAATGAAGAGATCGCTCAATTCTGCAGCAACGAGTATGGCGTGACTTTCCCAATGGCGGCGAAGATCGTGGTCAAGGGCGAGGGGGTGCATCCGTTGTACAAACAGCTTGCGGCTCAGCCTGAGCCGATTGGTGGGGAGCCGGAGTGGAATTTTGCGAAGTTCCTGGTGAATCGTGATGGCGAGGTCGTGGAGCGGTATCCATCGCGGACTCCTCCTGAGGATGTGGATCTGGTGGCCTCCATAGAGGTGCTTCTCGGCGACGAATAAGAGCAGAAATGTGCTTTCAATGGGTCGAGTTGTGCTTGCTGTAAGTCCATTGATAGCAAGGCATGGCAGACTTGTGGGGCGAGCTTAACACAACCTTCATTCCTCCGAGGTGGCTTTCGTGTTCATATCGCGCGAGAGTTGTGTAAAGAGCATGGGAATGACTCATGTTCCCACACACATCACACACGGAGAGTTGCTATGAAAACGCGGAAGTTTGCTTCTTTGCTGCTGGGAATGGCTGTGATGCCATTGGTGGCGATGGGCACGATGATGGGCGGCGGTGTTGATCCGGAGCTTCCTACCTACGAGGGCACCAGCGGTGTTTCGGGGAGCGTCAAGTCCATTGGATCTGACACGATGAACAACCTGATGACGCTTTGGGGCGAAGAGTTCAAAAAGTTCTACCCGGCGACTCAGACTGAGGTCGAAGGCAAGGGGTCATCTACGGCTCCTCCAGCGTTGATCGAGGGGCAATCGCACTTTGGTCCGATGTCGCGTCCGATGAAGGGTGCGGAAATGGACAAGTTCGAAGAAGCACACGGCTACACACCAACTCCGGTTCGTACTGGGATTGACTGTCTTGCTGTGTATGTCCACAAGGACTGCCCACTCGACGAGATCAGCATTGAGGACATTACTCGCGTGTTTTCCGTTGCGGACACCGATTTGACATGGGGCGACCTCGGCGTTGAGGATCCGAACTTCAAATCGCGTCCGGTGAATCTGTATGGCCGGAACTCGGCTTCGGGTACTTACGGGTACTTCAAGAAGGTCGCGTTGCAAGGTAACGATTACAAAGCGACTGTCAGAGAGCAACCCGGTTCATCGGCGGTTGTTCAGGCTGTGACCACTGACCTCTACGGCATGGGTTACTCAGGCATCGGATACAAGACTGCTGGCGTGAAAGCTCTCTCGATCTCGTACGACGGCTACGACGCTGTTGAAGCGAGCGCAGAAAATGCGTACTCCGGCGAATACCCGATCGCTCGATTCCTGTATATGTATGTCAATGCAGACCCTACGACTGGGATCACTGATCCGCTTCGTGCTGAGTTCATCAAGCTGGTATTCTCTCAGCAGGGGCAGGAGATCGTTGTGAAGGATGGGTACTTCCCAGTGCCTGCGAGTATTGCTCGTGAGGACCTTGAGGCTCTCAAGATTGACTATGATTTCTGAGTGACGCGTCCAGGTGTGACATCAGAAGCTGAAGCGAGAAATCGCACTCGGGCGTCGCGTCGGTTGCATGCAACCGACGCGGCGGCCGAGTTTGTCGTGACTGTGGGTGGGTTTGCAGTACTCGCTGCGGTCCTTGGAATCTGTATTTACCTGTTGTGGGTGGTGCTGCCTTTGTTTTCGTCTGGAGAGACCGGTGAGGGCAAGCTGATTCATTCGGCAGCAGGTGGTGAAGTTCCTGAGGCGATATATCTTGATCCGTATGCACGAGCCGCGGTTATGACGCGTGATGAACGAGCTGTGTTGGTGGATTTGGAGGATGGGGGAGTCCTTGGGGTTCTGGGGGAAGAGGGCGAAGCGACTGAGCTGCGTTGTGAATCGACGGCACTCAACGGCGAGTTGATTGCGCGTGGGTATGCTGACGGGACGGTTCGGCTTGGATCGGTTGAGTTTAAGACTCGTTTGTTGAGTGAAGACTCAGATGAAGGGGTTGGGTACAGCGAAGAACTTGCGGATGGTCGCTTCCGTCGTGTGCTGGTTGAGGAAGAATTCGGGGACCCCTTAAAGCTCAAAGCGGGGAGCGGAGCGGTTGAACTGGTGGATTATCAGATTGATCCGACAGGGAAGACGACACTCGCGGCGTTGCGTGAAGATGGAACGGTTGTGGTGAGTAGCGTGCGGACGATCCGGCCATTGGGTGGCGGAAAGGCGCGGACTCGGCTGAAAGAAACCTCATTTGAGCTCGACGGGGATGGAGATCCGCTTGCACTCAAGATCTCGGCGGATGGGGATCAGGTATTCGTTGTATTCAGTGACGGCGGGATGGATCGATACGCTCGGGGGGATGATGGATTCGTCATGCGTGAGCGTGTCGAGATGCTCAATGGGAAACATCGTGTCTCGGTCGTCGAGATGGTGTTGGGCGGGCAGACGGTCCTTGTTGGGGATACCAACGGCAAGGTTCAGTCATGGCATGTGTCGCTCGATCAGCAGGATCGTTTTGGGGATGGGCGGATGCTTGTGCGATCGCACAAGTTCGGTCGGAGCGGCGCGGAGATTGTCGATCTGACTCCGAGTGGGAGAGATCGGACGATCGGTGTGCTGTATGACGATGGGGTGGTGATGCTGCGTCACCTTACCAGTGAAAAGACTGTCGTGCGTAAGGTGAGTGAAGTTGAGAGTGCTGGCGCGATCACGATCGGCCCAAAGAATGATGCCGTGCTCATCGCGGGGGATGGTGCGTTCGAGTTGCTCAGGTACGAGGCGGGGTATCCGGAGTTCAGTATCAAGGCGCTGTTCGGGCGCGTTGCGTATGAGGGGCTCGCGGAACCAGAGTTTGTGTATCAGTCGTCATCGGGCGATGACTCATCTGAGGTGAAGCTGAGCATCATGCCTTTGATATTCGGTACGCTCAAGGCGACGGTGTTCGCGATGCTGTTCGCGATTCCGGTTGCGGTTTTTGCGGCGTTGTACTCCAGTGAGTTCTTGTCCAAGCGTGTTCGGAAAGTTGTGAAACCGACAGTTGAGTTGATGGCGAGTCTGCCTTCGGTGGTGCTTGGGTTTGTTGCGGCTATGGTGGTAGCGCCATTTGTTGCTGATGCGCTTGGACCGTTCTTGGTGGGGATGTTTGTGCTCCCGATCGGTGTGTTGTTTGGGGCGCATGTTTGGCAGTTGGTGCCGTTGTCAACACGATTGCGAATGCGGACGGGGCAACATCTGGCAATGGTGTGTGGTGTATTACTGCTGAGTATCGCTGGTGCGTGGTTCGCGGGACCGACGATTGTGAGTGTTGGGTTCTCGCCGGATTCGTTTGATCGTGCTTTGCTCAGTGGATCGGTCATACCTGTCGAGGCGGATCGTGTTCCTGAGTGGTCCGAAGATGCTGCGTACTCTATGGCGACACAGCGAAAGCTCCGCGCGATGGGGATGGGGGTCGTTGATGGCGAGATCGTTGAGCGTGATCCGAGCGTGTCGGTTTCCGATATGAGTGGCGGGGCGCTCGAAGGGGCTGATTTGCGTCGATGGCTCAATGGTGAGTATGGGACGGCAACACCTGGATGGGTGTTGTCGGTGTTTCCTTTATGCGCGATCGTGGTTTGGATTGTGCAGGTGCTTACTGTTCGGCGAACCATTGATGTTTGGCTGTCAGAACAAGGCGTGGGTGTGGTCGGTGTTGTGGTGCTCGCAAAGTTTGTGGCTCTGACACTGCTCAGTTTGGGGCTTGCGTATGTGGTGGGGCGATCGCTGACGGCTTTCGGTCTTGATCCGCGTGATTCGATCTTTGGGACTTTCAGTCCACGCAACACTTTGGTTGTCGCGGTCATCATGGGCTTTGCGGTGATCCCAATTATCTTCACGATTTCAGAGGATGCTTTGCAGGCGGTTCCAGATATGCTCCGCTCGGCGTCACTTGGCGCTGGCGCGACGCGATGGCAGACAGCGATGCGTGTTGTGCTCCCGGTTGCGGGGTCGGGTATTTTCTCGGCGTGCATGATCGGGTTCGGTCGTGCGGTTGGGGAGACGATGATCGTGCTGATGGCGACAGGGAATACGCCTGAGATGACATGGAATATTTTCTCGGGGTTCAGAACATTGGCGGCGAATATCGCGGTGGAGCTCCCTGAAGCTCCGAAGGACGAGACCCATTATCGCGTGCTGTTCTTGTGTGGATTTGTGTTGTTTGTGATGACCTTTGTGATCAACACGAGCGCCGAGGTGGTGCGTCGTGTGGTACGTGCAAGGAATGCCGGGCTGTGAGTGGTGATCGACAAGAATCCGGTGAAGGTGGTGCGAAGGTGGCTCGCCGTCGGACTCTGCCGAGTGCAGTGGGTGAGCCGATGGTGTGGCTGACTGGTTCGGCGCTGGTGCTGTGTCTCTTGATGATTGTGACACTCGCGACCCTTGTGGTGGTTAATGGGCTTCGAACATTCTGGCCTGGCGATATCGATCGTGTGACGCTTGATAGCGGCGAGGTCGTGATGGGCATCCGCACGGCTGAAGATAAACAGGGGCGGTATCTGTATCGCGTGGGAAATCGTGATATTGGACAGGAATCGTTCCGCTGGATCGATGGCGACAAGATCGCGCAGGTCGAGCAGCCTGAACACGCTGTTATGCTCGAGCGTGAGGCGTGGGGTGTGTGGTTTGGGATGCCTGAGTCTGTTTCCATGGAAGCGGATGATGGATCACTCACCGCCTTGAGTGAGGGTGCTGCTGAGACGCTTGACCAGTTTGCATCGCTGCATCCTGATGCACGAGGTCAGCGAGCGAAGGCAGAGTCGATGCGCAAGCGAGAACTCGGGAAGATCAATCACGGTATCGAGCATGCGCGACTCCGGATCGCAGGTGCGGAGATGGGGGTTGATCTGAGAGCGAATGCGAGCGATCGATTGGGGTGGTTGAGTTGGTCGGCCGTCTTGGTTGTTGTGGTGCTTGCAGGGTTCGTTTGGTGGGTGCGGCGTGAGGTGGGTGTGGGAATTGGCTCCTCTGGCGTGCGTCAAGGTAAGCTCACTCGATTTGGATGCGCACTGATCGTGGTCTTTGGACTCGTAGGGCTCTGGGTTGGAGCTCCCTGGCGGACGCAAGGTGTGACTGCCGCTGAGCGAGATGTGATCGTTGCTCAGATGGAACATGAGCAGGAACAGTTGCAGGCTGAGTACGAGCGTGTGCTTGCAGAGATCCGTATGAGCGAAGAGCAGGACAGCAAATTGCGATTGGTTGTTGTTGAACCAACTACTGATCGATTTGCACCGATTGCGCAGACGCGTGGTGATGAGCCGATGATGTTGAGCCAGGTGGTACGGCTCATTCCTGCGAATCAGTTGTCAGTGGTTGGTAAGACGAAGGTCTTCTTCAGTCGATGGTGGGAGTTCTTGTCGTCGGGACCGCGCGAAGCGAATACTGAGGGTGGGGTGTATCCGGTGATCGTGGGTACTGTGCTCATGACGCTGTTGCTCACAGTGTTCGTTACGCCTTTAGGAGTGATCGCGGCGTTGTATCTGCGTGAATATGCGAAACAAGGGTTTGGGACGAGTGTAATCCGTATCGCGGTGAACAATCTCGCTGGTGTACCCAGTATTGTCTATGGCGTGTTTGGGTTGGGGTTCTTCTGTTACACGGTTGGGCGGTATGTGGATACAGGACCTGTTGCAGGAACATCGCTACAGAGCGGCGTGTGGTGGTTGATGTTTGGCGCTGCAATTGTGACGGCGATAGTTTCTTTTGCGTTTGGATTGTGGGGGAAACCTGATCCTGGATCAACCCCGACGATTGGGAATCGTGTGCTTGCTCGCATGTCGTGGTTGGGTTGGGGGGTGACGGTGGTGCTTGCGGTGATGGTGCTATGGCGCACGCCTTACTTCGCGGGATTCTTTGGAGCGCGTGCTGCTGAGGGGTCGCCTACTTTCGGAGCACGCGGATTGTTGTGGGCATCGTTGACGCTGGCGCTGCTGACGCTTCCTGTCGTGATTGTCGCGACGGAGGAAGCGATCGCGGCGGTTCCCAACTCGATGCGCGAGGGGAGCTTTGGGTGCGGGGCGAGTAAGTGGCAGACGATTCGTCGCATCGTGCTCCCTGGAGCGCTGCCTGGGATATTGACGGGAGCGATCCTCGCGATGGCTCGTGGTGCTGGAGAAGTGGCTCCATTGATGCTGGTAGGGGCGGTGAAGCTGAATCAGGACTTGCCTGTCTCGACGACGGCACCGTTCTTGCATGCGGATCGGAGCTTTATGCATCTTGGATTCCATATTTACGATCTGGGCTTCCAGAGTCCTGATTCACAGGCGGCTCGACCAATGGTTTGGACCACCACACTGTTGTTTTTGTGTATTGTGTTTGCGCTGAACCTCGCGGCGATCCTGATTCGTGCGAAGTTACGCGGCCGGATGACGGGAGCAGCGATATGATCGAGGCGATGTCAGAAAAACGTTCGTCAACCAAGAGTGCTGTTGAGGTCAAAGCGCCGGAGGCTCCCGCTTCGACGGCACCTTCACCGGTGGTTCCAGGAGGGATGGGTGGAGAGCCGGCGCATTATGATGTGATTGATGCGATCCGGCGGGGTGAGTCGGTTGAGCCGACGGTGCACGAATCGATGTCCGAAGCGGATGCGGTGATCCAATCGGATGACTTCAAGCTTTGGTATGGGGATTCGCAAGCAATCCATGGGATCTCGATGGGGGTTCCTCGCGGTGCGGTGACGGCGTTGATCGGTCCTTCGGGGTGCGGGAAGTCGACCTTTCTGCGCTCAATCAATCGCATGAATGATTTGGTTGAAGGCGTCCGTGTCGAGGGTGGGATCACACTCAATGGATCTCCGGTGTATGAGCCGACGGTGGATGTGATTGAGCTGCGTAAGCGTCTTGGGATGGTGTTCCAAAAACCCAATCCATTCCCGATGTCGATCTTTGAGAATGTCGTGTATCCGCTGAGGATTGATGGGGAACGACGCAAGAGCGTGCTTCAAGAGGCGTGTGAGCGGAGTCTGAAGTCAGCGGCTTTGTGGGACGAGGTCAAAGATCGTCTGAAAGAATCGGCATTGGGTCTCTCTGGTGGTCAGCAGCAGCGTTTGTGTATTGCACGTGCTGTGGTCGCAGATCCTGAGGTGTTGCTGCTTGATGAGCCTTGCTCAGCGCTGGATCCGGTGGCGACGATCCGAATCGAGGAGCTGATCTCGGAGATCTCGGAGCGTTACACGGTGCTGATCGTGACCCACAACATGCAGCAGGCGGCTCGGGTATCGGACTACACAGCGTTCATGTATCTGGGACGGCTCGTGGAGTATGGTCCGACTGGAGATATCTTCCAAAATCCGAAGCTGATCGAGACGGCTCATTATGTTTCGGGTCGATTTGGATGATAGAACGTTCATTCTAGTGACGATAGTTTCGTCTGACAAAACCTGCTTGAAGATGACTTAAACTGATGTGTTTTGGTGGAGTAGATAGCACTGAGGCCGATATTTGTGACTAGGATTGAGGCTGGGTGTGTACCCAGTCGAGAAGTCCGATAGTCCTTCCTTATCGCGGTTTTAGGGCTGCGTAGGGAGTTGGCTGAAGGGTTGATATGAGTTCTGCGCCAAAACCGATCGTGCCTGCTGTGAATCAATGGAACGCTCAGTATCTTGAAGAGCAGCATCGGCTGTACTCGGCTGATCCCAACTCGGTAAGTGCTGATGTTCGGGCGTTCTTTCAAGGCTTTGAGCTTGCTGATGCTGGGGAGTTGACGCTCTTTGGTTCAGGGACTGCACCATCAGCGTCTACTTCATCAGAAGTGACTACTGGTCAAGCATGGGGAGGTGGATCTAGTGGGCCTGCTCAGGTATGGCAGGGTGGGCTCGGGGTCGCGGGTAAGGGCTCACATTTTGAAGCGGTCGTGAATGACTTCGTCAATGCGTATCGCGATCAGGGTCACTTGTGTGCTGATATTGATCCGTTCCATCGCGAGCGTCCTCGCCCGGAGATGCTATCGCTTGAACATCATGGACTGACTGAGTCGGATCTGGATCGCGTAGTCGATGGATCCGGGATGGGACTCGCGATGCAGGTCCCCCTTCGGGATGTGCTGAATCGGCTCGAAGAGGTGTACTGCGGCTCGATCGGTCTTGAGCTGATGCATGTCGCAGACACGGAGCAGCGCTCGTGGCTGGTGCATCGCTTTGAGATCGTGGGCGGGAAACTGCAGCTTGATCGCAAACAGAAAACAACGATTCTTGAGCAGCTCGTTCGCTCTGAGCTCATCGAGAAGTTCCTGGGACGGCGCTATCCGGGTGATAAGCGGTTCTCGCTTGAGGGCGGCGAGTCGTTGATCCCGATGCTGGATCAGTTGATTGTGACCTCGTCGGATCTGGGCGCGGAAGAGGTTGTGTTCGGGATGGCGCATCGTGGTCGTCTCAATGTGCTCAACAACACGATCGGCAAGACGTACGAGCAGATCTTCACGGAGTTTGAAGAGAACTGGTCGGAGGATTTTGTTGATGGTGGCGGTGATGTGAAATACCACCAGGGGTACTCCGGCACTCGCATGCTTCCCAACGGGAAGATGATCCATCTGGCGCTTGCGAGCAATCCGAGTCACCTTGAAGCGGTGAACGGCGTGATCGAGGGGCGGACTCGCGCTAAGCAGCGTTTGAAGGCGGACACGAAGCGTGAGCGCGTGATTCCTGTTTTGATTCATGGTGATGCGGCGGTTGTGGGGCAGGGGATTGTTGCGGAGGTCCTGAACTTCTCGCAGCTCGAGGGCTACACGACGGGCGGGACTGTCCATGTGGTAATCAACAACCAGATCGGGTTTACTACGATTCCTGAGGATTCGCGTTCGAGCCGATACTGCACGGATATTGGCAAGTCGATCGATGCGCCGATTTTCCATGTGAATGCTGAGGATCCCGATGCGGTCGTGACTGTGGCGCAGATTGCGATGGAGTTCCGTCAGCAGTTCAAGCGTGATGTGTTTATCGATCTGCAGTGTTTCCGTCGTTACGGGCACAACGAGCAGGACGAGACGAGCTTTACGCAGCCGCTGATGGCGAAGATGATCAAGAAGAAGCCTTCGGTGCTTAAGGTGTACACGGAGAAGCTGCTTGCTGAGGGTGTGATTCAGGAAGCAGATCGCGTTGCGATTGATGATCGGATCACGGAGACGCTTGAGCGTGCACAGCGCTCGGCGCAGGAGATGGCGAAGGACCCCTCGATTGATCCGGGGAGCAATCGCTGGGCGGGTCAGACGCACGAGTACAACTTTGATCAGATCGAGACTGGTGTGACGAAGGAAGCGATCGCAGAGGTCGCGGAATCGATCGGGCGTGTTCCTGAGGGATTCAACCTGAATCCGAAACTCAAGCGTTTGCTTGCTGATCGTGCGAATCTTGCGGATGCTGAGATGATCAGCTACGCGGATGCGGAGCAGCTTGCGTTTGGTACGCTGCTGGTTGAGGGGCATCCGATCCGTTTGTCGGGTCAGGATTGTCGTCGCGGCACGTTCTCGCATCGTCATGCGGTGGTGCGTGATTTGGAGACCGCGGAGCCGTATACGCCGCTGAATAACATTCGTGAGCTTGGTGAAGAGGGTACGGAGACCCCCGCCGGCTCCGAGGGCAGTGACGGGAAACCACGGCAAGCGAAGCTTTGCGTGTATGACTCGCCGTTGTCTGAAGCGAGTGTGCTCGGGTTTGACTATGGGTACTCGCTCGCTGATCCCAAGATGCTGGTCATCTGGGAGGCGCAGTTTGGCGACTTTGTCAACGGTGCGCAGGCAATCATCGATCAGTTCATTGCTTCCGCGGAGGCGAAATGGGATCGCTGGAGCGGTCTAGTGATGTTGCTGCCTCACGGGTATGAGGGCGCTGGTCCGGAGCACTCGTCGTGTCGAGTCGAGCGGTTCCTTGAGCTGTGCGGCGGGAACAACATGCAGGTGGTGAATCCGTCCACGGCGGCGCAGGTGTTCCACATGTACCGTCGTCAGATGAAGCGTTCGTTCCGCAAACCGCTGGTGGTCCTGACTCCGAAAAGCATGCTGCGTACTCCGACGAGTTCGCTTGATGAGATTCTGGGGAACGGGATGTTCCTTGACATGCTGGATGATCCGAGGTTCGCTCAGGATGGATGGGATCGTTCGGGCGTGCAGCGCGTGCTGCTTTGCAGCGGGAAGATCTACCACGAGCTAGATGCACGTCGGAGTGAGCTTGATCGTCGTGACACGGCGATTGTTCGCATCGAGCAGTTGTACCCGTTTAACGGGGACATGCTCCAGCAGATCATCGATCTGTATCCAAAGGGTGTCTCGGTGGAGTATGTTCAGGAAGAAACATACAACGCGGGCGCTTGGTTGTATGTGAGTGACATGGTTCAGGAGAAGCTGGGGTGGGCTCGTCCGGGGTACATCGGACGCGCCCGATCGAGCACTCCGGCGACGGGGTCGAAGAACCAGCACAAGAAAGAGCAAGAGCAGATTCTCACGCAGGCGATCGGTGCGAAGCCGGCGGAGTCTGATAGCAAATCAACAGTCGCGGCGGCGCGGGCGTAAACACACGCTCTGATCACGCAATAGCAAGGACGGCAACACCATGGCAACGAAGATCGAAATCCCAAGCGTCGGCGAGTCGGTGACTTCTGGCATTATCTCCGCGTGGAGCGTCGAGGACGGCGCGTATGTTGAGCGCGATGAGACGGTGCTTGAGCTGGAGACCGACAAGGTGACGATGGAAGTCCCGGCTCCGGCTTCGGGGATCGTCAAGCACAGCGCCGCGGAGGGCGACGAGGTCGATGTCGGTGCGGTGGTTGGTGAGATCGATGAATCGGCGGCGAAACCTGCGGGTGATGCTCCGGCTTCAAGCCCTGCTCCGGCAGCCGAGAGTGCGCCTGCTGCACCAGAACCAGCTCCTGCAGCGGCTCCGGCGGCGACTGCTGTTGCTGAACCGGTCGCGGCGGCTCCGGCTTCGAGCGGTGATGTGAAGGCGACGCCTTTGGCACGCAAGCTCGCTGAAGAGAAGGGGGTGAACCTCTCGCTCGTGACAGGCACCGGCGCGGGCGGGCGCGTTCGCGAGCAGGATGTGCTTGGGTTCGTGCAATCGGGAGCGAGCAGTGCTCCAGCTCCTGCAGCGGCCCCATCGGTTGGCGGCTCGCGTGAGGTCATGGTTGAGCGGATGAGTCCGATGCGTCAGAAGATCGCGTCGAGACTGGTCGAGGCGCAGCAGACCGCGGCGATGCTGACTACTTTCAATGAGGTCGACATGGGTGCGGTGATGGATCTCCGCAAGCAGCACAAGGAGCAGTTTGCTGAGAAGCATGGGGTTGGGCTTGGGTTCATGTCGTTCTTTGTCAAGGCGTGTGCTCAGGCGCTGCAGAAGTTCCCGCTGATCAATGCGTACATCACATCGGGACCTGACGGGAAGCCTGCGATTGAGAAGCATGAGTATCAGGACATCGCGATCGCGGTGGCGGGTCCGAAGGGGCTTGTGGTGCCGGTGCTTCGCAATACTGAGGTCATGAGCTTTGCGACGATCGAGTCGACGATCAAGGACTTTGGCAAGCGTGCACGCGAGAACAAGCTTGATATCAGCGAGATGATGGGCGGGACTTTCACGATCACCAACGGCGGGATCTTTGGTTCGTTGATGTCTACGCCGATCCTGAATCCGCCTCAGAGTGCGATCCTTGGGATGCACGGCATTAAGAAGCGTGCGGTCGAAGATCCGAACAATCCGGGTCAGATCGCGCTGCGTCCGATGATGTATCTGGCGCTGAGCTATGACCATCGCATTGTTGATGGTGCGGAAGCGGTGCAGTTCTTGGTGAGCATCAAGGATGCGATCGAGGATCCGGCGCGGTTGATGCTGGATCTTTGAGAAGATGCCGCATTCGAAAGCCAAGAAAATCAGAGAAGCAATCAGCAAGACTGATCAGATATTGTTCGAAGAGTGGGATCCGATCGGGGTCAACGAAGATCCTGAAACCGCTAGTGAATACAGCTCATATGCACCGGCGCTGTTCAATATAGCGAGGCGCGGAAATATCCAGAGCGTCATCGATCAGTTGCAGACTATTCAAACAGAGTACATGGGTTTGAGTCATATGGATCCTGGCAGTGATCTGAGGATTGCGCAGAAGTTGGTAGATATTGCCAGTCAACTAGATTGTGACTAGGACACCGCGTTGAGCAGTCCCTCGCAGGCGCGGGTGAGCATGTGGTAGACCTTGTCGAATCCGTCGTCTCCGCCGTAGTAGGGGTCAGGGACATCTTGGGGTTTGGGGAGCGATGGGTCGAAGGATCGCATGAGGGCGAGTTGTGATTTGGGTGTTCCGAGGTCGAGGAGGTCTCGGTGGTTGGATTTGTCCATCGGGATGATGTGGGTGAAGCGTTCGATGTCGGTGTTTGGGTCGAACTGGCGGGCGCGTTGGTTGGTGATGTCGATGCCGTAGAGGGAGGCGGTTTGGATGGAGCGGGGGTCTGGTGGGTTTCCGACGTGCCATGCTCCGGTGCCGCAGGAGTCGATGTGGAACTTGTGTGCGAGGTTGTTCTGGTTGACGAGGTGCTGGAAGATGCCGTGTGCGAGGGGGGAGCGGCAGATGTTTCCGAGACAGACGAAGAGGACGGTGTGTTGGTCGGGCATGAGCGAGTTTACGCGTGGGCTGGCTGCGGGGAGTTTGCAGTGGACTTCATACGCTCAACAATCGCGTCCATCTCGTCGAGGAGTTGTCCCGCTGATCCTTGGGCTCTTGAGAATCCGGCTTTCCCTGAGTGGCGTAGGTTGAGCTTGGGGACGTCGGCACGCTCGAGGTAGCGGTCAAGGAGCTGGGTTGAGCCTGATATTTCATCGGTGGGGTGGATGTAGGCATCAAGGAGCGGGAGGAGATGTGGGAGGGGTTCTGAGGTGGTCATGAGTCGGAAAGGCTCGTCGAGTCCTCGATGATGTCGGAGTGCTTGGTTGAGATTCTTGGCGGTGTTGGGAACGATCCCGAGGGTTTGGTATCCGGATACGGCGAGTAGGCCGAGCAGGAACGCGAACTCGCGGGCGTCGACATGCGATGGGTTGTCAGCGACAGCAGCTATAACAATGGTTTTGTCGTCGATATCGATCGCAGCGCGTTTGGAGATGCGTTCTGTCGGTGTAGGTGTCCTGGGATCAAGAAGCGGAGTGAGCAGGTGATCGGTTTGGCAAGTGTGTCGGTAATCATTCCAGAGATCGAAATCGTCAGACTCGAAGACACGGATCGAGTCGATATTTTGAGGGGGCTTTTGAAGAGTTGATGGTTTGGTAGAAATGAGTTCAATAGGGATTTCGAGATGAGCTGCGGTAGCGGAGGCTTGCGAGATGAGTTCGTCGGACCAGCAGACAACTCTTGTAGGTATAAAGTGATCGTTCTTGAGATGACTAACGATTTGGCGTTTGAGTATGTTCTTGCTGGCGAGTAGGGGCGCGATGTGATGCTCAATCGGGAGTCCAAGCAGCGCTGCGGTTGATTTGGTTGATGCGTCTCCGACCAGAATCACCTTGCTGTCCGGAGGGGGTGGGGTGAGATCGTGTTCGATCGCACGGGCAAGCAGCAGAGAGGGGATCGTGCGTCCGAAGTGATTGGGAGCGCCCTCGTGGATGGACGGAGGGGCGATGAGATGAACCACGCCTGTGTTGGTTGGGTTTGGGGAGATCATTGCTCAGGTATTGTACTCAATAGAGTCTTAGCGGCGATTGAGTACGGTTTCGGTGATCTCGTGGCGGTAGAAGAGTTGTGAGAGACCAAGTCCTGCTCGGACGGCGAGTTGCTGTTCGACCCCCAGTTGGTCAGCGCTGGTTTGTGGAGTTTGGCCTGGGAGTTGTGGGATTTGGATCTCGACTGGGTGTCCGAACTCTGATTCGGGCCACACTCGGCGTCCTTTGGATACATCGATGAGTTTGACTCTGAGTGACGCTCGTGGGATGTATGAACCCGATTCAGGGGAGAGTGAAAAATCTGTCACCACGGCATAGATCACAAAGTCAGCACCTACGGATTCTCCGAGCTCCGAGATGCTCATGCGCTGCGAGTGGGAATCCTTGGTCGCGGCTGCGATGATCCCTCTGGGCTCGAGCATATCTGTGAGTACGCGTTTCTCAAGGAGTTGATCCGTCGCGGTATCAGCCATGGCGTAGCGGAGTCGGCGTTGAGCGATTTTGCTTGATGGGTCATCAACGAAGACGACGGTTGTTGCGTGTTCTTCGAGTGTGTATTGAGGGTTGATTTTCTCAGGGCCATGAATCGCGTATGCGACTGGAGCGACGAGATTGCATCCTGGGATGGATGCGACAGCGGCCAACGCGGCGAGGAGTACGAGTGCTTTGTGGATGTGGTTGATCATGATCGGGTCTTCAGTTTGGTATCAGTATGCGATGATGTTTGGTTCCTCGTGCTCGTAGAACAACCATGCGGCTCTGTTGATGAAGCGGTTTGAGAGTTCCGCGGTCACAGCAGCTTCGGGGATATCACTCCGCATGAAACCTGTTGAGTCTGGGAAGGAGATACTGAGTGCTTTCTCAAAGATCGGATCGTTCGGAAGAGCGCTGTCGGATTCGTACACGGAAATAACTCCAGCTACAGCACCATCCCAGATATACTGGTTGCCTGGCTCGTGCAATCGGTAATCCACGATCTCGATCACCACGAGTCGCTCAACGCCGAGGAGGTTAGCAATATCTTCGCGGGTCATCGCGGGCCACTGCGGGGTGTTGTAGAGGACCGTGAGTAGATCAGACGAAGGGATTGCGTAGGACGGATTCGCGTTCTGGATGAGTCGGTCGTTGACGCGTTGGGTGATTCGTGCGGTGATTCCCGGGTGCTCGGCTTCGATCGCTCGTGATGCGGAGCAGACGACAGCAAAGGAGTGTCCGGCGATGCGTTCGTACTCGGCGGGGTAGGTGGTTGATCCAGTCCGGTGGTGGGACTCGGCCATGCCTCCGATCATCGCGGGGATGATGCAGCCGGGGATCGAGAACAAAGAGATCATCGCGAGCAGCGCTGATGCGGTGAGTGATAAACGGATGGGGAGTGATCGGTTCATGGTAATTGTCCGTGTTCGGTCCATGTGGCGATTTTATAGATCCATGCACCTGCGGTGAGGACCAGCATCGCGATGACCAGCTTGGGTCGTAGTGCGGTTTGTACGACCGATCCTATACGCGAGGCGTAGACCGCCTGATGCGTTGAAGCCCAGAAGATCATGGTTGTGAGGAGTGCGAGCAGGGCTCCCATGGGTTGTGTGAGGGTCGCGGTGATCCATGAGCCCTCTCCGGCGTGGGAGAACGCGGTGGTCATGCCGCAGGTGGGGCAGGGCTTGTCGAACGAGATAACCCAGGTACATTGGGGCATACCGAGCTGGGTGTGGGTGGCGTGACCCTGTGGGTTGGGGTTGAGCCATGCTGATGTGAAGAGGACGAATAAGGAGAATGCGGCGATGACAGCGGCGGCGATTCGCTCTCCGGTGGTGGCGCGGAGTGGGGTAGTTCGTTCTTTGGGTTGGATCGCGGCTGTGTCCACTAGTCGAACTTGAAGACGCCTTTGCGGTAGCCGTAGATGTACGCGACGACGGTGGTGAGCATGAAGAAGAAGATTCGGAGGAGCCAGATGGTGGAGGCGTCGGAGCGTGGGTCGAGGGAGGTGAAGGTTTGGGCCCATGGGTAGAGGAAGATGACTTCGATATCGAATACAAGGAAGACCATCGCGATGAGGTAGAAGCGAATATTGAAGCGTTTGCGGGCGGTGTTGATCGGGGTCATCCCAGATTCGTAGGTGACACCTTTGCGAGCACCTTCTCGGCGTGGGCCGAGGATTGCGGAGCCGACAAGGTTCATGACGGCGAATCCTGCCGCGGCGAGGAGCATGAAGAAGATGGGGAGGTAGGCGTTGATCGCGTTGCTTGCGAGTGTGATGGACTGCATCGTCAGACTCCGGATCGGTCGGTGTGTTCGGCATCCTTGCCGAGTGGTTGGATGATAGCAGGGATTGTGGGGGTTGTGGGGCTGGAATGGGGTTGATGGTGGCTGCCAGGTTGGCAGGGGGAAGCAGTGGGATCACTGGTTGGCGGGGAGGATTTGTGGAAATGGGGAGTGTTTTCTGAGCTTAGGGATCGCTGGGTTGGCATGGGGATTGCCATTGGTATGGGTGCATTGCTGCGCTTGCAGTTGCTTAAACGAATGAACGAGGCCGTGGGATAGCGGCTGATCGGGTCGAGATGACCCTCTAGATATGGAGAATCCGCGATGGGAAGCAAGGAACTGACCTTTGATATCGAGGCACGGCAGGCACTTTTGGCGGGGGTTGAGAAGCTCGCCGCGGCGGTGAAGGTGACGCTTGGGCCTCGCGGTCGCAATGCGGTGATCGACAAGTCGTGGGGTGGTCCGACGGTGACCAAGGACGGCGTTTCGGTTGCTGAAGAGGTTGAGCTGGTCAACAAAGCGGAGAACATGGGCGCGAAGCTTGTGAAGGAAGCGTCCTCGAAGACCTCCGATGATGCTGGCGACGGCACTACCACGGCGACTGTGCTCGCTGAGGCGCTGTTTAAGGAAGGGCTGCGTTACATCGCTGCTGGGGTCGATGCGAATGCGTTGGTTCGCGGCATGAAGAAGGGGATCGAGATCGCGGCTCAGTCGATTGACGACATGGCGACTCCGGTTCAGGGGAAGAAGGACATCGAGAATGTTGCGACGATCTCGTCGAACAACGATCCGGAGACCGGCAAGATCATGGCTGGTGCATTCGAGAAGGTCGGCAAGGACGGCGTGATCACGGTTGAAGAGGGCAAAGGGCTCGAGACCGATGTGACTGTGGTCGAGGGGATGCAGTTTGATCGTGGGTTCTTGTCGCCAAACTTTGTGACTGATGTTGAGGACATGAAGGTTGTGCTCGACAAGTGTCTCGTGCTGGTGCATGAGGACAAGATTGACAATATTCAGAAGCTTGTCCCGTTGCTTGAGAAGGTCATGGAGGCGAAGAAGCCACTGCTGATCATCGCTGAGGACATCACGGGTGAGGCGCTTTCCACGCTGGTGATCAACAAGCTCCGCGGCACGCTTCAGGTGTGCGCGGTCAAGGCGCCGGGGTACGGCGATCGTCGCAAGCAGATGCTGCAGGATATTGCTGTTCTCACGGGCGGCGAGGCGTTTATGAAGGATCTGGCGACGGATCTGGACAAGGTCTCGATCGCTCAGCTTGGTCTTGCGAAGAAGGTTGAGATCAGCAGCGACAACACGACCATCATCGAGGGTGCGGGTTCGACTTCGGATATCCAGAGCCGCATTGCTCAGATCCGCGCAGAGATCGATAACTCGACCTCGGATTACGATCGCGAGAAGCTCCAGGAGCGTCTGGCGAAGCTGACAGGCGGCGTTGCTCAGATCAATGTCGGCGCGGGATCGGAAGCGGAACTCAAAGAGAAGAAGGCACGCGTCGAGGACGCGCTGCACGCGACTCGTGCGGCGCTCGCTGAGGGCATCGTCGCGGGTGGCGGGACCAGTTTCATCCGTGCTCAGAATGTCATCGCGAAGAACAAGGACTGGAAGGGTGTGTTCGGCAAGGCGACTGAGGTGTCGTCCGATGATGTCGGACAGCTCAAATACGACTTCGCGGCTGGACTCAATGTCGTGTATCGCGCCCTCTCCGTCCCGCTTCGCACGATCGCGGAGAACGCGGGGGCAAAGGGATCGGTCGTGGTTGCGAAGGTCTCGGACGCTGAGGGTTCCAACGGCTACAACGCGCTGACCGATACCTACGAGGACCTGCTCAAGGCGGGCGTGATGACTCCGGCGAAGGTCGATCGTTCGGCGCTTGTGAATGCGGGATCGGTCGCGACTGTGCTGCTTGCTGCGGATTGCATTGTGACGGACAAGCCTGAGAAGGGTGTGTCGGATGATCACGGTGCTGGCGGCGACCCGATGGCGGGTATGGGCGGCATGGGTGGTATGGGCGGGATGGGTATGCCTGGAATGGGCGGCATGGGCGGAATGCCTGGTATGGGTGGGATGGGATTCTAAACATGGAGATCACCCAATGAATGAAGAGAATGTGACCGTGAAATATCCCAAGTCTTTCCCGTTCTTCGATGATGAACTAGAAGTTGCTTATTCACCAGAGGATGACAATGGTCAAGTTGTAGCTAGCTGTGAGTATGTGCTCTTTGGAGAGAATATCTTTGTACAGAGCGAGCCGGCTTGGCCTCCGTCACAAGCCGTTGAATTGTTAGATCGAGAATTAGTCTCGGCAATCCAGCATAAGCCTTTTTATGAAACACAAGGTTTTGAAATTTCGCATGATACTAGTTTCGATTCAAGAAACTCCATTCTCGGAAAACTCCCAGTTGTAGACTCCAAAATTACAATTGGAATTGAACTAGATGGGCTTGCGACATGGCATACTTGGGTTGAATCAATTAACGGAGAAACTTCGCTTGTTCCTGAATCTTTCAGGAGAGGTGGAATCGACGCAAAAACATTCACAGATGTGTCGCCACAGACAGCGCGCCTTGGCATGTATGACGCGTATTGGCAGCACCTGATACAGCAGGAGAATTAACAAATGTCAGTCAAACCACTTGAAGATCGTGTGCTGGTGAAGCCAGTGGAGCAGGAATCGATGACCTCTTCCGGGCTGTACTTGCCTGAGTCGAGTAAGGAGAAGCCGATTCAGGGGACGGTCGTTGCGGTCGGGCCTGGGAAGCGGCTTGAGAACGGCACGCTCGGTGAGATGAGCGTGGGTGTTGGTGATCGTGTGGTCTACTCGACCTACGCGGGCACTGAAGTTGATATCGATGGCGTAGAGCATCTGATTCTCCGTGAATCAGAACTGCTCGGCGTTTTCGCATAAGAGTTGAACGCATCGGCGGTGAACGCCGCTGATTGAAAGGTAGAGCGATGAGCAATAAACAGATCATGTTTGAAGACAAGGCGCTTCTTGAGATGAAGAAGGGCGTTGATAAGCTGACCGATGCGGTCAAGTGCACGATGGGGCCTGCGGGTCGGCATGTCGTGATCGAGAAGTCGTACGGCGGTCCGCATGTGACCAAGGACGGTGTTTCGGTTGCGAAGGAAATCGAACTCCCATCACAGTTTGAGTCGATGGGCGCGAAGATGCTGCATCAGGTTGCGAAGAAAACCGCTGACAAGGCGGGCGACGGCACGACCTGTGCAACGGTCCTCGCTCAGGCGATCTTCACCGAAGGGCTGAAGGTAGTCGCGGCGGGTGCGAACCCTGTGCATGTCCAGCGCGGCATCAACAAGGCAGCACAAGCAGCGAGCGAAGCGATCGACTCGCTCGCGACCCCATGCAAGGGCAAGGCGGATCTCAAGAAGATCGCGACGGTCTCGGCGAACCACGACGAGAAGGTCGGCGAGCTGATCGCGGAAGCGATCCATAAGGTCGGTCACGAGGGCGTGGTCGAGATCGAGAACGGCAACTCCAACGAGACGACGCTTGAGTATGTCGAGGGGATGCAGTTTGATAAGGGGTACTTGTCGCCTTACTTCATGACGAATCCGACGACTGGTGAGTGTGAGCTTGAGGATCCGATGATCCTGATCCACGAGAAGAAGATCAGCAATCTTGCGGATCTGCTCCCGCTGCTCAATAAGGTCGCGACTGCTGGGAAGCCGTTGCTGATCATCGCTGAGGATATCGAGAACGAGGCGCTCGCGGCTCTGGTTGTGAATCGTCTGCGTGGCACGCTCAATATCTCCGCTGTGAAGGCGCCTGGGTTTGGTGATCGTCGCAAGGCGATGCTGGAAGACATCGCGGTCTTGACTGGCGGCGTGTACTTCAGCGAGGATCTGGGCCGTTCGCTTGAGTCGATCGAGCTCAACGAGCTTGGGAAGGCGAAGAAGGTCACGATCTCCAAGGACAACACCACCATGGTCAAGGGTGGCGGCAAGAAGGCGGAGATCGCGGCTCGTGCGGCGACCATCAAGGCGCAGCACGACAAGTCGACCAGCGATTACGATCGCGAGAAGCTCATGGAGCGTCACGCGAAGCTGACTGGTGGCGTTGCGATCATCAATGTCGGTGGTGTCACTGAGCAAGCGATGAAGGCGACCAAGGACCTTGTTGAGGACGCGATGCACGCGACTCGTGCGGCCGCGAAGGAAGGATTCGTTCCTGGCGGCGGCGTGACGCTGATCCGTGCTTCGGACATGCTCGGCGCTGCTCAGAAGAAGGTCAAGGGCGACGAGAAGTTCGGCTTTGACATCGTGATGCGTGCGATGTCCGCTCCGGCGTGGCAGATCGCGGACAATGCTGGGTTTGATGGCGATCTCGCTGTGGAAACCATCCGCGAGGAAGAAGGATCGGTCGGACTCAACGCGGCGACTGGGGATTATGTTGACCTGGTCAAGGCGGGGATCATCGATCCGGCACTCGTCGCGAAGAGCGCGATCGTGAACGCAGCGTCTGTTGCGGGCTTGATGCTCACGACGGATGTGATGCTGACTGAACTCAAGGAAGACGCGGAGCCGGTCGTTGGAGCGGTGAGCTGATTCTTGTATGATGATTTACCAGACCCCCGCTGGAGACGGCGGGGGTTCTGATTGAAATGTGTTGTTCAGGAGACTGACATGTCAGTAAACCAGTTTGTAGCCATTTCGCGCGAGAAGTTACCATCGGTTGCTGATTGGGAAAATGCTGTAAAGAAGATCGGATTTGATGTACGGATTGATCCCGTAGATATTGCAAGTCACACTGGATATTTGCCTGTACAGTTCTTGGATCAAAGCACAGGCTTTGAACTGTATGTGATCGGCACTCAAGAAATTGAAGGGATTGAGATCGATCTTGCCAGACACGATCTGGTAGTACAACTCACCACATTTAGTGATGAGCTCGAGGGCCAGTGTGCGATGGTTTGTGCGGCTGGATTGATCGCATGTTGCGACGGCATTTATTTTGATGAGGATGCTCAGGTATTCCATGATGCTTCTGAATTGCTTGGGATAGCTAAGGAATGGATAGCTGGGAGTTAAGGAATCGCATGACGACTACACGCGACTATTACGAGGTATTGGGGGTAGACAAATCTGCGGATGCGGATGAGATTAAGCGCGCGTATCGGCGTCTGGCGATGAAGCACCATCCGGATAAGAATCCGGATGACAAGGAAGCGGAAGCGAAGTTCAAGGAAGCCGCGGAAGCGTATGAGGTGCTCAGCGACGACAATAAGCGGAAGATCTATGACCAGTACGGGCATGATGGTCTGCGTGGTCAGGGGGCGGCGACGCATGACTTTAATCGGATGAATGTCGATGACATCTTCTCGATGTTCAACGACATCTTCGGTGGTGGGGGCGGCGGCTTCGGTGGTCAGGCGCGTGGCGGTCGTCGGGCGTCGGCTCGTGGGTATGACCTTGAGACGCAGGTGTCACTGACGCTTGAAGAGGTGCTCAGCGGGGCGACGAAGGATGTTGAGTTCACGCGGATGGATGTCTGCGAGACGTGCACTGGATCGGGCGCGAAGCCTGGGACGACTCCGGAGTCGTGTGGTCAGTGTGGCGGTCAGGGGAAGGTCCAGCAAGCGGGGCTTGGTGGGATGTTCCGGATGGTCGTCGCGTGTCCGGCGTGTCGGGGACGCGGGACGGTGATCAAGGAGAAGTGCGGGTCGTGTCATGGACGCGGGCGTGTTGGGAAGAAGCGTTCGCTTTCTGTGAAAATCCCGGCGGGCGTGCATCATGGTCAAGCGGTGCGCGTGCAGGGTGAGGGGGAACCGCCTGCGGCGGAGCACAGTCCGGATGGGACTGGGGTTCGTGGCGATCTGCATGTCGTGGTGCGTGTTGAGGATCATGAGCTGTTTGAGCGTGATGGGGATCATCTGCTGATGGAGATGCCGATCAGCTTTACGCAGGCGTCGCTCGGCGCGGAGCTTGAGGTCCCAACGCTTGAGGGGTCCGAATCGCTGACGATCAAGAAGGGGACGCAGTACGGCGAGCTTTTGCGGATCGAGGGGGCGGGGCTCCCGAATCTGCGGACTGGTCGTCGCGGGGATTTGGTAGTGATCGTGAAGATCGAGACTCCGAAGAAGCTGACGAGCAAGCAGGAAGAGCTCCTGCGTGCGTTTGCGGAGACTGAGGACAAGCATGTGAATCCTGAGAGCCATGGATTCTTCAAGAAGATCACGGATCTGTTGGGTGGCTCATGATGAGTGAAGATATGAAGAACAAGGTTCAAGAGCACGAGATCGATGAGGTGAGTTCTGAGGAGATCAGCGAGATCGAATCGGGGTTCGATGCGGACAAGTCCGCACGGTTTGAGACAATCCGTCAGATGGCGCTGAGCGGCGAGCTTGAGTATGGTCCTGAGAGCGAGGAGATTGTTGAGACGCTGATCGAGACGATCGGTCAGCGGGACGACAACTTCGGTCGCTTCCAGGCGATGGCGGCTGAGCATCAGAACTTCCAACGCCGAGCTTCGATGAACGAGAACGAGGCGCGGATCTCGTCGCGTCAGGGAGTGGTGCAGGCGTTGATCCCGCTGATGGATCACTTCGAGATGGCGCTGATGCAGGATCCGGAGAAGGTATCAGCGAAGGATGTCATCGCGGGTGTGGAGATGATCCGGAGCGAGTTCCTGCGGATGCTGTCGGGGTACGGCGTGAGCGCGATTGAACCTAAGGTCGGCGATGTGTTTGATCCTGGTCCGCACGCGGCGATGATGCAGCAGGCGGGTGAGGGGATCGAGCCGGGGCATATCTCGGTGGTGATGGGGGTTGGGTATAAGCTCGGCGATCGGGTGATCCGTCCCGCGAAGGTGGGGGTTGCTCCGGAGGCATCGGATTCTGATGAGGCCTCAACTGGTGAGGGCGAGTAACGATGCCTACGTATGACTACCGATGCAACGCGTGCGATCATGAGTTCGAGCTGTTCCAGTCGATGAGTGCTGGGGTGAAGAAGAAGTGTCCCGAGTGCGGGAAGATGGCGCTTGAGCGGCTCATTGGTACTGGCGCGGCGGTGATGTTCAAGGGGTCGGGGTTCTACGAGACCGATTACCGGAGCGATTCGTACAAGAAGAGCGCGGAAGCGGACAAGAAGGCGTCGGAGACCAAGCCGGAAACCAAAACAAAGTCAGAGAGCAAGACCGATTCGAAAGCTGGAAAGAAGTTCGAATCAAAGTCTGCGCCGAAGACGAAAGCTGAGTCGAAGAAATGAGCGGCGCTGCTCGAGGGATCATCGGTCACGGGGTGGACATCGTTGAGGTTGCGCGGATCGAGCAGTCCCTCCAGAAGCATGAAGAATCGTTTCTCAAGAAATGCTTCACCCAACAAGAGGTGAATGATTCGGGTGATTCCAGTCGACGCGTTGAGCATCTCGCGGCGCGGTTTGCGGCGAAGGAAGCGGCGCTCAAGGCGATCGGGACGGGGTGGAGTCAGGGGATCGGGTGGACGGATGTCGAGGTCGTTCGGCTCGACTCTGGGAAACCTGAACTCCGCGTGAGCGGAAAGGCGCAGGAGATCTCTGAGTCGATGGGGATCGATCGGTGGTTTGTGTCGCTGTCGCATACGAAGTCGGACGCGATCGCTTCGGTCATTGCTGAGGGAGTTGTTTGATGACGCTTCCCAAGGTACTCATGACGGACGTGATCCGCTCGACTCAACAGGGGGACTCGCACGGCGGGGCGTACCTGATCGATCTTGAATCGGGCGCGCATGAGCAGGTTCTGGACTGGAATCGGGTGGATATCGACTGGGAAGGGCGCGGGATGGGGCGTGGGTTGCGGGGGATCTGCTTTGTCCATGACGAGATCTATATCGCGGCTTCGGATGAGCTGTTCGTCTTTGATCGCGATTGGAACATTGTTCGATCGTTCAAGAATCGGTTCTTGCACCACTGTCACGAGATTTCGTATGACGGGGAGCGGTTCATCTATCTGACCTCGACGAGCTTTGATTCGGTGCTGCGGTTTGATACGCAGACGAACGAGTTTGATCGCGCGTGGTGGTTCGGGGTTGGGAATGGGACGGTTGGCTGCAAGGAATATGATCCGAATGGCGAGCAGGGGCCGCCGCATGCGGACACGCTGCATCTGAATCAGGTGTTTGTGCATGGTGGGGTGGTGTATGTCTCGGCGCTGCTGCTCGGGATGATGTGGAGCGTTGACGTACGGACTGGTCAGGTTTCGATGTTTGCCAAGATCCCGGTCAAGACGCACAACTGTCAACCCATCAGCGGGGGGCTGGTGCTGATGAACTCGACGGGGGAGGATTGTGTCGTGATCTCGGATCGGCGCGGCAAGATCATGAAGCGGTTCTCGTATCCGATCTATGACGAGGCGGAGCTCGCGCATGCAGGGATCAGCGAGGACTTTGCGCGACAGGGGTTTGGGCGCGGATTGTGTTTGGCGGGTGATGGGGGGCTGGTGATCGCGGGGTCGTCTCCTGGGACGGTGAGCGCGTTTGATCGCAAGTCTGGTGAGATGGTTGCGTCGGTGAATGTGTCGATGGATATCCGCAATGCGCCGCATGGGCTTGAGGTTTGGCCTTGGTGGTGAGTCCTGTTTGCGATGGTGCTCGCGAGCGAGTACGCTGCTTGGATGAACAGGAGCTTTGAATGAATCTTGGTTTTGGATTGACCCGGTCGCTGTTGAAACGTGCGGGGCGTGTGCTGATTGAGGACGACTCGCGGAGTTATCGCGGGATTGATCTGCTTGTTGCGGGAGCGCATATCGCGGATGTTGTGGACGGGGCAGCTTCGCCGAGGATCGGGATCTTGGTTCCGACATCGGGCGGGTTTGCTGCCGCGGCGTATGGGGTTTGGCTGAGCGGCAAGACGATCGTGCCTTTGAACTATCTGAGCGAGCAGGAGACGCTCGATTACATCATCGAAGATGCGGGGTGTGAGCTGGTGCTCGCGTCTCGTCGTCTTGTTGAGCATCTGGGGTTTGTGCCAAAGTGCAAGCGGATTGTGTATCTGGAGGACCTGAACTTCAAGTCGCTCCCGAGTCCGCGTCTACCCAAGATAGTGGGGTTCGAGGAACTCGCGGTGGTGCTGTACACGTCGGGGACTTCTGGGAAACCCAAGGGTGTGATGCTGACACACTCGAACATGCTGAGCAATGTGAAGCAGGTTCATGAGCACATCGCGATCGAGCCGGGAGATGTGTTCTTGGGTGTGCTGCCTCAGTTCCATTCGTTCGGGATCACGGCGTTGACGCTGTTGCCTTTGCTGTATGGGTGCAAGGTGGTGTACTCGGCGCGGTTTGTTCCCAAGCGTGTGATCGAAGCGATCGAGAAGCACGGCGCGACAATCTATGTCGGGATCCCGTCGATGTACAACGCGTTGATGACGGTCAAGAGTGTTCAAGAGGATTCGTTCAAATCGTTACGGCTTGCGATTAGTGGTGGGGAGCCGCTGCCGAAGGATGTTTCGGATCGGTTTTATGAGCGGTTTGGTAAGCGGATCTGTGAGGGGTACGGGATGACGGAGACGGCTCCGGTGACCAATGTGATGCTCCCGAATGAGAACCAGAAGATCGGCGCGGTGGGGAGAGCACTGCCTGGCGTGGTGCAGCGGATTGTTGATCCCGAATCTGGGCGTGATGTTGGGTTTGATGTTGATGGTGAGCTTCGCATTGGTGGTCCCAATGTGATGAAGGGGTACCTGAATCTTCCGGAGTTGACTGCGGAGGTGTTCGATGAGTTTGGGCATCTGAAAACCGGTGACATGGCGCGGATTGATGAAGACGGGTTCTTGTCGATCACGGGGCGGATTAAGGAGATGCTGATTGTGGGGGGCGAGAACGTGTTCCCGCGCGAGATTGAGGAGGTGCTCAACGCGCATCCATCGGTCGCGGCTTCGGGGGTGGTGGGTCAGTCCGATCCGATGCGAGGCGAGGTGCCTGTTGGTTTTGTGGAGCTTGAGGAGGGGGAGTCGCTAGAGGGTGATGAGCTGATCCGATGGTGCCGAGATCGGCTAGCGGGGTACAAGGTCCCTCGGCGCGTGGTGGTGCTTGAGGAGATGCCGAGAAACCCGACTGGGAAGGTACTTCGCAGGGCATTGTCAGAGATGCTCAAGGAAGAGATTGCCTAGAGTCTTTCGACGCGGTTGGTGCTGCGTTGAACTTCCCCAAACCACACCCAAAGAACACGCTCGGAGACCGGCATGGAACTGTACATCGACACCGCGAATCTCGATGAAATCAAGGAAGCACACGATCTTGGCGTGCTTGATGGAGTGACCACGAATCCATCATTGATCGCGAAAGAGGGCATCGATTACGGCAAGCGTCTTGAAGAGATCTGCGGCGTGGTTTCTGGTCCGGTCTCGGCGGAAGTGATCGCGCTTGAGTACAAGGAAATGGTGACCGAGGGCAAGATGCGAGCGGGGATCGCGGACAACATCGTGGTTAAGCTGCCTGTTACCGTTGACGGGCTCAAGGCGTGCAAGGCGCTGAGCGATGAGGGCATCCGGACCAACATGACGCTGTGCTTCCAACCGATGCAGGCGATGATGGTTGCCAAGGCGGGGGCGTACCTGATCTCGCCGTTTATTGGTCGTCTGGATGACATCTCGCAGGACGGGACGGAACTGATCTCGCAGATCCGCACAATCTACGACAACTATGGATTTGATACCAAGATTCTCGCGGCTTCGATCCGTCATCCCAAGCACATGCTCGAGTGTGCGCTAATTGGTGCTGATGTGGCGACGGTGCCGCTGAAGGTGATCAAGCAGTTGATGCATCACCCGCTCACGGACAACGGCTTGAAGCAGTTCCTTGAGGACTACAACAAGGCGTTTGCTTGATCCGCTCTGACTCGTTTAGTCGCTGACTTCAAACAGGAACTCGATCTCCACTGGAACGTTGCGTGGGAGCGATGCCACGCCCACGGCGGCGCGTGCGTGTTGTCCGATGTCTTGTCCGAAGATCTCGACAAGGAGGTCGGAGCAGCCGTTGGCGATCTGGGGCTGGGCGCCGAAGTCTGGTGCAGCGGCGACGAAGACTCCGACTTTGACGACCTTGGTGACTTTGTCGAGATTCCCGATCGCGTCATTCAGGGCGGCGAGTGCGTTGAGTGTGCACTGACGAGCGCAGGCGACGGCCGTTGCTTCTTCGACGTCGGTGGGGACGATTCCTGTCGCGATGAGTTTGCCTTCGCTGATGGGGATCTGTCCTGAGATGTGGATAAGGGATCCGGTCTGGCGGGTGGGTACGTAGGAGGCGAGGGGCTTTGTTGCTTGGGGTAGGGTAATATTGAGATCGCTAAGGCGTTGAGAAATGGACATTTGTGTATAAATTTCTTGGATTGGCCCATTTGGCTGTCAAAATGGGGGTTTCTGGGGGGTGGTTGTTTGGGGGTTGTGGAACCTGGGTGGCTTGTCTGGCGTATGGTATTCACGTACAGTTGTACTGGCGAATGTGATTCGGCATAGACGCATATCGCACTCTTTTGGGCAGTAGCCCGTTCATGATTCCAGCCGAATCGCACGAAGCCGACATTTCGGCCCCTGTGTCCACCGGGCGAGTTGCGTGGACGCTCGTGCGTTTCGGTCGTGTGACCGATCCGCGTCACAAACTTGCTGATCAAGCATGAATGTTTGTTCGGCGATGTCTGGATATCCCAGACAGAAATGGAGTCATGTCATGAAGAACATGAACAAGAGAAGTGCGTTTACGCTCATCGAGCTTCTGGTGGTCATCGCGATCATCGCGTTGCTCATCGGTATCCTGTTGCCGGCGCTTGGTAAGGCTCGCGCTCGTGCAAACCAGCTCAAGGACAGCACCCAGGTGCGTTCGTTGCTGCAGGGTCTGGTGGTCTTCGCTGGTAACAACCGCGACAACTACCCGCTGCCAAGCCGCGTGGACAAGAACGACAAGACCATTGCGGTTACTGGTGAAATCACATCTTCCCGACAGAAGGATACAACAGGTAACATTTTCTCGATCCTGATCGCTCAGGGTATCGTAGAAACAGAGCTCTGCATCAGTGCTGTTGAAACTGGTCAGTACGAGCAGTTCTCAGATTACCAAAGCGACTCGCCTCTCGGCGGTGTTGGCGGAGGAAACGCTGAGCAGACTGAAGCGCTGTTTGATCCGAACTTCCGTGCTACACCACTCGACCAGTTCTGGGAAGATGGTGAACGTGCGGGCAATATGGCACCTGATGAAAACCTCGAGAAGTACGAGGGGCTCGGTAACTTCAGCTATGCTCACATCCCACCATTCGTCCAACGCCGTGCACAATGGCAGAACACCTTCCAAGCTCTTGAACCAGCGCTTGCGAACCGTGGTCCTGTGTACGAGATTACCGACACAGAAGATGGTGCTTGGGAACTCATTGACGATTCTGACGCAAGTGCAGACGGAATGACTCCACTTGGGCGTGGTTCTGTCACGCTTGCAATGAACGGTTCCCGTACCGAGTGGGCTGGAAACGTTGGCTTCAACGATGCTCACGTCGAGTTCTACAACCGTCCTGATCCTGAATCAGTCATTTGGTCATTCACTGATCTTGAAGATGCGAATCAGAACCAGCCTGACAACATCTTCATGAATGAAGATGATCAGACTCGTGAAGTATTGAATGCTCCAACTGATGAGGTTGGGTTGAGCGGTGAAGACAGCAACCGCAACGCGTACCTAACTCAGTACTACGAGGTTGACATCGATGATGATGGCGAAACCGCGATCAGCCCATACTACGATTGATCTTTCTGATCCTGTCAGTGTCATTCACTGACGACTGATCTGTATACTAAACCCGCAGCCTTTTCGGCTGCGGGTTTTTTCTTTGGAAGGCACTTGTTCTATGACATCGGCATTCGAGCATGAACTCAGAAAGTCTGTGCATGGTCATGTGTCATTTGAGGATCACACACGAGGGCTTTACAGCACCGATGCGTCGATCTATCAAGTCATGCCAATCGGAGTAGTTGTGCCTGATTCGCTTGCTGATGCGGCTCAGGCTATTGGCGTGTGTGGTGCGAAAGCTGTAGGCATCCTCCCTCGCGGAGGGGGAACAAGTTTGGCAGGGCAATGTGTTAACGAAGCCGTGGTTGTGGATATTTCTGGGAACTGTGGACGCTTATTGGATCTGCATGTAGCCGCGCATAGTTGTCGAGTTGAAGCTGGGATCACAGTCGATGATTTGAATGATGCTATTCGACATGAAGGAATGTTTTTTGCGCCTGATCCATCGACAGCTCGACAGGCAACGATTGGTGGTTGCATCGGGAACAACGCTGCTGGAGTCCATTCGATTCTATATGGCCGAACATCGGAGAATGTTGATTCTGTTCGAGCGTGTCTTTGGGATGGGTTCGTTGCTGAGTTTGGGATAGGGACTGCGATACAAGATTCGCGGGTGATGGAGATCACGCGCGGCGTGACTGAAGTGATTCGCGCGAATCGAAGCTTGATCCGTGAGCGTTACCCCAAGACCCTCAGAAGAAACACTGGATATCAACTCGATGTGATCCTTCAGCAGCTTGAAGCTTGTGACTGGGATCCAGCGGGCGTGAATCTGAAAGATCTCTTGTGTGGTAGCGAGGGCACGCTCGCGATGACGTTAGAAGCGACGCTTAAACTTCATCCGATCCCACGAGCGAAGGGGCTCGGGGTCATCGCGTTTGGCTCTGTAGAAGAGGCGATTGGTTCGGTCAATGGATTGTTGGAGTTGCGTCCGGCAGGGATTGAGTTACTTGATGATCTGATCTTGGATCTCGCACGCGAGAATCGCGAGCAGTCGCGTTATGTTGATCTGCTTCCCAAGTTGAGTTCAGGACAGACACGGGCGGTTTTGTATGTGGAGTTCTTTGGCGAGTCGGTCAACGCTGTGCGTGCTCAGCTCGAATGCGTAAGTGATGTGGTATCTGCCGGTGCCGTCGAGTTGATCACGGACAATGAGGCAATGGTGCAAGCATGGAAACTACGCAAAGCTGGTGAGCCACTCTTGCATGGGATCAAGGGTGAGCGCAAGCCGTTGGGATTCATTGAGGACTGTGCGATTCCGGTCGATCGGCTCGAGGAGTTCGTCTCGCGTCTGAGGAGGATCGTCGAGCGCGAAGGTACGGTTGCTTCGTATTACGCTCATGCATCAGTAGGGGTGTTGCATGTTCGTCCACTCTTGAATCTACGGGATCCGACCGATGAGGAGGCGATGCATCGGATCGCATCTGTTTGTGCTGATCTTGCCAAAGAGTTGGGCGGAGTAGCATCGGGTGAGCATGGAGATGGTCGTGCTCGTGGACCTTTCCTAGAACGATTCATGGGGAGAGAGTTGATGGAGGCTCATCGTTCTATCAAGCGACTCTTTGACCCTCACGGCGTGATGAACCCTGGGAACATTGTCAATCCAGGTCCGGTCGAATCCATTTCTCAGCATACTCGGATCCGACCTCAAAGCACCGTCTTGACCATTCATGGCGAGGATGTCGATCACGGAAGTGGGTATCGATTCGATCGTGAGGGTGGTTTGGGTCACGTTGTTGAGATGTGTAATGGCGCGGGTGTGTGCCGAAAGAAGATGGTGGGAACGATGTGCCCTTCGTATCAGGGCTCTTTAGACGAACGGCATTCGACTCGTGGTCGAGGGAATGCGCTGCGGTTTGCGATTACCGGCCAGAGTAAGTTCGGATCAGAAGGCGGAGAAGCTCACTGGAACGATCCTGAGACCAAAGAGACGCTTGACCTGTGTTTGAGTTGTAAAGCGTGCAAGACGGAGTGTCCAAGCGGGGTTGATATCGCGAAACTCAAGAGCGAATATCTTTGGCAGGGGTATCAAATGGATGGTGTCCCATTGAGGGTCCAGATTCTCTCAAGGGTGCACAGGCTAAATAAACTGGGTTCTTTATTGCCTGGCTTGAGCAATGCGATTGCGTGTTTCCCTCCAGTTCGTTCGGTGATGAATCTTGCGATGGGGTTCCATCCAAATCGTTCTCTTCCGAGGTTTGAGAAACCTATCAGTGACCATGAGTTCCCTGAGAGTGATCGGCCAAAGGTGTTGCTGATCTCCGATTCGATGACTACTCATACAGAGCCGAGGATTGTGGGCGCTGCCCATCGGGTGCTTGAGGCTTTTGGGTATAGCGTTGGTGTATTAACCACAACAGATTTAGGTCGTTCAGCAATTTCACAGGGTGATCTCGGTTTCGCAAAGCGTGATGGGATGCGATCGCTCGATCGGATTCTTTCGGTTCTCCATGCGAACACGCTTGAAGGAGTGCTTTTCTTCGAGCCTTCGTCGATGTCGGTGGTGACGGACGAATGGGAAGATTTGCTGGATGAATCTCGCAACGGTGAAGTCGCACGGCTGATCGCTCAATCATCTCTTGTAGAAGATTTCATCGCTCGTCAATGGGAGACACATCCGGTCCAACCTTCAGTTCATTCACATGGGCAGCGAATCATTGTTCACACGCATTGTCATCAGAAGTCGCTCTGGGGTAGTGAGACGACTATGGACATGTTTAGACATATGGGTGCGGATGCGGAACTGATTGATGCGGGTTGCTGTGGTATGGCTGGTTCTTTTGGCTTTATGGATAGCAAGTATGATCTGTCGATGACCATCGCCGAACAGCGATTGATACCAGCGATTCGGGAGCGGGATGCCAATGCATGGGTAGTCGCTGGTGGGACTTCCTGTAGGCATCAAATTCTAGATGCAACTGGTGTACATGCGATGCACCCGATCGAAGCGGCCGCTCAGATATTGGGGCTTGACTGAGTTCAGGTCGGCGCATTGATCTCATGGGCAATCGAGCGAATCAGTTCCGCGGCTTTGTTCCACTGCGTACCAGTCGATGGGCCTCCAATAACCAGTCGGTGGGCACATACTGGGACGAGGAGGTGATAAACATCGTCTGGTTCGACATAGTCCCTGCCTTGGATCCAGGCCCAGGCACGCGAAGCGTGGGCGAGCGCTAACGATCCGCGTGGTGAGATTCCGACATCGATGCCCTCAGCTTCACGAGTGGCACGAGCGAAGTTCACGATGTATGAACGCACCGGCTCGCTGAGGTGAATCTCATCGATCGTTTGCTGGATCTGATTGACTTCATCGGCGTGAATAACCGGCTGGAGTTTTGAGAGCAGCGTATGGCTTGGTCGCAGTTCAAGGAGTTCTCGCTCGCTTTGCTCGTCTGGATATCCGAGTGATATGCGCATCAGGAAGCGGTCGAGTTGGTTTTCAGGGAGTGGGTAGGTTCCGAGGAAGTCGTTGGGGTTTTGTGTCGCAACAACCATAAATGGCGATGGGAGTTTATGACGCTGTCCATCCATCGAGACCATGCCCTCACTCATGGATTCGAGCAGCGCTGATTGGGTCCTGGGGCTGGTTCGGTTAATCTCGTCGGCGAGGATGATGCTTGCGAACAGGGGGCCTGACTGGAATCGGAGTTCTCCGGATTCACGGGCGAGGACAGTGTATCCGAGGATGTCGGCGGGCATCATGTCCGGCGTAAGTTGGATTCGAGAGAATGAGGCATCGATGGATTTGGCGAGTGATGAGGCAAGCAGCGTCTTTCCTACGCCCGGGACATCTTCCAGTAGCGCGTGACCCCTCGCGAGCAGGCAGCAGAGGAGTTGATCGATGGATTCGGGTGATCCGAGGTAGACCTGCTGGATTTGGTCGCGGAGTTTATCAACAAAGTGATGCATATCGGTCATCATGTGCCCCTTATAGTCGATCAACCATACGCCTGTTTAAGCGGTTTGGGTTCACTGAAGCGCGAATTGGTGATATGCTGGGGGTCGTCACTCGAATGTCGTGGGAGTGAAATGGACAGAGCAGATCCACAGCATGATCCAGATACTCGCAAAGCGGGAGTAGAGAGTATTGCGCGCCAACTGACTGGCGAGTTGATCTGTATAGGGTGTGGGTACAACCTTCGTGGACTCTCTATCCGCGAAAGATGTCCTGAGTGTGGGATGTCGATCCGCGCGACATTATTGGGAATCGTTGACCCGCACGCGGAAGAACTTGAAGCTCTGAGTTCGCCGAAACTGAGTGGGAATGGGATCGTCCTCTGGAGCGTTGGCGCTCTGGTTGCATGCTGCTCGGTTTGGGTACTTCGAATCGACGAGATTTTCCGCGCCAAGTTCGCATTCAATGCCGGCGTTAGTAACTGGGTGAGTCTGATTGGTGTGATCGCGTTGATCAGCTCAGGAATTGGTGCGCTCACACTCATTCGTCCACATCGACGCGTGAGCCGGCTAATGGCTATTCGTGCAGCAATAGGGGTCTCTGCATACATTCCTGTTATCATGATGTACTGGGCCGTGTATCGGGGATTTGATCAATCAGCGACGATGCCGTTGATTCAACCTGGCGCACAGGATCTTGAGCGGTCGATCTTGCGACTGGGAATGTTTGTCGGAGTCGTGGTCATCGTACTCGGGATTCGACCAAATGCTTTGATGCTCGCGATGCGATCTGTGATCATTCGAACAGGGCGAGTGGATCGCCAGTCCATGTATGCGTTGCTCTTGTCGTTTGGTGTCGCAGCAGCAGGCGATGCGCTCAATGTTCTGGGCATGTTGAGTAGTGGGGTTGTAGGGGATCTGCTCTCCCAACTCCATGTAGTTCTGGTCGCGTTGGGGTCTGTGCTCATTACGCTGGGGATGACCAATATTGTTATTGATACCATTCGATTGCGACCTGTGCTGCTGCATAGGGGGGTGGGGCTCGTAGATGTCTTTGAGACAAATAGCGAAAAAGCGACTCGTGTTGGTACATCTTGAAACCCTTGAGTGGATTTCTCTTACAATATCTATAGCGGGTCTCGCATGAGCGTGGTCGCGGTTTGGATAGACTTGATAAGCTACGCGAGGATAATGATATGCGGAATACACGGATGGCAATGGGATCCCTGATAGTTACTGCTGGTTTCTTGGGATACTTGAGCACGACAGCTCTTGGTGCAGATCAAGTAGAACTCGCAGTGCTCGAACTCTCTGGCGTCCCGGTTGAGCAGGACACGGGGATGTCTTGGATCGGTGAAGGCACTGATACGCTGCTGGGGCTAGTTAATACCATCGACACGCTGGCGTTTGATGACGAGTTTGATGGGCTCGTGATCCGTCTCAAGGATGCGGGATTTGGGATCACGCAGGTTGAAGAGCTGGGCGATGCGATTCGGCGTTACCAAGAGGAAGGCAAGAAGGTCCATGTGTTCGCTGAGGGGTATGACGCGGGCGGTTTGATGCTTGCGAGCTACGCGGACGAGGTCTTGTTGCAGGAGGGTGGCTATGTCTCCTTCCCCGGCATGCACATGGAAGAGATGTACATGGCGGATATGTTTGAGTGGATCGGTGTCAAAGCACAGATGGTCCAGGTTGGGGACTACAAGGGGGCGAATGAAACCGCGACTCGTTCAGGGCCGTCTGATGCGTGGGATCAGAACATCTCGTCATTGCTTGACGGCTTGTACGAGAACATGCGCACCATAATGAAAGACGGGCGTGATCTCAATGATGGCCAACTCGATCGTGGTATGACTGTTGCGTGGGCAGCGAGTGGTGAGGAAGCCGAAGAGGTCGGCTTGATCGATGGTGTGGTTGATCTTCCAGAACTCAAGGACTATCTCTCTGAATATTACGACGCGGAAGTGTCGTGGGTGAACAATCCATACGAGGTTGATGGGCCTTCGATGGATTTCTCAAACCCGTTCGCATTCTTGACCATGATGTCGCAGACGAGCAGTGTTGAGATCGATCATCCGACCATCGCGGTGTTGCATATCAATGGCGTGATTATTGATGGTGACTCGAGTCAGGGCGGCATGTTCGGTGGCGGTTCACAGGTTGGGTCACGCACGATCCGGAATGCGATTGAACAGATTATCAAGGAAGATTTAATCCAAGGAGTGATCATCCGTGTCGATTCTCCAGGCGGCTCAGCGATTGCCTCTGAGATCATGTGGCAAGGGATTGATCGTCTGAAAGATCACAAGCCGGTCTGGGTTTCAGTTGGTGGGATGGCTGCATCCGGCGGGTACTATGTGCTCTCGGGTGGAGACAAGGTGTATGTCAATCCTTCGAGCATTGTGGGTTCGATCGGGGTGGTCGGTGGGAAGTACGCGATCGGTGAAGTCTACGAGAAACTGCACCTGAATATTGTCGAGCGTTCACGCGGCCCGGTTGCGGGACTGTTCGGCACCAGCGAATGGGACGATCGACAGATCGCGATGATCCGTCAAGAGATGACAGACACCTATGAACTCTTCACCGATCGTGTGAAAGCAGGTCGAAAGGGGATCAATCTGAACAGGACGGCTGAAGGGCGTTTGTTTGTTGGTAATGACGCGATTCGGCTGAAGATGGCTGATGAGATTGGCGGCTTGGACGACGCGATTAATGATCTTGCTGCTGAGGTCGATCTGAGCGACTTTGATGTAGCACACTTCCCGGCGCCTCCTAGCTTTGAATCGGTGCTTGAGCAGATGCTGGGTGGGTTCATCCAATCTCCTGGTATGCAGGTCGGAAAATCCCAAATCGAGACGACTCTGCGGATGATCTTGGGTGAACAGCGATATCTTTCCGTGGTTGATGAACTCAACGGCATGATGTTGTTGAGAGATGAGCCTGTGCTACTGATGAATCCTCGTGCATTGATCATTCGATAAACTTCTTAGATCAAAAATGAAGCGGGCTGATCGTGTGATCAGCCCGCGTTTATGTTTATGGCTTGAGGGGCTCTCAGATTTCCATGATCTCTTTGGATTTCTTGGTGAGGCTGTCGTCGATATTGCCTTCGTATTTTTTGAGCAGTTCCTGAATCTCGTCTTTGAGGGTCGAGATCTCGTCTTCGGAGTAGTGGACGCCGTCCTGTTTGGCGAGTGAGTCGGCGTGCTTGTTCGCATCACGGCGAGCGTTCCGCATGACGACCTTCTGTTCTTCTCCGACTTTCTTCGCTTGAGCGACGAGTTCCTTACGACGGTCGGTGGTCAGAGTTGGGAGGTTGATGCGGATCTGCTTGTCTTCGACCATTGGGTTCACGCCGAGGTTGGCTTCTTCGATCGCATGACGGATTGCACCTACTGACGATGCATCGAATGGTTTGATCAGGAGTTGGGTAGCTTCGGGGACAGAGACCACGGCGAGTGATTTGAGGTCAGTAGGGGAGCCGTAGTACTCGACTTTGATGAACTCGACCATCGCGGGCGAAGCTCTTCCTGCACGGATGCCCTTGAGTTCCTCTGAGAGGTAGCTGATGGCTTTCTGCATGTGTTCTTCGGCTTCGAGAAGAATCGTGTCTGGGTCAGTACTCATGTGTGCTCTCCGTCTTTGAGATCTGATATGTATCGTAAAGGATTGTATACGGCTTATTCGTTCGTGAGGAGGGTCCCGATGGGATCGCCTTCGATCACTCTACGGATGTTGCCTGGGATTTTGAAATCGAAGACAAGCAGTGGGATATTGCGTTCCTGACACATCGTTAGTGCGGTCATATCCATGACTCCGAGGCGATTGTCAATTGCCTCTTGGAATGAGAGTTTCTCGTAGCGGGTGGCATCGGGATCTTTCATTGGATCTGCAGAATAGACGCCGTCCACTTTGGTAGCTTTGAGAAGGATGTCGCAGTCGAGTTCTGTTGCTCGAAGTGAAGCGCAGGTATCAGTTGTGAAAAATGGGTTTCCAGTTCCTGCAGCGAGGATGACAACTCGACCTTTTTCAAGGTGCCGAATCGCGCGGTGACGGATAAAGGGCTCCGCTACGGCTCGGATATCGAGTGCGGACATCACTCGCGAGTCGACCCCGATGGAATCAAGTTTTTCTTTGAGTGCGACCGCATTCATAACTGTCCCAAGCATCCCCATGTAGTCTGCGGTGGCTTGCTGGATATCACCCGTCTTTGCGAGCTCGGCGCCGCGGATGATGTTCCCTCCTCCGACAACGACAGCGATCTGAGCGCCAGCTTGTGCTGCTGATTTGACTTCGTTGGCAATCGAGCCCAGTTCTTTGGTTGAGATCCCGAATCCGCCTGGGTTGCAGAACGCTTCTCCAGAGAGTTTCAGCAGGACTCGGTTGGGCTTCGGGCGATGGGATGTGCTCATACGGTCTCCGGAAGAATGATGATGGTTCGGGGATTGAACACGCAGAATGGGGGCTGGTCAACCAATCAGAGCGGATTTGGGGTCAATGAGTCCGAACCGGGCTTGATGATGGACGAATGGACACTAAGTGGGTGGGATCTTGCGTGTCTGGGACCCATAGGAGGCCCGGATTGGGTATTGTGGGGGGGGGTGGCGATAGCGGCTGAACGGACTCGGCTGACGATGGGACAATTGATTGACACAGCTTCAGAGACAAACGAATGAAATTGGCCACAAAGGTGAACTCCCGACCAATCGCCGAAGGCTGATTGAGCGGGCAACGATCGGCGGTCTTGTCATCTCTGTGGTCATCCATTTGGTCCTGATGGTAATTGCTTTGCTCGTGCGGATCGATTACAAGTTTGCTGATGCCGGAGGGGGAGAGACGGAACCGGTCGAGTTTTCGCTCATGACACAGGCGGAGCTCAATGAACAGACCGCGATCGATGTTGATGAGATTGAGTTCGTTCAGATTGAGACTGAATCGATCGTGGATCTCGATCTGCTCGCGGATTCTGGTGCAGAGCAATCGGTCAATGAGCTTGCGGACACGATCGCACCGGAACTGGAAACTGGTGGTGGGTCGATTTCGGATGTACAGGTTCAGACAGGGACGAGTGGAGCTGGGACGGGAGAGGGGGCGAGCTTCTTTGGTCTTGAGGCGAGCGGGCGACGATTTGCATTCATCGTAGATCGCTCAGGGTCGATGAATACTCCCATCCGAAGCGGGGAGATGTCACGCTGGGAGTTGACACAGATCGAACTCATTCGATCTGTGCAAGGTCTCGGTGCGAGTGCAGAATACTTCGTTGTGTTGTTTTCAACGGATATGAAGCCGTTATTCGGCGGTTCAGATTGGATCAAGGGGACTAAGGGGAACAAACGGCTCACCGCTTCAGCGATGATGAGCTCGAATGCGAATGGTGGGACTGATCCAGAAGACGCGTTTGCGCTCGTGTTTTCATTGGATCCGAAACCCGATGCGATTTACTTCATGACCGATGGCGAGTTTAACTCCAGTGTTCCAGGAAGGATTGCACAGTTGAATCGTCGGAGGCGTGTTCCTATCCATTGCATTCTCTTAGGACAGCCTGGTTCAGCGGCAATCACTCAGAAGGTGGAGACGATGCTCAAGGGCATCGCTCGCTCATCGAATGGTCGATATCGGCATGTTGAGGACGCGGGGGGTGGGCCGTGATTCGGATGGCAGGTATCCTGAGGCTTGTTTGTATTGTTCTTTTGACACCTCTATGTATAGCGGAGGAGATTCGAGTTCTCCCCCAGTTCTATGTCGAGTACGGCGAAGTCATAGAGGGAGACATCACATCCGTTTCTATCGAAGGGGTGCAGATTGAGCGAGAAGATCGCGATCGAGCTTTGCTTCTTCCCTGGTATGCGATTGACGCTTGGGGAAGTGGATGGCAAGTCCCTTCTGCTTTCCGAGTAATCGCAAAGAACAGTCGCATCGGATACGCGCGTCGCATCCGAGGGGACCAGTCTGGTTGTGCTTCTTTGTATATTCAAATCGCTCCTGAGTTGGTGGGTTCAGAAACTGATATGGGCCGAGAGATATTCAGTGGTCTGCTCGATGAGGCATTGGTTCGAGGAGATTTCTACGACGCTTCGGTCGCGTTTCGGTGTTACCAGCTGAGCCTTGGGGATCCGATTGACCAGATTGATGATCGTTACGGGCTGCATGTTGGAATACCGATGATTCCGGGGAGTTCTTCGGATCATCGACTTGTGGGTATTGCAGAGAAGCTCGCTGAGTTCGACGGTGTGGATCTGAAGCTCATTCGACGCTTAGATCAACTTTCAAAGAACTCAGTTGAAGTTTCTCCGGATTCGGAGTTGCTGATCAAGGAACGGTCGCCGAGCGCTTGGCAGACCATCCTTGGACAGGATATTTATTTGTATATGTTTTCGGCTCAAGCGAATCCTGATCCAGATCAACGCGCTGAAGCTCGGCGTTGGTTGTTATCGAGGGCGGAATCGAAACCTGACACCTGGATTGATCTGTGGTGCCGGCTCGCGATCGGGTCATCTTATATTTATGAATCTGTCGCTGCCAACGATGAGTCGATGTGCTCGCTTGGTGTGATTCACTTGCTCCATGCCATTGTTCGATTTGAGAGTGAGTATCCAATGCTAGCGCGAGTCGCACGGGAGTTGGGTACACAGGCATTGATTCAGCAGGGACGGTTCGAAGAAGCCGCACAGTTGTTTGGTGGGATGGGAGACTGAACTGGTATGACAAAGGAATGTGTATGAACTCAGTATGTATACTCGGAGTCAACGGATTGACACTCGCTCAGAGCACGTCATCGGATCGGCCATTGCTTGAGTACATCATGCAGGGCGGTCCGGTAGGGATGATCATCCTGTTGATCTCGCTGGGAGCGGTCGGGATGATCGGGGCGCAGATCTTCCGAGTGCGTCGCTCGAAACTCGCTCCTGATGATCTGCTTGAAAGTCTTCGTCCCACACTCGCTTCAGGCGATGTACAGAATGCCATCATAATGTGCACAGAGTATGAAACCGAAAGCTATTTGTCACGAGTACTCGGGATGTCTCTCAAGAGAGCCGCTCGCTCACCGTTCGGGATGCTGGAGCTGCGTTCGACAGTCGAGGAGATCGGGCAATTGGAAACCGATCGGCTCTATCGACTGACTGATGGAATTGGTCTGGTTGCTTCGATTGCGCCGATGCTTGGTCTCCTGGGAACAGTGGTGGGTATGGTGGGCGCGTTTGATGCGATCACGATGGCCGATGGTCCGGCTCGACCAGACCAGCTTGCTGGGAGTATTTCGCAGGCGCTCATCACGACTGTGCTCGGGCTTATTGTCGCGATCCCTTGTACTTCGGCGTACACCTACTTCCGCAATCGGATTGATCATCTCACCACAGAGATCGGAGAGGAGATTGACGATCTCATTGCACCGCTTGAGTCGAAGAGCTCGGAGCGTGTTACTCCAGGAGGAAATCGATAAGCGATGCTCTCATCGAGGAAGTCATCTGGGCATCAACGATCCGTCGATCTCACACCGATGATCGATGTTGTCTTTCTGTTGATCATTTTCTTTATGCTGACTTCGCATCTCGGTGATCTCCGTCGAACCGAGATCGATTTGCCACATCAGCCTGGTGAAGATCAGCGTGATCAACAGGATGCTGCGATGATCATTGATATCGGTCCCGATGGTACATACTTCGTCGAATCGGTACCGGTCGATCTCAATGAGGTCCAGCGATTGGCGCTCGCAGGAGTCGAGAGTGAATCGAACTCCGCGGATTTTGATGTCTTAATCCGTCCAGATAGGCTTGCTCCGGCGGCATATCTCGATCGATTGCTCAACAGGCTGACTCAGGTCGGAGTGACGCGTTGGAAGATGGGTACCTACGACATCAATGACGGGGGTGGATCGTGAGCGCAAGTGTTCGCAAATCAGGACGAAGGAGAGCAACGCATCTGGGCGTTTTGCCGCTTACAAGCATGATCGATGTCGTGTTTCTGCTGCTTGTTTACTTCTTGGTGACCTCGAACTTTGCACAGTTGGAACGTGACCTTTCTTCGGCAGTCCAAGCGGATGGTGGCGGTGCTCGATCAAGTGAGTTGCAGCCTCAGGTCATTGAGATTTCATATCGAGATGGTGTAGTGGTCTACAGCATTGGGAGCCGAGGGGCTGATTCCAAAGCAGCATTAACACAAATCTTGGAAGCGCTCCCGAAGGAGCCGGGTGTGGCGATTCGTGCGACTCGGGATGTTCCGATCAGGGCTATTGCGGCTGCGATGCAAGCTTCACAGGATGCAGGGTTTACTCGGAGGAGCTATGTTCCCGCCGATGACTAAATCACATTTGGGAGTTCTGATTTGGTTCGCAGCACTGCTGGGTATCGTGTGTACAAGCGTTTCAGCAGTTAGCCCACAGGATGAGAAGGTTGCTGAGTACTTGCAGGATAACTCCCTGCGTTTATTACTCGAAGTGCAGTTGTTCGATCGGATAGAAAGGGAGCGGAATCCCGAAACCCGTGTCCAGTTATCCAATCAACTCGGGCGAATGTACTTGGATCGGCTTGGGGATGAGCAAACAAGTGAGCAGATGCGTCGTTCGTATCTTCTCAAAGGTCAAGTATTGGTCGGGCTTATACCTGAAAATGAGCTGCTCGAGCTTCGGCTGGAACTGCTGGTAGAGCAATACAAAGAATACGAACAAGTTGCGGACCTCAAGCGGATTGATTTGCTTGATCAGACAAAATCTGATGAAGCTGATGCAGCGTTGGAGACGTTGCACTCGATGTTCTCACGCATCGCGAATATTTCTGACGCTGATGTAGAACGATTCAATCGTCAGGCGGCCCGAACCAGCGGAGATTCTCAGCGTGAGAATGAGCAACGATTGGCGGATTCCCGTGCTGTATTTTCAAGAGCCCGATTCTTCGAGGGCTGGGCGGGATACTCACTCGCTGTGGTTCGTGGGGCCGAGGTGAACTCAGAGGTGCTTAAATCATTTGGTTGGGTACTTGGCTTTGATGGCAAACTCCCAGTTCTCGAGGATGTTGATGTCGACTTGCTCGAATATGACCATGTGGCTCGCGCCATGATTGGGGTTGCGCTGTGTAAGCTCCAAAATAATGAACTGAGATCATCCCGTATGTGGCTCGATACGGTCCGGGACTCGACCATCGCGCCTGAGTTCGCCGTGGATTTTGCCACGAAGCGTCAGATTGATGTTTCACTCGCGGAGTTGGATTGGAAGAGGGCTTTGGGAGAGACAAAGTCGCTCCTGAAAGATGCAGAAACAGAGATTGGGGTTTCATTATCGAGATTATTGGTGATCAACACATTGGACGCGCAACGTGCAGATCTGGATGGTCGTGGAGGTGAAGAAACTGCAACCGAGCTCGCGAAACTTGGACTGAATCAACTGGTCGAACTCGGAGAGATCGGTCATGTGATCGATCTGCTTGAGCGGTATGGGACTTTACCTGACATCGGTAGGGGATTTGTTGCGTATTACGCGCAGGGTATCTCGGAGTTAACTCAAGCGGAGACGAGTGGCGCTGATTCGGGATTCATGGAGGCTGCGGTTCGTTTTAGTCGCGCTCTCGAAGCGGATGATGTTGAGCAGTATCTTGTGTACGCTGCTGATGCTGGATTAAAGATGGCGTATTGCGAGCTACGATCTGGGCGTGCGGCTGCTGCTCTCAGGACGCTCGAAGAGTACTCAATTTTTTTTAACTCGCCACAACAACTTGAAGAATCAATGTGGTTGGAAATATTGGCCTTGGATTCGGTTGTTCGATCAGGCCAAGAGCAGATGGGGCCGCGACTAGCAGAGTCGCTCGGAGTCTATATTCGGCAGAATCCATCTTCAGAGCGAGCGAGCAAGCTGATCGTTCAGTATGCATTGTCACCTTATCTGGATGATTCGGATGCGATTGATGGTCTCGTTATAGACGACCCATCAGACCCACTTGCTATACCAGCAAGGCGGAAGTTAATACAGATGTTGTACAAGAATCCTCAGGTCGCTGATGGGGGAAAGGATCAAGCGAGCAAGGAGATTATCAAGCACTCGCTGTGGATTTGGAATCACGAGTCCGATTTGTACACGAACATTCGCGAAGGGCGAGAGCGGCTTGCGGTTTGTCGTATCGCGGTGATCATGGGGCTAGAGGACCGTGATACTCCGATCGGCTTTCTGAAATCATCCGTTGCGCGGTTGAGATCTTTGATTGAATCAGAGCCTTCATTCGATCAATACTATTCAGAACTCATATTCCGTGAGATTCAGGTGATGCTACTTCAGGCGTACATCGATCGTGCTGCTGAGATTGTGCTGAGCTCGACTGACTTAAACGACGACCATAAGCGGGTTGCGTTGTCGATGGTGTTTGGCAACGCGCATCGCAGGTTCATGGAGCAACGCACTGTCCCACATGCACAAGCTTTGGTGCGCTATGGGCAAGTATTGATTGGGATACAAAATGACAAAGACGAAGACTCGATGAGTGCTCGGATGTCACTGAATGCGGAATCTGTTGTTATGGGTGCTCTATATATTGCAGATGAGGTCAACGATCCGCTCATGCGGGAGTACGCGTATGCATTGAGCATGCGTGTGTTTGAGCACGGACTCCCCAGTGAGTATGGGTTGATCATGAGTGCACAGCTCTGTGAAGAATATGGTCACGCTGATGAAGCGCTCGCATGCTGGAATCAGTTGGTGAACACTCTAAGTGAACAGGAGATGAACTGGCACCGAGCACGCTATGAATCGCTTCGATTGCTTGTTGCATCAGACTCCATCAAAGCTGACCAGGTGTATCAGCAATACCAAACTCTGTATCCCGATGGCTCACCAGAGCCTTGGGGGAGCATGATCGAGGAACTGTTCCCCGATGAACTTGGGGGTGTCCCTTGAGTCAAGCAAACTCTGATAATCGGCAACAAGATCTGATCTCGGAGTACTTAGGGCATAGTGCGAGTGTCGGAGGCCCATTTGCGGTTTTGGATCTCCGATATGATCAAGCCACTGAGCAAGTTATTCTCCGTGCATGTCAATCGAGGCTCGCGCAGATTAATCGTCATGTGCGTTCACGAACTCCTGAAGCGGATGAGGTCCGATTGGCTGTACATGCCGCGGCTTCACAACTGCTTGATCAATCGCTTTGTGATGAACTGAAGAAAGTTTGGCCTGAGGGAAGTGGCGAGATCCTCGAAAGCAGATCGACCCCTCAGGCGTGGACAGTCGATGATTCGGTGCACATCGAACCTGAACTGTTAAATAAAGCGAAATGGATGCTTGCTGCAAGTGGGGGATGGAACAACAAATCACGCAAACGCCTTGGTTTATTTGCAAGGTCGCATCAAGTTCCTGCGGCTCGACTCATCCGCGATCTCCTTGGCGGCCGAGTGGGCGAAACACATATCCGTTCTATGAAAGGCATAATTCCACGGCCCGCTCAGGATGTAGGCGGCTTGGTCCCGAATGCCGTTCCTTGGTTCATGTTCCCGATGCTTTATGGTATTCTTGCGCTGCTGTTGCTCACTGTAGGTATTCATCACATATCTTCTGATGATGTAACAACCATGGGTGCTAAACCCAACGAACAATCAACCAACACAAATAGCGTCCCTGCGGCTTCTGAAACACCCAACAGATTGCAGGATCGAGCAGATCGGAAACATTACAGCGCCATCCTGCATGAACTCGAATCATATCGAGGCGTCATTATTTCTGAAGAGGATCAGGCACGCTCCTTCTCAGCACTTGGCGCCAGATTTATTCAGCAGTGGAGATCTTTCTCTGCTTCTGAACTCGAATCGTCAATGAATCTGATTCGTGAAACTCTTTCAGGGATTCTAAACGAAGATTACTTCATGCTAGCGTGCACATTTTTGGGCCGAGCCGAGCAGGAAGAGTTCGTATCCATCGCAGACTTGGTATTGAAAAAAATGCTGTTTGGGAGTATCCATGCATCACCACACTATGGCGAACTTAATGCTGAGTCCCCCTCGAACTTGATGGACGAATTTAGGACTACACTGGCGACTGTTGCGGAGCAAAGCCGTGATGATCCGGCATGGTGGCAATGGTGGGAGCAACAAGTACAAGCAAGACCTGTGGTTGAGTGGGAAATAGGCATCCAGCCTTGGTTGAGTGCATGTCGAGAACGGTTAGTTGATCACTCGAGTACTGAACAATGGGAAGCTTGCGCTCGAATATTTGTCCAAGGCGTGAGTTGGGGCGATGATTCGCGAGCAAAAGTTTGGTACATGGCACAAGTGGTTGACAGCTCAGTATCCAGCAACCGTCTCGCGGCACTTTCAGAGGCCGTTGCGTTGTACTCTTCCGCTGGCGGATTCGACACGCAGACCGTGATAGGCGTCGATGCGGATATGGGCGATCGTGAAGCTTACCTGGGTGAGCTTCGGAAACGTTGGGGCACGCAAAGCGATGATCCGACACACGAAACGCTCATCGAGCAACTCAGATCACTGATATTGCTGACAGATGGAACTATCAGTGAAGCTCAGCTGCTGAATCGTAGTATCGAACTCGCACGGATCAATACCGCATGTTGGGCACGAGAGCGTGGGGATTACTCAGCCCTCGGCATGCTAGAACAGAGGTTTAATGCACCTATAGAAAACATAGTAGTTCAGCATGGTCAGTTTGATCCTTCTAGTAATCAACAAGATGACCAGTGGGCAGATAATGCACGCAATACATCTGAACCTGATGCATTGCTTGAACTCTTGAGAGATCTCGATCGCCAAGGGATGGTTCAGCCGAAGAGCGCTCACGCTCTGGTTTGGCTCGCTATGCAAGCTCCCGACCTTGGAGTTCGTGACTTTGCTGAGCGAGTCCTCCTGCAGCATCGTGATGAGATCAACATTTTGATCGCTCTCGACCGTGTGGCTGGAGACGAGCGAGTCAGCAGACGCATGCTGAGTCTTATTCGAGCCTGTCTTGATGACACATCAGAGGATTCGAATGTTCGGCAGAAGTTGCTCGAACGGATACTTGAACTGGGGGTGTTTTCCAGCAACCAATCTGAGCACTCATACTCAGCATTTGTGGTTGAGTATGGCAAGCTCCTTGCTGTTCGAGTTGACAACCAGGAGCATGTATCAACACGCGAAGCCTATCTATGCATGGTGAGAGTACTCATTGAGAGTAATATCGAAGTCCCTCTAAAGGTGAAATCAAAGCTCGCTATAGGTTTGAAACGGTCATCTGGTGCCGTGCAGCACGATGTAGTTTACATGGAGAGTGTTCTTGAGTTGCTCTCAAGATATTTGAGTAAAAAATACACTGCGTTAGATTCCCAAGTAGATGTCATCATGCGAAAACATACGGCTCGGATTTCGAATGCAAGGAGTGTCTATGAGCAGTTCATGATCATTGAACACACGATTGCACAACTTTGGCTCCTAAAGCTAGAAAGCGAGTTGCTCTCATGAAGCGTTGTTGGATTGCTTTTGCATTCTTGGTCTTCTCTGTAAAGGGCGCTTCATTTGCTTCAGAATTGCCATTACAATCGTTGCTTCAGAAACTAGATCCTGATAGACCTGAAATGTATCTCGATCTCGCAGAAGAACTTGCTTTAAGAGATAGTCCTGCAGACGACCCAATCATCACCGATTTGTTGGTGCGAGCAATTTACTTCGCCAATCGTACAGGATCTGCTGAGGTGGCATCGGCAGCGTGTATTGCTTTGGCAGAACTGAATCTGAGCATCGACACAGATTGGCTCTGGGATCTTGCATTGTTATTGGATCCGACAAGGCAAGGTGAGTGGTCCACCAGAACAAGTATCGGCTCTGTTCAAGATCCTGATAGTCTTGATCGCCTTGCATCGATGTGTTTGTACTCTGTCCGTTACAATCAGTACCCAGAATCCGCTGAGCTCTTTCGTCGACAAGATATACAAGCTCATATAATCACCGCCGCAGCCCAAGTTGGGATCGATGAGAGCGAGCTTGTCGCGGTAATTCAGAAAGAGATTGAACGCGGAGCTGAAGATCCATGCCGAGGCAGGTTGTATGTGATCAATCGTGATTCAGGAGAACGCACAGTTTGCCCAAATCATATTCGAGCATTGGGTTTTTGTGCAAATGATGGAGACCTGCGAATACTGCTTCGTATTGAGATGGTCTTGTTAGGCGTAGATCTTGATACATGGAACGCGGCGGCGTCATTGCATCAGGACCAGCCTATCCAGTGGCCAACGTTAAGCGAACTGATCAAGCAGCTGCAAGTCGATCCGTCAAAGGCATACTATCGAGACGGGACTTGGCAAAGTCAGCCCTGAACAAGCGTCTTGAGATCAAATGGAGTACGAATGAGCGAGCAAGTTGAAGCGAAGAAAGAGTCGAAGTTCAAGCCGGAGATCACCTTTGATGATTTCGCCAAAGTTGATCTTCGAGTCGCAAAGGTACTCGAAGCGGTCCCGCACCCCGATGCGGACCGATTGCTGAAGCTTCAGATTGATGATGGATCCGGCGAGCCGCGCCAAATTTGTGCGGGGATTCGCGAGCATTATGAGCCAGAATCACTCGTGGGCAAGTCGATTGTTATCGTTGCGAATCTTGCCCCGCGAACCATTCGCGGCGAAGAATCGCGTGGGATGCTGATTGCGGCATCAGATGCGGCCAAGGGCAGCGACGAACGCAATGTAGTAGTCATGACTCCGATGAGTGATATCGGTGCTGGTTCAGTTGTATCCTGATTGGATTCGGATCAGTCCTCATTTGGATTTGAATCCATCGCATCTCTTTTTCGATCAACTCTGGGTCCTGGTGTTCTACGAGCGGCGTAGATCTGCGCCTGTACCTGATCTCCACGCTGTGCGTTGAGCTCTTCCAGCGCGTCATGCAGTTGCTCGATCCGCATGGTGAGTTGATGAATCTCGTATTGCTTGATATGGACCTGAGCATCGAATCTGGCGCTGGCGGCTTCGCGGACCGCATCCTCCGCAGCTTTGAGCTTCTCTTGATCGGACTCACCAGTTCGCAGGAGGCCGCGGTATTGTCGCGCGGCTTCGACATATTGCAAACCAGCCCGGAGCTCATCGAGTTTCAGTGAGGACATGGCTGAGTTGTCGCCTTCAAAGCTCATGATTTCAAGGATCTTCGGAGCGAGTCGAGAGAGGAGCTGCTGAGTGGCGCGTGGACTGACTTGCTCGATGGTAGACAGTTGTTCATCCACGCTTGGCAAGTGATCGGCAATGAAGGCGCGAACATCGTTGAGAGTCTGGTCATCAAACGCGGGGCGCGCTTGTCGAGGCTCTCGTGATGATCGCTCATGCGGCTGTGAATCATTCGAACCCGTGCGATCTCGACGCGTCATCCGACCGGTGACACGGAGGTCATGAGTTCGGAGTGAACGCATAACCTCTTTGGGATCTTGACCTGCCTCAAGTTGTGCGATGGCTTCTTCGTGTTTCTCAACGATACGCTGAGCAAACAACAGGGTTTGTTCAAGGCGTTGTTTGAGTGATTCGGCGCTTTGGTTTGGGTCTAGCTCACGAGGCTGACGCTGTTCCCCAGTCTTGAGTGGAGGTGGAGGATCACCGAGTGGCTGTGCATAGAGCATACTGCAAACAAGTGGGATGATGGCGAGGTATTGAACTGACATCACAGGGATCCTTCCGTCAATGATGTTTCGGAGAGCTCGATGAGCACACTGGGCATTGCGAGCTCGGTTTGCATCGCATCGGTCATCAGGTCGAGTTCATCCATGTCGTATTCGAGATCGTCCGCAAAGTTGCTGAGCTCAAACAAGGCATCAAAGTCCTCTTCGAGTGAAACAAGTGTCTGCTGAGCGTTCGCGGATTGTGGTGCGGGTTGAGTGTTGATGCTGCTGGAGGTCCAGAGAAGGAGAGAGACGCTCGCGACGACGAGCAGAGCCGCGGCGATGTTGAGCTTCCATCCAAGCGTGAAGGGCTTTGCTTGGTGAGACTGCTGCTGGATTGGCAATGGTGCTGGAGCGATCTGCTTGGAGATCGAATCCATGACCCGTTGCTCGAATCCGGTGTCCGGAGCTTTGGTGTCAGCGGCAGCGAGCGCATCGAGCTGCTCGATGAGTGCGTCAGTATCTGGGTCGCGATGATTGAGGTGTTCTTCGGTCATGATTGAGTCTCTGTTGCTGACGGGTTCGCTGTGGTGGAATCCATGATGGCTTTGAGTTTCTTGAGTGCTCTGTGGTGGCGGGCGAGCAGGGTCCCGACTGGTTGATTGAGGATGTCGCTAATCTGTTTGAAACTGAGCTGGCCGTGGTGGCGGAGCTCGATGATCTCGCGGTCGGTTTCGTTGAGTTGATCGATCGCGGCTTTGAGTGATTCGGTGTTGGTGGACTGGGTGTCTTGAGCGGGAGCGACGCGGGAGTCTTGGAGGTGACTGGGATCGGTCGGTTTGGCGTGGCGGCCTCTACGGCGGAACTCGTCGCGGACACGGTTCATCGTGATGCGGAACAACCAGGGCTCGAATCGTCCCTGCTCGTTGTAGCCGTCTTGGCAGAGTTTGGTCGCTACGGTGACAAACACGGACTGGGTGATCTCCTCTGAGAGGTCGTCGTCATGGAGCCGAGACCGCGCCATGGCGAATACTCGGCGTGAATACGCGTCCACGAGTCCGCGCCAAGCGTCCTCCTCGCCTTGGGCGGCACGGTGCACGAGAAGACGGATCTCCTCGTCGTCATGACGCTCTGGTTCGGGTTGGAAACTCAATGCGGACACCATCCTTGTGTGCTCAACGCGGTTCACGCCCTTGTATTGCCCGAACCGATATTCTCTTGAGAACATATCGGATTGGTGGGGCGGACGCTTGCAATGAGGTGGATTCCCGGACCCAATACGGAATATCACGTTCCACGATCCGAATACGTGCAGGCGTCGTATGATCATGCGTTGGAGCCCTGAAAGGACCTTTTTGAGCGAGATCGAACCACAATCCGGATCAGCCGATTTCAGCGGGGTGCCGGATGAGGAGGTGTTTGTCGCCTTTCGTTCGGGTGATCATGCCGCCTATAGGGAGCTGATCGAGCGGTTCCATGATGATCTGCTGCGGTTTTTGACTCGTCTGGTTGGGGATCGGTCCGCTGCGGAGGACCTGTTCCAGGAGACGTTCCTCCAGATCCACTTATCGGCGGATACCTTCGATGCGAGCAGGCGATTTCGTCCATGGCTTTTTACAATTGCCGCGAACAAGGGGCGGGACTTGTTGCGTAAGAGGAAGCGGAGACGCACGGTCGAACTCTCAGCGCCGCTGAGGGGTTCGGAGCGTGGGACTTCGATGGTTGATTTGCTGGAGATTGATGTCCCGGCACCTGACGAAAGGATGGATGTGGATGAACAGGATCGGCTCGTGCAGCTTGCGCTTGATGATCTTGGGGCGCCGCTCCGTGAGGTCTTGGTGCTTGGGTATTTCCAGCGGATGAGTTACGCACGCATTGCGGAGGATCTTGGGATCCCGCTCGGGACGGTGAAGTCTCGGATGCACGCCGCGGTCGCGGCCTTTGCGAGGAGTTGGCAGCGGGTGTCTCGATCTGCTGCCGGGAATGAGTAGTCTGACTTTCTTCGGGCTGTTTCGGAGTTTCGTGGATGGATGAGTCAAAGGAACCAAATCAGTCGGGTCCCGAAATCGAGTTTCAACTCAGCGATGCGGATCAAGCCGCGGTTGATGCGTTCTTTGAGGACACTGAATCAGGGTCTGAACCTGAGCGTCTGAACCAGCTCACACGGCTGTTGAAGCTGATGGATACGCCGATATCAGATCTTGGGAATCGCGAGTCACTTGTTGATGTTACGGAACTCAGGGCTCAGACTGGGACTATTGATCCGATGTTGACTGCTGCGTCGGCGTCGTCTGTTGATGACTGGATTGACGGGCATGAAGCGTTGACTGAGCGAGATTCCGCTCATCAGCAGTTGTCTGAACTGGTGAATAGCGGTTCGACATATTCCGAGAATGAACGCCAAGCACTCGTCAATAAAACACTTGGGTTGATTCAGGACGAGATTGATCACTCCGAGAAGCGGTACCTCATGGATATGCCGATCTCGCCGGGCGGGCGATTCCGTTTGGCGGATTTGGTCTCGCTCGCTGCGACATTGCTGCTGGTCGCGTCGGTAACGATCCCGGTTTTGAGCGGTATCCGATCGCGTTCGATGCAGACGATCTGCAACAGCAATATGGCGACAGCGGGCAGTGCGTTTGGCGCGTATGCAGGATCGAATCGGGATCTGCTCCCGATGGCGACGGCTGGGTTCGGTTCAGGGAGCAACGCGACCTGGATGGATGTCGGAACGACCCCAGAACGCTCGAACTCGTCGAATCTGTACATGCTCATCCGGACGAACTACGCGACGCTCGATGATTTGGCGTGTCCGACCAATCCGGATGCTCTGGTCGAAGGGGACGGGCATGCTCAGCAGGATTGGCGATCTCTTGATGAGATTTCTTACAGCTATCGGATCATGACTCCCGGCGGGCTCAAGGCCCACGCTGTGGACCAACCAGTGCGTGTGGTGCTCCTCTCGGATCGGAGTCCGGTCGTCCGGCGGATCGTGAGCAAGCAGCCCGTGCGTCCGGAGGAGAACACTCCCAACCACAACCACGCCGGTCAGCATGTGTTGGGGCTTGACGGGAGCTCGACCTGGCATCGGGATCCGGTGTTGGATCAGGGGGATAATCTCTGGTTCCCGCGTCCTGTTGAGGAGTTCATCTACCGAGCTCGGGATCGGATGGGCATTATGAAAGGGAATGAGCTCCCTGATGGACCGACCGATGCGTTTGTGGGGCCTTGAAGGGCACCTAACGAATACTGAGAACTTGATAGGAATGAGCCCTCTTGACTGGTCTAGGCGGGGTAGGGGGGCTATCCTCACCTCCTGCCCTGCTCGTTGAGCGGGGTGTTTTGAACGAGATACCAACCGCGCGGAGTGTGCGATATGCCGAAGAACAAGATTCACAAAGGTCTGGCCAAGCGAGTCCGGGTTTCCAAAACCGGCAAGGTGCGTCACCGCACTGCTTACCACAAGCACTTGTCATCGCACAAGAGCGGCAAGCGTTTGCGTCAGCTTCGTGCCGACCGTCGCGTGTCCTCATCGGAAGCGAAGCGCTTTGAGAAGCTGCTCTTCCGTCGTCTTCGCGGTCGCAACCAACCTCGCACCTCGCTTCGTCGGAGCCCGTCTCCGGAGCAGCGTCGTGCGATGCGAGCTGAGAAAGCCGCAGCGAATAACGAGTAAATTTGTACTGAGTCGATGACGTCATCGACTCGGGTTTATCCACCCCGTTTGCCGGGATTGACAAGATCGGTTTGATCCGGCCCCGTCAGACAAACATGGAGATCGAGCTATGCCTCGTGTACGCAAGGGTGCTGCTAGAGCACAACAACGGAAAAGAATTCTTCGTCAAGCACGCGGTTACTTTGGCAGCAAGTCGCGCCACAAGTACCAAGCAAAGATCGCTGTCCGCCGTGCGGGCTGCTACGCGTACCGCGACCGTCGCGCACGCAAGCGTGAGATGCGTGCTCTCTGGATCACTCGTATCACCGCGGCATGCAAGATGCGTGGCACGCGTTACTCGCTGTTCATCAACGGGCTCAAGATGTCAGGCAATAACCTGAATCGCAAGATGCTCTCGCAGATCGCGATCGAGGATCCGAAACTCTTTGATCGTCTCGTTGAGCAAGCGACCGCGGCATCCAAAGCGGTCCCAGCAAACGCTGGCTGAGTTCATTTGATTTATTGATCGATCGATGCCTGGTTGTCCCGACAACTGGGCATTTTTGTATCCGCATCTGTATGATGAGTTTCTAGGAGATACGCGACATGGCGGGATGGTGGCTGTCAGATCTTTGGTCGAGCCCGAATGGGCAGGTCATGGTTGTGTCATGGCTGGTCTGGGTTATCGTCTCCATCACACTCCATGAACTCGCTCATGGCTGGACTGCAGTCAAGCTTGGTGACGACACGCCGATCCGAAGCGGTCATATGACCTGGAATCCAATGGTTCACATGGGTCCTTACTCATTGATCGTGTTGCTGCTGTTGGGTATTGCATGGGGCGCCATGCCGGTGGATCCGAGTCGATTGCGGGGCAAACATGCGGACACACTTGTGACCATTGCTGGACCGCTGATGAACTTAGCGCTGGGATTGATCACGCTATTCCTGCTGATCTTCTGGTTGCCACTGGCCGAGGGGCAGATCATTTCCGCTGCAAACATCCAGGATCCCCTCAAATCCAATCTTCAGATTTTCCTCGGCACAGGTGCACTCTTGAACTTTGTGTTGATGTTGTTCAATCTGCTCCCTGTTCCCCCGCTCGATGGTGGACGGATCTTAATGAACCTCTGGAAGCCGTTCCGTAATCTGATGCTGTCAGAGAATGGGCAGTGGTTCGGATTCGGTATCTTCATTCTCTTCTTTGTGTTCGGCGCAGACATTCTTTTTGGTTTGTCCAACGCGTTTGTCTTCGGGATCAGCGACCTCTTTCAGCATCTCCTGTTTCCGAACTTAAACAACTGATCAAGCCGATGAGAGTCCAATGAAGTATGTGATCATCATCCCTGATGGCGGAGCGGACAAGCCGCTTGAGGAGCTTGGTGGATTGACTCCGTTTGAATCTGCGGAGATGCCCAATCTCGATCGATTAGCAAAGATGGGACGCGTGGGCACGGCGAAGACCACACCCAAAGGCTTCGGGGCAGGCTCTGATGTCTGCACAATGGATCTGCTTGGGTATGACCCCGGCAAGTATCACACCGGCAGAGCGCCGCTCGAAGCTGCGGCAATCGACGTAGAGTCCGGCGAGAGTGATTGGATCTTCAGGCTCAATCTGGTGACTGTAGGAGAAGAAGGCACGGATCAAGCCGGACTGATTCTTGACCATTCCGCTGGTGGTATTCCAGATTCTGAGGCACGCGTGCTTCTTGAAGGACTGTCCGCGTTTTGGACTGAGCAAGTTCCTGAACTCGCGAAGGACTTCGTGCTCACTCCTGGGGTGAGTTATCGATCAATCCTCGTGGATCGTTCGGATCGTGCGTATTCGAGTGTTGAATGCACTCCTCCGCACGAGATTCCGGATCGTCCTTGGGAGCCGGCGCTCCCGAATGGAGGGATGAGGAATGAAGGGGCTGTGCTGAGCACACTGATCAAGCTCTCGCATGAGTACCTCAAAGATCACGAGGTCAATCTCGCTCGAGTTGAGCAAGGATTGCGTCCGGCGAACTGTGCATGGATCTGGGGGCAGGGGACCAAACCAGTTCTGCCGAGCTTTGAATCCAGGTTTGGCCTAATAGGAGGAATGATCACCTCGGTGGATCTGCTCGCAGGGATTGCCAAGTTGATCGGATGGGATCTGATCGAATGTCCGGGCTTGACGAGCTATCACGACACGGATTACACGATGCAGGGGAAGGTGACCATCGATTCCCTCAATAAATACGACATCGTTTGTTGTCATGTGGAAGCTCCAGACGAGGCTTCGCATCAAGCGGACTTTGTCACGAAAGTTGCATCACTCGAAGCGATTGATCGCGAGATCATTGGGCCTGTGATGGATGCGATTGTGCGATACGGCGATCCCGACACCGATCCAAACGCTCAGGGCTGGAGAGTGCTCGTCATGCCTGATCACTACACGCTGTGCTCAACACGAAAGCACGACGCGACTCCTGTGCCATTCGCAATGGCGGGGGCTTGGGTGCGTTCCGTCGTCCCACGGGTACTCACGGAAAAGGAAGCGGAGCAGGCTGATCTCCATATCGATCCGGGCTCGGACTTGATGGAGTATTTCCTTCACTCAGGATTGGTGCGTCAAGATACTCAATAGTGGTCCCGTATATCGCTGGTGCCAGGATTGGGCGAGTAGCTCCATTGATTATCGAGTCTCTGTCCCCTCGGCTTCTGCTCGTGCTTCGATAATCTCTTCTTCATCTTCACCTTGGATGTACGTACCCCCTTTGTATGACTTCGACCACAAGAGGAATATGAAGAATGCAATCAGCATCAATCCAGTAAAGAACCAGTAATAGTTCGCACCATCGAGCGGTGTAGTGCCTGTTTGCTCATCCCTCATGCTCTCCATGACGGCATTTACTCCAGATACATAGAAGTTTCCGAGTGATACACCCAAAAAGTAGACTCCCATGATAAAGCTCTTCATCTTCTTGGGACTCTGTGTGTATGCGAACTCAAGACACACAATCGAAACCATGATCTCGGCGCTCGTCAGAACGATGAAGGCAATGAACTGCCAACCGATGTTGGGCATGTCCGCAAGATACGGTGTGAGCTGTTCTTGATCCCAGCCGTTATCGCGTGCAACCCTCACCATTTCCGAAAGAGTTCTCGGCATCTCGCCGTCGATTGCCAGACCTCCCCAGAGCTGAGTCATTGCTGCATCCGATTTAACAGTGATCCAGTTCTCAATGACAGCAGATAAGGCAAATGTTGCAGCGGTAAGCACAAAACCAATGCCAATCTTTCTCAATGGAGTCAGTGGGTAAATTTTACTGATCGCGGGATAGATGACATAAGTGAAGACAGGGATCAATACAAGAATAAAGAATGGGTTGACTGCTTGAACCTGCGATTGGAGCCAGGTGAATCCCATGAACTGCCTGTCCATGCTCTCAGCTTGTAGGACCCAAGCGGATCCAGTCTGATCGAATATTGCCCAGAATACTGGGACGAAGATCAGAAACAGTGGTGCAAGATTGACAAGTGCACGGACACCTTCAGGGCTGAAAGTTTCTTCTTTGAACTTCTTCCAGCCCGCTGGGGGTACATGTACAAACTCCTTTCGACCCAACCAGAACAAGAAGGTCGCGATAGCCATCAAAATACCCGGCAAACCGAATGCTGCCCAAGGACCGTACTTAGCAAGCAGGATCGGCGTCAGAATGGTGCTGAGCATCGCGCCAACATTAATCGAGAAATAGAACCAGTTGAATACCTGCGTGAGAAGATGCTTGTTGCCACGACCAAACTGGTCACCGACATGTGCACTCACGCACGGCTTGATCCCACCTGCTCCCACAGCGATCATGGCAAGTCCGATGAAGAGGAACGGCTTCATGTCCCATAAACCAGTATGCGGTCCAACATCCATAAGTGCGAGACAGCCGTGACCGAAACAGTACATCAGGCTAATCCAGAGGATTGTTTTGTACTTCCCCCAGAAGGCATCCGCGAGGATCGCGCCGATGATCGGGAAAAAATATGCTCCCGCTGTGAAGAGGTGGTACACCGTCTTGGCACGCTCATCGGACATGTTTGCAGATTCGCCGCTTGCATCCAAGAGATGCTGAGTCATGAAGACTGTCAGGATCCCCTTCATGCCATAGAAGCTGAACCGTTCGGCAAGTTCGTTCCCGATGATGTAGGGAACACCTTTGGGGAACTTGGTTTCTGAGGGATCAGGAGCGGTGAGATATTGTTTCTCTGCCATCTGGTTATTAGCCTTTATCTAGTGGGAGATTGGATACACAAACTATGCGATCGGGGTCCATATCACAAGCGGATACCATCAAATTCTCATGTACTGGATGCAATTGAAGCAGTTTGCGGGCAAGAATCACTTGTGAATCTGTTGACCTGAACGAAGGAAATCAATGCATCCCAACTTGACCTCGATAGTTCCAGGAGACTCGACCAAGCTCATCGGTATGGTTCATGTTGGTGCGCTGCCCGGGACGCCATATTCGCAGCGATCTGTGGAGCAGCTTGTTGACCAAGCCGTTGCTGAAGCGAAGATACTCAACGATGCCGGATTCGATGCGATTATCGTGGAAAATATGCATGACGCTCCGTATGTGCATGGTGAGGAGCTTGGTCCTGAGATCGTTGCTGCAATGACCCGTGTGTGTCACGCTGTGACAAGTAGCGTCCAGGTTCCGGTGGGTGTTCAAATCCTTTCGGGAGGAAATCGCCACGCGATTGCAGTTGCAGATGCAACTGGGGCATGCTTTATACGGTGTGAGAATTTTGTGTTCAGCCATGTCGCGGATGAAGGCCTGCTCAGCAAAGCAGAAGCGGGGGGGCTGCTTCGGTTCCGAAAATCGATCAACGCGGAGCAGATCAAGATCTTCTGTGACATCAAGAAGAAGCACGCATCGCATGCGTTGACAGCGGACATTGATATCGCAGAGTTTGCGTACGCTGGGGAGTTCTTTGGTGCCGACGGGTTTGTTGTGACTGGTATTTCTACTGGAAAGCCAACGGATCTTGCAGATGTGAAGGCAGTGCGTGCCGTGACCAAGTTACCAGTCTTGGTAGGGTCTGGGGTAACTCCTGAAAATGTGAATGCGTTGAGCGAGCACGCGGACGCGTTGATTGTGGGATCATGGATCAAAGGCGAAGGGTTTTGGAAGAATCCAGTGGATCCTTCGCGTGCACAGCAGATGATCAAGGCGGGGCGTGGCTGAGGATTTGACCAGTTTCGATACGCTCATCCAGCAAGCTCCAAAATCGGTGCGAGGGATGTACCGTGCTCGGCTGAGAGGGCTTGAGAAGCGGAAAAACACAGGATACTCAGTTCAGAAAATCGAAGACTCTATCCGTGCGGATTTGCAACGGGATATTGAAGCATACCAGCGTCGGCTCCGAAACAAACCGACTTGCACCTATCCAGAAGACTTGCCAGTCAGCGAGCACCGTGATGAGATCGCCAACGCTATCCGTGATCATCAAGTAGTGATCATCTGCGGCGAGACCGGTTCAGGGAAAACCACGCAGATCCCCAAGATCTGTCTTGATCTTGGGCGCGGTGTCGAAGCAATGATCGGTCACACGCAGCCGAGGCGGATCGCGGCGCGGAATGTTGCCGCTCGTGTTGCTGATGAACTCGGGGTCGGTTTGGGATCAATGGTCGGATATAAGATGCGATTCGGTGATCAGACCAGCGACGATACGCTGATCAAGGTGATGACCGATGGCATACTGCTTGCGGAAACACGAGGGGATCCGGATCTTAGGAAGTATGACACGATTATCGTGGACGAGGCACATGAACGATCGTTGAATATCGACTTCTTGCTCGGATATCTGCACAAGCTGGTAACCAAGCGGAAAGACCTGAAAGTCATTATTACTTCCGCAACGATTGATGCTGATCGCTTTGCCGAGCACTTCGGAACAACTGAAGGGCCGGCACCCGTGATCGAAGTCTCTGGTCGAATGTATCCAGTCGAGCAGCGATACGATGCGTCGATGACGATGGAAGGGATGCCGATCCCCGAAGCCGCGTCGTATGCCGCGGCACAGTTGATTACCGAGGGGCACGGCGATGTACTCGTCTTCATGCCGGGCGAACGAGAGATCCGACAAACGGCACACGAGCTCAAGAAACTGGATTTCTTGCCGCATGATGCTGAGATCCTGCCGCTGTATGCTCGGCTTTCTCCAGCTGAGCAGCAGAAAGTTTTCAAGACTGGACGAACAGGCGGCTCTCGGATCGTCATCGCGACCAATGTTGCAGAAACTTCGATTACAGTTCCCAATATCCGAGGCGTGGTCGATCCAGGTGTTGCTCGGCTCAAACGATACAACCCTCGAACCAAACTGCATGGCTTGCAGGTTGAATCGATTTCTCAAGCATCTGCAAATCAGCGAGCGGGACGCTGTGGGCGTATTGCTTCCGGGGTCTGTATTCGGTTGTATGAACAGGATGATTACAATCGGCGCGATCAGTTCACACAGCCCGAGTTGTTGAGATCGAATCTCGCTTCCGTCATCCTGCAGATGATCGACTTGAAGCTAGGCGAACCTGATCAGTTCCCGTTTCTTGATTCGCCGGATGCTCGACAATGGCGCGATGGGTATGAGACACTCCACGAGCTTGGAGCGATCGATGATGATCATCGACTGACTCCGATCGGAAAGCAGATGGCCAGGCTTCCAGTTGATCCGCGTATCGGGAGAATGGTACTCGCTGGTGAAGAAGAGCAGTGTCTCAATGATGTGCTGATCATCGCGGCGGTACTTTCGACTCAGGACCCTCGCGTTCGTCCGCATGACAAGCAACAAATCGCGGATGAGGCACATGAGCAGTTCCAAGCTGAGGGTTCGGACTTTCTTTCGTTTCTCAAAATTTGGGATTGGTACCATGAGCAGCACAAGAAACTGACTCGCAGAAAGCTCGGACGAGCATGTGACTCTGCGTATCTATCTTCCCGACGCATCGATGAATGGCGCGAGGTGTATCGTCAACTGCGCGGGATGTGTTTGGATATGAAGCTCAATCCGGAGGTTCGGCATACCGATCCCGATGCGGTTCATCGAGCACTCCTCACAGGGTTGCTGACCAATATCGGGAACAAAGGTGATCGATTCGAGTACAAAGGCACGCGCGGCTCGGCGTATTCGATCATCCCCGGCTCTTCGGTCTTTGAAGAAAAACCTGAATGGGTGATGGCCGGAGAAGTTGTCCGCACAACCAAGGTTTACGCACGTACAGTCGCGAAGATCAATCCGAAGTGGGTGGAAGATGCCGCAAAGCATCTGATTAAACGATCACACTCAAACCCACGCTGGGATTCTCGAACGAGTCGTGTTGTCGCTGATGAACGCGTTGCCTTGAATGGATTGGATATCATCCCGCGGAGGACCGTCCACTTTGGACCAATTGAGCCAGTCGCGGCTCGGGAGATGTTCATTCACAATGCGCTCGTCGAAGGCGATATGAGAACCAAGTGCGCTGCGATCAAACGTAACAGGCAACTGCTTGCGAATCTAAGAACCATTGAAGATAAGGCGCGGCGGGGTGATCTCATCGCGGATCATCAAGCAATCTTCCAGTTCTATAACCAACGGATCCCGGCTGAGATCTAC